GACTTTGTATGTACCGGCGTCAAAGAACACCACTTGCCCAGCTGCCGTGGCACTGTTGATCACGCTTTGTAACGCGCTCGTATCATCCGTGACCCCGTTACCAGTGGCACCGGCACTGCGCACACTCTGGAAAGATGAGACCGTGAGAGAATTATACTGGGGTTTGGACCGAACGTAATAGTTGGATCCACTTAGGAGTGTTGACGGTCGAGTAATGGGGGTGAAAGAACCCTGGAAACGTGTGTGGCCGGAAGTGGTGTAGCTGTTGCCTTCACCCCATCCAGCTACCGTCACACTGCCGCTGCTGCCTGCCAGCACAGTGCCTGCGGAGGTAGATTTAACAATATCTGGGACATTACTGAAGATACTGTTGTCAATAATGAGACTGCCATTAGCCACATTATTGGCCACGCTCTCAGTAAATGCTGTCAGCAATCCCACCGGAGTATTGGTGATGGTGCTGTCCACAAGAATCACTGAGCCCACTGCCTGGTCGGATGGCCCACCCGCGGACATGTCAATGCCAGTCTGGCAGTCGTTTATGGTAATACCTTGATATACCCAGCCCCAGTCCCACAGCTGATTGATAGCGGTGACGCAGTTGTTGAAAACCAAGTTGCGCATAGTGAATTGCTGGTTGCCAACCTGGATGCCATATAAACCGCCATTGAAAGTTAAATCGGTGAGGAAACCGGCGGAACCTGTTAATTTTATTAGTGATATAGCCCCAAAAACGTAGATGGCCAACGCACCCGATTCACAAAAAACACCAACGTGTTGTGTGCCTGATGCTGAGCTCATCTGGAATATGAGATTCTGCAGACTCGTTGCCTGGGCCGTGGGCCAATGAATTCCAGTAGCCGAGGAGGTAGCTGGAATACTTGTCATGTCTAGGATAAAATTACGCACTTGGCGGTAAAAGACATTTGTTGAGCCCCAATTAAGTGATGCAGTATAGTACTTGTCTCCGTCAATCAAGCCAAAGCCAGAAAAGCTGGAACTAGCTTTTAGCGTCGGTAGGCTGTTTGGATTTCCCAGCAAAATGGTGTTGTACTGGTCTATAATGGATGAGGAGATCAAATAGGTTCCCGCTGGGAAATATACCACTGCCGGAGTGGTTGTGCTGGATGAACAGCCCTCGCCACAACGGCCGCCATCGCTGATGGCAGCGTTGATGGCAGCCGTATCATCAGTCACACCGTTTCCTAGTGAAAAAAGGTTCAGCCCCGATCCATATCCAATCTAGATGGTGAGACATACCCGTGGCACCATAATCCTTTACATTTCGATAGACCGTGTATCCAGAAGGCCCAAAGGCGGAAATTCCCTGGTGTTCAATATTCTCGTACCAGTAGTTGGATGATCCTGTGGCCGTGGCAGCCGTGGGTGCATGAGTGGCCGACGCGGCCGTGGTGATAGACGTAGTGGTGGATACAACAGTACCATATTGGTACAGATCCAGGCGATTGGGTCCTCCACAAGTCTCGGCAGAATTCCCAGTACACGCCATGTCGCAGCCGGTACTTCCATCTGGGGCCGGACCGCCACCATTCTGCAGGGTATTGCCACAGTCTTATGACACAATTAGGTTCTGTGGATATAGGCGGACCATAAGACTTACAGCATTCATCGGCGTACTCTACCCCAGCCAGAGTGAACCCCAAAGCCTGACACCCGGCCTGGCAATTCTGTACGGTCATGTTGGTCGCCCCTCCAGGAGCAGGAATACCCTCCGCCAGGGATCTTCCCGAGACATTATCCATATAGCAACCCAAGAAAGACCAGCTAGAGCTTCTCTTTTCCATGGGAACCGCCAAGGCCACTCCGAAGAGGGCAAACAGGACAGCTGTGTTGGGTAACATAATGGAAGACTGAGAAGTGCTGGTGCCCGGAAGCGTGCTTAGAACCCATATGAATGATACTAGGAAACATCATGTTTCTTATATATCGTGTTCGTAACACAATATTCGACATGTATTCATAGGAGCCAATCCCGGTCATTTCAGAAATTGTATGAGGGACCAGACAGCCACAAAATGATATTTTGCCATGAATTTGTCACCAAAGGTCCAAGAACGCTGAGGCTACCTGATAATCACCGTCACATTCAGTCGGAGATGAATCCCTCCGAGAGACAGCAGCAGGCAACCGGCATGTAAACAGCCTATGTCAAATTCTACCACAGTATGCAATGTGCAAAGTATGCTCATGCGGAATTTCGGAAGGTTGGATTAATGCCATTCATTACAATAATTCTGGAAGACCGAGGGCAAATGCTACGCGAGCAAGATCATTTTACCCCGCATGGTGCAGATTCGGTTTGGAGCCATTTTAAGATCTTCCCGAGTTAGGCCAAAATGCTCCAGGGGGTGTCTGAGCGTTTCTTCAGTAATTCTGCAGGCGCTGCTTATGCCCGCCCGTTGTTGGGCATCATCAGCCGAAACCCCCTATTCCTGGAATGATTGGGCAGATGGCACCCTCACCAACTCCAAAAACAAGGAAAAGACAGGTACGAGGATCTGGGGTGGGGAATAAAGGAGGCTTGTGACTTTTCCCGGCGTTTGCATCCCATGTGGGTAATTACCGGCATCTTCTGGAGCAATATACTTGCATACCCCTGCATGACTAGGTCACGGCCAATCCCCGCATATCATGTTTATTTGACTTTCCCTTTTTCTCGCCCTAGCCAATTATTCCCCACCTTGACAATATATTGTGTTACATTGATTCCTTCTACCAAACGCCCCCTGTTTTAGAATTGAATCACGCCCCGACCCTACACTAACCATTCCGCAAAACCCCGCCTTGAACGGGCTCTAGGGTGTCATTTACCTAGACCGAATGCGCTGCGGAATCTCGGATTTTATTGATTGACTCCATTAGCCACATATGGTCAAGCATTTGAATGATGCTTACCCCGATATTCCGCGAGCTGTCTGCTTCTAGCTGTACTGCCTCGGATTCTGTAGAGGGTGTGTTTTACCCAGATCGAATGTTCTGCAGAATTTCGGTTTTATTGGTTGACTCCATTAGCCAGAAGTGGAACAACGAGGCTTGTCCCGACACTCCGCGAATATCTTGCTTCTAGCTATTCTGTCTTGGATTCTGCAAAAGGGATCAAAGCAGATAGTAAGCACACAACCCAATACCAAGTCAAAAACGCACCCGAGGTATCCCTTTTTACAATATAGCAAGAATAGAACCGGGTGATGGCCTTATGTGTATAAGTCTGCTTGCCTCCTTCTTCTCGATCGGACTGCTCTCAGTATCCGAATAGTTTCATTATCAATTCTTGGCTCCCCCGAGCAATGATTCTCACACGTGCACTAGTACTTTTTGCTCTGCCACTACTCGTAGTAGGCGAGCAGTTTGAGATCCCTGCGGTAGAGGCCATCGTCAATAAAGTGCTCCATAACTATTCGAAATGGGTGAACTTTAAAGGCCACTCAAGCCATTCCGATACTGCGAAACGGTCCACTGCCACCACCATCGCGAAGCGTGGACTGGCATACAATAACAACAACCCCGACAGCAATGCCACTTACGCAAATCTCTTTGAGGGGTACCCTAAGATCTCTTGGGGTTATGACTGGGGATATCCATCCTGGGGCCTAGACTCGGACTTTGAATTGTATAGTCGCAAGCAGCTTTCTTCAGGATATGATGGACGCTGACAGTTTTACGCAGTGTTCCCATGCTTTGGGGCCTCCCCAGCGGTTCTGACCCCGACTGGACTGCCGCGGTCGAAACTCCAGGCACCTTGAACATTCTCGGCTTCAATGAGCCAGACCTAACCTATTCTGGCTCTTCTGATATTCTGCCTGCTAATGCAGCTGCGGGATATCAGACATACATGGAGCCATTTGCCGGGAAGGTCAAGATCGGCATGCCGAATGTTCTATGGAACAATGTCGGCTCTTCCTCCGGAGGCAACTATGACTCGGCCCAATGGACGCAGTATTTCTTGGGAAACTGCACCGGATGCCACTTCGACTTTGCTGCTATTCACTGGTACCAAGACTGTGACCCGGGCAATGGACAGAGCGGTGTCGACTGGTTCCAGGGCAACGTCACAGACGCATATCAGACGCTGAATCTTCCAGTCTGGATCACAGAGTTTGAGTGTTATGGATCGGACGCGCAGCAGGTGGACTTTTTGCAGCAGGTACTGCCATGGTTGGATGAGCAAAGTTATGTAGAGCGATATGCATACTTTGGAGTGTTTCCCGATTATCTGGTGAATGACGCAGGCAATGGGCTCTCGGATATTGGGGTAGCGTATGCAACGACTTGATGATTGACATCAGTCGTATGAGTTGGGCTGATTTGGGGTACAAGGATCATTATGTATAAGATCAACAGAGTATATGAATTCCAGGCAGCGGCCTTCCATGCCGATTGTGGATTCTTAGTCGCGATAAGGCTTTGTCGGGTCACAAATATTATCCATATCCTCTCACTGAAATACGTCTTAGTCTTGGCGGTGGGGCGAGGAAACAATTGTCAAGTATGTATTGACCAAGGCAATTTTGAGAATGACTGCAAAATACACTGCGCCACGACGCCTTGTGGTACTCCCAGGCTCGATCCGATCGGCTTTTACATCGAAGAAGATCTAAATCTGAGCAGAGTTTCAGGTGGTACCGATTTAACTCCTGTTACTGTGGCATTAGATATGGGGTGAGGTAACATAAAGTGCTTACGGACAGGGGACCGACTTTGAAATGTTGTGCTTCATTCTTCGCTCTCTAGATATTTGTGGGGCCTGAGGGTTTAGGGTCCCTCCTCTAAGAAGCCAGCGGCCCGCAAATGTGGACCGGGCTATTTAAGGGCAGAAATATCTCCAGAAAGCACCCCGAACCTTCCCTGGAGGGATTCATACTTCTCAGTTCCTAGAATTTCTTGTAGTTCAGAAGAACGATTGTTGCGGATTTATATCCAAATAAAAACTGTTATTTTACCGCAACAGACATCAATCTCCGCCTAGGCTGAGGCCAGCCCTACGCCACTTTGGTCTCTATAGACTCCTTGGGCGGAATAATACCAAAATTCTGATTTCCCATCGCCTCAAAATAATGGCCGTCAGCGATTTTCTGCGTGCCTTCACCGAACAAGTTATACTGGCGATTGTTATCGCCATACTGGCTGGCAGCCTCGGGCTTATCCGCCAGATCGGAGTCGGCCAGTGATGGAGATACTTCCGCCAGCTCCTCGCGAGCCTTTGCCAGCGGCCCAACCTGCTTCTGCAGCTCCGCAGAAAATATCTCATGCGTAACTAGGACTCCTAGATCCTCCAAAATGCCGTCCATCAGCGTCTCGACGCGACGCTTGCCTTGTTTAATAATGATTGCTCGGTACACGGAAGAGTCATATTGGTCCTTTGATTTTTTGCCGATTTTCTCGAAGATCTCCCGCAGCTTGTCGGCTTTCTCGTCGCAGCTATACAGGACAGTCTTTAGTGCCTTGGCGTCATCGGCGGACTTCATTTTCTTCGCCGGGATCTTGGCAGCTTTCAGGGTTTGTTCAACCAGGGGAAGGCGTTTATGGACTTCTTGGAAGGCTTCGGGTAGACTACTGAGGTCTTTGATAGAGCCATATGCCTCAACTATATCTTCTGTAACCTCGATGAGGCCAGCAATCTGGCGAGAGATATCGGAATTTGCCATTGTGCGCTGAGTGACTGGGTGGGGGGTTGATTAGAAAAATTAAGATAGGACATATTGCAGGAAAGCTCAACTCTTACATTGGTTACGAGCCGAGCTTGTCTTCGCTGACCTGGAGGCTGTGCCAGGGGGAAAGGCAGAGTGCTAGATGTGGAACCGGTAGTCTGTAGTTTAGGGCGAAACAATTGGCAGTGTTCACTCAAGCATACAGCTAATCTGCCTAGGAATTTCTTGATGGTTATCGCTCTCAAATTTATAATTTCTCGTGCTTGACGCGTCGCAGCCACAACTTGCGCTAAAGGGCGGGGGACGGGAGGTCATCTAGTCGGTGTGCAGCAGCAGAATTGTGAGGGCTTTGTGGGAGCTCTCCGCGGCAATAGCCTGCTCTTCCGGCGTATTCGATGTGAGACGTATTCAATAAGCAAGTGGTATGCAAGTGGAATTCAAGGGATGCAGGCTGCAGCTCTGATGGCCAATTGAATGCGAAGGGAGACTGTGACGTGTTGATGGCTCGCTACCTTGCCGCCTTGGTGAGGTCCTCCTTCGGCGGCGGTATAGATTGATTCGCTGACCCCGGCGCGAATTTAAGCAGGCTTACCTGATTGCGCTACTCACCCCTTCCATTTTGAAACGCCCCCTGTCACGAGTACCGCCGTGGTTCCTATCTCCAATTACGACGACGCAGCTCCCTCTGCTCTGGGCGGCTACTGTGATAGCGAACCGCCGTTCGCGTCATCAGGTTCATGTGTCGAATCGGAGGATACGTTGAAGGAAACTAATTTTAGAGGAATTGATTTAAAAACTCAGATCGAGTTTCCTCTGATTGCCATTCAAATAGGCGGTGGGTTGAGTACACACTGAAAAATTCTGCACCGAATCAGTGCTGATTGGTTGTATTTGACCACTTGCTCAGTTCGACATGATAGTTAATCAGGTTTTTGTCTTGCGGCCCGAATCTATCGGTTTTTCTAGGGGCCTTCCGTAGAGCAAACCCAATACGGTATAAGTGATTAGTCCAAATTTACAGTTAATAGAGAAACGCAGAGGTTGATACGGCTGCCACGAATTCGCTAGCTCCAGTCATCCCTCTAAGCGCCCCAAAATATGTGCCCGACTGGGAACCTAAAGGTATCCATTGTTCAACGCCATCCTGTAAGCGCTGAACCAGGTTCGCACTAATATCATTCGTCACCCACGGCGCTAAACCGGGTGTGATAAGAGGCGCTACCAGGGTGTGTTTGAGCCTTTCCCGAACTCTTGATCTTCGATTCACCATCACTAAACACCCACTGTCGCAGGTAGATGAGAGTGTGCCGTTGATAAGAATGTTACTTCGTTTACGCGCCGGCTTGTTCTGTGCTATCCAAATAAAAGGTCTTTTCGGAACGCTCTGCCTGAACATGTTTTGACTTGAGAAGCCTCCCTATTCGCCGACGGCCCATCTGCGTCTAACCAGTAGTACTTCAGAATCAAAAGACCAGTCATGATCCTTTTATTAACCCCTTAAATATGGAAAGGATCTACCAGCAATTTCTTAAGCGCTTGGAGCGAGCTACGGGCTGTAAAACTCTACCGATATGACGAGCGGAGAACAGTCCCACTCCGAGACATGATAGGGCAAGTTTTAGGCCGGCGCTCCGTCTGATCGCGTACGTTGATGGTGCCGCTGAGAAGGCGGCCGAGAAGTTTAAATCTGGAAGGGAAAGTTGACCTATAAAGAGGAAAAAGTCATCGGGGCACGTAAACCATCCTCACTAGTCAGCTATAAGGTACAATACCAGTCTTCCAATACACTTTGCAAGAGCTTGCATATATTTTGGAGACAGAAAAAGAATGCCGTTTTTTATGCGTGCCAAAATGAAACGATTCCTGCGGCGACGACGACGACGGGTCCCAGACACAGATCAGGATACTATACCTGATGACCTGTCGAGAAAAACTTTCCCTACCGGCATCAAACCGCTCTGTAGCCCAGAGAACGTGACAATAGAGTGAGTGCTCTTTTATATTTGAAAGCAACTCTAATATTTCTCGTCTAGCATCGTCTTCGTTCACGGCCTGACTGGTGATCGCGACGCGACATGGACTGCCCGAGACGCGACCGAACCCTGGCCCAAAAAGCCTCCTCCCGTCCATACTTCCGACAGCCCGTGTCCTTACATTTGGCTATGATGCATATGTTGTTAACTGGCGAGGTGTAGTGTCGCAGAGTCTTATCGCTAACCACGCGTGGAATCTGTTGACATCTCTTTCATCGTATCGAGATAACGACGGCACTGTAGGGCATCCAGGTCTACCAATATCATCGCTTATTAACATGCACAGAATGAACGACCCGTAATTTTTGTCTGCCATAGCTTGGGGGGACTGGTCTGCGAGGATGTACGGTACCGCTTTTAGTTCTAAGGACTACGCTAATGTTGGTGACAGGCCTTGTTTAAATCGAGGCAACGATCAGAGCATCGTCTCCAAAATATTGCTCGTTGTACCCGCGGTATTATATTTCTAGGCACACCACACCATGGAGCTGGCCTTGCCAAATGGGCCGAGGTCGTGTCTAAATCTATCGGCCTCATCAAGCAAACAAATTCCGACATCGTGGATGTCCTCAAACGCGATTCTGAGGTGCTTGCGCGGATTCAAGACGGCTTTCACACGATGATCAAAGCGCGCAGTGTAGCAGAACCGCCTCCGATCGAGGTTACTTGCTTCTATGAGGAGTTGCCAGTGCTGGGTATTGGTTTCGTAGGTCAACAAATCCATTCTACTCCTCAAATACTAATGTCTAGACAATAGGTTGTGCCACAAGATTCGGCCATTCTGCCAGGTTATGTCCCCATCGGTATTCACAGCAACCATATGAATATGGCTAGGTTCACCAACGTCGAAGACCCCGGTTTCATGGCTGTTTGTGGAGAGCTGCGTCGGTGGATTCGAGATGCCCAAGGAAACACGAGACGCCACGCGAACTCACCACTGGATGAGCAACCTGGTGTTGCCAACCAGTACGGCGACAATAGTCGTCAGTATACCCTATTGGGGAGCGGCACACAGAAAAATACGGAAGGCCATTATTTTAAGGCGAAAGGGGATCAGAATTTTGGTATGATCCCACCTAAGGAGTCTACAGACACCAAGGTGGCATAGGAGACTAGGCGAAAATCCAGGTTGAGAGTTGGACTTTACTCGAAGTCGAATATAGATTTCACTACATTCACTTACGAGTTTATGTTGGAGCAACCTGTGCGGCAAACCCAAATCTGTATATCTAAACCCTACATCTGCAACAATACGATAAAGATAATAAATTAGTTGAGATGCATCCGTCCTCCTAAGTGCTAGGTGAGTCCATATAGGCTATCTTAATGATTGTATATCCTTCCCTACCTAGCTAGAATAGTTCCTGTTATATATTGGTACACGCGACAACTCATAATCGAGGAGCACACCTCCAAAACCTTCTGCCACGATACTTAAAACCGGCGGTTGAGCTTCCGTAAGCCTATGACACTCAACCTACAGCTCTGTCACAATTCCATCGCATCTTTGTGTTGCCTTGGTCATAGTTTATAGTAGCTCTCCTGTGTTCGTTCGTGATCGGCGACCCTGTATTGCAACGTCTAGGGATCGAAAGTTGCCTTGAATTCTATCAAGATTCCGCTTAATATTTGGGAAATTGGTGCCCTGGTCCTTGTATATAGTTTAATAATTCACCAAAGACTGGGTGACTTGGATGCCAAGTGAGAGTAGCCCCGCAATCCCTGATGCGATCGGCAGCGGATCAGCAATAGTGAACGGTGGTAGACACTTGGGGTAGGAACCGTAGAATTTGAGACGTCAGCAGGAAGAGAAGTTGGTTTAGATTCCAGAGGCGAGCTCCAGACTTCCCGAGCGAGACACAACACTGGTTTGTTGGCTACTAAAGCTGCGCGACATGCTGTAGCAGCATTATTCATTTTCAACAAGACTTTCCCGAGCCCAGTTAAATTCCCTGACACTTGAGTCAGGTTGACCCGAGGGCGTCGTAGATAGACTGCCATTCAGAAGAAGCGGCAACAAGACGCGATTGGCTTGGCTTATTTTCGGAAATCTGAGCTTCTTCCAGAATCGAGGTTAAGTTTTTCGGATATCAGACTCGACACTCGCTTACCGCCATCAAAGCTCCTCACCGATGGGGCCAAGGATTTTGCTGCGCAATCACCTCCCAGCCTCCCCTATCCTTCGCAGATAAACAGGATTATGCCCAGCGTGATCGACACTGTAGACGCCCATCCCTTGAATCGAATCACTTTCTTTTCGTCGCAATTGCCAACGTCGGAAAAAACATGCGATGCCTCGCCGAGGTTAAAAACCAAAATCATGGTGCGGGTCTCGGATCCACCATATCTAAGACAAAACACATTCCAGAACCTGTTCAACCCCCTAGCGCACCCTTATCAACCCGATTAATTGTACGGAGTAACGCGGTGTGCACAGTGCCTGTGCGATACCATTTTTGCAATAGGATCTGCATCCTTTCAGGGACGCCGTGCTAGCGATCGATTTGGAACGGGGTTCCGTCTACGGCCTGTGATTGGACAAATCGCGGGATCGTGAGGAGACTCCAAGGTTTTAATTTCCCTGAATTTCTCTTATCGGGGACCCTGCTTTGAGAAATGCCGTGGCGATCTTCACGGGGTATCCCGCAGCGTGGTTGCCGTTGTCCCGGCAAATGACGAACGTTGCAAAGGAGGACTTCCGCTTTTGGATCCTGGGTTAACCATCCGTCACACGGGCAAACGATCCGACGTCACCTTTCGAATTCGACCGAGGACGGCGCTGTTGGATCATGACCCAGTCTCTCTGTATAGCCTTGGCAGGCGGGGTTCAAGGATGGTGCATCCTTGGCGATGCTAGGTACACAGGCCCAGCACTTTAATCCCATGCACAGTAATACCATTGATGGGTTGAACGTTCCGTAGCAGTCGAGGGCCCCGGACTGGCTTGCTTTCCGACAGCTGTGAATGAACGGTAACCTTAAAAAACCACTGTGGGGAATGAACCCCCCTTGGTCGGAGCGAAGCGATCGGGCTCAACCTAGACACTTAGACCCCTTTGCTACGAGAAGAAAGTCTATGTGGACACCATGGTAATATTGAAGCGACGCTAATTATGCCTTGATCATTCATACATGTACGGGAATTAAGTAACAGAAAATATGTACAGATGCCCAGACGCTCACGACTTCTCGATATCTATGCCCAATTCGGGAACCCAGAAGGTGACGTTGGCATCCGAGTAGAATGCTTCGCTACCGAAACTGAAAATTCCCAGGTAGTCTTCACTCGAGGGGTACAGGTCGCCCGGGAGGGAGTAAAGATCGGTGATCAGCTGATAAATGTCACCCACGAAGCGCTCCGTTGGTTCGGTCGCTTTCCACGTGAAGACATTCTGCCCCGTCGCCTTGTTTGTTCCAGCGTAGAGTTCACTGGAAAAGAAATTAGTGAAAGCTTGTAGAAACGAAAGGGCAAAATACTCACAATGACGTGCCGTTCAATTCTCTACTTGTGACCTGGGAACCGATGGGGTCGGTTGAAGTACCGTAATTGGCAAACCAGATCATGACTTCGTACTTGGCAGTAGTACTGTTCTGGGCGATGGTCTGATCGCTGTCGAAGAACATATCCACGGCGACGTTGGCGTTGAGGGTTTGGGCGGTCAATTCGGATTCGATCGTGGTCTCCGCGGGGGTGTTGCCCACGCCGTAGGTCCAGTGCAGATCGAGGTTGAGGGAGGACATTTTGCCCAATTCCACTGGCAGGACACCGTCCACCATGATATTAGGGAAGGCATGCACGGGCTGAGTCTCCGGGCCGGGTTTGTATTGCCAGGTGACGGAGAACTGAGGAGCGGTGTATTTGGACGGATAGGTTTCGTTGTTATTCGTGGTGATCTAGGCTGAGTGTTAAGAGGCGACCGATGAGATAGCAATGGAAGCGCTTACGTTCATGCACAATGCGCCCTCCGATGAAGATGTCACACCCCATTGATTGGGGTTCACTGTGGATCAAGTCAGTTTCAGATCGAGGTCTCACGGTGGCAGGTAAAAAAGAAAAAAACTCACATGTGTATAGTTGGCCGTCAGAGGGCGGCGAGATACCGTATGAGTTCTGGCAGTACATGGAGTTGGTGACCCCGTTGTTCACGGTGTGTCCGCTGTCGCCCGAGCCACCTCCGGTACTTCCTCCCCCTCCGGTCGATCCCCCATTCCCATCGCTGCCATCGCCGGTGAACAGCGGGGGCTGGCCGGTTGCCGAACGGTGAGCGTCGATGCCGAATAGAGCACCCAGGCTGCCTCCGATCGGAATGACCAGCAGACTGGCGTTGACGAGTAATTTGAGCGCCATGGTGTGGTGATGTGAAAGGAGTGTAGAACTGAAAAAGCGGACAGCGATCGGACATCACGCAGACCCGAAAAGAAGAAGAGTGATCGGGTTGACCGAAAGGGGTTTAGCGGCAGGTACTAAAGCGGGAGCGTGGGTTTTGGTACCTGAGCACGGCACATCAGTGGCCGATAGCCGGGGCCCGGTGGAGATAACGAAGCGCCACAACGCTTTTCTTCTTTCCCCCTGCGTTGCACTGCCAAGTGGAGAGGTTGGAACGCGACCAGTCACGTCGGCCTTGCCTACCTTTTCTTGACCGATCCGCCTTAGTGCCGGAAATCCTGTAGTCACCCCGACCAAGGGAACCCTATCATTTGGTTTCACGCTTTTTGCGTCCGTAGTAACTTCCGGTAGTGGGCCGTGCACAGATCCGAGGTTCCCAGGTACACACCGTCGCAGTTCCACTCGCCACACGCTTTTTGATTCTAGCCTGTACTATGCATCATGACGCAAACGGAGGGCGCAGTCTAGCCCTCGGTGGAGAGGCCCGAAATTTCTATTAATATGCTTGGCCAAACGCCATTCGAGAACAATCGCTGTATCACCTCCGACGAGCCAAGTCCGCTCAGGGTTTTACCGATTGGCCCATAACACTAAACCAGAAAAAATCCAGATCGGCCTCTACCTTTTGATAAGGATGGGCACGCGCAGTGGCTAAGCCCTCCCTCCCGCCTCTTCTTCGCTTCCTTGCTCTTTCATCCTAGCTTATCGAGGGCCTGTACACTCGTTTGTCTTGCTACTGGTGATCGGGAGGCTATTCACGTTGCCTGTTCAACCTTGGATGATCGTCTCCTCTTGATCTTATTTATTTTCCTCCCTACCCTCCCGTCAACTCCGCTCGCTACCTTATCTCCATCATGAACGGGCACTACGGGCCTTATGGGCAGGCTCCCTACGGCTACGGCGCCCACGAGGATCCGGAAGAGATGGTGGAATTGAACGCGGCTCACCCCGCGTATCGCAATCCGAATGGCAGCTTCGACTTCCAATTCAATGATATGCCCTCGCCCGGTCTGGCCTCTCCCCGGCCCGTGATCCCGTATCGCGCGGGCCATATGGCGCATGAGGACTACAACTCCCCGTATAGTTCCCCCAACCCGGGCTGGCTTCAACCGACCCCTCGCTCATCCACCGGCCCTGATTCCTTCTCGTATGGAGCAACTCCGTACGATTCCCGCTCGGCTTCTCCGACTCTGGTAAGATAGAACCGTTTCTTTTCATTTCCGTCAATCCTCCAAATAACCAACGACCCTTTTGTCTCACAGTATCATAATTCTCAGGTCGGGCAAAGTCACCAGTCTCTCACACACCTCGTGGATTCACCTTCTTCTCCGGGTCTCTCCAAGGAGTGGGTCAAGTCGGGGTCGATCGCTCGCATTAATGATCGCGACGACGCCGAGATCTGGAAGGGCTGGAAACGCGTGCTCTTCGCCTTCACCCCGTTCCTCACTTTCACCAACACCGCTGTATACTTTTTCTACCTGGGTCTGCGTATCTACTGTATCATTTCCGCACAGAATGCCGCCGGTGTGAGCTATGCCGGTGCTTGGGTCTTCGTCTCGATCGAGTTCGCTGTCGCGATTCCGTCCCTCATGCACAATTGCTGGACCATGATGGCGCTTAAGAAGCGAGGCAGGCCCAGGCTCCGTCTGACCGGAAACGACTGTCCCACCGTGGATGTCTTCATCACCTGCTGCGGTGAAGATGACGAAGTCGTTCTTGACACGGCTCGTGGTGCACTCGATCAGGACTACCCGGGTGACAGGTTCAGAGTCATTATCCTCGATGACGGCAAGTCGGCTACGTTGGAAGAGTGCGTCAACCAGATGTCCGTCAATCACCCCAATTTGTTCTATATGGCCCGCGAGAAAATTCCCGGCAAACCCCACCACTTCAAAGCTGGCAATCTCAACTACGGTCTCGACGCGGTGCACTATCTGCCCGGGGGCGCCGGCCAGTTCATGGCTGCCCTGGACGCCGATATGGTAAGATCCACTTCACATTCGGATCCCCTGCAGCCAATTTCCCTGCAGCCACGACTCGACGTCTTGTGTCTCATGCTAACTTCCCACAGATCCCGGAGCAGGAATGGCTGCGTGCGATCCTCCCCCACCTATTGGTGGACCCGAAGATGGCCCTTGCATGCCCTCCGCAACTTTTCTACAATACCCCTGACTCCGACCCGCTGGCCCAGAGTCTGGACTTTTTCGTGCATGTGATCGAGCCGATCAAGGATGCCATGCATGTTGCTTGGTGTACCGGTTCCGGATACGTCGTGCGGCGTGAGGCTCTCGATGAGATTGGGAACTTCCCTCTGGGCTCTTTGGCTGAGGATGTCGCGACTTCGACTCTCATGCTCGGAAAGGGCTGGAAGACGGCGTATATTCACGAGCCTCTGCAATTTGGTACTGTGCCCGATGACTTTGGCAGTCACTTGAAGCAGCGTACCCGTTGGGCCATTGGTACAGTGGACACTGCCTTCAAGCTCAAGTTCTGTCTTTGGGGCGATGCCGTCAAACAGATGACCTTCGCACAGCGCTTTTCGGGTTTCCTGTACGCGACTCTAAGTCTGTACACCCTGCTCCTCACGGCTTCCCTGTTTGCCATCCCCATCATTCTCCTCTGGGGTAAGCAGCTTGTGGCCTACGCGAACCAGGAGCAACTGCACTGGCTCATTTGGGCGTGCTTCGCGACGACCATCGTCAACCGTCTCTGCGAGTTCACGCTTTTCATCCCGGCTGGCTACCACACCGGCCAGCGAGGCTCTCGCTACCAGCTCTGGATGTCGCCGTATATCGCGCTTTGCATCGTTCGCTCCTTCATTCTGCCTCGCTGGCTCGGTGGCCAGACTCAGGCCTTCAAGCCTACCGGCTCCCTCAGCTCCGCCCTGAACGAGCGTGACCCGAAGCAGCGCAAGAACCTCTTCGTCCGCCTGCGCGTCATCCTGTTCAACTACATGGCGTTCTTCCACCTGGCCTTCGTCTACGTGACCCTGGTCGCAGTGGTGATCACAACTTACAAATGTTTCGCGACACAAACCACCTTCAAGGGCATCGTCGTCTGCATGATAACCCACGCATTCTGGCCTCCGCTCACCTTCCTCTTCCTTTGCACCTCGCTCTGGACTCCCGTCTCCTACGCTATCGATCCCCCCTCGGTCCCCGACCGCGAGGACTTGCTGAAGCGGGATCCGAAGACCGCGATCGCGCACCCCACCAAGAAGAGTAAGAAGATTGCCTTCGGTGGCCAGGCTGCGTGGTTCGAGTTGGAGTATACGGTTGCCACCACGGCGACGGTTCTAATCTTTGCGTACTCTTTCTTTTTCTAATATCATATCTATGTACATTATGCATTATGAGTTCATACGGCGTCTACGCGCTTCGGAGGACTTTTTGGTCCCGACAATCTTACGAGGCAACATTTGGGGGACATTTTGAATATGAATTATCTATTTACTGTTCGTACATTATTTCTCCGTCTTTTGCTTCTTCCTGGGTCTGGAGTCATCAATCCCAAATGCCTCCTTCCAAGACCCATCGAGCACCTGTCTATCATCCCCATGCAGGCCAATGCCATATGCATTCTTCATAGCATCCATGCAGAAGGTGCGTCTCTGGTCAAAGTCAAACATAGGCTTCGGATACGTCTGTTCCTCGCCTTGTTCTTTCGTCTTCGTAACGGACTCACCGCTTCCATCCCCAGTGACCCTACATCCCCACTTCCTCTGATCGGCAATAGGCGCTTTCCATGGCTCGTAGATATACTTTTTGTCAAACTTGGCAAGCTCAGGGCAATACTTCCTCACGAACTTGCCCTCTGGATCCCACTTTTTGCCGAACGAAGTTGGCGAGTAGCAGCGATAGTACTGGTTATAGAAGGCTGTACAAGAGAGCCACATCCAGTTTCCAATGTTGCAGGCCGTTTCATCTAAATCATGTTAACTAACGACTCCAAAACCGGTAAAGGGAAGCTCACGATCAATCAGCAATTCCTCAAAGACTTCAGCCCCCCGTTCCCAGCTCACGTAGCACCCACCACGAGTCAGGAAGCAAGCTACACTGTGTCGTCCAAGATGGTGGATCCATCCCTCCCGTTTCAATTGCCGCATCAAGGCGTCGATCCATGGGAATCCCGTTCGGCCTTCTCTCCAGCGCTGGAACCATTCTTCTGCTTCAGGAGAATCCACATGGTATGGTCGAGCATCTGGTCCCTCCTTTTCGAGCTCTTCGGGTGTTTTAGACTGCAGATGCCAGTCGATGAATCGGACAATCTTATTCCCGTACGTCTGCTGGAACTTGTATCCGACCGCAGCCTGCGCGGCGAAGTACATGTCGCGGAAGAGTAGTTGGCCCGGCAGGTTTGTTGGAATGGGCGCGTTCTGCTTCTTCTCTTTCTTTCGCTTATCGAAGACATCCTGGACATCCCAAAAGAACTTCCGCACGGATAAAGAGCCAAAGTGCAGATGCGGAGAGAGCAGTGTCGTAGACTGGGGCTCGAAGGCTGCCGGCGAAGTGTTGGGCTTCTCAAATGTGCCGACGTATTCCTCATCTTTGATGTAATTACCCAGGACTCTCAACGCGACTGACTCTCCGCCTCGATGAGGGCCCTCGACTTGAGACGGACTGATCCCAATCTCTTCCAGCGTCGGAACCCCGAAATCACCCTTTGGCCCCATCAACTGGCCATACTGCTTATCCTCCGCCGTTCGATGATCAGCATTCACATCCACCTCAACCTCAACACCCCCAAACTCAGTGCCACTCAAATCCATCCTCTCCTCCTCCCACGGATCGGGAATCCCCTTGGGAGAATCCAACGGCTTCGCAGGCCTCCCACCATTAATTTTATCCGCCGCCTTTTCAACCTGACTCATACTCATAACCGGCTTGCCCTGATTCTTCCCAACCAACACATCCGAATCAAAAAGCGTCCGTCCCATCTCCACAATAACCTCAATCCCCGCCTCCTCCGCCAGTTTTACAACCACCTCATCCCGTTCCCGCGCATACGCATCCGAGTCCTTTTCAAAAACCAAATGCGTAATTCCCCACTGTTTCCACAGTTTCGGCAGAACGGTTTGCGGGGCTTCGCGGACAACCCATAGTTTCTGTTTTGGATTGAGCGCCGTGTAGGACTTGGAGAGATCGGATTGACAGTCGAGCAGGAAGCGCCAGCGGTTTGGGCCTACGCGGGAGCGGTAGACGTAATGGGGATCCCAGGTCCATACTGGGATGAACGTTGAGGGGTTGAGGGATAGGGCGGCATGGAGGGCAGGACTGTCGTGGAGGCGGAGATCTGTTCGGTGCCAGTATAGGACGATGGGTTTGGAGGGTTTCATGGCTATGCTGTTGGCATTGGCATTGGCATTAGTGTTGTTTGTGAATGGTTGTGCGACGGAGCGGTGGTTGCTCGAGAACAATTTGTGGAGTGAGAGGAGAGATATTTGAGGTGGATGTGAGGTGTTTGAAGGACTTTCGACATTCTAGATCGAACTGTAGATCCTTGCAGATCGAGATCTAGGATTTGCATGACGTCAAGCTTCATCGATCGCAGGATTTCTTGACCACAATTATAATCCATGGATACGGCTTGCTTTGCCGAACTCTATTTTAGTTTATTTCGCTCGATTGCAATTACAGTTTCTACGTATCACCTATGGTCGAAGATACGCTCAATTCATCGATCTGACCAAAAGGAAACAGAGGGTCGGTCTTCTCATCGAGCCAACGGTATGCAACGCACGAACCCTCTGTACAATTTGCATGAATACCTACACTCGGAAACTGCCGTTGGTGTTTACTAAACATAACCAGGTGCACTTAAAGTTGCATGAAGCGTATCTGTATCTAAATGGACTTGCCATTTATCTAACTTCGATTCGACTCTAGTTAGATAAATACACTTGAAGCTCAGTAGGTGATATGAGATCACACAATGCCCCGTAAATGAGTGCTCACACTCACAGCCCGCAGTGAAATGAAATGGCATATTGGCGCGAAGCATAGGCAGTACCTACAAGGCCTCAATCCGTTGCAGAGCAGTGTTAGGCTCCAACCTATGTTGGAATTCGTGGTTGATGGAAGTATTGCGCACTATTTCATTCTTGTCCACCCGAAATGTGGCAGGCACTGGAACCTCCAGGGTATCATTACCGTACCGCTGGTTCCACTCGACCCTGAATTTCTCAACGACAGTTCTCATTTCTTTGGATTGAGGGAACGGGATGCGGATTTGCTTCGCCAGTTGATTATCAACACCGGAACGCATATATGGCAGACAGTTCTGCGTCGAGGGCCATCTTCTAGAGCGGTTATATACTATGACGTCTGGCCTGGGTATTGTAAATTTCATCTTCCCTTTAGAGCACCTCTTCTCGGCCCTTATCAGTCTCCCCCTATATCATAACTTGGGGCACTAAGTCATGAGTAGATGTAGATAGCTTGGATGGCAGACTCTAGAGTATACAAATTTGCTGTAGCCCCAAAGCACACAATGAGGGCACAGACGACGATTGGGTACGCCGCAGCATTTAAAAAGTCATCTGTAAGCTCGTAGAAGCAGATAATAAGATGAGACTAGACCACATAAAGTAATATAATCCCACATGCCTCCAGCATAGCGGTGTGTATCTTGACTGTGGTGTACAGTGAGATCTGCAGATGCTCAGCGTTATTGCTTTGAGGGAGATGGATAGCGAGATGTATACACAACGCAAGTATGGCAGTTTCGGCATTAGGCTCCATCCACAGCTAAGTCCTTGACTGACGTAAAGAAATGATCCTCTGATATGACAGGCATCTAGAGATACACGCTATCGAAGTGCAAAGTCGCACTCCGCCGTATGACGGACAATTCACTAATGAATTTCCACGTGTCTACTGCGATATAAAGATTCACAAAGGATATCCGTAATTGAAAATGTCGAAATGGATCTAAGCCGTGAAATTCTGGAAGCGAATTGTGTAGGACAGAATGAAGTGGAGGAGATCCATGCGCCTGGGGGTGCTGCATTCCGCATAGGCTCCTGTGTTGTTGCAACAAGCCAGGATCCCATTCCCGTGTAGATGTTGCTATTATCGTCATCATCGTCTATGTCTTCACCGACAGCACTTGTATGGGTATCACACTCTAGGTTCGCGATTCGTCATCGAAGGCGACGTACGTCTCGCATGTGTAGAGATTCGGTGGAATAAACGCGACGACTGGCGCTGAGAGATCGCAAGATATCGGTTGAACCCCGACAACAAGTTTCACACCTCTCCGAGTCCGAAGAATCACGAACCAGTGACACGGTGAACAGCCCAACAAATTCTTGTCACATTTACAGGGGTTGGCTCATCAGGTCATCAGATCGCGCCCTGACTGACGATCTGATGAGCCAACCCCCTGTAAAGAGTAGGGTATGTAGGCCATCATGTCATCAGGTCAGGGCGCGACCTGATGACCTGGTGGCCTACATACTCCGCATTTACGTTTGTTCTATCTACGGGCCACATAAACCTGCAACGGAAATTGCGCCGTACTCACCTGACGCCTGTTATCCATGGCTGATGGAATATTGATAACGGGTATAATCTTTTTATCTTCCCTTTTTCCCCTTTTTGCTAATGCATTTGGAAGGGACCCAGGCAGGTCAAATAATAAGCGGGGTTAAAAGTTAGTCCTAATGAAACACGTCATTGATACCAACTCGGCCTAAACTCATGTTACTGTACGTGGAACCAAACCCGAGAACAGAATGTTAAAGTTCAAATTCGGAAAACGGGAGCGATTTAGGCAAACGCTCCACCCATTCATCATCATTATTCATCAAGCCATTAACGGAGTAAAGAATAACTACCCATAATCGAATGTGATTACGAATATAGCTTCCGCGAACATTTGTTTGCCACGTATGTAACTTGTATCTGTCTACCCATGTCCTAAAGAAGCAAATCCTCTTCGTTGCTTACTCTGTTCGTATTGGCCGGATTCCAACTGGCGATTATAAATTTGCCGAAGATCCCTACCAGCTATTGTCCTGTAAATGATCTTTCAAGGCTGTCAAAGTAAGTCCTCTACGACCACCTTGAATAGGAGAGATCCCTCACAGGGCTGGATCATTGGAATTATGTGAACATTCTGACATGTTGTTCCGAAGATAATCTGAAAATAAACTGTTATGATGACTGGCAAAGACGAGATTTATCCTCTTGCCAGAGATCAGAACGAATCCAGTCGGTGCGACATGTCGGTGTCGAATAGAGATCTCCATTGGCTAATTGTTTCAGCTTGAATAAACAACATGCTATCATCACGGAGCTTTTTGGAGGCCCGATCGACAAGACTGTTCCATTGAACGAAGTGTGTTCAATAGCTGATGTTGCCACAGGAACCGGGTAAGAAGATATATATACCCTGTCGCTGTTTTCTATTCTGAAAGTCTTGGACTAAATTAGACCTCAATCTTCAGGATCTGGATAGAAGCCGCCCAACAAAAGCTCAAGGAGATACCGTGTGAACACTCGCGTCGTTACTATGGCTTCGATATCTCGGATGCCCAATTCCCGCCCCATTTGGACAATGCTACCTTTATTGTCCAGGATGTTCTAAAGCCTTTTCCAGCTCAGCATTTATCATGCTACGATTTTGTCCATGTCAGGCTTCTATGTGGAGCACTCAAAGAACAAGAGTATAATAACATTGCTGCTAATTTGATGAGTCTACTATGTAAGAGAATCTCCTCTAAGCAAAACTCCAAAAGACACCTCGAAACCTATCTAACACTTCACTCGATCTAGAACCTGGCGGCCATTTACAATGGATTGAAATAGATATAAGCTCACTCATTGAAGACCTGGAAGCTGGACCTGATCAAGTCAAATGCGAGAAGTTATTGGAGCCAGCCTATGATTTTATACGCATATTTGGATTAAGTAAAACTCCACAAAAAGCGGTCCGTAAAGCGTGCGGAGAAGTTGAATTTACCAATATTTCCAGCCACGCCTCTGGCATACTCCAGCACCCTCGCCTGAAAACGGAAATTCAACATTATCACTTGGAGACATTTTCATCTATGATGCCTCGCATGTTTGAGAAATTGCGACAAGTTCCCCATTCTACAGCCACAGATTTGGCGGCTCAATGGTTGAACGAGCTTCAAAATTTATTCAATGATGGCTGTTTGCTTGGTGGAACTTTCCACTGCGTGACTTGTCAAAAACCACTAGGCTTCGATGGAGGACTGTCCTAACGGGCTACAGAAATATACTTTTTGAAGGGATACGGAGTTTCAAGTTACCAAAAATTACTTAACTGATTTGAATATGGGCGGCCCTCCCGATAGCCACTTCGTTGTTGTCTCTTGATCCGAACATTAATCGCGAAGAATGGTGCAAAATCTTTTATTTAATATTAACAAATTGTCATCCGAATTTCATTAATGTTGGAAGAGTAGAGTTACTCGGTAAAAGAGTAGAGGAAAAGTTTAATCGATTTCATGCAACACTATTGTATTTGCGAGCCTTAGTCCGGTACCGGGTAGGCTCTAGATCAAACTTCACTCCGATGCTGATTTGAAGTTTAGCCTAGAACTTTGACATTAAATCCTCTATATAACTAGAGCATATACCATTCCTTTTTCATTTCTCGAGTTTTACGGTATGATAATGATATCTAGTGATTGACTTTCAATGTCTGCAATAAAGCAACTCGCAACAAATATACCCTTTCGGAAGAGACACACAGCAGACCTTCGGGTGAGAAACCATTTTTGACCGCATCCATAGCAAAATATTAAAATTCCGAAGGCTTAATAAACAACACTTGTTTTTGATGAAATCTCTCAGAGGGCCTATTCACAGCACCATTCCGAAAGACCATTTAAATGCCATTGCTGATATTGCAACCGAGACAGGGTGAGCATATATGTTGTCCAATTGTCTGTGGCGTGCTATTAATACCGTTCGAAATTTGGCTTTTCGAAATCCAGCAAATACTAGAGAACATCGGAAAACTTTGAACAACCGAGCTTCACAGATTCGATTTATCTGCTGCACAATAGACGGCGTCCATGGGTACGTTGAGTCTTGCTGCCAAATAAAGTCTTAGAATGATATTATCACGGATTGGGCGAACACTTGATAATCTCCACTCCAGTCTGGCCCTTGAATCATGTATCGAACGCACCGTCACTACTAGAGTAAAAATATATGAAAAATGGCTGAATATGTGAGTGAGCCACCCGCCACCAGTCCGAATCCGGAGCAAGGTCATACAAGGTCATATAAGGTCATATATTCCACAACGTTTAGGACAAATTACATTTCAAAAATTCTGCGTCATTTCATCATGCATACCCCTTGTCCTCTCACGCAGTTTCAATGTGAGCTGCACTGTGTTTTTCCAAAACCCGCTCTTCAAGACGGCGTTCCGAGCCAACGAACCCAGTCCGTGGGAGTGACTTCTCCACCCTCACTGGGTCAAATATAGACTTCGAGCGAATAAAGATCTCGTCAATCTCTTCGAGGGTGCGGCCTTTGGTTTCGGGGTAGAATACATAGAACGCCACAAAGGCCACGAAGCTGATGCAAGCATAGATAATGTAGTACCGGTATCCGATATTTGCGAGGGCGGTTGGAGAGGCCTCGGCAATGAGGAAGTTGAAAAGCCAGTTCGTGCAGGCGCCAAGGGCAGCGACCTTGTGTCGGATAGACAGCGGGGCAATTTCTCCGGCGTACATGAAGGGCAGCAGGAACAGACCCACGGGGAAGAAGAACATTGCTACAAAGTAGAAGAAGATGGCAGCCTCACCAGCGTGTCTGTTGGAGAGATCGGACATGAGACCGGCCAGCGCAGCCTGTGCGATGCACATGCCTCCTGCACCAGCCATCAAAAGCTTTCTTCGGCCAACTTTATCGATCAAGATGACGGCAAGACCGGCACACATGAATTGCCAGATCTGAATACAGCCTGAGAAGATGCGAGACTCAACAGGGCTGTAATGAAGGTGATCCTCAAAGATCTGTGTCGAGTAAAAGGTGACAATGTTGACACCAGTCATCTGAGCCAAGAGCGCAACAAAAACAGCAAGACATGCACGATGGAAAAGTCGCTCGGGACCCATTGTGAACAAAGAGCTTGAGTTTTGCTTCTCCTCCTGATATGTGTCGCGAATCACGTCCAGCTCCTGGTTGATGACTTCGGAATCCTGCGGCATGTCTGCCAAGGCACTCAAAACTTCGCGGGCGTTCTCTGTACGGTCACGTTTGACAAGCCACCGGGGTGATTCTGGCAGGAACATGATCAAAGAAACGACGACAAGTGCAAAGAACGCTTGGAAAGCGATAGGAAATCGGAAGTTAACCTGGCTGTCCTTGACGAAGAAGAGGCCGAACTCGATCCATGTCGCCAGCACGATACCGCCGATAGCGAAGAATCCCTGCAGAAGCACCATTCGACCGCGTGTAGCTGCACTCGCGCACTCCGACACATACATCGGAGCGGTACCGGTAAACGCGCCAACACCAAGACCTATGTAGAAAATATTTCGTCAGCCAATATTTCCGTGATAAGACTTTTCTCAAGAAGTACCGGTGATGATGCGTGCCACAATCAACTGGGCTAGACTGAAGGGCGTGGCTTGTAGAATCACGCCGACGATGACGAAAATCCCCGCGGTAAACAGCATACGGCGTCGTCCGAGTACATCACCGATGAAAGCACATGAAAGAGCGCCAATCGCACATCCAATCTCATAAATAGCAACAATGGTCCCTGCAGGCAGTGAGTAAACATGGATGAACAGACATAACCCCAGCATTGATTCTCACCTTCGATTTGCGAGTCTTTCATTTGAGGGAAAACACCGAGGAACGTGGGCAGGGTGACCAAGCCATTCATCACGGCCTGATCGTATCCTATATCAACGTTTGCTGTGTTAGTCTACGACTCAACAAAAGGAACATGGCTATTGCGTACCCTGCAGCATGAAGGCAGTGGCTGCCACCAGACTGACGAGAACGCTCAGCCGCTGGCCTCTCAACCCAAAGTAGACCATCTTGCTAAGATCCTTTGGAAGCAGTCGGAACGTGTGGACTGACGGGAGAAATGGGCGGGGAGCACGGTGCTCATATACCCAAAAGTTAATTACGCTTTGCCTTCACGTCTCTTTCCCCCGCGCCGGGGCCCCAGATGGCCCGCTTTTCAAGATTCTCTCGCATCAACTCCAATGTGATTTCGGTGTGCTCAGGCCATAAGCAAATACAAAGCCCGAAAATCCCGCAAAGACCCTGAAATAGACCACGGTCGGGGAACGGGTAACCAGGTTTTATTATTGGGTAGCATGGCCGATAGCCACCGTGGGGGCGGCCGGCTTTGCGAATACAAGCCATACGGAACTGAGTTGGTGTGGCTTGGCAGTGCTTCATTCAAGCTAAGCAGCACACGCTCGGACGTTGGCCGGCGCCCCCAGAGTATAATCGAAAAAGGCTCGGATGAGAAATCGACGGCCCGTGTTCGTGAATATTCAAGTCGTATCAACTCAACCATGGACCGCCATGGGCCGGGGGTATGAGATATACTACGCATTTTTCTGAATAGGGGAGGGTTGTACAGTGGGGTTTCATAAGTTTGAAACCATAATTTTACCAGTGTTTTTGGTGTCACGCGCGCCAAGTCCGACAGCGTGTTTTGTGGCGCACTTAGCTTCTGGCTTCAGCCGTGGACGACAAAATCTCGGCCATCTGCCGACGATGTTGGGACCCAACCGAATTTTCGGGGGTTTTCTCGGGGGCTTGTTCGACTCGATTTCACAGCAATCGGGTTTCGCCGGCTGATCTCCGCAGTCTCCTTTTTACTGCTATTGTCATCTCTGGATAGCACGCAAAAAAAACTCTTAGGTTTCGCCATGTCAGTTACACAAAAACAATTTCCTTCATGCGATAACCATTCATGGGTGACAAGGAAAGTACACAAAGCAAACGGCGAGAGAAATATGGAGACAGGGTTGCCCAGGCTCTCATTACCACCCCCGTCCCCGCCGGGTTCTTCGGGGCGACATTGCCCAACTTGGAGCTAATGGCCCTCGAGGTGTGTCCAATAGCACCGGTAGTATTGACCCCAAACACGTAGCCCAATGACCGCAGTGGACCAAGGAGAGACCCGTTGAGAAATAACGGGGTCGCATCCACCATCCAATTGGTGTAACTAACTTTCTTGGTTGAATATATTTGCCCCGTACTCCCAGAGACCGAGCGCCAGCAGACCCCGTTTGCTGAGATGGTAAATCCAATAAAGTAATGGGTGTACACGGTGTGGTCACTGGTGCCAGTACGGTGCGTGAGATTTGCACCTCCGACGAGGATCGAGAACACACGGCCGGCCTCGGTATAGGTGTCAGTCTCGTTGAATGTGAGCAATATTAGAGTGTTATTCCAGGAATACTAGTCATTCATCAATCCCGATATGAACCCCACGCACCCACTTTGCACCATCAGAAAAGTTATTATCATGGTCGTCGTCGGTCGGCTAAAATTTCTTAGATGCAGGTCGAGTCTTCGATGCACACTCTATCCTCCAGAGGTATAGTTTTCCACTGCCGATCAACCTTGACTGTGTTGAGAAATGAAGGGATAGATGATCAGACGAAAAGAGGATGGACGGATAATTGATTGTAAATTCTGATAACCTTTTCTGCTCGTTCTCAGGGGAATATTTATATCCTTCTCCTGAGAACAGTTTTCTAAGGGAAATGCATACAAAAATGTTCTCCTACACCGCTACCCGGTGTCCATGAGAGAACCCCCTGAAAAGAAGCAAAGAAGGTGATATAGATGAGGAAACTCGCATATACGGGCGCCCAATTTCAATAACCTCATGGGCCTAGCTGACCAATCAGCAGCCATCGGGGCAGAGAGATGCCGACCGATATTGGCGCCTTAGGATGAGGGCTCCAATTTCCAACAGACTGGCCATTTGAAAAGCAGCCATTTGGATGAATCATTTTTGTGTTTGTCCAACTCTCCGTTCCAAGGGGTCTTAGATTCCCGAAACTTCGTAAAGAGGCTCTTCGACGAGGGCGAGGGCCTCAAGCCTAGCCAGTTATACGCTGTATTGGAAGGTTATACTTTCAAATCGAGACACAATCCAATATTATTTCCATAGCAGAGCCGAACAGAATATGGAAATCATGGTGCACGTAGTGAAACCACCTGGGGCCTGAAATGAAGCAAACAACGGGAATAGGCACGCATATAAGGATCACGGAAAATGGGAGGCGCAGCACCACGTGTTTTGAGCGACGAATGACCGTTGTCAGGTTCATCACTTTAATAGCAAATTAGGGCAGGTAAGGGAACGCAACTGACTGTTTTGAATACAGCCATGTTTGGGCGGCTCTAGAAGCCCGCCCACCACATAGTTCGCATTTAAAAATATCTGGTTTACATCGAGAAAGCATATCCGGGCGCGGTTTTTTAATCTAGTTAGTTTACTGCAGTCGCCCCCTGCTGATTTAACAGGGAATTACACTTGTCAGCGAAAGTAAGATATCAGGCCGATTCTTCTAAATCACAAGGTGCCACCCAGGGTACTACCAATTGCGCTCATCGTTTCGATGCCTCTCCCATCGTGACGGATTTTGATAAGTGCCTGGATATTCTTCACCAGGTCGACCAGGAAATTTAATTTTCGTGAAGGAGTTATGCTTGTCTTAAGGGGGAGCTTGATGCCTTGGATTCAACCGTGCTCCCAGAGTAAAGGACTTGTCGCCCTGTCGGCGGGGTTATGAACGGCCCCTATACCTTCTGTCAAAATATTGTTTTCAGTGATGGAACTTCATCATTGCTTCCATTCACTCGCGTTGGCGGTATATTTCCCAACTATATCAACGAGAAAATGGCCGTGGCAGTCGAGGCTATTGATTTCATCCAAAAACAAATGACTATACCCGTTCCGCAAATCCACGCGTAGCCTCTTGTTGAAGCCAATCCGCTTGGAATTACTCCGTTCAGGTTGGTGGGCTTTGTAAAGTGTTTTAATCCGAACGGAGTATTCTATAGAAGGGAAAGGGAGCGCAAGAAGACATTCCGGGTGATGTGGATGAGTGTTTCTGGACAGCTAGATGTATAAGTAGCTTAAGTCAGTCAAACTCACTTGAGCTACCTTAATATGAGCGAATGAAGTTGTCTAATGTAGCATAGAAATGCCTACTCATAGAACACAGTAAACGCCGACGAAGACACCACAACATACGAAACGAGGCGCTAGAACCCGGTTCGTATACTCCTCGCGGAACAAACCGAGCGGACCCGCCCGTCAGCATGGTCGAGCGGGGTCCGGAACTAAGTCCAAAAATATTTTCAAGATCCCGACCATGACTCCTCTCCCCACGACCGTCCCTCCTCTCCCAAATAAAGGCCTTCATTAATAAGAAAAAAAGGAGCGCAATGACCTTGGACGTGTTAATCATCGAACCCCCGCCGGACGGGCGGGGCACGTTGCGCATTTTCGCCATCATGATCGCCCTCTCTGTAAGAGCGCCCCACGAGACCTCACGGACAAGGTACTAAACTGGATCTAGTTGTCGATGTTTGTCGCAGCTTTGGATCAGACCATCATGGCGACGGCGATCCCCACTATCGCGGCCAAGCTGCACTCTGCTGCGGGGTATACTTGGATCGGCGGCGCTTATCTGCTTGCTAATGCGGCTGGTGGCTGTATTTGGGTGAAGCTTTCGGATATTTGGGGCCGCAAGCTTATTTTACTTATTGCGGTTGCGTGGTTCTTCCTTAGCTCGATTATCTGTGCCGTTGCGGTTAGTATGCAGATGTTGATCGCTGGCCGTGCGCTTCAGGGTGTTGCTGGTGGTGGCATTTTGCAACTTGTGACTATTGTCATTTCGGATTTGTTCAGCGTTCGGTAAGATCGGTCTCTTGCCTGTTATTGAACATTGCTGATGAAATTCCAGACACCGCAGCTTGTATCTCGGCTTGATGGAGTTCATGTGGGCTCTCGCTGGCGGCATCGGCCCGCTACTTGGCGGTGCTTTCTCCCAGTACGTCTCCTGGAGGTGGACATACTGGATCAACCTGCCAGTGTCAGGAATTGCCTTCCTTCTTCTTTTATTCCTCCTGGATGTACACAACCCAAAGACCAAGATGGCGGAAGGGATTCGGGCTATCGATTGGTTCGGCAGCTTCTCCGTCCTGGGCTTGACCCTGATGCTCCTTCTTGGACTCGACTTTGGCGGAGAGACATTTGCGTGGAGCTCTCCGACAGTGATTTGCTTGATCGTTTTCGGATCGCTCTGCTCCCTGCTTTTCATCTATAGCGAGAAGCACCTTGCAAAGTACCCGCTGATGCCGCTGAACATCTTCGCTCGTCTGTCCAACATTGCCGCCCTCGCTGTAGCCTTTGCGCATGGCTTTGTAAGCTTCCCTGGATCTGCATTTATATGAAATACTAACGGATGTCCAGGTCTTCATCGCTGGAGAGTACTATATCCCGCTGTATCTCCAATCTGTCAAAGAAGCCTCGCCTATGCGATCGGGAATCTTGATCCTCCCGCTCTCCATCGCCGAGGCAACCTCCGGCATCGTTACCGGGGCATTCATCCACAAAACAGGTCGTTACCTCGAACTAATCTGGATCGGCATGACTCTCATGGTTATCGGAAACGGCCTCTACATCCACCTGGATGTATCCTCATCCGTCGGTGAAATCCTCGGCTATCAAATCCTGAGCGGTATCGGTGCCGGGTTCCTGTTCCAAACGCCCATCATCGCTCTCCAAGCCATGGTCTCTCAGGAAGAAACAGCCACGGCGACCGCTACTCTGGGTTTCATTCGGAACATCGCCATTGCATCGTCAATCGTTATTGGCGGCGTGGTGTTCCAGAATAGCATGGGCAAAATGACGCCCAGTCTCCTAGCTACAGGCATGTCGGAGAGCTTGGCGGAGAAACTGACGGGTGATTCTGCGGCTGCGAATATTGAGTTTATTAGGGATATTAAGGATGCGACGCAGTTGCTTGCTGTTAAGCATGCTTTTGCGTGGAGTATGCGGAATATGTGGATTATGTATACGTGCATGGCGGGTGTGGGTGTTTTCTGTTCTGCATTCATTCTGAAGACGCGATTGAACAAGGAGCATGTTGAGACTCTCACTGGTCTCAAGAGTGAGAAGACTCCTGTTCTTGATGAGGTGCATGCTGTGCAGAATCTTCCTGCCACTGTATAGATTGGGGGTTGGTGTTCGCAAGAAATTCAATATATACCTCAGGTCCATATGTAATTATCGATCAAATATCCAGATTACTTCTCATATATACACCGCGCAAACAAAAGGTCTATTGACTCTGTGCAGGCAATGGCACCAAAGATTCAAAGAAAATAGAAGGATAGGGAAAAAGAAGACGAAAAATTGGAGAAATATACGGGACAAGGAATGAAGTAAAAGAAGGGGAAGAAAGGAGTGGAATGCTCACTGTGAAGAGCATCCCTCGCCAATAGTGCAAACGATGGGAAGATCAGCAACGCTGTTACCGATCCAAAGCTTGACACCTTCGCCGTTGACTGGCGCCTTCCAGTCCTGGACCTCTACATCCCAAACACTCAGGTCCTTGCGAGTAACAGTGAGAGTGAGAGTCTCGCTTTGCCCAGGTGCCAACTCCTTGGTCTTCTCAAACTGACGTAGCTGAAGTTGCGGGGTGTCAAGGCCCAAGCTAGACGGCAGCTCAACGTAAAGTTGCGCAACAGCCTTACCCCGCCGAGATCCAGTATTCTTCACCTCAATGTTGACGGAGAACGAGACGTCAAATAACGCCGGGTTTCCGCCCTGGCCGCCGCCAGCGCGCGCTCGGGGCTTGGGTGTTGTGGAGTAGCCATCGGGGTAGGGGTAGTCACCGGACGCGGTAATGGACTCCGGATTGTCCAGGTAAGGGTAGAGGTAGCGCCAGATGCGGGTGAACTTTGTGGATGACCAGGCGACCTCGGAAGCGGCAGGGATTGCATCGTTGTATACAGGGGTGGGTCCATTGGGAGGTGCTGCGGGAGGATAGGCGCTATCGAGAGCAGTCACCTGGGTCAAAGTTGGGCTGGAGATGTTGAAAGTAGTATATGACAGTCCGTGGCCAAAGGGATACCGCGGGGCGATGTTGGCCTTCATGAAGTAGCGGTAGTCCACGTACAATCCCTCGGTGAAAGTATCCTGGATTTGGCCAAATGGCTGGTTGATAAGGCCTACGCTAGCGGGATAGTCTGATTCACTGCGTGGGATCGTGTAAGGCATGTGGCCACTGGGACTATAGTCACCGAAAAGAACATCAGTAAGTGAGTCGCCCGCTTCTTGGCCGGGGAGGTGTGCCACAAGCACAGCCTTGACGGACTCGAGATTAATCCATTCCTCCATGATCACGGGACCAACAGTGTGGTAAACAACAACCACATTTGAGAATTTCTCTGCAGCGGCCTTGACGAGGTTGTCGCCATTGTGCCAGGCGTATAGACCAGCCACGGTGCGGTCTCCAGGGTTGCCTTCGACGGTAATGTAGTTCTCACCAGAGTCCGCGTTGATGAAAACAACAGCGATATCATTGGCGCCGGCAGTCACATCAGAGGGGAACGAGTCCGTAATGTAGAACTGAGCATTCTTAGTTATGTTCGCGATGGCTTCTTGGGGAGTGATGAGATAAGGAAGTCTCGAGGTTCCACTGCCCCATCCCATAGTCAGAACTCCCTTGTCGCATCCTTGATCAGAGCATGAGTTCAGGCCATCAGGGTTAGCACCTGCATCTGTGCCGAAGATCTTGAGGGAGTCATTGCGTCGAAGTGGAAGGATATCATCCTCGTTCTTCAGCAGGGTAATCGCCTCACGGGCGACAGCTCGCGCGGTGACGTTGTGGTTAGCCTGAACGTTAACAAACTGGTTGACAATACCACTGGGAGAAAATAAAGCACCGGGGTAGAGAGGGCCAGTCTTATCCAGGGTATTGGTCGAGAAGTTGGGCAGAGGGTGGTCTTTATCCTGGCCCATTTTGTACCACGCCGCCACAATTCGAGTAACCTGCACAACTAATTAGCATAATGTTAAGATTGGGTTGTGTCTCCTGCATACCATGTCATTAAGTCGGCCTACCGGAACACTGCCGTTCAGAACAGAACGAGACAGCTCGGAGGCCCAGTAGCTGTCTCCAAACAGAGGAACAGCACCGTCACCGGGCATAGCCATATCGAGACCAGCAAGCGCGGATGCCACACCGGCGTACTGGCCCAGCCAATCCGACATAACGAATCCCTGGAAGCCAAGCTCGTCCTTGAGAATTCCGTTAATGAGCTTGCTGTTCTGGCTTGCAGCAGAGCTATTGATCTAGAAGACGTTAACCACATGCATTTCAGTCATGGAGTCAATTGTCTCTCACAGAATTGTAGGCAGTCATCAAAGAGCCGACACCGGCACGGACACCCTCAGCAAAAGGCCACAAGTAGAGCTCATGCAGGGTACGGTCGTCGATATTCGACGAATAGCCCTTGGTAAGGACGGTGCTCATGCGATACATTTCCTGCTCATAGCCGATAAAGTGCTTAATGGTGGCAATTGTACCAGTGCTTTGCATGCCCTTGATCGTATACGCGGCTCCAAAGGCTTGCAGCGTGGGATCCGTTCCAAAGCCCTCCCAACCGCGACCTCCTCGAGGCTTTCGTCCAAGTGGACAAACCACGGGGCCTAGCTGTACATTGACGCCCTTACCTCGGGATTCCTCGCCCAGGGCTCGTCCCCGTGCATACATGAGATTCTTGTTGAACGTCGCTCCGACCGTGATACCGGCCGGAAATGCGGTATTATGGTCCGAATTCCGGATACCCAAGGGGGAATCTTGTAAACAGAGATTCGGGATGCCGAACCGCAGCGCACTGCCAGTTTGGCCGACACAGGGGCCCATGTAGAAACCCGTCCCGGTGGTCAGGTTGACCTTCTCTGCTAGTGTCATATTGCCAACTACCTGCTGCGCCTTTTCATAGGCCGCGGTCCAGTCAGACTCCCACCCGCTATGGGGTGTGGGATAGAACGGAGGGGAGTTATAGCCTTCTGCCGCGTCGCGTCGATTCAGTTCGACGGTATCAGGATCAGCATCTGGCATAGGAGACACTAGGACTGCCTGTGCGACAAGTGGCACGAGGGCCAAACGCGTCCAGGGAGCCATAGTCGGAATGGGGTTCAAGAGTCGGGTCACAGCAGATCAGATGCAAACATGCACTCGGCCTGTACTACTCGCGCAAGGAACGAGGTCTGTACCAAGTCGTTCATTTAAATGTCAATACCCCGAGACTTACCCCGAGACTTGGGCTTCAACTTCTAGAAAGGAAGAGGGGCATGACCGTCCACGTGCCATGCCAGGATGCCAGCGATCCCTGCTGCTGGAATGGATCGTCCATCAGGAGGTAAGCTCGCTTGCATAACCGAGCGGGTGTTTCACTGCCATAGGTGGAATTCGTTCTTGTATTTTTGGCCGCCAAGCAGGCGTTCCTGACTCTTCACGGCTACAATGTACGACGATCTCCGCTCCCGGAATATCATTCCCTTAAACAGCGGGCCCGTCAGGGGCTTCCATGCAGCACCGCACGGAAAATAAGAATAGCGTCGACGGGTCTATGGTTGACATCCGGCAGACGACCGAGGTATACCCGATCCCTACTCCATGTAGCACGAAAGCCTTTATGATCACGATCGACCAGCCCACGCATGTGACCTGTCGCGTGGAAATGTCGATTATCTTCGATTGCTCTGTTTTTACATGGGCTATTTGTGTACATTTTAGATCTTAGTGTATCGCAGGTAGGGCTTGACCTCGCGGACCTCGCCAAACTTCTTCTTCGCATCCGCGGTGGTGACCGAGGGGGCACGATCACATCGTCGCCGGCCTGCCAGTCGATCGGGGTGGTGACACCCTTCTTGTCGCCAGTCTGCAGAGAGTCGATGACGCGCAGCACCTCGGCAGAGTTGCGACCGGTCGACGCGGGGTACATCATGGTCAGACGGATCTTCTTGCTCGGGTCGATGACGAAGACGGAGCGGATGGTGAATGCGATGCCCTTCTTGTCAATGTTGTCTAGGTCCTGCTGGTCGACCATGTCGTACAGAAAGGCGACCCTACGGTCGGCATCGGCAATTATGGGGAACTGCAGGTCGGTCGAGGAGACTTCGTTGATGTCCTTGATCCATTCGTCGTGAGAGCCGAGGTCATTGGCGCTCTAGAAGAGAAGGTTGGGTCAGTTGGGGGCCAATCGCCTGGTGTGGGGACAACCGACCAGACCAATCATCTTGACACCGCGCTTCTCAAACTCGCCCTTCATCTTCGCAAAGGCACCCAGCTCGGTGGTGCAAACGGGAGTGAAATCGGCCGGGTGAGAGAAGAGGACGGTCCAGCTGTCGCCGATGAACTGGTGGAAGTCGATCTCGCCCTTGGTGGTCAGAGCCTTGAAGTTGGGAGCTATCGGGGGTGTTTAGCATGAGGTTCACGTGTATTCTAACTGCAGCCATACCGGTCGAGCCCAGACGCAGGCGTGGCTGCTCCTGGGCGGGCGCCGCAAAGAAACGGCGGAAAGCAGGCTGAGCCAGAGGCAGCTGGGCATTGAGACTGGCCCAGGGGGCAGCCTTCGGGGCAGCTCGAAAAGCACGGAAAGCCATCTTCGGGGCGATGATGGAAGCCATTGTAGATGTAAGTTGGATACTTTGCCCGTACAATCGCCCAACAGCTAAAGCGCCGTTACATCATTGCATTTCTCAACAATCACGCAATGGATCTAACCGGATCGGGCAATAAGTTCTGAGTGTTATCTTTTGTGGGTATTTATCGTGCACAGACTATCGCTTCGCATAGATCATTGCTTTTTATGCAAGGCTGTGACGAATCTGCACCAAGGACGGGAGTATGGGATGTCAAGTGGTTTCTGCATCGATCGTTGATCGCCGCTTGGTGAGAGTCATGTGACACGTTACCATTTCTGTAACCGGGGATCTCAGCAAATCTGGGACATACTGTCTTAACTTCGACAGATCCAAGGTTTGGGGTCTTGAAGTTGATTGAGTCTGGTGCTATTTTTGTTTAGTCAAACCTAAGAAGCCTGTGGCGGCTAATCACGCAGGGTCTCAGTTAGCGCAACTGCATGGCGTCCCGCTATTCGCGGCAAGCCGAATGCGTCGATAGATCGCATCATGTCCTAGTTTTGGTTTTTTTTTCTTCTTTGTGCTCGCATCAAAGGGACTGAAAACTGCCAGTGGTTCACGCAGTCTGTATGTGTTAGGAATAGAAACGCTGTCAGTTTCATCACTCTACCTCCCTAATAATAGAAAGTCGGGGACCAAGTCATAGAAAGTCGGGGGCCCAGTGGTAGAAGTGTACTTCCACAAAGTAAAAATACGCTTGGCATATGTAACTTCAGGTTACCACCAAGCCCCGAACTCGTGCCGCTCTCCGAATCACTCATTGGACCCTGCTCTAGATGGATTCGCTGGTTACTCTACTTGGCACAGCTGCTTTCGAGTATTAAATCGGTCAAATTGGCCGTCATCGCAACTTACCACGGGAGTTCCCCTTGAATCATATCCTTAAAAAGTTCGACACCCATTGCCATGGCCGAGCCCAGTGAAACCTGATTAGCTTTATGTATATTGAGATGTTGTGGATCTTCAGGACCCACAAATCCCCGACTCGCCTTGAGGATCTTCAGGGTTAGCTAGACCCCCGCCGATTCCCGAACTCGACGTTCACTACGACAAAGTAGTCGTGAACCCTCTTCACTTCGCCCCAAGTCCGGGCTTCTCTCTCTCATCACAGTTGGACCTGTGATTGTCACTCGCTTCTCTTCTGCTCATCGAGAAGACGGCACCCGCCGACATGGCTCGCTACTCTCATTACTTACTGGCACTGTTGTTCGCATTCGTTGTAACACTGTTTTGGTTATCATGGGGCCTGAAATCTTCCGTCCCGACATTGGGACTCACTTTCGATTCAGCATCGTGTGTCCTTAACGACAATGCCATCACGGCAAACCTTTCATTTCAACCTTTCATCTCCCCCGACGACATTGACGAAGCCTTCGCGGGCTCCGCAGCATATCGACTCCCCGCGATTAAAAGCAAAGAACAGCTGGAGTCAACTATATTCCCCACAAAGCTATGGCAAAAATCCGGCAATCACGGAATCGACGATGCGCGCCGTAACGACGCCAAGTCATGGCAGATTCAAACACCCGGCCTCCGACACGAAATCCTCACTGACGGCAGCGGAGACCAATACATGCGCGAACAATACGCCGACTACCCCGAACTCCTCAATCTATACCTCTCCCTACAAGTCCCAATCCTCAAAGCCGATTTCCTCCGTCAATTAATCCTCTTCAACGACGGTGGAATCTGGAGCGATCTCGACGTGACATGCCACGCACCGATCGACACCTGGATCCCAGAGCAATACCGAAACAAAACAAATCTCGTGGTCGGGCTTGAGTTCGACGGCTCCCAGTTTGCCAGCTGGACCGTCATGGCTAAGCCCAGGACCAGCCACGTTGCCAGTGTTCTTCGATATATCGTTTCCCAGCTCGAGAAGTCTGCAGTCGACTATAACACGACTATTTCCGGCCTCACGATGCAGACCATCAGCGATGTGGTGGACGTTACCGGGCCCCAGGCGATGACCAGGGGTATCATTCAGAGCCTGGAGAGGGAAACGGGTCTTCCGGTTGGCCGGCCTAACATTTCGAACCTTCATGAGCCTGTCTTGTTGCAGGATGTGCTCGTACTACCTAATGCGGCTTTTGCCGCTATGCAGGGTGGCTGGCCGACGGATAGAGGCCCGTATCTTGTCGAACATCACTACGCTGGTTCGTGGAAAAATGACAAGGGCGGCGAGGAGAAGGCAGAAGAAAAGGCTGAGGAGAAGGCCGAGGAGAAGGAGGAGGAGTTGGCATAGACTGAGAACGATTCAGCGCACTTTGTATAATTTCATGACGACGGCGTTGGTGATCATGTACTTTGGCGATGTATGGATATTTAGACATGTGTGGCCTTTTGATAATTCGTTCGTTCAATTTACGTTCAATCGTGCTACACTTACCTACTCACATTCCACTCTCTTTACTGCTAACCTGCACAATTCCTGGTGGTTATCAATTACCCCAGTTCGTGCCATCTTATATACCAGCAAAGCATATCGAGTACTGATCTCTGCTAGATTGTACCTGCTTAAGAGTGTTAACAGGATGCGCCGCACCGGAGTGATATTGAACAGGGGACCCTTTCAGACTTTGTTAACCAGGCTTAGAACCTTAAAATGTGATCCATTGTCCAGCAGTTTGCTCTAGCGCCCCGCGATCCCGGCATTCGCGTCGCCAATTGAAGACAGTTTTCTGTTTCGGACAGCCTACTGTCGGGGACGACTCGAAATCTGATCTTCAAATGTTCAAAGACGCCTCCGAGGTCACTGATAAATGCACCGATATAGATTGCAAAATTCATCAAACGCTATGGTTGTACCAGCAAAGCCGAAATCAAATCCGAGACTCCTCCAATCAATGCGTGTACTGTAGCCCAAACCATTTGTCCATCAAGAGTCCAGCGCCAATTCCGCCATTAAGTAGCCAATCACTTTTGAAACACGTCACCCAGACCGCTGTGCAACCGTAACCCCAAAATTAACCAACGGCAACGCATCCTCACAATGCCTCTCAAACTCCCTAATCAACACCTCAACCTTCACTTTGGCCTCCTGATCATTTCTCGCCTGTCCATTAACAACCATAGACGGTGGAACCATTGCACGCATAACATTAGCGACCCATTTCGAAGCTGTTTCATGAAGATGCTCTTTCCCCACAGTGGTGTACGTCTCACGACGCACGTTCTGGAACCGCGCTGCGGAGATTTCATCGTAAACGCGCTGGGGCGCAAACGGCCACAGACCGAGTGTGAGCATTGCGTCGATGGTCGTGTTGCGCATTTTTGTGATTACCGGGTTTTCAGGGATTTTGTTCGTGCAGAATGTTGTGTGGTCGACTTCTTCCCATTGGATCCAGCCCTCGGGTTCTAGGGAGGTAAGTATAAGGGAATGCGGGAGAATGAAGGGAGTAATTTACTTAGAAGGTCTCGTGCATTATTCAGTACTGAAGCGTAGTCGCCTTGTCGTAGGCCCGCCGTCAATAGCCGGATGTGGACTAAGTCGTAGCGGCCTTGGTGCTCTGGCGCGTAAGGCTTCAAGGCATCTTGGACACTTAATGGGATCTTTTGCCCCGTCGCTTGCGTTATTGTGTTCTCCGGTGGGAATTGAGCGTCCGAGACGTCGAAACCGTGAAAATATATCGAGGATGCATTGGGCAGCCGATTAGCGAGATCTGCAAGCCAGACTCTGAGTCTCGTATCAGTATATTCATACTTTGATTAACAGCACAGGCCTTTCCGAAGGCCTGCTTGAGTTGGGGCCGCGCCCGGGTGGATCGATAATGATACGTACCCGGTACCAGTGCCGATGTCCGCAACGGCAGTGATTTTCGCTTTAGGAATAGAGGGATGAATCAATTCACCACCGGAGACGGCAACCAAAAAACGATGTTGCTTATTGAGACTAGAGAGAAAAGGTTAGCCTTCTGGAAGCAGAGATGGCAAAAGTGGGCAAAAGTGGGCACGGCTGCAATTGGATCCCGGAGTGTCGGGTCGCCTGCAGGTCCCATAGCAGTGGAACAATGCGACTGGGATTTGGCATTTGACGGGATTTGACCCGAGTCGGAGCCACCGGCTGACTCTCGGAAACTGCGATAACGTTCAAGGAAAGACCTCGTGAGAGGTGGTGCTTATGTGCGGGGGATCGTGGGATGCGAACGTGGGATCGCCATGACGATGTCAGCATGGGAGTTGAACATACCGTTCGGTCTCGGCCTCGTCCCGTCCGAGAAGATAGATATTCTCGTCACAGTGGCTACTCATGGTTGCAGGGACAGGTGAAGTTCGAGAGTCGCGGGAGAAGGAAGGGATAGAGCTCGGAACCAGAAAACGGGATTTGCTCCGGGATGAGCTTGGGACACATCATTTTATACTTTCCTACGAATAGAGCATTTATTTCCGACGCCAGTGCAGTCTAGGAAGGAGTATGGACGTGTGGGCATATGGTCTTCCCTTATGCCATTTCCCTATGGAGCTGGAACTGTTCCCCGAACGTCCTCAACAGTGGGGGTCCCAAGAAGGAAGGTCAAGACCCCTCTTTCCCGAGGGCCAATTCTGCCGATATGACCAGTCTGATCTCTATCACGGCACCTACGTAGGGGCGACACAAGGACAAATGATAAAGGCGAGCTAGTGCCAGAATAACCGAGGGGAGTAAGCTGGGGCTGGAAGCTTCCCTCGGCTCACCGGCAGCAACGTCAACTCAAGATGAAACCACAATCCTTGGACACGCAGAGCCAAGCCTGGAAAAGAACAAACAAAAGTACGCCGATCCTCCCGATGGGTTCCAACGAATGAAAATGATCTCCATGCGGGGAATCGGGACAGTGGACAACTCAGACAATGACGGCCGCGGTGGGGAATAGGGGGCGAATCCGCTTCGGAGACTTTTGTCAATTTGCGTGAACTAGCTCACCGTCCTGGGCTACTATTCTTTGGGGATCGGCGACTGGTGAATAACCCAAATATCAGCATTTGATGTTGGTTTACCACTACGGAGTACCATACGCAGGATAGTTGCGAGCTCCCCGGTTCGGTAACACCCTCGTCAGATACAGCTCTACATGTTACCCATGTACAGCATGGCGCAAAGAAGCTTCATATGAAGACAAATGGGGCCCGGTACAGCAGACAACAGTTTCTGAGATGGATCATATGCAAAAGGTACCTAGCTATGCATGATAGAAAAGTATAATTTACACAACGAGAGGCACAAGAAAGAGCAACGAAATCCCAATGCCTCCAGACACCAACACTTCACGTCTTATCCACCAGGTTCGCAAATACAAATCGGAAGATTTCTCGACTCTTGTACAGATTCTCGACTCGCATCCGCTCGTTGTCCAGGTGTGCATTGTCGCTGGCCTGGCCACATGGCAAATTAGCTGCGGGTGCTGAAAACTCCTTTTCCAAGAACCGGATCGTCGGAATGGACCCGCCCTCACGGATGAAAATAGGTTTGACAGCCGAAGCTGACGATGACTTTGTTCCGGCCATGGGTCGGGCACTATCGAGCTGCAGGTCGGATTTTACCCGGACCGGTAGCGCGGCCGGTTCGTCAGATGTACCGGCTTTGGTGAGGGTTGAAGATGTTGGGATGGGAGCCGTTGACGGTGTGGATCGATTGCGCGTGCCCGCTTTCCCGGCCGAGGAGGTGGTTGTGGAGGAAATGACCCGATCGACGTGCGATGCGAGACTATCACTTGAGTCCTTGCGCAGAAGCCCTTGACCAGGTGCAGCCGGTTTCGATGCCGCGGGAGCACGACCCTTGGTGTCTGAAGGAAGGGCTGGGTACTGGTGCTTGGAGGTCTCCTGGTCCGGCGTCCATGCGGCCGTGATCGCTTGTGAGAGGGTTGCGAAAATTTGATTATCGGGATCTCCAAGCCACGCATCTGACTTGCCAGTTATTTCCACGGTCAGATCATTCTGTGACTCGAGCAGGTCAAATTGCTCTTGCGCGTACGCTGTCAGGTTTGCCGCAATCTCGTCTGCCTGCTGATCAGGCACAATACGGATGGAGAGGCTCGCCTTGGCTCGCCGCGCAATAGTCGTGGCTCCGCTCTTTCCTGGGACCTCCATCGAGTGGATGGTCAATGAAGGCTCGCGCCATCGGTACATCAAAGATTTGATCAGGGCCTGGCTATCGGAAATCTCTGGGTGATGGGGCAGTAGAACGTCGGCAATAGCCTCGAACCGTTTCTGTTCCGCATCTGAGAGAGGGCGAACGGCGTCATGGAAGCCCGGTAGGTTGATACGGCCCTTGCGTCCGACCATGGTCGACAAAAGCAGCGAAAGATCTTTGACCGGTTCGTCCAGTAACGCACTACCGTCGATACCGCTGTGTAGGTCGGGATAATCACTCGTCACGACCAAGTTGGCATGTACCACTCCACGGAGTCCGTACGTCAAACAAGGATTATAGTCATCGAGCCAGTAACTGTTGGCCAGCAGGATCCAGTCTACTGGACCGATCTCATCCTTGTACTCTCGCACCGTCTCATGGAATCCCTGAGATCCAGATTCTTCCTCGCCCTCAATCAAAAACACAACATTGCAGCGCAAGGACTTCGTGCGGGCAAGATCCGCGGCGGCATACAGTGAAGCTAGTATCGGACCTTTGTTATCGGAAACACCACGGCCGTAGAGGAACCCATTGATCGAAGTGAGTTGGTACGGATCGGACTTCCACTTGAGCTGGTTGGTATCAGCACCGACGACGTCGTAGTGGCCATAAAAGAGAATCGTCTTCTCAACCTCGTCGGGCGATGTAGCGTTGAATCTAGCATATACTATAGGGTTGGTATCCTGCCCCGTGGGCAAGAGTTTTGTCTTTGCACCAAGATAGTTGCAGTGCCGGCGCAGGAAAGCAGCTCCCTGATTGCATTCTCCAGAGAACTTGGGGCTTGCAGAGATAGTTTTGAATGAGACAAATTTAGCAAGGCTGTTGACCATTTCATCTGTCGGGATAGATTAGCGGATATCTTCGAATTCCGACGGGAAGGAAATACCATTGCTGATAGGGGGCAACTCGTCCTGTGTGAGGAAGAACTCTGTTAGGTCCCAGATTCCAACGGTATTGTCATTGCCACCGGTAGCGTATATGTGCCGATCCTTGGATCGGCCTGCGGCAGAGGCGAGCATGGTGCCCTCGTGTGCAACCCAACCGCCGACCTCTTCGAATCGTGAATTAAATTTCTGGGCGTGTTAGCAGAAATATCTATAATTTGCAATTTGAAGGCTTAGCGATACCTTTACTGTTCCCGTCGAGTCTCCACAGATCGCAACGCCTCCAATGACATCGACTGCCCAGAGGTCACCAGTGTGTCGAGCAATCCGTTTGACCAGCTGGTGGGAGTCAAGATTCCAAATGTTGAGAGCGCCGCCCGCGAGGCCACAGTAGAGCAACGAGCCTTCTACGGCAATGGAGAGCACCGAGTCTCCATTCTGAAGCTTAGCGATTTGAGTCGGAACAGCCCCGGGCTTTTGACCGAGGCGCCAAACCTTTACAACGCCGTCGCCCGCACCCGTCAGCAGGGCCTCTTCTGACGGTGCCGACTCGATCAGCCCCTTCACGAGCAACATGGAATAGACATAGCCATGGTGAGCGAACAGCTTATGATGATCGCGTTTGAAAGTCAAGATGCGGCCGCCTTCCGAGACTGACTGGGAGCCATCTGATGAACCCGGAGCACGGGATCCATCGGGGCCCTTGGAATCAAAGAAACGATGTGTTCGTCTGGACAGGTGGGCGGAGGAAGCCTGGTTGAAGGCAGAGCCCTCCTCGGACAGATCACACCACTGCCGGAGTTAGCAACCTATCAAGTGGGAATCGATAAATTTCTGTACCTGAATGCTGGTGTTTTGGGCACCGCAGTAAATTGTTTGGTTCATGGTGGAATACACCACCGTGAAAATATCACCCACATCATGGTGTGAGTAGATGGAGTAGAGGCGCTCAAATGTTCTTGTCGACCAGACCTACGAAGGATATCAACTCAAGTCCACTGTTCTCTGAAAGTAACACTTACATTAATCACAGAGTCACCGCCGCTGGAAAACAGCAAGTTGCCGTCATCGGACAGATAGAGTCCTAGGACACTCTCCTTGTGAGCATGAACGGATAAGACAAGATCGTATGTCTCGAGAGACCACGCCTATGTAGTCAAATTAGCGATATATTCAAATAAATCAAAAATTTCAGGCATTCTGAACATACGACAATGTCGCCTCCTTGCAGGCCGGCGAAGACGCACTCTTCGTCAATGACCAACGCCAGGACCGAGCGACTGGCTACGACACGGTGTCCGATCCCGCAGTCACTTTGAGGAAGGGAGCTGCCAGCATTACCAGCTGTTTGGACTATCGGTCCAACATCGGATCCCCATGTTTTAGTCTGGTCTTCGGCATCGGAGGTGTTTCCTGAATCCGCTGTGTCCATTGTGGGGACAGCGTCAGCCAACGACAGTCTTTCCTCGATGTGCAATTGCAGGAGAATATGATTTGCCCGTGCTAGATGAATGGATCCAGTCTCGTATGAATTGGTTCAATTGCACTCCATTCTCTGGGGGACACAGATCCGGAGATGTTGAAGAGCCCAAGTCAAGGTGGACCGAATGAATCATCTCGGGAGAAGTGGCGGTGCGGGAACAAAAAAACACAACACTGCATTGCACCATCGATAAAGTATTTGACTCACCACCTCTAGCATGCCTTTTATAATTCCAGCAACAGGCGGGTCTAGTGGATCAGCAGTTAGCTGATGTTTTCAGGGGCCATGTGTGATCGTGATCTGCCATTACGGTGCACCCAAAGATCGCGTACGGTCGCATGCCTGTTATCCCCATCCTATCGCCATCGCTGCAGCAGAATGAGGATCGGATCGCCCACCAATGAAGTCTGTCTCACCTGGGCTCCCACAGCAGTCGAGCTAATGGAGGTCGTGACGGATGGCTACTGAGGACTGCCATCGTGGTTCGGATTGAATCCGGTATATCGACGGAGTTAAAAAGAAGATCCCAGCTCGAAGAGCACACGAGTCTAGCCTACGCCCAACTTTGAAATAAGTCCACCGACGGTGATCAGCAGGCAAGATAAGACAGATGACCTTGCACCTGCCCCTGATTTCATTCATGCTTAGCTCCGACCTGCAGGTGCCCATTCTACGCCAAGCGGAGGACTGGCTCAACTTTGGGTTTCTCGAGTGGTACGAACGGATCGCGGCATTCGTCGTCATCGCCCCGGTTGGAACTTAAATAGCTTCCACTCGGAGCCCGTGGAAATAGACCTAATCATGTAGCACGAACCCAGCACAAGCTGAAAGGAGCACCGCCACAGCCACCGTGGCGTATTCACCAGCCACAGTGGCGGTGACAGAGTGGGCCAATCACAACCCGTGGGTCACCGCTTCTTTATCTATTTATCGAAGTAGAAATGGATCACGATTTATGATTTAGCGTAAAAGTCCGGCCTTCTCGCTGGTGCAATCACAGAGCGACAGCAAACCTCTTCTCCACAGGATCCTGCGCGCCCAACAACTGTGTGATGAGTGATGTGAGCTTCCAATCGAGTAGCCGCCGAGAATTGATTCGCTTCTGCCTTCGCATCACTTTCACCCAACTGGCCCCATTTGCCCTATAACTCCTGCAGCCACCGTTCGCTGCTCTGCCCAACCAGCTGCACCCTTCTGCACGCTGATGCCATGCCATCGCTCTGATCCCAGCCTCCTTCTTTTCCCCATCACTTTTCGTGGAAGAAAAAGCTTCCGATCGGACTTTGCCGCTGATCACTGCTACGGGTGGTGAAAATAGAAGCCTGATTAATCATCTTGGGCAGTTTTTGCAGCGGGCTGATGTGCCGGAGCCCGTAATTTTCTTTCCTGTCTTTATTATATTATACTTGGCGTTCTATTTCCATTATTTATACCTTGCCTGTCACGAACCCCGGGTAAATCGCCAGGGCTCTACACCGCTCCTCGTGGCGTTGATCCTCAACTCTCTCCTGAATGATCTTCGAACTCTCTCCGACCACCATCTGCCATGGCGCCGCTCGGCCAGACGATCGCCGTGATTGATAAGTCCGGCAAGGTTGTCAGCACGGTAAGCTGGCCCCAATACAAATACCCAGTTACCCCGCAACTGCTTCTAACGGTTCTACAGAGCAAACAACTATTCGGTGTCTTCAGTCAGGCCAAAGCTGCCTACAAGGAACGCAAGTCGCAGTTTGACACCGAGCGAAATGCCAAACTTGCGGAGGAGCAGGCCCTCCAGGCACTTGCTCATTACAAGATCGACGACTCAAAGTCAGTAGGCTCACGACGAAGTCGCCGCACCAAGTCGCAATACCATGCCAGTCGCAGTGCTCATCGCGGCCGTTCCTCCTCTCACTATGAGCAGGACTTGCAATCTGCTTCTGGCCGAGAGTCCCAGTATGAGGCTCCGGCGGGGATTCCCCGCCGGCATACTCACCACGATATCACTGTCCGAGAACCCGAAGCTCGCCAGATGACTTCTCGGTCCAAATCAGATGCCCACATCGACATGGACCTTGCGTATGGAGAAGCTCACCCCGCTGCTTTATCGAAATACAGTCCTCCTGACCCTGACGACCAAAAACAGCTCGATGGGCTGGTGAATCGTGCACAGTGGCTTCTGGAAGAAGCCCACTGCGTCCAACACAGCGCAACGGCCACCATTTCCCATCTTCAGAAGAACCCCGATGCAATGGCCGCCGTCGCTCTTACGCTAGCGGAGATCAGCAACCTTGCCAGCAAAATGGCACCAGCCGCGCTATCCGCGCTGAAATCTGCAGCCCCCGCAGTTTTCGCCCTCCTATCAAGCCCGCAGTTCCTTATCGCTGCTGGTGTCGGCCTCGGAGTTACAGTCGTCATGTTCGGGGGATACAAGATCATCAAGAAGATCCAGGCTGCTGGCTCCGGTGGTGAGAAGCAAGAACAATTAAATGGCATGGACGACATGATGGAGCTCAACGTGGAAAGACTGAGTCACGTTGAGATGTGGCGACGTGGTGTCGCCGATATTGAAGCCCACAGCGTGGGAACCTCGGTGGATGGCGAGTTCATCACACCCACGGCAGCAGCGATGTCGGGCATCGATGTCACGACCGCTCGCATGCAGCGGGATCCTCGCTTCAAATTCGAAGACGACGGATCTGTTGCATCATCTCGTCGCTCCAGTCGCTCACGTACTTCCCGTACCCACACTCGTGCCCGTTCGACCGGGCAATCCAAGATAGACTACGAGGCCACATCCAGGGCTCCTTCTGGATTCTTCTCCAGGACTTCGAAGGCACCACCGAGATCTTCCAGCCGGGTGCATAGCAAAGCTTCGAGCACGGCACCCTCCAAGTCTGGCAGCTATGTCTCCGAAAAAGAGAAAAGACCCAAGGAGAAGAAGAAGAAAGGCCCGAGTCGCCTACGACTTATGTTTACCGCTTAACGACTACGATCCAACCCACCGACAGACTCGTATACTCCAAATTATTCCAAGCTGCATCGCCATTCTCCTAATGAGAAATATGTGGCCCGATGTCCCTCATCAAGTCAGCCTTGTACATTTCCACAAACACATTCCCCTGGACATACTAGACTGAGCACTCATGATAACGACTCTAACCTTCTCATATGACTTCTCGTTGTTTCTGTTCCTTTGCTCTGCTATGGGCCCGTTCTGCATACTCTTGTTTCTTTACAGCGTCGTTTGCATCACTTTTACATTGTTAATAACTATCGGCGTACGGTGAAGACCGCATTGTCTTTGAAATAGTAAAATAAATTAAATACTCGAACCACTTCATTGCCGTCTTAACTCGAATTCTTTGACGGTGTCACGTAAACCGCCCACTACTCGCAAGAACCATTATGTTTCACGAAGCCAACCAACACCCTTGGCACTAACAGCATCAATCCTAGCTGTCTCGCGTATAACAGTCCGATACTCACGGAATTTCCTCGCCGGAACCCTTGCCGCAAAAATCTCATCCAACTCCTCCAATGACCTCCCCTTCATCTCCGGCATATTGAAATAAAAGAACCCCACACAAAGTACATTTGAAGCAAACCAAATATACCCATACCTGGCACCCCAATTCAAATGCTCGGGATTAATAAAATACGGCGTACAAAAATTCACCAACCACGCCAACAGATACCCCAACGACGTCGCCGTGCCCACCGTCCAAGCCCGTAGCCTCGAACTGACCAACTCCGTTGCAACGGGGTAGCTCGCCGCGCCGACACACCCGTTATAGAAGAACATAAACAGCGCAGTAAAGGCCACGAGTGTCTGGCCTGTGGGTAGCGAAGCGGGGCTCACGGTGGCAGCGATGGCGCTGGCGAGTTGGCACAGACCGCAGGCTATAGCGCCTAGAATGAGAATTGATCGACGGCCGAGAAGCTCGCGGATGGCGTACATGCCGACGTTGACGCCCAGGAAACCGAAGCAGGTGTTCATTATGGAGAACTCGAAGGCTTTTGTGATCCCGGCTACGGTGAAGAAGTATGTTTGATAGCCGATTAGGAACCAGACACCGGAGGCGGTTTGGCAGCCTATCATGCAGTAGCAGAGAATTGTACGGCGGAGGTCAACACCTGGAAAGTGTTAATGGTTGTGATGCGCAGGTTGTTGGGACTTACCTCGGAACATGTCGAGTGCAGAGACGCTGCCTTGTTCACGCTTTTCTTCTTGGACTCCCTTTACCATCTCTGCCCATTCTATCTCTAGTAGTGTTGGGACTACGGTCGTATTTCCCGCCTTTCCGTTCTCGTCGCTTTCACTGTCGCTAGAAGGTGCAAGCAAAGTAGCATAGCTACTCCCACGAAGCTGCTCCAATGCCTTCCTGGCATCCCGCTCCTTTCCACGATGAAGCAACCACCTCGGACTTTCGGGAACAAAGAAAAGCGCAGCAAATAGTAACACGGGCACAATATACAGACAAGCCAGCGGAATGCGATACGATAACTTATCAAGGCGGTCCTTGGTTTTGTTATCGACCACAGCCCCCATCACACTCCCGATATTCACCCAATATGCGAACAAGGCGACCATCACGCCGCGCATATGTCCAGGTGATACTTCTGCAGTGTATATATTGGAAAATGTTACCAGGAACCCGTTTGCAAATCCAAGAAGAAGACGACCTAGGTATAGAACGCCTGGTGTTGTGGTTCCGATTTGGATTCCGACTGCGATGGCGTTGACGATGCAGGCGAGCCACAATGCGTGGCGTCGGCCTAGGTATGTCGAGAAAATACCGGCTACGAGTGATGAGACGAACGAGCCCAGGGTTAGAAGGGATGTTATCAGCTGTTGGACTGTGCTCTAAAGTAGGGAAGTGGTTAGCTCGTATATTTATCTATGTGTTGTTCAAAGGTAGCCTTGGAGCATTGGAGAAAACTCACGTCGATCCCATACCCCGTGTCACTAGAGGCATCGGGATATCCAAATACTTTCAGAAAACCAGGCATGGCCTGCAATGATCCCACGGCTGCGAGATCAAAGCCGTACTGCATGTTTGCCATGGAAACGAGACAGCAAAGGAGAAGGCATTTTCGATTTTGCCATAGAGTCGTCGTCGACAAGCTATGTTCTACCATGGTGAACTAGTATCGGAAAATAGTACACATGTTTGCAATGAGAGAAAAGAAAAACCGCTCCACTTTATTGCAATGGACAGCGGCCCCATTTAGCCATGGCGGCTCCAGAAGAAATTGCCCGTGCTAAGGACTGGCGAGGGGGAATTTCCATAGTCATACCTGACTCCGGGGATTCGGCTGAGGGGTCTTTTTGCGGAGTCGATGACCCAACTTGGCCTTTATCCACAAAGAAAGCAATGATCTGTTGCGGTTTCTATGAAGCTAGGTGTTGGTTCGCCCACAAACCCCGCAAATACTCCCCAAACTATGGAGAATCTGGGGCTGCCAGCCCCACAGATCTGGTCTAATTATCAATCCAGATTAGCATTATGGACAAAAGAGAGCTATCTGCCGTATTTTAGAATTCCTGGAATGATCTTAGTTTATGAATGATGCTTCTGTTCTTTCCAAAGCTGTATCGCGCCACCTGTATGAGTCCAGCAAACATAACAAGCCGAGATATTAGGTATCCTAACTGGATTAGTATATATAACCGGACGCAACTAGACTACTTGTCTTTTTTTTAATAAGCACAGTATGTGGGGCTGTCTTGTTGGTACTGTAGACCGCGGAAAGATGATGTTCTCGCCCGCATTTATCCCATGTCTTCTTCCCCTTCATCTGCCAGTGAATGCATAGTGACATACCCCGCCGAGGCTTAAGGTGCATTCTCATTCTTAGCCCACAGGTGGGGCTAGAGCACGGTATGTCACCACGGAAATAAGCCATAGTGTGAGGTCTTCGATTGGACTTTTTGCAATATATTCAGGCGGGGACCAGCGGGGTTGGTGCTCCCACGCCGATCCTTATTTTGTTAACGGTTCCAACCCTCCTTAACCCTTCAAAGCTCCAAGGCACCTTCTCACGCCAGGCATACGGCTGTCAATATGATTGCTGCAAAGGCCGAAGAGCTCTTCGCTCTTCTCCAGAGCCAACGAATTCTCTACCATTCGGGATGGAACAAACTCAATATTACCGCGATAGCACCACTTGTGTTGATAGTCTTAGGGTTGCTATTCATGGTAGACTATGGCTATATGATCTATCTACATTTTCAGATGGTAATCAGGTTGAATAGCTCCACGGCTCAAAAATCGAGCTAATACTCTGCAGCCGCCTGGACCGTTCCCTTTACCACTAATCGGAAACACTCACCTCCTCCCGGACAACAAACCATGGATATATTTTGAACTACTCTCAAAAGAATACAAGTCACCAATAATAACATTCTGGACTGGCAGACGCCCAACAATCTGGATCTGCGACGCTTGGACAGCCAATGAGCTCCTCGATAAACGAGCAGCAATCTATGCTTCCCGTCCCCGAATGGTCGTATTCAGCGAATTGGGCGCCGGGCAATCCAATCTAGTCAACATGTACTATGGAGACAGATGGCGCCTCCATAGAAAATTGACACACATGGGGGTTGGCTTGCAGCAAGTGCGCAACTACCGTGGTTTCCAGAACGACGAAAGTAAAGTGGTTGCGTTTGACCTTCTGCATGAACCCAAGGAATACGTGAAGCATTTTGAGCGGTATGCGACAAGTGTTGTTTCGATTATTGGGTTTGGGAGACGGGTTGCTACGTTTACGGATCCTATTATTACGGAAGTCATTGCGGTTATGCAGCGTGCGGCGGAGTTGAATGTGCCAGGGAAGACTTTCCCTATGCTGATGGAGTCGTTTCCTTGTGAGTGATGAATCTGGATTCTCGGTAGATATATTGATGTGTGCATTTCACTGACTGAGAGACAGTCCTCGCCAAGTTTCCAAACTGGATGGCACCCTGGAAACAAGGTCTGGGAAAAGGACAAGGACGCGGTAGACCATTCTTCTACGCCTTAGCCGAAGAAGCAGTGAACAACCCCAACTTGGAAAATTGCTACGCAAGGAAGATATTCGAAGAAGCACCCAAACACAATCTCTCCCGCCAGGAAATATCCTCACTCTCAGGCAACCTCTTCGGCGCAGGAAGCGACACCTCAAGCTCAACGCTAGTAACCTTCGTGCTCGCCTGTTGCGCCTTCCCCGAAACACTAACAAAAGCATGGGAAGAACTCGACCGGGTAGTGGGGCCACACCGGAGTCCAACGTTCCAGGACGAAGCGGATCTGCCGTACGTGAAAGCATTCGTGAAGGAAGTGCTACGGTGGCGATCGGTAGCCATCATTGGAGGGCAGCCACACGCGCCGATCAAGGACGATCATTATAAGGTAGAAGGCTAAGCAAGACTCCGTGCTGCTGGAAGCGGCCCAGCACACGAATTGGCACTGATAGGACTCATCTAGGGATGGCTGATCCCGCGCAACACCTGGGTCCAGGGAAACGTGTGGGCCATACATCACCACGAGCGAGAATTCCCCGATCCGGACCGCTTTAATCCGGATAGATATGTCAAGGATAGTCCGGATCAAAGGCCGTTTCCCGGCGAGAAGGGCTATATGACCTTTGGCTGGGGGCGGAGAGTGTGTAGTGGGCAGGGGTTGGCTGAGCAGGGGACGTTCATCACCATCGCGAGGCTAATATGGGGGTTTCGGATTGAGAAGGCTTTGGATGATCAGGGTTGTGAGAAGCCCGTGGATATCTTTGATTATACGTAAGTACTCCCCCATCAGGATTTTTATCAGATCGCATCAAGTGGACTGATCGCCGGCTTTGCCGCGTCTGCCGTCTAGTAATGGCCTGAATATGAGACCCAATCCTTTCGACTGCCGGATCACTCCGCGCAATACAGAGATCCGTGCTGCTATCGAACGGGAAGGTCGACAAGCGTTGCAGGATTTGTCTCGGTATGATGGTGAAACTCAATATCGCATGAGTACATATTACGCAGCGGAGAAACTCTGATGCATAGTTACATCGCTCTGGTGGGCACATGGCGCGGGAATTTAGGTAAACATGGCGCTGACATCACATGGATTTTTCATTTGACGCTCAACACAGACGGTTGCCACCTGGCAATAGTCTATGTACTTCGAAAAGGCAAGCAAAGGGGGGCTAAGAACCGGCTGTGCGACAGGATCGCGGGTGGAGATAAACGTGTGTGGAGTCCGCAATGCGGAACGGTCTGCGCAGAACCAGATGGCACGACGACTCCTGTTCGAGACCCTGCATGAAGACGTCAGAAATGAAACATCAGGTTGAAGGCTTTGCTGCGGTTGCCGCTTGCTATCGTGACCAACGCCGGGAACTAATTGGTGGCAAACTTGAAGTAGAATTGCTCAGCAGGGCGTCTTGTTTATTCCCTGCCAGGAATGCAGGGAATAGGCCAGTGCTTTCGTAACGGGTGAATCCGTTGGGGGTGTTCGGGGACGGGCGCAGTTGCTAGCGTGTCCCAGGAGTCGGCAAATAGAGACCAGCAAAACAGCCGGACGGGCTCACTCGGTTCCCCAAAGGAAATGTTAGAAATGGCTGTGGAGCCCGAGCCCGGATGCCCCTACTTGCCGAGCGGCGAACTCCTTGGGGCTGCGAGTGCACGCCACAAAATCTGTAATTTAGGGAAATGACTTGGGTTTGCCTGCTCATTGACGGCTATGGAAGATAACTGAGCATAGGAGCTGCTCTAATCGTGTGAATTGCTGCTTATCAAAAGCAGAAACTTATTCTCTTCCATTGGTTTTCATGCCGCCCCGCAAGGAGCGTCCAGTCGATCACTGTATGACGAGTCTGCATAATACAATCGGGCCGAGCATCTCATTCCTTGCCCCAATCTATGGAGAGCTGGAAGGAATGAGAGGGTCAAGCTTGCGGGGCCGATCAACTGTACTCCACCTCAAGGGGGGATGATTGTCGCTAGAGATAACTGGAGAGGTCTCTTCCTCGCCGAACCGTAGCGTGTGGCACGGGTGGGACGGCAAACCTTGGGGCAAGTAAGCTCGGAGTAATTTTCTGAAATAGCTACCGCGTGCTGGTCTTTGGGTCTCGTCGCGCGAGATTCTTTCCTCTTTATTCTTTCCTTCCCAGTCACCCACTGTTGCCCACGATGGACGTAAAACAGGCGAATGTCCCTCTGGACATTATTGTAGTTGGGTATGTGCTCTTTCGGCCATTGGAGATAAAAACCTTGGTTTCTAACGCTGAACAGAGCCGGTATGTTCATATTGAATTGCTAAACTTGGCATTGGTCGAAATGGGACTCCCATTGACATTCGCTAGGCATTGGCGGTATGGCCGCGGCCTTGACACTGGGGATGCGAGGTCACCGTGTAACGGTCCTTGAAGCCGCCCCAAAAGTATGCTCCATGATTTTGACCCAGGATCATGGATCTTGCTAATATTCATCGGTATAGATCGCAGAGGTCGGAGCTGGAATCCAAGTCTCTCCCAATATGTTAAGACTATTTGAGCGTTAGTCAATCACCTGTGTCCCTGCGCTGAGAGGCCATGTCGAGTCCTTACTAACCAGCAACCAGGATGGGGTGTCTCGGACTCAATCCACGCCCAAGATGTGGCCTTGGAGCATATCTATGTTCGACGATGGGAAGATGGCAGGCTCCTGACATCAGTGCCGGTGAACAAGACATTCGGCCAACAGGTTGTCATTCATCGCGCAGACCTGCACCAAGCCTTGATCGACAGGGCGCTGGCTCTTGATAATGTTCATCTCCGCGAGAATTCCGTCGTTACAGATGTCACATTCAACCCTGCGTCTGTAAAATTAGCCAACGGCACTGTACTGCATGGCGACGTGGTTATTGGCGCCGATGGCATCAAATCCACGATCCGAGGCCAACTGCTGGAGGACTCGTCAATCAAGGCCATCGCAACTGGTGACGCAGCGTACCGAATTATGCTCCCTCGCAGCGTCATGGAGACAGATCCCGACCTGAAGGAGCTCATCGATGAACCACAGGCGACTCGCTGGCTGGGTCCTTCGCGCCACATTGTTGCATACCCCGTGCGGAACCACGACTTGTACAACGTTGTTTTGCTGCACCCAGACAGCCAAGAAGTTGAGGAGTCTTGGACGACTAAGGGCTCGAAGCAAGCCATGGTGGATAATTATACTGGCTGGGACCCGAAGATCAGGAAGATCATTGATCTCGTGGAGGACGACGAGGTCCTCGAGTGGAAGTTGTGCCTGCACCGCCCACTAAAGACTTGGACTCGGGAATCAGTAGCTCTGATCGGTGACGCGTGTCATCCGATGCTGTATGTTGATCTCGTTTTTTCTGCCCCCACCTTGTGCGACACTAACACACTCCAGCCCATATGTTGCCCAAGGAGCAGCACAGGCAGTCGAAGACGCCGCGGCGCTGGGTGTCCTGCTATCGATGATCTCGTCACGGCATGAAATCCCACACGCACTCAAGGTCTATGAGCAGTCTCGAAAGCCGCGCGCAGAGACAGTGCAGCAGTCCGGGTCCGAGAACCGCATCACATTGCACTTGCCTGACGGGCCGGAGCAACTCGCGCGAGATGCACAGTTCCTGGAATCGGCAAGTGGTTCGAACCCGGATAAATGGTCTGATCGTGAGACGCAGCAGTTCTTATGGGGCTGGGATGCTGAGAAGATGGCGTTGGAGGCTTGGAACAGTATGTCTCCCCGTCACCATTGGTGGTGTTCAAGGCTAATTCGCATCGTGTCTCAAGATTTCGTGGAGGATACCGAGGTGAAAGCCAATCTTTAACATTCCTCACATAGAAAGCATCATAAACAGCGTGTTGTTTTATAAAGCTTGATAGATTGAGCATTCTGCCGGATACACCTTCTGGAGTCAGATTCAACATCGAAAATGTGTACCGATTACAAGACTCTACAAATACCATAGAAATCGTGACATTCCCATAATTCCGATTTTTTTCTATTTCATTATACAATCATTCCAATTTGGGAGACCACTCCAATATACATCGAGTGGTAAACGTCGAAAGCCAGTGATGCTCAACATATGGCTTTCAACCATCGATTTTTTAGATGAAGACAATTTACATCTTCTCACCAGCGGCGGCCTTCATCTGGCCGTACTTCTTGAGACGGATGGCAGAAACGTTGATGAAGCCGGTGGTCTCGGCAGGGGAGAAGTCACCGATCTCATCCATGCTGGATTCGGTCATGTCGTACAGCTTCTCGGTCTCGGAGGAGCGGCCGAGGATGGAGACGTTGCCCTTGTAGGCACGGCAGCGGACCTGGCCGTTGACGGACTTCTGGGAAGCGGTGATGGAGGACTCCAGGAACTCGCGCTCGGGGGAGAAGTACATGCCGTTGTACAGGAGCTTGGAGTAGTTGAAGGTGACGAACTGGTCACGCAGGGCGCGGACCTCACGGTCCATCACAAGACCCTCAATGTCGATGTGAGCAGCGCGCAGGCAGGTAAGACCGGGGGTCTCATAGCAGCCACGAGACTTGATACCGATGAAGCGGTTCTCAACGATATCGACACGGCCAACACCGTGGCGGCGGGCAATGGCGTTGGCTGTCAAGAAGACGTCAACGGAGTCAGTGACGGTCTTCTTCTGGCCCTTCTCGGCGAACTCGAGCTTGACAGGGACACCCTTCTCGAAGGTGACGGTGAAGTCCTCAGGCTGGTCAGGGGCAGTCAGAGGGTCCACGGTGAGCTTCCACATGTCGGTGGGGGGAGTGGTGTCGGGGTCCTCCAGAATACCGGCCTCGTAGGAGCAGTGGGCCAGGTTCTCGTCCATGCTCCAGGGCTTGGACTTGGTGGAGGTGACGGGGATGCCCTTCTCGGCGGCGTACTTGAGAAGGTCGTTACGGCCAACGAAGCGCTCGTAGAAGACAGGGTCGCGCCACGGGGCAATGACCTTGATGTTAGGCTGGAGGGCGTAGAAGGCAAGCTCAAAGCGAACCTGGTCGTTACCCTTTCCAGTGCAGCCGTGGGAGACAGCGAAGCAGCCCTCGCGCTAAGAATGAATCCGAGAATTAACAGCGGTTCGGTGACCGCGGAAGAGAGCCAGTTGGACATACCTTGGCAACGTCAATCTGGGCGCGGGCGATCACGGGGCGGGCCAGAGAGGTACCGAGCAGGTACACGTTCTCGTAAACGGCATTGCAAGCAATGGCGGGGAAGCAGAGCTCCTCAATGAACTCACGGCGGATGTCGATAATCTCGCACTTCAGGGCACCGATGGCGAGGGCTTTCTCGCGGGCAGCCTCGAAGTCCTCTAAGGAAGAGGTTAGTCTCGCATTGCGCGGTTGTCGGCGTAGACTTCAACTATACCTTCCTGGCCAACATCGGCCACTAGTAAAAGGTTAGCACGGGGTTCCTGGTAGAGCTTCTTTGTGCGATGCGAGCGACTTACTGAAGCAGACGACCTCATAGCCCTCCTCGATAAGGTACTTGACTGGTCCCGTTGTCAGCGATCGCCATTGAGTGGAATCAGATGTCGGGATATATCATACGGATACAGCTGGTGTCGAGGCCACCAGAGTAGGCGAGGCAAACCTGTTGGGAAGTTGTCAGTCGCGTCGGAAGGCAATGCGGGCAATCAGAAGTGTAGATTGTGGGGTGAAGTGGCGGTCAAGTGCTAGGTAGGAGGATTGCGATGGCAATGGCAATGGGCAGGAATTGAGGTCACGTACTTTTCCTTTGGACATTGTGATTGTGATTGTATGATAGATGGAAACAGAGGAGGGAAACAATGAGTTAAAAAAGGTCGGGAGATTGAGTCAACCAGATTGAGTCATCGAAAAAAGCGGTGCCCACTCACCGCCGACACCGGCGATCCCTGATAAGGTCGATCTTTACCACAATCACCCAGCTTGGTATACGAGTCGACTCGTATGCAGTTATACGGGGGGATGCGCCCTGCATATTTGTCACTCTCCACGGACTGGAGGTGTGCAGCTATGTAGCAGATAGACAGTTGGACGTGGTCCAATTGAAACGCACCGGTGCAGTTGTTGAGCCCGGATACTTGTCTCAATATCCATGACCACACTCAATTTCTGGTAGAGGCCGATCACCGAGAGGGATAACGATGCTAGATTAGAATCTCCGTACTTTCGGTGCAAATATGTCCCCAAACAGGCCAGAATCGATCCGTCTCTATTTGGTGTAGCACGTGACCTCCGTCATTGCTTCCGTATTTGCAATGTTTGCATCCTCGGTTATCCGCGGCGCGTCCCCCGCAATCCCCGTGGGCGATGGAACAACAGGATTCCATTTATAAAGAAAACGATTCTCGAAACTCTTTCTCTCCAGGATTTACCAACCCCCATATTTCAACTCCCCCAGAGATGGTACGACCTCGAGCTCCGCGGTGTTTGATCGCCCAAATACCGCGCCGATACTACTCCGCTCCCTCGCCTGCGGCAAAGCTCAACTTGCCCCTTGACTTCAAGACTACTCCTCTGTTACATCACACTCCGGCAACATTGTCAAGCGTCCCGAATTTTCCAGCTGGGGCCACAAGTAAGCGATTGAATCTGTTCCAAGCCATCAACTCCGCTCTCAGAACCGCCCTATCGTCCTCTGATAAAGTTCTACTCTTCGGCGAAGATGTGGCATTCGGTGGTGTGTTTCGGTGCTCTATGGACCTTCAATCAGAATTCGGTTCCGATCGAGTCTTCAATACACCCTTGACGGAGCAAGGAATTGCAGGGTTCGCCATAGGCGCCGCCGCAGAGGGCATGAAACCCGTGGCAGAGCTCCAGTTCGCCGATTACATGTATCCTGCCTTCGACCAGATCGTTAATGAGGCGGCAAAGTTCCGGTATAGAGAAGGCAACACTGGAGTCAATGTCGGGGGACTCGTGATACGCATGCCGTGTGGTGCAGTGGGTCATGGTGCTCTGTAAGTATATATCTCTGAACCCCGATGTTTACGCCCAAGGCCCGACAACTGACCCCGTGGACAGCTACCATACACAATCGCCTGAGTCGCTCTTCGCACACATTCCGGGCGTCCGAGTTGTGATGCCCCGGTCACCTGCACAAGCCAAGGGTCTCTTGCTGTCATCCATTTTCGAGCACAACGACCCGGTAATCTTCATGGAACCGAAGGGTCTCTACCGAGCGGCTGCGGAGTACGTCCCAAATGAATACTACACTATTCCTCTCAGCAAGGCCGAGATAGTCAAGCCTGGCAAAGACCTCACGATCATCTCCTACGGCCAACCACTGTACCACTGTTCTGCCGCCATTTCCGCCATCGAAAAGACCATGAAGGGTGTAAACATCGAGTTGATTGATCTACGCACTATCTATCCTTGGGACCGTCAGACAGTTCTCGAGAGCGTGCGAAGAACCGGGAGAGCGGTTGTGGTGCACGAAAGCATGGTTAATTACGGTGTCGGAGCAGAGGTTGCCGCGACTCTGCAAGAGGGTGCATTCCTCCGATTGGAAGCTCCGGTCAAGCGAGTTGCTGGATGGAGCACTCACACAGGCTTGACTTACGAGCAGTTCATCTTGCCTGATGTTGCAAGTAAGTGATCTCAACACACCCTTCCATTTGTGCAGAAGTCTAACACACTTTCTTACCCAGGAATATTTGATGCGATCAAGCAGACTCTGGAGTATTGATCCACAGATCTTTTCGGGCTGTTACATTAGAGGTCGGCCATTTGCACACTTAGCGCATATCAGGATCAAGAAGGGAGAAATGCCTTGCTTGGACCTAGACTGATAGGAATACAAAAAATATACAGGAGCTATAAGATACGCCGAATTTTAGAAAGATCCTTAGATGCATGTTTACCATCATAGACTGTTGACATATCCGGCATTTCTTCACAACTTCCTAAGGCGCATTGACTAATGCCGCTACACTTTGCACTGAGGATTTGTCAAAAGTTCAATTCCATCCGGTCATTATACAAATACATGCATATATTCGTAGTTACGATCGCGCTGTTTCCCGCTGGGTCACTGCTACCACCGCCTAAGAAGTTTTACCTGGATTGATCTAAGAGAGCCTTAGTGACTTGTGTTTCCACGGCACAACGACCCTGGAAGCTGCATCTTCTCAAGTGATTCGAGTACTCCTTCATAGTCACATGAAAACTACGAAAAATGAAGTGACCAAAGTCACCAAAACGAGGGTCGGCAGCCACAGCTCAGGCATGCTGGAGGCGGCAGTGGTGATCTTTGCGGGTAATCTGGGTCATAACTTGGATGGGTACAACGAGGAGAAGATGGAGGGCTGGGACGAACAGAAATACAGAAAGTGGCACAGAATGAGGTTCAGCAAATGATCCAGGAACAATCTCAGGAGGACTTTTTGAACGAGGGGTAGAATAGACGGGATGCCGATCCCGTCCCACCATGGGGGCCCACTCGGGCCGAGAAGCTTAATGCTAGATCTCGAGACTCCCATGAAATATGCATCTGCAATGCAATCTTGTTCTACGCAATATTCTGGAGAAGTATTCCTCCCTGACATTGTGAATCGTACTGCCAATGGTACTATGTCAATAGAGTCATTGACATAGAACCATTCTCGATAGTGTAGGCAGCCTCGGAGGGAAAGAAGGGGTAGGTTAGGGTAAAGCAAAATGGAACTCTCCGGAAGCAGAGAAGTGAGAGGAGCGTTGAGGTATCGCAGCCTGGCGCATCCTGGTAAACAGAACTTCTCACTTCGTACAAAACCCCCTTCCTCTTTTCCTCCACAACCCCCCGAACTCATTTCTTCCCAGCACTTTTGCGACATCTATTCTTACCTTTCATCTGAGTGTCTTCAAAAATATCCAAAATGACTTCATTCAACTGCACCGCCGAGGTGTGGTTCAACATCATTGTCGTGTCCCTCACGACCGCAGTCTTTCTCGGGTTTCCCACCCTGCTTCGGGTGTACAGCAAACATGCTGCTACCTCTGAGTAAGTATTATCATGACATAGCTGAGATGGAATGGAAGATGTTGACTGCCTATCAGGGATAGAAAGGCGATCAACATCACCACCCCCACCACCCCCCGCTTGTTCACTGCCCAGAAACTCCACAAGGAGCGTAGTGCGGATAAGGAGAAGGACAAGAGACTTCAACTGCTTGAGGAGAAAGCCAAACAGTACGAAGCCCACCAGGAAAAGCTGGACAAAAACCTTAAGAGGGAGCAGGAGAAGAATGAGATGCTGCGAGTCAAATTGCACGACAAAGACAGTCGGATTGCGGACCTGCGTAAGCAGCGCACCCGCCCACTCACCTGGAAGGAGGAGTGCCAGATGCACGAGGATTGCTCTCTGACCTTGCATACGCTCCGGAGAAACCACGCGAGCGAGATGGACCAAGTCAAGGCTAAGGCCCAAGATAATGCCAAGCGCGAGCTGTACCAGGCGAACTTCAAAATTGAACTTCTTCACAAGCAACTGGCCAAGGCTGAGCTGCGAATCGAGAAGCTCACTAGTGACAACTTGATCATTGAAGAAGAACTTGCACGATGCAAGGCCCAAATCGACACTTCCGCAGCCAATTATTCCCAGGACCTACAGCTCAAAGACAAAGAGCTCGCTGAGCAAAGCTCTCTCTTCGCCAACCTCAATCAGCATCTAGAGCAAAAGACTGCCTCTGCCGCCGAGGAAGCCACTCGTTGCGATACCACCATCCGAGACCTTAACGCCGAGGTCAGTACCAAGGACGATAAGCTAAAGGAAGCTCTGGCTCAGATCGAACAGGTCAGAAATGACCAGCCTGAGGAGCTTAAGAACGCCCTAGCTCGCATTGTGGAGCTTGAGAAGGACAAGAGCGTACTGTTGAAGGAGAGGTACCCGGACAAACCACAGCCTCCTGTGGTGGAAGACACGGAGATGGTCGACATGGAGGACGTTGAAATGACCGATGCATCTGCGGCCAACATGCCCGCCCGGCCTTCCAATGTGCTCGCTGGTGCAGCTCCGCAAGCTGGGTGCCGTGATCGCCAGGCCTACAAGGTCCAACTCGACAAGCAGTTCCAGGTCTACAAAGTCAAGCTCGAGAACCAATGCAAGGCCTACAAGGTCCAGCTCGTAAACGAGGCCCAGGCTTACAAGGTCAAGCTCGACAACCAGTTCAAGGCCCACAAGGTCCAGCTCGTAAACGAGGCCCAGGCCTACAAGGTCCGACTGGACAAGGAGCGCCGGGCCAGCCGTGCCCAGCTTGAAAGCCAAGCTCTGACCTGGAAAACGGGAGAGGAGAGAAAACTTCAAATCTCAATCAACCGGATAAACCGGGCCAAGGACGTGGTTGATGGAAGGAACAAGGATCTGGAAAAGAAAATTGAGAGTATGGAGGAGGCGACTGCCCTCGACCAGGCCACCCTCCGCCTACTGCAAGCGCAGCAGCAGCCGATCCAAGGACAACTCGGCCAACAGAACCAGCCCACTCAGACCCCTACCCAGCAATCTTCACGTCCACGGAATCAGCCAGCCAGCCAGCCTAGGGGGAAAGGCGTTCGATTTAACATTACCACGAATGCCGTTACGCGGCCCGCTGGAACCTTCGGCCTCGGACCAAAGTAAGTCGTGGTGAAGAGATGCTCGGGGTATTGCCAAATTCAGATACACCGGCCGCTGACGAGGAGCGACACTTCATGGGGCAACCCATGGAGACATAGCCCGTCACTGGTATCAATTTCGAGACTCTCGGCATCGCTCGGCATCGCTCGGCATCGCCTCTTCACACGGCTCGGCTGTAGTGACTGTGGGTGGAGGTTATAGTGGAGTGATTTCGGTCGATGACAAGGACCCACTGTCGAGAGCCTGGGCTTCCAGGTGTCGACGACGCACGGGACCGACCCTTGCGATTCGCCCGCCAGCGCGATCGAAACCCAATTCGGCGTCAAGTCTCGACTTCGCAACGATATGCCCCGGTGCTGAACCCACCTTCGCTTGTTCATTGTCTTTGCAGCATCACTCGCCCTCCATTCTGTCCATTTTTACTTCTCCCTGTCTCCCCCCGCCATCTCCGTTCCTGCCCGCAGTGACCAGGCTTACATCACTGCCATGTCCCCGCTGTAACCCGAAGAGGCAGTGATTCGAATTTCAGCACCGCGTCTTGCGCCCTCATCCTGGTGATGAATTCTCCCGCAACTCGTCTCTTCGCCGCTCGGCCCCTTGTGCTGGGTTTGGCCAAGCTCATCGTCCTCTCCTTTTCTCACCTTCCTCTCGCATCGGCCGCACCCGTCCTCTCATCTTACCTTCTCTCAGCGACCGATGCCGAATCACCGCCCGAGCCATCTGACCCGAACTTGTGGCTTTACCTGGGAATCTCGGCAGCTCTCGTGCTGAGCGGCGGAGCATTTGCGGGGCTGACAATTGCCTTGATGGGCCAGGATGAGGTCTACCTGCAGGTGATTCGTACATCGGGGGAAGAATCGGAGAAGAAGAACGCCGCCAGTGTCTTGAACCTGCTAAAGCGGGGGAAGCACTGGGTCCTCGTCACTCTCCTTCTCAGCAACGTCATCACGAATGAGACACTGCCTATCGTCCTCGATCGGTCCCTCGGCGGTGGATGGCCGGCCGTCCTGGGCAGCACGGCCTTGATTGTCATTTTCGGAGAGGTCGTTCCCCAATCAATCTGCGTTCGTTACGGTCTACCAATAGGTGCCTGGATGGCACCATGTGTGCTGATTCTGATGTACCTCATGTCACCTGTCGCCTGGCCGGTCGCGAAGTTACTGGACAGGCTTCTCGGCGAAGACCACGGTACCATCTACAAAAAGGCCGGATTAAAGACGCTTGTCACATTACACAAAACGTTGGGCGAAGCGGGAGAACAACTCAACTCCGACGAAGTCACCATCATCAGTGCTGTTCTCGATTTGAAGGAGAAGTCAGTCGGAACTATCATGACACCGATGGAAGATGTCTTCACCATGTCTGCAGACACTGTCCTCGATGAGCATACTATGGACCTTATCTTGTCCCAAGGATATTCTCGTATACCCATTCATGCACCTGATAACCCGATGAACTTTGTCGGCATGCTGCTCGTGAAAATGCTCATTACATACGATCCGGAAGATTGCAAGCGCGTTCGTGAATTTGCATTGGCTACTTTACCAGAGACGCGACCCGAAACCAGCTGTTTGGACATCGTCAACTTTTTCCAAGAAGGAAAGTCGCATATGGTACTCGTATCCGAATATCCAAGTGAAGACCGCGGTGCTCTCGGGGTTGTCACCCTCGAAGATGTGATTGAAGAATTGATTGGCGAGTACGTTCTCTTGCAGAATTTCATGTGCCTTACATCTACTAATCATGGACTCACAGGGAAATTATCGACGAATCTGATGTCTTTGTTGATGTCCACAAGGCCATCCGTCGGATGGCACCTGCACCCAAATCTCGTGTTCCCAAGGGGAAGATTATTGAAGAGCCTCCAATGTCTGTTTCGCATACAGATGGCGATTTAATTGAAGAGCGTGGAACACGACCCACAACTGTCCCAAGATGGTCGGATCCCCCCCGACGTCGAAGCTCTGTCGAAGCACCTCCTCCACGATTCCAGCTGCGCAAGCAGCATGGTGATACCACATCTAACTCCACTGAACAGTGGTTCACCCAGAGAGGTGCTACTGATGAAATTCGCGAACACCTCAAACACCTCGGTCCCTCCAATCTGGCCAGTCGCCCGCGGCAAACCCGTTACAATACCGTGAAAATCAAACGGAGCGGCAACTCGCCATCCCGCTCAGCTCAGACCGATCTTGAATCTGCGCAGAGCACATCTGATTCACAACGTGTCTTCCCACCCACCGCTTACCAAGGTGGAATTGGCGCCGGCCTTGTCACCCCGGGATCCGAAGCCAAGGACGGTGCCCATGCTCTTAAAGTTGGCTATGGTACTATTCCATCCTATGACCATAGCCCTCGGGCACTCAACTCCCACGAAACTGCCTCTCCTGACTACATCTCTCATGACCCTAATTCTGTTGACCATGTCATCACCAGCACTGATACTCAGCAGTACAAGGATCTCCCATCAGTGTCTATTCCTGAAGCTGTTCATGAAGAGCACGAAGATAAACCTCGTTCTGCCTCAACGCGTAAAGACAGCTCTGGGGCCGCCAGTGTCAGGTCTACAGAATCTCACACTGAATTGTTGTACCACCACCGTGGTCCAGCCCGCAGCGGCAGTATCACGGAACAAATCGTGGATGTCAACGGCATCCGAAAGGTCGTCCTCCACACCAACGGCACAAGCTCGTCGGATGGCGACCGCTCCCCGCTCCAAACTCGTGACTCCTCCCCTACTCACAAAAACGGTGCGATTGATCCGAATACTTTGGATTCGGAATATCCGGGTTCGCACTCGAACTCCAAGTCGAAAAAGCGTCGTCGCCGCAAGAAGCATGGACGAAACCCCAAGTCCGCTGACGGCGGTCCTTCTGAGGACCAACCTCTGCTGCAATAATCCCTCTACACTTATTAAATAGTGTAAGTGTGAGGTGTTGCAACTGTGACATATTTCCCAACCATGTAGTTTGTCCCACACGAGGTTCTGCGTTGTATTTCTCGAACCACATTTTAAAGGAGCACATCCACCTTTTTTTCTCCCTTTCTCTGCGCGGATGCATGTTGCATCAAATCGCCGTTCCTGTCGTTTCCAAAGCTAGTTTCGGGATTCATCAAGATATCGTGCGAGGGCTCAGGCCTGAATTACATTACTTTTTCCATCTCTATTAAAGACATTTGGTCGTATTCGCTGTAGGATCCACAAGCGACAGAATACGACCTCGAATACTGATCCGGTGGATGGTTTAGCATTATCCTTCTTGATGTCCCTGATGAATTCCACGCTTTTCCCATATGAAAGCTGACAGCCTTGCGGATCAAACACGGTCAGATCGAGGGCCCGTAATACGCCGTCGTGTTCCCGCTCCCCTGGAAACAAGCAGAGAATAGTCTCACCGAGTGTAGCATCAAATCGGCTCCTTTATGTCTAGAAGCCTCGTGCCGAGTACATTGCCGCCAGGACTTAACGCTGCTGGCGACCGAAACAACCTGCAGGAACAATCTACCGAGGATAGTTAGATCGGGGGCCTACAGACGCCACGCCACGCGGCATACCCACCTTGACCCAGTATGGGAGAATCCACGGTAGACCAGTGCACGGATGAGGTGCTTAATGTGAAAAAGCTGCGCGCCAAGGAAATCGGCAAATGTCTTGGCCAGGACGGATCCTGACTGTGACAACCCTGCGGGTCTCTGTCACGAAAGAACGTCAGATTGGGCACCGAACGCCTCGAAATGAAAGCGGCAAAGTAGCACGCGAGCTAGCTACCATTACAACAACGGCCTCATCGATGTTCCACAAAATCAAGTAGGACAGGCCGGTTTTAGGTTTCTTGTTCCCTATCTACAATCTGATACACTTTTCCTTCTCCTTGGAGTGATGCGCTCCTTTGCGCGGTGCGGTAGGTGCTCAGCAGGCTCTTAGTCCTGACTAGCTTTGTCCCGACGCGAGGAGGAGCTTCCTTTCCTGCAAGGTCGAAGTAAACAATTTTGCCAGTGGTGAGAATATAGATGCCGTTCACTGCTTTCATTCATTGTCCTCCCTTACTACTTGCGCCACATTTTCGGTCACCTCATTCTCTTTTCTCACCAAATCCCAGGTCTACAAGGGCAACCTCACAGATGAGCGCCTAGAATACGACTGGGCCTACAGGGACCATATCAAGAAGGAATCCAAGGCTTACAAGGACGGACTTCTGAGCCAGCTCGAGCCCCAGATCAAGGCCCAGTATGATAGAAAGCATCAACTTGCAGTGACCCGATTAGGGCAAAGGGCATCGAACAAGTGTGCTACCAACACGAGCTCATTTTCTCGACACCTTTTAATCATTCATCTGAATGACTTCAAGCTACTCTAACATGATTTCTTTCTACCGCAGTTCGAGGCCTGCGCTTTCTACATTCATTGGCAAATGCCTGTTAAATATAACTATGATTGAATGTATGGATGCGGAACGTGGTGAATGCGACAGAATAAACATACGATTGAACCTCGAGATGATAATCATGATTTTCATGCTACTTAAAAAAGGCCAACGCCCCTATCAAAAAACAAAAGAACCTCGAGTATGCTGACATTTGCACGTAAGCTTCACCATGGAAGGATCAAATCGTAAAATTTTGGAAACCATGTGTGCTTTTGGGTCATGAAATGCAAAGTTTGGTGGTTGGGTCGATGGAGCCTCGCTAAACCGACCCGGAAGAACTCCGCCGGGAACCAAGGGAGGAAAGACCCGGTACGAGAAAAGGGTATCTCATTGATCGGCACCAAATTCGACTTGGAAAGTTTCTAGCAGTCCGCGAGTGACGTGTCGGGTAAAAGGAGAATTGGGTTTTGGAATGGTGGCTGGTGTATTCTTCCTTGTGCCTGCCGGAAATAATATCGAATGCACGTTGCTAGTAGACGGCAGCTAGAAGGCTGCCCACTGAAGCGTTGGGAAAGAAATCTTTGTAATAGGTGTATGATACCATTTCGCAAAGATCGACCGAGGGCAGATCCGATCATTGCAGAAGAGGATCGCGGAAATGCTTCTGGGAGTTGTTGGTTCTTTGGACACGGGCCGTGTAGCGGTTCTCTTGTCGTAGAGCGCGAGTTCTCTCGCGGCGTTCAGAAGTAAGAGCAGTCTGCTTCTGTTCTTCGGTGGCGCCAATCATGCCCATGCCACCGTTGGCACGAGAGACAACAGCACGGTTGCCGTTGCGACCACGAGGCTTCTCCTCATCTTCTTCCACCTCTCCATTCTCAATGGCAAGCTGACGAGCAGCACGCTCGTCGGCGGAGGGGTAGTTGTGCAGGTTCTGGCGATAGTACTTGGCAAGCGAGCGGTGGCCGACACTCTTACCAGAAGGAAGGTGCAGTTCGTATTCATCTTGGTAGACAAGGGGTTGCTTCCGGTTCGAGTCGAGTTCTTCCTCATCATCAACAGAAGAGGCGTCGGTCTCCCATCCTTCGTCGTCACCATCAGAGCCTCGGACCTTGACTCCACCTTTCTCGCCAGGAGACTCCACCATCTCCTCGTCCTCGTTGTCGGAGTAAGTGCTCCGGAAGTCGTAGTACTGCCCGATCTCAACCTGCTCCTCTTCAGTCTCGAAAGCAATCATGCAGTGACCCTTGTCGTTCATGTGAGCGCGGCATCCGGCGGCATTATTGCGGATGGCGTGGCAGTAAAGACATTCAAAGTTTTCGTTGATCTTGCGGTAGAGGTAGTGAACGAGGCCATCTAGATCGGCCAAGAACTCCCATTCGGGAATAAACATTCCGTGTTTCTTCTTCATGTGCTCGACATTGGCGTGAACTTCAGCTGAATCGTTCCGGCAGAAAAGGCAGCGAGACGCCGAGAACTCTTCCTTGTGCATATCCTCATCACCATCTTCCTCCTCTTTGATAGTAGCGGATTTGAGACCATCGGTGACATTGGCGACCTCGTCGTGCGACTTGTGGACTGGCTCACCGAGGGAGAATGTTGAACTCATCACCGACGCATTGTCACCTTCCTTGCTCAACCGAGCCTCGCGCTGCTTGTGCTTGGAGCTCTTGATGTGGTTCTGGTAGGAATTCTCACTGAAGAAGGTCTTCTGGCAGGCGTGGCAGGTCTTCTCAAAAGAGGCCTTAGCAGCGGCCTCGCTCGAGGTGGCCTTGGCAGCAAGGACTTTCTCGTTGAAAGTTTCGAGGGACACGGGCGGCAAAGCAGCGATGCGGCGCTTCATATTGTACAGACTGTATCATTTGATCAGCGGCTATGTTTGAGCTTTTCTATGCGGGGCACTTACTGCCAGTCCTTCCGCATATGATCTCTCTGCGCATCGCTGCGGTGGAAAGCAACGAGACAGGTATTGCAAGTGTAGGGAAGGTTGGCCGCAGAAGCGGCAGTCTGAGTAGTTGTCGACATAGTGTGTCGTCGGATATCGTGAGGAGTTGCAAAGGTCAAGTCTTCCTTGGGTAGAAAAAAAAGTGGATGTGGATCGAAGATTTATCGCTGGCGGGGTATGATGAAATATCTGTCGGGAGTGGATTCTCCGCTTGCACGAAGTCGGAATTTAAAGATCAAAGATTTCGAGGCTGATAGGATGAAACAGCAAGAGATATTACCTCCGGTCAAAGCCAAAGAGTGTCGTTGGAAATGAAATTGTCGGAACCCGATTTGTAAACTTCTCTTATCAACCACCGCACAGAAGACGCCGCTTTACCCTCTTGGGCAGCGGCCCCCTGCACGTGACCCAGACGGAACAAATGATCGCCGAGTCCCCGGACTTCTGCCTCAGGCCATACACCGATGATATCAGGTAAGCTGAGCACCTGCTTCCCAAATGGTTCCCCCAGCATCGGTCATTCTTATCCGACTTTCGATCCCCTGATATTCTCAGTTCGTCTCGTCCGGGTATGCGACAGGGTTTCTCACTATGACAAGGCTCCGCGGAGCTTCTCTCGAATCCCCTGACACGAAGCGACACGGCCGCGCCGGGCGACCCCAGTTCTGTCGGTCCAAGATACCCCCAAATGCACCAGAGGTCGTTGTACAGAATACAGTCGAGGTCTCAGACCCATCCCAGGTCCTCTCATGGTACCGAGATGAACGCAGACGCCGCTTCAATATACTAGTACGAAGGTGAGTGGTGGCGACGACGAATGTCACTTTAGAATGGGGCTGACGGACCTTGGCGGAAAGATACAAAAACCAGTTACTCCATGGATGTGACGATCTCGGATGCCGTACTCCGACCTGCGCCAGTCGTCGCCGACGCGTTAGCGAAGGCCCGTACCGCCGCTATACGGAACTCAGCGCCCGAACTCTTGCCTGTTACCTCGCCAGTCTAGACGATGCGGAGAGTGGCCTATGCTGCAACAATCCGAGATATTCGTCTGGATTGACGATTAACGATTACCATCGCATTTCTTTACAGCGATCTCGTGCGTTCCAGGCCCAGGCCGCGGCAGCCGCCACTGCCACTGCCACCGCCGAGTTGGACAGATCCGCGCGAGTTAGCCAGGATCAAGATACCGAGAATGCAGATAAGGATGCGCTATGTGTCTCACCGACGGATGTACCGACAACAACGAGCCATACAGAAGGACCGGTATCATCTCCCAGCGTAACCCCGAGCAATTATTACTGGCAGGATCTTGACTATGCCACCGAGCAACCACTCAAAGACCCGAAATCCTTCACGCAGAACCTCTTCGATACAATATCATTGCGCATGGTTGAGTGGCTTCCATTGCGCCGAGCACCCGAGTCCTTTCAGGCGAAGACAAAGCATTCCGGATCACTGCCCGATAGTACACCCACGACCTCCGACAAACGACGACGCCATCAAGACACGGAATTCGAGAAGCGGCAACCAAATAAAGAAGGTTCTACTGTCTCTCATTCACATATTGCACAACCTCGCACTCCCTCATCTCGGAACCCCGGAACTCAGTCTCCAGCGGTCGAGCTCAAATTCCAGAACCAACATGTTAAACGGCTGTCACTTACCGAGGTGGAAAATTGGCGACAATCATCGTGGCATACCCTGGATGAAAAGAAACGCTCCGAATACAAGAACAAGCACCTACCGGTGGGCACTCATCTAGCTTCGAATGAGTTTGCCAGTATTCCCTCGCCGCCGGCATTGAAACACCGACCCCAAAAGCATCGTGGAAGAATTGACGGTTTGGACAATACACGCCCGAAGGAAAGATCCAAGGCCCAGCGGCGAGTTTCTTGGGACAGCGAAAAGGTTCTCAATGAGCCCTCGCTCCAAGAAACCCCAAGTCATGCTAGACCTCCCACTCCACAGCCCCAGGTCGACATTGATTCTCCGAGTGACCGGAAAAACAAGCAGAGCTCTCCTCGGAACACACACAATGTGGGCCCTCTGGCTCAGACCATCACGCATTTTACTCCAGAGATCATTAACGGCCTCGAGAAGATCATGATCGAGTCGGAGGAGGATTCAGACAAGTGGAGAGAGGAGTTGGATAGAATTCAGTCTATGGGCAGCTTTGACAATCCCGATTGGCAGTTTGCCACTCCCCGCCAACGTCAGGTGTTTCCCTTCGTCGCTCAGAGTGTCTTTTTCGTCTTCAGCAATAGCAAACAACTGCTACACTCATTTGGAAAAGACGCAATGGACTTGAACGGGTCATTAGAGACACCGACAGACAGTCGTCTGGACGTTTTGAACCTTCGAGACTCCTTACAACGCCTGTTCACCATCTGTCCATGGGATGTTGCATTGCATAGCTTATGGTCAGGTCTCGACAAGTTGTTTTTACCTCCAAATGAATTTCCCTCCTCAACCAGAGCTTCGCGCCGCTCATCCCGCAGTTCCACTATGACCAGTTCTGCCGCCCCTCCCCCGGCAGTGCGACGATTATCGGAGTCTGTACCAGAGGGGCACTTGTCGGATGCCGATGCTGCTTACATTGCTACAATTGCCTTCTTTGTACTGGTTGGCTCGGTTCCGAACCTTGATTCGCAGACCTGGCGTGGGATTTTGCGCATGCGTGCTGCCGGGACTGTGGCTTCGTCCGCGGACATGCAGAAGCTGTCTACCGAGCATGCCCGGCAAGCCGTGGAGGCCACTGATAGACTTGAGCATGAACTGGGTCTCCGTCTGGTCAACCGCCTTGTTCGTGCTCTGACTGCGCGGCTTGCATATCACGAAATTTCCAAAGCGCGCCAAGTGTATTCACTCGACCTACCGAAGCAACGAAAAGTGAGTGTATTAGATCGCATCATCGATAATCTCACCGACCACTATGACATTCAGCGCGGCGCGACCGATGCAAGCGCAGCACCTCAGCCAACCGGCCCTGCCCATTTGATCCTTGAGTGGCTTCGAACACTATTTTTGCGAGAATGGGATGGCAACCCGGAAATGGCTCGGAGTAGTGCTGCTGGCGGCGCTTTGCAGATCATAGCCTTGATGTACAAGGAACGAAATCGATTAGGGCTCTTCCCCGAGGACTTCCAAACACCCCTTCTCGCTGAGCGGCTGGACCCTCTCGAGATGCCCGTCGCGTGGGCGGGCAAACTTTCGAACAATCGCACGATGCATCTCCTGTCATATCCCTTCCTATTCCCCCCGTCATTCCTGGTTATCTATTTCCGCGCTCTAAACTATTCCGCCATGTCCAAGTATTTCGAGGCCGCCATGACCACCACCAGACATGTCACCCAAACCGCCTTTGGCAATATCCATGTCTCCGACGATGGTGGACTCTTGGCTCGCATGAAAGTCTCCATGTCCACATACCTCGTTATTTCCGTCAGACGCGACAATGTTCTTACAGACGCCCTGAACCAGCTCTGGCGACGAGAACGACGAGAGTTAATGCGTCCTCTCAAAGTCCAGATGGGAATGGATGAGGGCGAGGAGGGGTTGGATCATGGTGGCGTGCAGCAAGAGTTCTTCCGTGTCCTCATGGCGGAAGCACTCGATCCGGTCTATGGCATGTTTACCATGGATAGCCGACACCGTATATCCTGGTTCCGGCCCTGCTCCTTGGAGCCGCTCTATAAGTTTGAGCTCCTTGGCCTGCTTATGTCTATTGCTGTCTATAATGGTCTAACCCTCCCAATCAACTTCCCGATTGCTTTCTACCGAAAGTTGCTAGGTCTCAAGGTGAAACATCTGGACCATATAAAGGATGGCTGGCCCGAACTTACTCACGGTCTCAATTCGCTTCTTGAGTGGAAGAACGGCGACGTGAGCGATGTGTTCGTCCGCACCTACGAGTTCAGCTTTGAGTCCTTCGGTCGCGTCGAGACCATTGACATGCACAAGGTTGGCCGTGATGCACCATGGCCCGCTCCCATCAACCATGCTCTAGCATTGTCCGAGCTGCCTTCATCCAACCCGGCGACGTTGAGCCCACCACCGTCCACGGCAGCTGAAGCGGTTGAGGCGACAGCAGTATCCAAGCCCAGATCGTTGTCGATTCAGTCTCCAACTCCGCCAAGCGATGAAGCGCCTCTTGTGACGAACGACAATCGGCATCGATTTGTCAAGGATTATATTTTCTGGCTCACCGACAAGTCAATTCGACCACAGTTCGAAGCATTCCTTCGAGGCTTCCAAACCTGTCTTGACCGGTCAGCCCTGTCTATATTCAGTCCCGAGGCGCTGAAGACAGTCGTTGAGGGTCTCCACGAAATTGACATCAAGGAGCTCGAAAACCATGCTCGATACGAAGGCGGCTTCGGGCCCGATCACCGCGTCATCCGGGACTTTTGGAGCATTGTCCAGCAGTACTCGCCCGAGAAGAAGGCCCAACTTCTGGAGTTCGTCACTGCGAGTGACCGAGTTCCAGTCAACGGAATCCCCAGCATCATGTTCGTAATCCAGAAGAACGGTGTGGGAGATCTGGTACGTTATAATTTTTATTGCCCTTTTTTCGAGTGGATACTAATCCAATATACAGCGTCTTCCGACCAGCTTGACGTGCTTCGGTCGCCTGCTATTACCGGAGTATTCATGTAAAAAGACCCTAGCTGAGAAGCTTGACAAGGCACTTGAAAACGCGCGAGGATTCGGCGTTGCGTAAGGGATCCTGAAGTATCCCCGGAATCATATATACATACCCAAATCTTGTTCAATAGTTGCATGGAATGGAAAAGCGTCATAGCATTGTACAGCTTTGGAGGCTGTCCAGGCATATCTCGGTAGTTATATGTGGATTGAGGGAGTAAAGAGGCATTTGAGAGTCCTGCAGAAATATATTGGAGCAAATAGATCCGAGTAGCTATCGGCCAACCTTCCGTCAATTGTTGAGAGACTGCGTGGGTTGAAATATCCAGGGCAATTGGCGAATCAGATTCAATGGGCTCGCATCCGCCCCATCTGCAACGTGTGGTTCGCCCTGAGGTGATCTGAGCAATTGTGGCGACGCTCAAGAAGGCGGAGTGCTGACCTCCGACTCTTCGCTCTTCAACCTTTTCATAGATCAGCCCTTTTTGAGACTCTCGCGGCTATTGTGTTTCTGGATAGTTTATTGTAAGTCGACCTCATCGCAAGCTACGAGCTGATCCTGCGCCCCCATTCTCCCCCGCTGCCCCGCGTTCCGATAAGAGGCACCTCCAGGGTCCTTCAATCGCGAAAAGCTGTCTACAGGAGCTAACCACGCACCTAGCTTACTGCATTGTCTTGTCCTCTGAACCAGAATGGCTCCGATCATCCACTGCGTCCGCCACGCTCAGGTACGTCGCGCACCTCGCCACCGATCGTCATGCAGAACCCGGCGCGAACTCCACGCGGACATGCAAATAGTATCCTCCACTTGCTCTTTAATTGAGCTAACAACCGGTTCCTATAGGGCATTCACAATCTTTGCACCGCCAACCATGTCATTCCCGACCCTGTCCTGACAGACCTCGGCCATGAGCAATGCCGCAAGCTCCGAGAGGCGTTCCCGGCCCACGCGAATGTCGACCTGGTGACTGCGTCGCCCCTGCGCCGCACTATCTACACAGCATTGGAGGCCTTTGAGCCCGTGTTCAAGGCTCACCCCGATATGCAGCTGATTGCACTTCCTGATATTCAAGAGACCTCCGACGTAGCTTGCGACACTGGCAGTGACCCGCAAGTTCTGCGGGAGGAGTTTGCGGGTAAGAACGTGGATTTGGGTTTGGTGCATGAGGGATGGAATAACAAGGTGCGTTGGAATATTTGGGATACGCCTCGCATGCAGTCTTGCTAATATGCTGTGAACATCAGGCTGGCCGCTACGCGCCGAACAACCGAGCGTTGAAAGAGCGCGCACGCGCCGCACGCCGGTGGTTGAAGGCCCGGCCTGAGAAGGAGATTGTCCTGGTGACCCACGGCGGGTTCCTGCACTACTTCACCGAGGACTGGGAGGACAGCAGCCAGTTCCAGGGTACGTGTCACAGGCTACGACTACATCCCCGGGACTACAGACACTAAATATATCTAAACAGGTACTGGCTGGAAGAACACCGAATACCGCACCTTTACTTTCACCGATGAGGAACACAAGGATGACTTGGAGGGCTGTCCGCTGGACGGTGACAATGCCACCTTGACCGAGACCTTGGAGTCGCGGAAGCGCCGTGGCAAGTCTGGTCCCACTCCTAGCCGTGATCAGCAGAAGACGTTGTACCAGATTGGTACCCAGGGCTGGGATGATCAGGGTCTTCAGCTCAGTACTGCCGAGCGGGAGTCTGCCAAGGTACCTGAGGGTAAGGAGGTGGATGGTGTGCGTGTATAGAGTGTTTCGGGATGACGTCTCAGACATTACTATTGTTCTTTGTAAAGGGACTTGCATGTCTCGAGAAGTTCGATAAACGATAGAGCGCATAGATTCGATTTAGATAGATCAAAAGCAAGCTTTCTTTGACGGGTACTGGGGATTTCGAAACAAATACTCCCGAACACACTAGGCTGTATCAATAAGGCGTAAATACCAACCTGTAAGACTACTGGACGAGAAACAAAGCGTGAGTGGCTGGGGGAAATTGCTCTCGAAACTTACTGTCCGTATATCGAGGTTATGCTTCGAGCACATTGATTTCCAGGGTCGGTTTTGCCTGGTTTCATTTTGGTCTTTGTAGATGCAGCCTTCCGTGGTTTAAGATCGAACAAAGAGATCAAGGACTTACCTTCGAGCTGCCGTTGTATTCTGTGTCATCCGTTGTCAGAGTTCTTTCACCCTTCGCTGTAACAATGTACATAGTCATTCAATTGCACTCGAGACAAGCTCAAACATAGGCGGCAAGGATTCGATAAAGAGTCTAAACAAAGGCGGCCGATGCCATTGTGCGGGCAAATCCATATAAGGCGTGTAAGTTCCCGTTCGAAATAGACTCCAGATTCTACAGGACCATTTACATATCCCGAGTATCTCCAAAGAGCTCACTATGACATCTTCCAACATGTGCACTGGCAGTATACCGCTAAGTACCTTCCCCAAAGACTCCCAAAGCTAACATTATTAGTGTTTGCGCTGTGCCGTATACATGAGCCATTTTGAACTTCACTTGCCTTATTTTCGGGGCAACTACATTTCTTTTTTCAGCTGCCCCTGCAAGGACTAATGCGCTTGTATAGGTCATATTTTCAGCCTCACTTGCTCTATTTCCCAGCTGAGTATATTTTATTATATAAAATGCCCCTAGGAAGACTGATCCTTTTGTACAGTGCCCCTTGCTATGACCTGACAATATAGGTGCGAAGCAGGATATATCTAAACTCAGTGAGTCGCTCCTGCCCAAAGTCGGTGCCAATCAATATCTAAGGCGCACTTGATCGGGCTATCTCAGCGTTCACTTCTGAGTGTGTTTTGTTTTGTTACGGCGATATTCGAAATCTGTTTTACCGCCGCTCTCACTGACGCTCTTATTCATTCACTTCCTAATTTGTCGGGCGAATTCAACATCCCTTGCCGACGCGAATCGAGGCCAAGACAATTGACTGCTTCAACCCGGTTCGACAAACACACAGACAAAAGCGACCAAACTTCGCGATGCTCCCGTCCGACTAAGACTCATTTGGAGTCCAGTTGCATGAGAACAATTGTCCAAAAGCCCCCGTAGAACACTTAGTCTCATCATGATATAGAGACTACTTATGATGGATGGCGTTTCTTAAACGACGCAACTACAACGGGGGCCGCCTCGGTGAGATTTCTTCGTGGCTCAGATAGCCAAATTTACAAGGGCGACCGATCGCTCTGAGCGGTTGTGGATAAACCGAAACGCTATTTTCGAAACTACATTATTCATGAAGTAAGAGGTCAGCGAATCCACAAATTATCACCAGAAGGGCAAGCAGCTATGTATTTAGAAGTGCATGATACACGGAGGCGCAAATGATTAAAATTGCGATTCCTTGAATTTGCTTCCAAAGTTCACTTTGGTCCAATTTCCTTCAATTCCAGAATGGATATTAGAAATATATCCCTAGCAATAGGCACGTAATAGAATAAGCGGGCTATCAAGCTCCGGCGGTCGACACCCGGGTGATGATCGAGATGTTTCCGAAGATTACCATGCAATAGTTACAGGCCTCCATCAGACCAACGATGAAGGTATCTAAGCAGACAGATCCCCTAGATCATGGCACATGCCTTCTACGTCTACTCTGCCGAGCGTCTGTCTGAACACGCCTTCGTTCGTATCCTTCCATCGCTGAAATATGCTCCAGCAGGAAAATTCGGGGTCTTCGCAGCATTCGACAAAGTCCATGTTGCAGACTGACAGGCTGGTGCAGAGGTTCACAGCCATTTCGGCGTCTAGTCGGCTGTAGGCGTAGCCGGGCGACCAAGAACCATAGCAGTTGCCATTGTCATTATATATGTCTGCACGGAGAGCCTGCCGGTCTGCGACGATGACGAGATCCATGGTTTCTCCGTCTGCCACTCCTGTGAGGGTCTTGTCATCGATCGCAAGGAAGAACTGGGGCAGTTCATCCTGGCCCGATTTCACATACTGGTCGGATTCGAAGTACGCCATCAGGCCCGGAATATCGGGCGTCCGGACGAGTTTGGCGGCGTCGATAAACTGCATTGTATCCTCGACCTCGCTGAAAAGCTTCTGGCGGACGTGCCGGAATTGCGTTTCCGTCATCTGGGAGAGGACGAAGCAGCAGTAGTCGGTCTGGGCGGTGAAGAAATTGAAATGGTCTGGGCAGGGCACAACTTCGAATGGACATTTCCTCGCCCGCAGAGGGCCGTCGAAGAGCGTCGTGTTAACCCTGGCATTGTTGAGCCGAGTGCCGCGCCTACCGTGCTCGAAAGGGTTCCAGATAGCATGCCAGAAACCCAGAGCATCTCCTATGTCGCGCAGAGTGTGTAGGAGGATTGGCCTCCGGCCCGAGAAAGTCTTTTGTGCAAGAATGATGCAGTAGGCTCCATCACGCGTCTCGTCTTGGTCGATAAACATGGAAAACGTCTCGTCCACAGCTTCCTGGTAAGGGGGCTTTGTGGCTTGGAAAATCCGATACAACTCCGCTCTAGAGCAAGGCTCCCGATCCGCGGGCCAGTTGTAAACGACGACATGAGGAATGTCAACGGAGCCGCCAATTGCAGCCTTGATTTCATCCCTCTTCTCGTCGGTGAGGTGAACGAGAGAGATCAGGCCCAAGGTTGACGGCTCTGGTTTGAGATCGGAGGGTAAATGAGGGGGAAGCCAGCAGCTCGCCTCAGGCTTGTCGTCCTGTCCCTATTAGATATGATAATTTGGTGTTAGCACGGATCGATCAAGTGGTAACATAGGTGATGAAATGGTGCCTGAGGTTTCAGCGCCCATCGCCGCCTGTAGATAGACCTTCCCTTCTGGGAGATCACTTAGGAATACACTCATCTGCTCTCGCTTCTTCCTTCCTAGTGATCTCCACGCTCAGGTCATTGCCATGGCGTTCTCCGACTTCCCCTGAGTCTAGCCGCCATAATAGGACATCTCCAAGTTTCACTCACCTCTATGGTATTTGAAGGGGACCCCCTGAGGTCAATTTTAACGCTCTCAAAATCTGGCAAGACTTGAGCCAGTGATTTCTCAGATCCCAAAGCCAGAGCCAGAACAGCTCTGTTCATCGGTACCCGCGCAGCCTCTCCACCCTCCTGTTCACCCCTGAGGACAATGGCGGTGCCATCCGTGACGGACTGTCTGTCTACAAATATCAACGAAAGCCAGTGGCTAGTCGCCCTATAGATCTGGAATATGGTGGATGGTATCGACGCTGGCGACGGCTCGGAGTCGGAGAGCCAGGGCACTTCAGTGAGGCGTCGCACCAGCCTATGACGATTAGAAGCTGGTCGGTCCTCCACCCATGTCTTGTCAACAGAGCACAGCTCGTCGAGTATCTCCCGTCTCTGGCTCTCTTCCAGCCAACAGAGGAAGACGACGTTTAATGTAGGTGGAGCACCATAACCAGGTGGCTTAACATGGGGCAATTGCCACGAAGGGAACTCTCCAGCATGAGAGGCCATGGCGATGCGGATCTAATATGTTTGATGCTGCTTTGAGAACTCGTCGATTGGTAACCTGTCCCCCGGGAGGAGGGGTTAGGTGATTATAACACGTGATCATCAAGGGCACGTATACAAGCCAACTCCGCGGCATTTTTAAACCAGTGCCGAAGTTCCACAAAGCCTTGGTATAAAGACTGTCTTCCTTTCGTACTAGCCATCTCGTGTTGTGAACCAACACACTTCGTACTTATATACTGCTGAACACGGGCTGTTTTATAGTAAGCCCATATGCCCTATCATGGTTTCGAATACGAGCCGACAAACAAAGCATAAGTGTTTTGGAGGTCAACTGTTCTCAAATTTCCCTGTAATCTGTCTTCGAGTTCTAATGTACCATCTAACGCCATTGTGTTTTATCATGTCATCTTCATTACCTTTTTCAAACCCTGCAGGGAGACTGGTTTAACGAGGTAGTCATCTAACCCCACCATCTTAGCCTGTTGCTGCATTTCATCTGAAGCGACCCCAGTGACAGCCATGATGCAAGATGCCGGCCTGCACGTCTCCTTTTCAAACAATCGAATGTTTTTCGTAGAATCGAGGCCATCCATGACAGGCATTGAGAGGTCTGAGAACGCTGGGTTAGATAAATATCCTTGAGATAATGTGAGGAAAACTCACCCATTAAAACGTATGTGAAGGGTTTGTCGGACTCCTTGTACTTATTCAAGGCAATCAGCCCATTTGAAGCCGTTTCGTAGCTGCAGCCCAATTTACGCACGAAGGTGGACAGGATCTGTGCACAAACCTATCAGCATATGAAGAATAAGGTGAAAAGGGCGGAGGTACCTTGAGGTTGATGTTGTTGTCATCTACAATCAAAACGTGTATTCCATTATCCTTTCCAGTCGATGGCTGGGGTGCAGCAGGGGCAGGAGGAGGGGGAGCGGGAGCGGCTTCATGTGGCGTTGAAGTTCCAGGATCAGGCGGAGCATCTTCGTTGGTATTGGGCGCTTGGGCTGACGAAGTCTTAGTCTCGGAAGGTATGAGTGAGACTCCAGGGTTTTTCAAAGCGGACTTGATAGCATTGACTAGCTTGCGCGGGCCATATCTGTTGCAGGTTAGTTATGTCGCTAAGAACAAAGGATCGGCGTATACACACGGATAAGAGACGTGAATGAAATTGGCTTGCACATGATGTCCTGCAGTTGACTTTTTCTCACCCAGCACGATAAATCGCTTGATCCTGGATTGGGCCACGGATGAAGAGTCGGCCTGAACCAACTGCTGCAATTTTGTGTCCTCGATAATCGCAACATCGCCATCCGCTTTCTCTAAACCCTCTGCAAATGAAACGCTCCAATTGGGCTGCGCCAAAATGACACTGCTAAGAGAGTTTTGAATCGACAATTTGCGTTTGTTTTCTGCGCTCAAAATACCGGTGGGTATTTCGTTCAAGTCTGGGCAATCGTTGAAGCCGACAAGACATGCCCGAGTGGCCGAACTCGAGTCTGGTAATTCATCGTTGGGATCTAATCCCGAGCCATCCTCCTCGCAGGAATGGACAGGAATGTAAGCATCCACTTGCGTCCCTACACCCAACTCACTTTTCACATCGATATGACCCCCAAGAAAAGCGACGAGCTTGCGCACAAGATTGAGTCCGAGCCCAACGCCTTCTGAAAGGGGATCTTCCTGGGAAAACGGGGAGAAGACCGAGTGTCTGAGATAGTCGGGGGATATTCCTCTGCCTGTATCTGTCACTGACAGATGGGCCAGTACAGGCTCGGAGCCGCCGGCCCTGATACTGGACAGGGATACCTCGATGAGACCGCCTTTGGTCCACTTCATGGAGTTTCCAAGAAGACTCATGACAATTCTTCGCCAAGCGCCCGCCACCGAGCTCACCTTCCATGCACTTTGCTGCTCGACCCGGACGACAATAGAGGGTTTTTCTGTATCTTTAGAGTTCGAGGATCCAGCTGGGACCCCCAGGGAGCCTTGAGCTTCGGATTCAGAGTTTTTCATCCCCCCTGGCATCTGTGAAGTGGACATAATTTCAGTCACTTCCTCTACTAATATGCCCAGGTCAAAATCAGTTATCAGGCTCGTCATGTCTGGATTGAGCTTGTCGCCTCCTTGGAGAACCGGTGTTGTCAAATTATTAATCTTTGTAAAGTCCAGTCTAATAGATGTTAAATTAGCAAGAGGCTTTTGGGAATTCCCGGACCGATACTAACAGGTGGTTCACGACGTCCAATAGCGTTAAGCCACAGGCTTCAATCATCTTGACCATATCGGCCTGACCTGGATCAAGGGCTGTCGCCCGCAACAGCTCAGTATTGCCAAGAATTCCATGAAGTGGGGAACGAAGCTCATGGCTGATGGAGGAGATGAAGTTCGATTTGGAATTCTCCGTATTATTCCAATCGACTCTGGCAACCTCGGAGATGATCGAGTTGCTGAAAGCCTTGAAGAATCCGAGTTCTTGCATACCCAAGGCACGCTGCATCTTTCTCGTCCAAAGGAGGGTCCCTGCCAGCCAACGTGATTTATTCCAGTCCCACAGTGGGAAGAAAAGCACCGAGTCAGCCTCGGGAAGTTGTTTAGCTAGCTCACAGGTGATGTCGCGGAGAATGTTAAGCTCGGTGATAGAGTCTTCCCCTCCACTCTGGTAGGAAAGGTAATGGCTATCCGTAACTCCATCACCCAACATGAAGATCTGCCCGTGAGGGAAAGCTGCAATCATCTTCTGTAACAATTGTTCCGTCAAAACGATTTCAAGACCGTTCTGACCATCTTTCAATGACCTCGTGAAAGCTTGTCCTAAAATTTCGCATGATTTTTGAGATTCCTGCGGCGGTTTTCCATCGCGGTTAAGGCCCAACTGAACCGAATTTAGGTTGTTAAGAAAGCCGGAATGTAATGGTTTTGACGAGGGCTGCCAGGCAGCCAATGATTCAGGCGATTGGCTACAATGATCAGATTATATCAATAAACGGAGAAGTGGGGGTACTAACGTTCCAGAGTTACTTTGAAATGCATCTACGAACATCACTCCATCAAGGTCCATAGAGTCTCTCAAGATGACACTGGCACGAGAAAATATGGATGCGATAGACCGAGAAATGGCCAGGCTGGAATATGAGTTCGTCTGAGGGTTGGCATCATTTCCATCGGGTCCAGTCACCTCGTCGGCATTCAAAAGGTCATCGTGCAGGGAGGCCGAAGTGGTTTCGGTATGATAAGACTTCCCCCTGCCGGAGGACAATGGCGATGATTCAGCCGTGATTTGCGTTGAAGTCTGATCTTCTCTTTGCGTTGAAGGTGACACAGCAGGCTCATTCCTGCCATCCGAGTCGGTTTGAACAGCAAGATTTGCGAAAGGACGTAATTCTTTGAGTTCGGTGTCAGGGTCTGAGTGATCGGTGACAAGATCAGTCACTCCTTTCACCAGTTTCTCAGCTCGGCGATGAAAGTGGACAATGCGAGTGCTTTCTAGGTATTTTGCCAGGGCATCTGCAATTTCCTGCAACAAGGCAACCTCGGTATCCCCAAATTCAGAGCGCGGCTCGTCGTCCACGACACAATAGGAACCCAATACGTGACCGGACGGGCTAAACAAAGGCACCTCGGCGTAGAACCGCATATGGGGCCAATCGACCACGTAAGGCCGATCCCTAAAACACTCTTCATCGGCAAAGTTGCGAATAATGTATCGGGTACGATTGGCAGTGACATTAGGGGTATCGATTTCTAGCGAGGTGTCTTGAGCTGTGAATAACTTGATTGTATGAGGACAAACCCCCCAGGAGAGATCTATGGTTCTGGAGCCCAGGTATATGCCATCGTCTGGCAAGTGCTGGTCCTTATGTCGCAAAGATATAGAAGTCGTCGTTTCGGCAATGATGTGTTGGTTCTTGCCATCGATAATAGAAATAAAGGACCGATTACACCCAAACCGATAGACACCTAGTTGTGCGATGGCGTTGAGTGTGATGTCGGGAGAGAGGTAAGCTGCTCCAGGCTGCCCATCTCCCGTCGGTGCAACCTGGCTGGACGACTCGTCGGTGCCGGGATGGCTGAAGGTGCAGTAGTATCTATAAGCAGAGTATATGTCAGCATCATTAGTGTCGACGAAAACCACGGTACATATGCTCAAATCGTTAGACTCACTTTGACAATTCGCGGATGCGCTCGCGCTCTGCCAGGGACGTTGGGGGGTGATCCGGCGCACGGGCCGCGTACAAGGCCATGCTTCCTTTGTAAAACGGGTTGTAAACGTCTTTGTAGAGAAAAAAAGAGCAGGAGAAAGCAAAATCAATGCTTCCACTTCATGGAGGCTTGTGAAGGTGTAAAATTGGAATATCGAGTGGGGAGTGCATAAGGAGGGGCCACGCCTCAATTGCGGGAATCGTATCCCAACAAGCCGATTGGCAAATGTAATCAAAGCTCCACAAATTCGCCACTAGATTCTGCCGGTTCTATCCTATTCAACTGGCCACTAGGACCTCTCAGATACCATCACGGTGTCGAGGTAGGTAGGCGGTTGGATGGAAGTCACTGCGGATCCTGGATTCTTGATAACATCTGCAGTCAGGCTATAGCTACTGCTTTACCATTGAGTTGATCATCGCTTCTTCGGATTGGGGTCGCCGTAACTCAGTGCCATTCCATACTTCCTCAGAAGGTAGTCCAAGACAGCCCCGAATCTTCGATTGACATCGTGTAGTAGCTCGATTACATAGAACAGACTGAGCACCGAATTTTATAACAATCCTTTATTTGAATTGATGACGCTTCTGCTGTCTCCAAAGGTCAATACTGCTAGTAGGAGCGAGTGGAGAAACGGCGTTACAAATTAGATAAAGGTAGGATACTTAAACCTATGAGTCCCTCTAACTAGTTATGACTAGTGGAAATAGCTATTTACCTATCCCCTTACGAAGTCCCACCCCTAATCTCATTAAAAATTTCTAGTCTCTATGATGTAGCGACATATCGTTAGTCGCGATAGAATTTAGGGACCTAGACCAGTTCAATGCTAAGCGACGACTATCTTAGAGAAGAATCGCCGTCTTATCGAGGTAGGTGATCACATCTAGTCGTCACAGCATTGACCTAAAAATCCAATGCGCCGATACTCCAATTAAAATTGTTGATTTATGTCAATCTACTTTTTTCTATCCATATCTTGCCTTTTCGTAAGATCCCGCCCCCGTATCACATGCACAAAAAAGAAAAACGCAATCGCTACCAGACACTCAAACCAACAGCTCAAAGATGTGACGTTTAGTCAACGTACTTGGGAAGAGACTTGAGGACGCCATCGCGGGAAATTTCCTCCAGAGCGGTGGTCATGGTCTCAACGAAGCGCTTGTCGTTGCGCAGGTCGTCACCGAACAAGTTTCTAATCTTAAGCAGTTCCATAGGGTTGGTGCCTCCAGCACGAGCCCTAGTCTGGAGCTCCTCGAGCATGGGGTCAACGACCTCGAACTTGTTGCCGTTGTCATCGACGCCGTGGATGTAGTGGAACCAAGCGGCCGCGGTGAAACACAAGCGACGGAAGGGGCCAGTAACCCAGATAGCCTCAGCAATGGTGGGCATGATAAACTGGGGAATCTTGCCAGTGCCGTTGGAGCAGATACGGGGTAGCTGGTCCATGATCGGGGGGTTGGAGAAACGCTCCACCAGTGTCTTGCAGTATTCATCGATATTGACACCGGCAATTTCTGGGAGGGTAGCCTTCACCTCCTCCTGCATCATCTGCCAGACAAACTTGCTGAACAGTGGGTTCTCCATGACCTCGTGCACGTACTTATAGCCTGCCAGCTGGCCACCGTAGGCGATAATGGCGTGGCTGCCGTTAAGCAGACGTAGTTTATGCTTCTCGAACTCCTCGACATTTTTAACGTTCTTGACAATCTGTACCCCGACCTTCTCGAATGGTGGGCGGCCGTCACAGAAGTGGTCCTCGATAACCCACTGCATAAAGGGCTCCGTGACGATAGGCCACGAGTCCTCAATGTTAAAGTCCTTTGCGAGAGATACCTTATCGGCGGCGGATGTCTGAGGGGTAATGCGGTCGACCATCGCGTTAGGGAAGTGACCGTTCGTGTTGATCCACTCCGCGAGCTCGGGGTTGCGTAGACGGGCAAAAGAGACAAGCATATTACGGGTGATAGCGCCATTCCCCTGCATATTATCGCAGGACATAACAGTGAAGGGGTTCAGTCCCTGCTCACGGCGCCGTGCCATACCATGGTAGAGGAAGCCAAAAGTTGTTTTAGGGGCCTTATCGTTGGCAGGGTCGAGGTCATGCTGAATGTCGGGGTCCTCGCTCTGGAGTTCGTGCGTGTTCTCGTTATAGTAGTAGCCGCTCTCGGTGATGGTAAGCGACACAATATGGGTATCGGGGTGTCCTAGCTTGGCAATGACAGCCTCGCGGTTGTCAGGGGCAAAGAGGTAGGAGTTAATGCTGCCCATCACTTTGGCAACGCTGCCCTTGGCGGAACGCTCAACGATGGTGTAGAGGTGGTCTTGAGAACCCAAGGCGTCGCGCATGCCGACGTCGAAGGGCTGCAAGCCAACTCCACAAATTGCGTAGTCGGTCACTCCATGATTCTGCATGAGCTGGTTGACATAGACAGCCAGGTGAGCTCGGTGGAAGCCGCCGACGCCAATGTGGACGATCCCCTCCTTGACAGCGTCGCCACGCTGGTAGGTAGGGATCTCAAGCGGCACGCTGGCTGCCGTGGAGATCTGAGACAGGTTCTTGCTGTTAAGCTTCAGGACTCCCATTGTGAAAAATTGGTATGAATTGAAAAGTTGAAAGGGGGAGGAAAATTGGATAGCTTTTATTGAATGGCCGCAAGCAGCTGTATGTATTTTCACCGCCACCCGGTGTTGGTAAAAGTGGGGAACAGCCCACCTCATGAGTTGGGCAGTGGTGGGGACCCCGCGGGCAGAACGAATGAAATATCCATGCGCATGGCCCCTAATGCCTAGAGGCTATCTTTTTGCGTCACGCGGAAAATTCTAATCTTTGGGCGACAGAGCTCCGACTCATCACCGAAAGAAGTAAAAGTCAATCCCAAAAATATCCACGAGACCGGCCAGAACACGATGGTCCCCTGCGCCCACGTTCTAGAACCCTTCTATGGTTTTACCTACCTAGGTCAAAAACCCCCTTGGAATAAAGAAGCGGGAACTTTGGAAGTAAACTTGATCTTAGTAATCTATCAGACTTTTTTTTCAAGATGGCAAACAGCCAAAATAGGAGATCCCGTAGAGCTCCCGTTGAAACAAGCCCCGCCGGGATCGCCACAATCCCGGGGACCCGTAAGTCACTTCCGAGTTGGCCACACCGCCGAGTGGGCCACCACATCCCACCGTGTTAAATGTTGATTTTTACAATCTTAGGTCACTCATTTCAATCGATTGAAGAAAATGCAGACCATCCAGTAGTTGTAAGCACGATGGTTGGATGTAAGCACAGTGGCTGGATACATGTAACGCAATATTCCGATGCAAATTCTGACGTCGGCCTCTGCGCGCCTCCCTAAGATCAACGGTGGCGAAGGTAAATGTAGCGCCCTGTACTTTGTAATCGGCGAGACAGAATGCCGCATCTATTTTCGCTCTCCCATTGCAACGTGACCCACTTTCAAACGATTTCCATGGAATCTCCGGGCCTTTCTAGCAAATCCTTTCGCCAATCGCGCTACCGTACAATACAGTAGAAGACATGCCTATCAGAAATCGTAAGAAGGGAAAGAATCCTAGTGGGACGCGTCATGGGGATTTGCGATCACCCTTCACGAACGGATTGACCGCAGCCACTAATTTGGCTCACGAAGAGCTCCCAGAGAGCCTACATGTACAGTAAGAACTCATTTTCGACGATCATGTGTTTTGTAGTTCTAAGCCTTTGTTCATACCAGGATACCAGACGTGGAAATTATTTATATAGCAACACGAGACTAAGACGAAGGCTATAGCTACCATCTAATTACATGAAGATCGTTCAATGACCAATCCACATTAGAATCGTGCAGGAAACCCGAAGCAAAATTCAGGATTAAGCATTATTAAGGAAATCATGTGGAGCGTGGGTATTATCTGCATCGACATCTGTTTCCCTCTGGAGTTCGTCTTTCCCTTTATCTGCTTCTTTCTGTCCTCCGGAATCGTCCTTGTCATGCAACGTAGATTCTCCAAGTTCAGCAGGCAAATCAGAGTACGTTGTATCCTTTCGTTGATCCAGCTCTGCAGTTCTGTAAGATCTTTCCGTGCTACCACCCGGCAGCTCGTCATCCCGGGGAGCTTCGGAAGTATTCCCTAAAGTCAACGTCAGTCGGAACGATCCTATGGCATCCACCGCTCTTCTGGGTGACGTTTAGATACTTACGGGGGCAACATGCTGTGGCAACACTAGACGTGCGCAAAGTGCGCACATATCGGCGGAAACCTTCGGGCGTAGAGGATGCTCCTGCTGTCAAAACGGTTGCAGCGGAGAATCCAGCCGGGCAAAAAAGGCCCGGATCATAGACGGGTTTGCAAGTTGCATATACCACCCGTGAATTGCGTTTGGGGCCAGATATATCCCTTCACTTCAGACTTTTATCCTATACACATTCTCTCAGCATAGTCAAGACCGCCCCTGATCACCGCCAAGTCGCCACCCCGAGTCAACATAATATCCCTCTTTTCCAAGGCACAAGCAATGTCCTTCTTCCCAGCAAACCAATCATAAGGAACAAAAAAGTGCTCGAAGACCTCGGTTCTTGGGGAATCTTTGCTTTGCACAATCTCTAACCTGCTCTCGCTAAGATCAACAGAGCACACCCAGAAAGACCGGTTCAGGAACACGAGTTTGCATTCATGAATGCCGATAACATGGGCAACACTAAGTTCGAATGCCGTCATCTGCAAACAAAGCGGAGCGGCTAGACTTGATGTCGTGAGCATGTTCTCTGCTTCATCTGTGGCATTTTGACCAAATGTTACCGCAGCATCTAATTGCTTGCCTTCGAAGTCGCTGAAATCATTTTGTACGATTGTAAGACAGTCCGCATCAATTATCGCAATCCTATTGACGTTGGCGGAGATGCCCGGATATAACAAGTCGAGCATAATTCTTCGTTTCGGACCTAGCGAGTATAGGGTCGCATTTTTGAGCTCTGCCGTTTCGTTATCCAACGACAATGCAAAAGACGAAATTTCAGACCAGTCGCTCCAGCAGTAGGTGCAGACTTTGACATTGTATACACAGATCAGATGTAGAGAGGATTCCGGGTGAGGGAGCCATTTGCGGGCTCCTGGCATTTTTGGGTATGTCTGCTGTCTCTCATACTTACCGCTGTCCAGACTGAACAGGTGATCAGATTCGCGAGTCGATACCAAGAACTTCCCTGCTATGTCTCCGACTAGCACATCTCTGATTGCCTGTTCGGAGTCGAGGCGGGACTTGAAGATTATCTTCAGGTTGCCGGGCCAACCTTTGTCCGCTGACTTCTGAAGTTTGTGTAGGAAGATCATATTGGAGGCATCGACGCTAAGGAGGGCATCCCTTCTCTTGATCCAGACCAACAGGCGGACTGGTGACTTGTGGCTGTAGAGAGTCACTAAGCTCACTGCCGTTTTCCGCTCGTAAAGTACGACTGATCCATCATCCTTCCCGCAAAAGACAATTTCGGACATGTGATGGATTGCCATGGCAGTGATCTTTGCTTTTGCCTCTGTGGAAACGGTCTCTACCACTGTGGTGAAAGTGGTCCCGCTGCTGCCATCGCTCAGGGACTCTCGCAACAGAGCTTCAGGTTCCCAGACAGTGCACTGGGTGCCTCGTATGTCGGCAAGACGCATACTGTCTTTGGTGAAGGCAAGCTGCTTAATAAAAGAGTTGGATGATTTGACCCGATAAAGGAGCTTGAACGTATCAAATTCGTAGACGTGGATAATACCATCTGCACCACCCGCTGCCAAGAGGCGCCCATTGGGGCTTGGGGCGAGGGTTTGGCAGTTGGCACGAAAACATTCCAGCTGCTGATCGGCAAAAGGGTCGAGGAGGGCAAGATCACCATCAAGGTATGTTACTGCGAGAAGGCTAATGTCAGGATTAGGGTTGAAAGCAAGCGCGACGACGACATGCGTGCTGGTTTCTCCGCTGGAGAGTTTCTTGCCACAGCTACCAGCGAAGACGTTCTCTTCCATGTCCCAAAGTGTGATGGGCTGGCCACTGTATGCAACAGCAAGAATCCTGTGGTTGGTAGAGAGAGTAAGTGCGCATGGGCTCCCACGCGGAGACGTTCGGTTCGTCTCTGGCTTATCGGTATTGCACCATGGTATGCGCACCAACGCCGGCTCGGTACCGTATCCCAGATCCCAAGAAGCGATATAGTTATTACCACTCGCAATTAAAAGCGTCTCGCCATCGAAGTCCATAGCTAGCGGACGCGGAGGGCCAACAAAGCTGTGCACAACTTCGCCACTTCTGATGTCCCAGATCTTGACCATCCGCCTACCACAAGTTGCTAAGAGGTCCCTTTTGATCGCGAAAGCAATGAATTCGATCCCTGCACCGTGCTCCAAGATCTTGTATTCCTGGTAGGATGTGACATAGTACAATACGACGGACCCTGAACTGAGACCTACGGCCAAGAATTCGTCTCCATAGCGTAAGGCCCTCGGTTGACCCTGACGAAAATCCATGCACAGCAGCCTGTCATCCCATTGCTTGCTAAGAGCACCAAGAACTGCGAGCCTCTGGCCTGAACCTCTGGTGGCGTATATCATAGACTCGGTGGGACAGAAGGGAGGTATCAAAGAGTATATTGCTGATGGTGATACCATGAGAGCATTGGCGAACATGGCAGGAATCCGAGCAAGGTCCGTGATCCAATGTCGTATACCTCGTATCCGAGGGTCTAGTGAAGTACGCTCGATGGCGCATGCGTTGACGTAGGTTTTGAGATGTTTTGAGGCGTGGATGAGGTGACTGAGATTTTGAGAGTCGGCGATCGTTTCCATCCAAGTGAAGACATTACATCTCAGGAACTGCACGACAAGCTGGAATGTCCCAGCCGCTAGCGGATCAGCTCTTGAGAGGTGATATGAGAAAGATGTGTATGCATAGCTGGCGAAATCAAGTCTTCTTGCTGGCAAACTTGGAGGCGAACGGCGTCGTGTGTTCCTCGGAGGCTTCATTTCCTGCCCGGCAAGGTACTCAAGACACACATGAGCCATCCGTGTATGCGCTTTAGTTTTCTCAATGGAAAACTCGGACTCAAGTCCATCGCCCACAAGGAATTCTCTGGCAGTTTCATGCACCATGTTAACTCTCCCATATTTGTCCACGACCACTAGTTGACCACAGAGCGCGGCGATGCTCTCTTTTAATCTTGGGAATGAGTCGTGTATTTCAAGAGTCAGAGCACCGTCCAGTTCGCCGATTGTCATTGGTCGAATTGCGCATACTGCCCACATAAGAATAGTTTTGGCCAGGTTCTTTCCGCGAGTGACCTGCGACATGGAGGTTAAAGTCCGCTTGTATAGTGATTCCATGCCTCTCGGTACATCTTCAAGAATCTGTTGGATTTCCTTCTTGCTGTGGCAGCATAGGAGCTCCTCAAGCACCAGGATTGTCCACAAGAAGGATCCCTTAGATTTGTCTAGAATCTTTTCGGCTAATGTATCTTGATCGTCAGGTCCCACGACTGTTAAGGCTTGAGACTTCTTTTCAATTAAAAGCCTGAGATCTGACTCTGTGTCTGTTTCCGAGATTGGCAAAGTCTGAACTAGGTTGGGTGGGATGATCGAAAAGCCTTGGCCCAGATTGACCGTATCCCGACTTGTCACAAGGATCCTCAGGGGTATAGACTCGCCCATGTTGGAAAAGATAGCCTGAAAAAGGATTGCGGGATTGGAACATTCGTCCAGAGCATCTATGACCCAGTAATGCCGAGTCATTGGGGTCTGAAAAATACCGGAAAGGAAGAGCAATCTCCAAAGAGTGCGTTCGTCGGCAGAATCTAAGCAAACGCCATCCGCCTGCATCCTTAAAATGGCATCACCGGCTTCGATATGGGAGCTAGCCATCTGAAAAGCGAGAGATCGAAGACAACGACCTAGGTTGGACTTTGACTTGTCTCCATGTCGGAAGAAAAAGTAGCTGCATGCCCGACCGGACTCCTTGAGCTGATCTACGATATAGCCAGAGAGAACGGACTTCCCCATTGCTGGCTTGCCATTGATCCATAAAGTCCTGGCATTTCCGGATTTCCCATCTCTCCATTTAACGTAAGCGGCTTTGGTCAAAATCCATCCACACGACCCGTCCATCCGAGCTTCACAGACGTTTGTAAGATCGTTGTCTGAGATGTCGGAAATTTTCAGGTATATCTTGAGGTTTCTGGTCCTCTCAAGCATTTGCTTCCCCTTCCGCTCCAGAATTGCCGTGGCAATTGTTCTCACAGTAGAGGCGAGCGCATTTCGTAGTTGGGCGTAGTTGGAGTCTTTAGGTGTGTCAAACTTGCATATCGTGCGGTGATCAGCAGTCATGGGAATCTGCTTTTCTTCTCGATACCCGAGGACGGCCGACTCAGGATTGACAATGAGTGAGCTAAACATTCTCATTTTTTGCGTTTCATAGAACGACCACAGCTCAAGTCCGGCAGAGAAATGCCGGAATTCGTCATTGATCACTTGGATAGCCTCAGAGTTTGGTTCCAGATCGCCAACATAAGCGCGATCGAAAGCAACTTTGAGGAGGTTTTTCAACATCTTTGCCGAGTCGGAACCTCGATGCGGCGTGGCGAGGAAATAGAATGCAGCGAATCGCCCCGACAGCTGCTTGTGCACTGCATCCTGTTTCGCCAGGATATATGCTTTCTTCATCACCAAACCACCCATGCTGTGGCCGATGACAACGATGGTCGTCCCGGAATTGGCAATACATGGAGAACTGCTTATCGCGCCTAGGAATGACTTGCCAATATGATGTATATTCAAGCAGTTCTCCTTTCCTTTCAAGTAGTACGAATCGTATCCATAGCTATGAATGCGGACATTCTTGAATGCGGGATCTTTGGAGAGCCACTCCTTTGGCCAGAAATGAGACTGCAGGGACGACTTGCTCCATGTTTTTCTAGAACTGCCGCCTAAGCCATGGATGAAGATGCAGTCGATCTCCGGCTCCTTTGGAGAATATAGGAGGTTGAGTCCAAGCGGGCCCTTCACGTCCTCAGCTTGATCGTCCGAGGTGGTGGACGTCGTGGACAGGGTTTTTGATAAAGAGAGCAGCTTCCATGAGCTCTTAGTCGAGTAGTGACTAACTGGAGGACTGTCGGGGTATATGTCAGGCTTCGGGCGCCGCTGCTTTCGAGAGAACTAGTACAGTTAGCGACCGGGTAGAATTGAAGTTATCCGGGGCCAAGGATGTGAGACTTAACCATTGTAGCCCACAAAAGCCAGTGCGTGGGGCGCTAACATCGGATGCCCGGACTCATCAAAGGTGACGTCGGCACGCTGATCTGTCAATCAAGAGAACAATGGAACAATGTTATAACGGGAATTACTTCAGAAGAAATTCTTGGTGATGCCCAACACCTCGCGGTCAAAGCACATAGCACGAGGCTGGCTCTCCCTTCCCCGCTGGAACCACGAATCAGCTGGCTGTTTCAACCGCCCGTCCATCCCCCGCTTGTTAAGGGAAAACGGCATGTGTTTACCCTTAAAAATTCACGCAATCTCCAAGAACACCCCATCAACCTGTACCGTCCTTGCCATCCATTGATGATGCTCTGTTCATTTCATCCATAAGAGGGTTCTATGCGCATTGTGTATTATTTCAAAGAGTCATTTTCTTATGGGTTCCCAGCCGAACCCGACCTTTGCGGTTGGGGATCATGAGGCTTTCATGGAGTTCGCTCTCACTCAGGCACAAAAATCACCGCCAGCTGCCAACAAATTCTGCGTCGGAGCCGTACTTGTCGACGCGGCTAAAGGCAAGGTTCTATCGACAGGGTACTCGCTTGAATACCCGCAAGACTACAAGGGAGATCCAGGCACCACGCCAGTGTTGTTTTATCAAGATCGCCGACGAGCACAAAATCCCCGAGGAACGTATCCATGAGGTCCTTCCGGCCAACACGGCGCTGTACACAACCATGGAGCCGTGCAACGAGAGACTCAGCGGCAACGTGACCTGCGCGACAAGGATCTTGAGACTTAAGAGCGCTATCAAGACTGTCTACGTGGGAATCAAGGAACCCGGGACGTTTATCGCGCACAATAATGGACAGGAAAGGTTGGAGGCAAATGATGTCAAGGTTGTGTTTCCTGTGGAACATTGGCGTGACAGAATTACCAAGGTCTCAATGACTGGGCACTGAGGTCTAAGATTGGATTAGCTAAGAAAATAAGGTTGCGGAAAACCGGGACGGCCTCACAGCTCTTGTTTACATGAACCTCTCAAGGTGATTGAGGGAGATATTGGCAAATAAAATATGTTTCTGCGGCCCCTTTTCTTCCTGCGACTATCTGCCTACCTTTTGTTAGTTTAAACACCTACTAGATAGGCTTAGCTTTACCGCTTCCTTCACCGCTTCTAACCTTCTCCCTCATTTCGTTCTTGCTCCAGAGTCTCTAGCCTCCTCCGCTAATACATCCTCTCCATCCCTATACTTCATCTTCGCTGATACTTAAACCGATCATTTGGAAAATACCGACAGGAATCATCAAAGCAAGGTGCGGGCACGTTCACAGGGGGCAGGATACCATAGGGCATTGCGTGACTTGCCTCGCATTGCAAAGACGTAGGCAGAAGGGAATTAGAGTAATCAGCGCAATCAGATGTATACAGACTAAGTCAGATAGACGTATATTGATGGAGATGGAAATAGATGCAAAAATCTCAGTCGTACAAAAGGACTGATTTATCTTATCCCGTATACTGCCAGGAATGATAGGAATCGTACAAAGAGCCACGCTCGGCGTGTTGCGTCAAATTTTTGGATTTTTACGACCACATCCTCTTTTGGAACATTTTCATCGCCTTATTTCAGAGCCAAATTGTTGTTTTAACAAGTAGCCCGCCCCAAGAATTGAGATGGAGCTTTGACCACGATGTCTCATTACGTCTTTAGGCCTTACTCATAGGCTCAATAAGCTATAAGAAGTTCAGCGCTTTTTGATGGTACTATACTAGCCTCTTCTTGTTGAGATTCGATGTGGTAATCTATAGCACTTACTATCTAGGCACGGGTTCGGGCAATCATCTAGGCACCTCGCTTAAAGGACTGATGTCGGCGGAATTCCTATTTCTGATTAGCTCGTCATCGGTTCCACACTCAACGGGTCCGTATTTATCTGGCAAATGCATCAGGCCGTCTTTTTTTTGTACCTGAAATCCATTCATGTACATATAGAAGCCATGAATCATAGTCCAAAAACGGGTTGCGTCCTCGTCCATCTCATCCTCTGATGATGGCGATTGTTGCTGGTTCTCAGACCCTGCTTTTCTCTTGTCCTTTTCTATTGCATTAAAGGACTTATTGCATTGTTTGATAATGCTACTGGCCTAGAGAGCATTCGGCCCCCACTAGCCGTCCTTCGATCAATAAGGGCTGGAATTTGACTACGAGAAATCTAAACAGGTATGTGGCTTTGAATGATTAATGGATCAAAATGTGGGTCGATTTCTATGAGACGATGGGGTGCAAAGGTTTTGATCTTTAGATTCATTTCAGGTTTTCGAGTACAAGTTCCCTGGGAAGCCTCTGATCCCCATGTTTAGAAGTTGTATGCTCAAATATGACGATTTAACTACGCATGTATCAAACTACGTTACAGATTCGCCTTACGTAAGTCACAGCTATGAGCAAGAGGCAAATCCAATGCGTATGGAGGGCTGTTAGGGTCGCAAGTGTCTAGGTCTCACGTGTAAGATGAAGTATATAGTCTCGCTATCATTCTGGTAAAGAAAACTATTCCTAGAAAAGAGATGTTAATGCCTTAGCCACATACAAATTACGACAGGTTAGAATACGGGCCGGGAAACAATTGATGAGTGCCCACGGGGTAATCCGTTTTGGGCCGTTGATGTAGCTGCGGAGGTGGATCCGAGTAATGATGCTGCCTCGGAACAAACGAACGAACCACGTAACGCGACCGCTAAAAATAGGCGCCGATCGTCGGTGGCTGCGTCTCCCGCTTCGGCTTCGTCTCAGGCTTCAATGTTCATATACCACTTCGTGCTGGCCATTCTGTTCTCCAGTCGAATGTCAAGATGATCGATGAAAACCTGCCGAGTAAGATCCATTTCTTATCCCTTGATCACTCTCTGCCCCCCGACGTCATCCTCGGCCTCGGTTCTCCGCACATGACATGACACTGACTCCTGCACAGCGTTCTTCCTGAAGAACACCTCGAAGACCCCTCAGCAGAGCACCATCTACCACCGGCAGCATGGCAATGACCCTGAACCCGTCTACACCCTCCGCGCCCTCGACCCTGCCCTCCCCACCTCGAACAACCGGTACGGTGTCGCTCTGTATGATCCCTACGTAACGGACGTCGTGTACGGGGAAGTCGCCGTCGTTCCAGAATGGACACAACCCAGTCTATCTGCAGACACAATACGCGCGAATGGTGGCGCGGCGCCCCCTCCGGAACCCATCCTCCCTACCGAGTTCACAATTCAGCTTTACAATCCGGACCAGGAGATCATCGTGAAACATCAGGCAAAGACGTGGAACAGACCTGCGAGATGGGAGTTTGAGATGCCTCAGCGGACTTTTAGAGTCCCATCTGCGTCAACACTGGACCGAACCCAGAGCGACCCTTCTGCTGCGGACGTGACCCCGAAGTTGCGGTTTAGCTGGCGCAAAGATGGAAAACTGTCCAAGGACTTGTCGTGCTTGCTGCATGGCAAGACGTCGACTATTCCAGACACGCGTAGTAAGAGTCGTGAGCCCGATATAACCGTGGCTCTTTTTCAGGGTCTGAAAGAGCTGACTCTGTACGAACCGAATCTCTACCGGGTGGAAATGGAGGACTTTAAGGGTCTGGAGGTAGTTCTGCTTCTCGCTGCTGTCGCGATTCGCGACATCTTCTTTGGTCCAGCCAAGGAGGCTTTTCATATTACTGCGGGCGGGCCCTCAACAGTCGGCACCCGACCACAAGCAACACCTGCAGGAGGACGGATCCCACAGACCCAGGCCGCAGGAGCAATTCCCAATAGCAAGGCTTCGCCGCCTCGGTCGACCATCCCCGATTCAAAATCACCAGCTTCCCAGGCCCGGAAACGACAAGATGAGCTCGCAGCAGAAGAAGCCCGCCGTACACAAGAGCTTCTGGCCGCCGAAAAACGATCACGGCAAAAGGCCCAACTCCAGCGCCAAGCAGACGTGGACAATGAAACCAAACGGCTGCAACAAATCTACGGCAGGGAAGAGCAGCAGGCACGCCAACAAAAGCCCACCCCAGACCTTTCTCCAAGACCGCATCTGCCCCCGCGACACAGCGAGCCATCTCGACCATCCCCCTACCAATTCACCCAGTCCTACTCCCATCTACCATCTCAAGGTCCCCCTCAACCTCCTCGACACGCCCGCCCTCAAAGAGCACCCCAAAGCGGACCCGTTCCCACTTTCGCCGCCAGTCCCTACCTCCAACCTTCCGGCCGCATGGACCCGCGTGTCCAGTCAACAGCCCAACTCATGCCTCGGCCACAGATCCAGCCCAGGCCTCAGTCCCATGTAGGATTCTACCCGACTCCTGCAAGCAGCGGGGCATTCCCGGCAGCACAGCAGCCAACTCAGCAAGTGCAGCCAAAGAAGAGCAGTTTCTTTGGGTTTAAGCGGAATAAGGAGGAAAGCAGTGGCCGCAATCGGCTGGATAAAAAGCGGAGTTCTATGTTTTGATCTTTGTTTGATTTTTTTTTTATTGCGATACCCTAGCGTTTTTGGGTTGCATATCCGGCGCATTTGTGTTTATCGTGGGGTTTTTTACGGATTTTACGATTGTATATAGTTGACTGTGTATCTCGGATTGATACTCCCTTTGCATCAATTTGAATATTCTAGGGCCGTCACAACATTACAGACCTAGTAGACCACGGCCTAGCTGCCTTATCTTCTTCTAGATTACCAACTTTGGAATCTTTGAAACGGGAATTAAGGAGAGCGAAGTTACGAAACCAATCTCCATACTTCCTGTAAAGATATCATCACTTCATTCATTATCACGTTGCATTGCAAAGATTCTGTCATAGTTGAAAGACAGACTTTAGAATTCATAGCTGGTCGTTGAGTGGAACCAAGCTATAGTTTCTTGGATCAGGAACATCCCTTTAGAGTGTGACAGCGCAGGCAGTCAAGACTCCACCTTCCTTGACCAGATCTCCAGTAACATGCGGTGGAACTCCGCCATCGATCCCGAGGATCATCAGAGCCTCCTGCAGCGAAGATCTCTCGTCCTTCGCCGCGAGATCTGTATGTCCATCTTTGCTGAGTTTCATGTCCAAATCACCGAAGCCCAGCTTAGGCGATACGGGTGCTACTGTCATGAAGTTGATGTTCACACCGGCTTGACCAAGGATGCTTCCCACAACACCAATCTTTCCCGGGGAATCATAGTTTTCGCAGATGAGAAGAGTCCCCTCGGGCTCGAAAGAAGCTTCAAATCTTCCGAGACGAGTAATCAGAAGACTATCACCGGAGCAAGTGCCTGATATTATGCGCTGGCTTTTTGCCTGTTTTGATCCAGTCGCTGTCTCCACTGAAGCAGGCGCTCTCGATGAAGTTCGAGATGGCGGTCGAGCAACAAGAGTGACCAAAGAAGAGTAGGAAGAATGGTCTGCCGGATCACGAGAATGCTGCTCGGAAACGAAGATCCCACGTTCGCGAGCCACCAACTCGGCATTGACAATGTTGATGTTGATACCTTCCGAGCTACTGATTGGTGCCATAAGACCCTTTATCAGCGCAGCGAACAGCGGTTTTGTATTGTTGATACTAGCAATCTCGCCTTGGTAGATGAGGTCGAAGGTGTTCCGGGTCATAGATCCTCCCGGCAGAGTAGCGTAGTGCTGGGTGTAGAGACTGCCCATCTTTTCAACCAGACGAACAAACGGCTGCAGTTTTTGGTACTCTTCTGGCAGGATGAGAGGTGCGTTGACGGCGCTGCGAGGCAGTGAGCCCTGCAGAATCTCTAGTACTTGCTCGCAGACATCCACCGAGACATTTTCCTGGGCCTCCACTGTGGATGCACCGAGGTGCGGTGTCACCACTGCCCTCGGATGAGCTATGAGGCTTGCTGCAGTTGAACCAATGGCGGGTGGCTCCGAGGTGAATACATCCACAGCAGCGCCTGCCAGATGGCCTGAATCAAGAGCGGTCAGCAGGGCTTCTTCGTCAATCGTTCCACCTCGTGCCACGTTCAGTATGCGAGCACCGGGCTTCATCTGGGCCAATTCGGCTTGGCCTATCATTCCACGAGTTGATGCAATCAGGGGTGTATGGATGGTCAGGAAATCAGCGGACGAGAGGAGCTCCGGCAGCGAGGCGACAAGGTTAACAGATGCTGACCCTGCCACGGCTGGGGAAGCATACGGGTCCAAGGCATTGACAGTCATGCCGAGTCCCTTGGCCAGTCTGGCCACGGTCAATCCCACTGCAAGAGATTAGTCGAACGGTTTTCAAAGGAATCAAGGAGTCGTACCTTTTCCCAGACCTATGATGCCCAGTATCTTGCCCTTGACTTCCACGCCGACAAATTGACTGCGCTCCCACTTTCCATCCTTCAAACTAGCACAAGCCTCGGGGATCTTCCTGCTCATTGACATCATCAATGCGATCGTATGCTCTGCAGCGGCGCCAATGTTGCCGGATGGTGAATTGACCACCACAATTCCAAGCTTTGTAGCTTCCTCGACATCTAGCGTAACAGGTTTAATCCCGTTCTGACCGGCCTGATCTCACCGGAACAACTTACCAACATTGTCAACGCCGACGCCGGCGCGAGCAACCACTTTCAAACGTCGAGCAGCTCGAAGCACAGTCGCAGTGACCTTGGTCTCAGAGCGGACAAGCAGCGCATCGTAGTTTGGGATGATCTCCAGCAGCTGGTCCGCGGTGAGACCCTTGCGCTCGTCCACATCGAGGGAGCTCCGCAACAAAACCAAGCCATCAGGCGAGAGCTTCTCGGGCACGAGGACCTTAGGAGCGGCTTCTTCGGGGTTGCAGAGAGGCATCGCAGATTGCCGGAAGATTCAGAAGGGTTAGAGGTGTAGAAAGTTTCTCAATTGAAGGGACGTGGGATTTAAGAACACAGCTCGAGAAGGTAACACACATTTCTCTCGGGCGGCAGGCGCGCCCAGCGACCTCGCAGTCACCCATTTAAGTTGGACAGGCACCTCTGAGGCCATGTCCAATCACGTAGTCCGCGGACTGTGTCAGCTACCTACATAGAACGCGGGGTAGCGGACATTTGATTGGAGACTCGCCAGCGATGTCGGTGTCAAACAGGGTCCTCGAGCTGGGAGACGGAGTTGGGGCAGAAAAGTAAATACAGCAGAGCTATCAACTTAGAAGTTCGTTGTAGCTGGCGAAGTACCTTTCGAGTCCCGCTTCGCGTTCGCATTAGGTAACTGCATCCTTGATCTACCCCGGGCACGTGCTATATAGTCCCAAGCCTCCCTCCTTCTTTGACTGCCGGGGTTATATTGGTTATACCCTTGTTCTTTCTATCCCCCCTCCCCCTTCGCTCGTATTCAGAGATTAAAATAGAAAGCCCAGAGATACGGTGATGCAGAGTGTGGGTCTTCCGTATCCCCGACGGGTCAACAAGATGCGGCTAACGGGGGTCAAAGCATGTCCCCCGGCAAGGTCTCGCATCACTGTCCAGTAAGTAGCCCGTATGCACATTCCAAGGTTCTAAGCGGGTCTTCTAGGTGAAACTCTCTTGCCGAACTTTGTGCATACTGTAGACCCGGCTCCGGTCTGGTACTAGCGGGACGATTGACGGCTTATCACTAGATTCGGGTCTCATCCCCACTGTCGGACCATCTCCGCGGAGTCTGCCCTGGTTCCTGGCCGTTGCTGGCCGGGAGTTTATTCACACACTCTGTCCCTCCCACTGTTGCCATCTTGGTAGCCCCCAGTCTCAACTTCAGGCTCTTTTCAAGGACGCTGATGCGAGATCGCCCAGCTTCTCAGCGCGATGCACTTCGATTGACAATCGTCTGCCGACAATGGTGGGGGTACCACATAGTTCCGGCTGTGTTCTCTGTCGCGAAAGACACATCAAGGTAACTGCGCAGTCCGGGGTGTACCGTCCCCCTCCTCTTTGTAGAATCGTCGCTGACGGACAGTGACAGTGCGACGAGGCGGTCCCCGAATGCACCCAATGCCAGCGATATGGCCGAACCTGTCCAGGATATCGTCGCACTTTCCGGTTTCAAGATGAAGGGCCCAGTCTGGCCCGACGGCATCGCTCGACTACGCAGAAAAACTCCCTTCAGGCGTCAACGGGGTTGTCAACACCAAGGACGGCCACTTCAGCACCCGTACCGGCCAAACCTGTCAAGTCTGAACGGCCAGACGCCGCGGGCGCTGCAGGCGTAGTACGTGACAATGCGATCGCGTTGATGCGCCGTCACTCGACAGTAGCCCTGGACGAGAACGTATCACCGTCGCTAGTGCGCAAATCTTTCCAAGCCGCGCAACCACAGTTATTCTTGGATTTCATCACTGCATCATTCCCAACGCACTATTTCCATAATCGCTTTCGCGCGGGCAATGATCCCGGATTCCCAGAGTATATCGTCATGAACTTTGGCAGGGATACATATCTCGACTCTGCAATCTGCTGCTTAAGCTCCGTCTACCTGGCGCATCTCACACAGGACCCTATTCTTTTAAGAACTAGTCGTCGGATGTATGGGCTCTCCTTGGGCGAGGTTATTCGTGCCTTACCGAAAACTGAGCATGCAATGTCGGACAATATGCTATGCGCCGTGATGATGCTGAGCGTGTATGAAATGTACGCCCAGACCAGCCCCGATGCCTGGGTCGTGCACTCTGACGCTGTCAGACGTCTTATGATTAGTCGCGGACCCGAGGCACACAAAACAGGATTTGGCCGGTCATGCTGGATTGCTTTTCGAGGATTTCATATTGCTACCGCCGTGTACCAAGGGAAACCCTGTTTCCTCGATGGCGAGGAGTGGCAGAGCTTCTCCACGCACATCATGTCAGAGGACTGCCAGAAACCCGGCGAGTGGTCTGCCTACGCCGTTATTTCCGACAAGGCCTTCATGGAAATCGCCCGATGTCCACGATACATCAGTGAAACGCGCGAGCTCCTATCCAGCGAAACGGATTGCTGGGAAACAGTCGAATCTCTCATACAACGCATCCAGGATACCTCTCGCCGCTTGCAAGTCCTCACAGCCGAGCTCAGCGCCTGCATCAACGCTCATAGCCAGCGCCAACACGGCATCATTCGGCGCCCGGGTACATTCGTCGGCCCCGTGCCCGAAATATTCCCGGAAACTGGGCCATCGCTGCTTCTGCGAGGATCGGAGAATGTCCAGGCAACGTTGTGCCAACTATCAGCCCGTCTGGCAGACAAACTCCGGATTCGAGTTGTAGAAGAGCTCTCACCAGAGTCACCGGCCAATTCGCCGGGGAGTGACTGCAGCGCAGACTCGTCTCCCTCAACTACCAGCTCCAAGTCTTTTGCATTGCCTTTCCGGATCTACTCCGAGCTTGGTCGTAGCCCTTCTCAGACTTCGGATCGGAATGATCCTCGCGCTGTGATCTGGTTGGATCGTGTCGCCTCATCTATGGGTGTCTTGGGGATCAAGGTTATTCCTGATGAGTCTACCGTCGAGGATGAAGATAGTTCATCTGAAGCATCGAGCTCTCGCGATGTCCAGTGATGGTACCGAAGTTCACTTCCTACAAAGTAAAGCAATGTCTGTGACATCATCCTGGCGGGTTCTAGGATTTACTACCTACTTTTTACTATTTCCGAGCACTGCAGTGCAATTGAGATATCCAATTTCTAGCGTGTTATGTACAACGAGCCACCATGTCACTTGATCAACTCCAACCCCCAACTTTGGATAACTTTAATAGTCCAAAGACTCTTCCAAAAGCTTCCTCAACTCTCCCCTCTCCGCTTCAAGCTCCCCACTCAGATTCGGCGCCAGCATCAGCACCCGCTGCTGCGGAATGGTGCCCTCAACCAAACCCTCCACATCGGAGCTCTTGAAGCCCAGATCCTTCAATCCACGTGGCTGGTCACCCAACTTAACAAGGAACTCCGCAATGGCGTTACCAAGTACCTCACCCGCACTCTCACGCTTAACATTCGAGATATCCACACCGAACGCCTCAGCAGCGGCCAAGTGTCGGTCCGGGTTCGACGCTCCAGTGAAACGGAAAACAGCGGGCGCGGTGACGGCCACAGAAACACCGTGCGGAATGATGGGGTGGTCAACTTCGTAGCCCTTGTGCTTGTAGCCCGGGTTCTGGCTGGAGATGGGGTAGCTCATGCCGTGGCACAGGTGGACTCCTGCGTTGCCGAAACCGACTCCGGCTAGTGTAGCGGCGAGGAGCATGTTGGATTGCGCTTCGCTGTCCTCGGGATCTTTCACCGCGCGGGGCAGGTACTTGACTGTGCTGCGGAGGGCTTCGAGAGAGAAGATATCTGAGATGGGGTTTGCACCCTGGTATGCTGGACGGTTAATAGGGTTTGTGGGCCTGGGGGTACGCTCGTAGTACGGGATTGCGGTCCAGGATTCCAGCGAGTGGCAGAGCACGTCTAGGCCCGAGGCGGCGTGCACGGCCGAGGGCATGGTGCGGGTGTTGAGAGGGTCGCAGATGCCCAGGGTGGGCTTGAGGTTGCGGTGTGCGATGCCGGTTTTGGCTTTCTTGGAGACCAGGTCGAAAATGGCCGTGCCGGTTGTTTCTGAGCCGGTTCCTGCTGTGGTTGGCACTGCGACTAGTGGGAGCAGTTTTCTGTCGACGGGCCGGCCCTTGCCCAGTGGGGCATTGACGAAGTCCAGGAAGTCGGCTTCGGGGTAGGCATGGTACAGGTTCATCAGCTTAGCCGTGTCGATGACGGAGCCACCACCTGGGGTTGATTAGTCGGTTGCATAACTCGTTCAGCGAGTAGGTGATACATACCAACGGCGAGGAAGGCATCGGGGTTGTATGGTTTGGTGAAAGCAATAGCTTCCTTAATCCTTTAAGCCGTGTCAGTAATTGTGCACCTCGGGATGAGTGGCGGGGTAGCACCTACGAGCTGTCCTTGGGCTCAGTGCGAACCTTGTCAAAGATTGTAAACTCAATGCCCTCCCTGCTCAGGCCCTCGATAGCCTGCTTCATAGCATCGAGCTTGGCGACATTGGTATCCGTCACAATGCAGACGCGCTTCGCACCCATGTTCGCAAAGTCCATTCCGACCTCCTTGGTCGAGCCAGGTCCGAACCGAATACTCGACGCAGCCATCTCGAAAGCATATTCCTTCTCACGGGCGGGGTCTACGGGGGTTGCCAGGTGGCGCTTGACATGGGTCATGAGCGATGGGGTCTGCTGGTGATGGAAGTTCGGGTTGCGGTGGCAGGGACAGTTTGGTGGGTGGGTGAATTGGACGGTGCGCAAGAGATTCAAGGCGCGATTAGCGGCTGAGGGAGCCACCCTAATTGCTGGAGAGACCATTTTGTGATTCTTTGGTCTATGAGATTGGACGGACGGTTGAGAGAGGGAAGTTGTTTAAGAGCCGAGTGGAATGTGGGAGTTGGGGAAATGGAGAAATGCGGGGACTGCCGGTTCGGTGATCTGGCCGAGGTCCCGACTGAGTAGGTTCTTGCTGAGCATTTGGGGGAATTTTGGGGTCGGATGGATAGGCTGGATTGAGATCGTCCGAATTATTCAATTACAGGTCCTCCTAGCCAGATGGGTCCGTTCTATGCAGCCGTTGCGCATACATCCCTCCCTATCCCCGAACAACCGAGGCTCGGCGGCGAATGACATCAACCTAACGATCATCCGGGGAAACAACAGTGAAGCTTGTGACCAAATTGGAAAAGCCAGGGCATTTGAGCCTTGTCTATGGATAAAATTAATTGGACCATTTAGGTTAACATTCAATTACACAAATCATATACATGTCCCCGATTAAGCCGTGACTCGTCAAGAAAGGGCCGCGCTACCTATCTAGCAAGCTACCCGAATAGGAAAGTACCCGCCCAAAGAAACCCCGCTATCCTATACTTCAAGTTCACTTTTGCGCACGCAGATCAACACACCGTCAGAGTCAAATCCACTGAGTCTTCCTGCGCTCGAACCATGCTTCCGCTAGGCGGAATCCCATTCTGCCAGAAAATCTCGGGTTCGGCCGGCCGCAATACAACGTGGTGGCCACTGAACGGATCACCGAACACGTCGGATATGTCGTACCACACCTTGCTATCGGCAATGTTGTACGCAAAGACAGTCATGGGTGAGTTCGAGTACAAACCGTCATGCATGGTGCTAATCTTGAGGGCAATGCCGCCGCTTTCTTTGTCGTGGCGGTAGATCTCGGAGAAGCGCCCGTATGACGGGATCGTTTGTTGGGGGCCAACGGTCGATCCTACGGACCAGATGTAGATTGGAACATTGCAGTGATTTACTACCACGGCTCGTCCGAGATTTCTGACGCCGTTGGATGTGGTATTTGATGTTGCAGATGGTTGGGAGACGGCTGGGGAGGAAGATACTGGGAATGCACCCCAGGGTATGTCTTTTGCTTTGCCGTTGATTTCACCGGTTGGCACGGAGAGGGCCAGGGTGGCCAGGGACAAGATGGAAAGGAGGTTTGTGAATTTCATCGTGGTAGAGTCGATAAGGCTTCAGGGTTCGCTATACTTTTCGAACAAGTGTCACGATTCAGAATGTCAGGGTTTCGGTCGCTCTTTATAGTACCAGATACTGCCTTCAATCTAGCCCTTTCCAACCTCTACACCATTACCCGGATTCGACAGAATTGCTGGGCATTGCAAGCCATCTCATCGCGCTCATGCGCGGAATGCAACATCCTCGCGACGAGGCGCGTTGTTCCAATTTAATTCAACGATGTGGTCGCTGGACGCCACTACATTGTGTACAGAAAGCCTACAATGAATGGTCGCCGCAGTACCACAAAGTGGCAGTACAACCAGACGGGTCAACGAATGCTGAAGAACACTCGTTAGAATGCTACATGTCCACGGCTCAGTACTTGATTGGACATGCAACCTCGTGTGGAAGTTGTGAGTTAAATGTCTGGTTCCGGTCCTCGATACCAGGGCCACCCCGGGGAAGAATGTGATCTTTTGCTTCCTTGGGTGATTTAGGCCGACTCGGACATTTTCTGGAATTTTGTGCGCCTACATGTGCCGCGTGCAAGGTAAATCCCCCCAGTGTTTTAAATGTTGTCCCCAGTCGCAACTGTAGTCAGAAGAGTGTCTTGGGGCTCAACGGTCTCGTCCCTGTTCTCTATTTCTCACCTGCCATTGAATATCTACTGGATTTCCAATGGTATTGCGGGTTAAAAAATCTAATGCTAGTCCAGTTCCCTTCTCGTTGAAGCCTCTCCTCCAGAAATTAGTATCGCACGTGTTATGGCCATTTACCGACCTGATAAATCGAACTCTAGCCGGTCTAGATTCCATTTATGTACCATAAACCGTCCAATGAGGAATATAATGGCGCACGGATTAGTGGCTGGTGGTCTCTCGGAAACCCAAGCCCCATGCCTTGTATCCCTGGAATGCACCTGGCCACCCATTTTCCTGCCAGCATTCCGATCCAAATTCAAACTCTGGTATAAGACCAGTGGCATCTGAGGAATTTCCAGAGTTAATTTAAAAAAAGAATTTGCTGCGTCTTAACTTCCAAATGTTCATCTACATGTGATAATTACTTTTGACTCTGAATCTTGGTCGATTCCAACTCCGTCATGATCTTGGATGAAGAGAGTAGTATTTACAACTCAAATGCACCTCAGAAACAAGGTAAAATATACGCAAGAAAATACGCCTGTTAAGGCAATGTACAGAGATTCAGACTGCACAGTCACGTCCCAGTGCAGTATAAGGACAAGCCTTCTAGAAGAGGCATCAAGAGAGACACGAAAGACTCGTCCCCCTCAGCCGAAGTATTTCAGCTCGGCCTAGAAAGAGACAATCTCCGAGGTACCAAGAACACCGGTGCCCTGGCGAGCGACAACCTGAATGTAGATGGTAGGAGGCTGGTCACATTAACAGCAATCTCAAAGCCAGTGCGCTGAGCAGAGCTGACCTGCTGGTTGTTGTCCGAGGTAGCGGAGTAGGCAACCCAGTTATCGTAGTCAGTGGCACCGTTTCAAGACATGGATAACAAGGGAAGGCTTCCAGCAGGAGTCGCGCTCCAGGGGAAACGATAGCCACGGTAAGAAGCGACAGCGTTGTCATCGCCGAATTGGGCGCTGAAGATGACGTTGTTGTCAGTCATACTCCTTAACCTTGGAGATGGAGCCGTTTTATGATACGGCGTGAATAATTTTGAGGCAATAGAATCCATCTTAGATAATGTTTACGCCAGAATTCTATTTGTAGTAGAAAATCTCGGGAAGGATCTACTCTCCCGAGTAAATCATAGCAGAAGCCTTCTGTCGCGTCTGGAGATCGGTGATTCTCTGGTCGTGACTGAAACTAGGCTAAGCGTTTACTAAGAACATGTGAGAACATGGGTCTTAATTTACGTAAAATCCACCTGAGTCATGAAAATTTGCACGTGACATTCTTTTGGTAACTACATAATCAAACCTGTCGTTCTGAGTGACTCACATAGGAGAATGCTCCCGTGAAATAGATAAAGCTCGAAATAGGCAACTCTCATGAATAGCCTCCCTGCAAAATGACTTCATCGTACGACGTTCTTGTCACTGGCTCGGCAGGTCATCTTGGCACGGCTCTTATGCTTAGCCTGCCTTCTCTGGGCTTCAAACCCATGGGCATCGACATTCTCCCCTCCCCAACTACGACACTTGTGGGGTCTGTTAGCGACCGCGACTTCATCGCTTCCATCTTCGACTCCAACCCCATTAAGCACGTCCTCCATGCCGCGACACTGCATAAACCACATGTTTGCAGCCACAGCAAGGAGCAATTCATCTCGACCAACGTTGTCGGCACTTTGATCCTGCTAGAAGAGTCTTCCAGGTTCAAAGCGCAGATAGAGAGTTTTGTCTTCTTCAGTACAACCAGTGCTTTTGGTATGGCGCTCAGTCCCAAGCCAGGATATCCCGCTGCTTGGATCGATGAATCTGTTGTGCCCGTCCCCAAAAATATTTATGGTGTGACAAAGGTTGCGGCCGAGGACATGTGCGCACTGGTGCAGAAGCAAAGTGGAATACCCGTTTTAGTTCTCCGCACTAGCCGTTTTTTCCCCGAGGAAGACGATGATGAAGACCGTCGCGCGGCTATGGACGATGACAACTTGAAAGCTTTAGAGCTGGCCTACCGCAGATGCGACATTGAGGATGTTGTTAGCGCATCAGTCTGCGCAATGAGAAGAGCCAAGGACATTCGATGGGGAAATTATATCATAAGCGCTCCGCCGCCTTTCAACAACGACATACACACTCTGGATGCTTTGGATCGGAACCCCGCGGAGGTGCTGACGAAGGCATTTCCTGATGTGGATGCGGTTCTCAAGGAGAAAGGGTGGAAGCATCTTGCGAGGATCGACAGAGTGTATGATTCAAGCAAGGCGGTGAAGGAACTAGGATGGAATCCAAAGTATACATTTGAAAAGACAGTGGGAAGATTGGTACGCGGCGAGCAATGGAAGAGTGACTTGACGGAGAGGGTCGGCAAGAAAGGTTATCATGCTGTGAGCACTGGGGTGTATACAAAGCGATGAGCATATAGATTGCTTAAGGGATTAAGAGCAAACTGCTGATTTTGTGAGATAGCGAGTACATGCGCTCATGCACTGTGGACAAGCACAAAGGGCCTTATCGAATTCAAGATCTGACTAAAGAGTTGATCATCTAAGCCAGGTCTCCGGATCTCTCCCCGCCCTTTCGAGAGCCCTCCCTAGAACATTCTATAGAGATTTACTGGTATTTTACAATGAATCATTGGATGTTGAAATACAGTACCTATAAGACACGATACGGCCAGGCCGGGGTTGGAACCTGGTAGATTGATGAGTCGACAATGCTCGCATGACGGTACCAGAATTCGAGATTGTCGTACCAGTGTCACTCTCTCCTCGACCACCATTAGTCCAAGCAACAATGTTCAGAGTCTTGGACGATGCAACGATATAATATAGTCTCTTGGATTCCACCACCAAGTCCATGACATTGTTTCAATGGTAATGTCACGAAAGTGATGGGAGGCCTTACCCCCTCTCTTCAGGGTACATATCAATCCAGTCACGTAATCGAAGCGGACAATCTCGATGGCAGCGAATTTATGCATAAAATTGATTCGATGATCAACCTGTTCCGGAATATAGGCGTCGTTTCTGTCTGTGCTTCAGTTGACGTTACTGAGGAACATGACTTCTCGCAGGTGTTGCAAGCCACTGTGGCTAAATATCGATTCTCCAGGGTGACGGTCAGCACTCTTGCTGAGGTACCAATGCACCACCGCACGGTCGCATTTACCAACGGTCTAGACAATGGATCAAAGTCTCGCGCCATGCGAGGAGTGAGACGGGTTTAAATAGACCCACAGAATAAGTGAAGGAATGGGGCTAGGAGGAAATCCGAGGAATTCTAGAAAGACAGCCCCCGGCGAAATGGCTGGAATGCGAATGCAACTCTAAACTTGTCCTATTCAAAAGTGGCTCATGGGTGTGTAAGGGTGGGCGTGCAGTGAGCACGCACCTCAAAAGATCATAGGAGTCTCCAAACCCAAAGCGGAGCCCACCGCTCGCCATCGCAAATCCGGGGCGTTTAGGCTCTGTGGGGTGAACTCCACTTCACCTGCACACCCGGGCAGAGTTGAGATCTAGATGCATGAGGAATGGATGCATCACACCTCAAGGACATTGCCAAGGCCCCATCACCCGGTATGCAAACATCCCAGCACCCAACATCCCAGTATGCCAGCATTCAAGCATCTCATTAGCGGGAGTCGCTCCAGCTACGACGCTGTGACAGGCCGAGCAATCCCGCACCCACTTGAGCCAAACTCCCCAATGGAGCTGCATCTTCAGCCCCTTGCGCTCTTAGGCCCGAGTCCTTAGCTCCGAATCGATTTCTCCGCTGCAACCCAGCGCCCAAGCGCAGCGGGCCAAGGCTCCACGCTAGCTTAACTATTCGTCAGCCGCCAATGGCATGCGCCTCATCTGCCTCGTACTCGGGTACGAGCCGGTCGGCTCTCGCCTGACTGACTGATTCTCTGGGTCCTGAGGTCGCAGTTGCAGCGTGGTGGTAGCAGGTATCTGCTCGATCCTTTTTAAGGAAGTGGTGGCCGCATTTGGCCGCTCTTTGTTTGCCTCCCATCATTTCAGAGAAGTGGGTATCACCTCGTCAAGACGTGGATAGATGATAGAGAGTATCGCGACTTTATCTCTTTTTGTCTCCCAGCTTAGATTCTTCATATGGACTGTATCTCAGCCACATTCAGCATGGGTCGCAAGTTAGGGCTCTTGCGAGCCGCGTATCTGGTCTCGGCCAGTTGCATGGGCTCCTTCGCATTTGCCTTTGATACGGGCATTATCAGTATGTGCTCCAGAACCTACCCTAGCTAATCCACTAACCTTTTACCTTAGGCGGTGTTCTCGCTTTGGAATCCTTCGAAAGAGACTTCGGATACTCGCACTATACCAAAGCACAAAAGACCACCGTCAACTCCAACGCCGTATCCATCCTCCAGGGTGGCGCATTCTTCGGATGCTTCCTCATCTCCCCGATCGCCAAATACCTCGGCCGCCGCTCCGGTCTGATTGTCAGCTCCCTTGTCTTCAGTCTGGGAACTATTCTGCAAGTTATCAACACCGGTACTCTGGCCACGTTCTATGCCGGCCGTGTGGTTGCTGGGCTAGGTATTGGGTCAGCAACTGTACTGATCCCCATGTATTCCGCCGAAATGGCTCCCAAGGATTTCCGTGGTCGGCTCGGCGCTTGCTTCCAGTTGTTCTTCGCGATGGGTGTCATGATCGCCTATTGGGTGACCTACGCCGTGAGCAAAGACCAGGCGAGTGGGACGAGTCAGTGGCAGACTGCGCTTGGTTTGCAGCTTCTGGGATCGACTCTACTGCTCGTCGGTATGTGTACGGTCAAGGAGAGTGCTCGATGGCTCGCAGCCAAGGGCAAGATAGACAAAGCGCGAGAGTCACTAAAGTGGGTGCGCGGCGGTGAAGAAACAGAGGAGCTGCAGGTGGAGTTCGACGAGATTCTCGCGGGCATTGAAGAAGAGGCGCGCATCAAGGAGAACCTCACATTTAAAGAGCTGTTCCTGCCGGTGAACCGGTACCGGCTGTTCATCGCTGTCACGATTCAGCTTAGTGCACAGTTGACCGGTAATACGTCTCTGGCCTACTATGCGACACAGATCTTCGGCGCCGTCGGCGCCGGCAGTTCCGCCAAGCTAGTGACGGGCTTCTTCGGTGTAGTCAAGGTGGTGGGTGTCGTCGTGTTTCAGCTGTTCGTATTGGACCGCATCGGGCGCCGGATCCCGTTCATGGTCGGTGCATTCTCCATGGGCTCGTTCATGCTCATCATTTCGATTATTCTGGCCACGCATCCCGCCAATTCCAACAACACTTTGTCCGGGCCCACGTCGGCTGGCATTGCCTGTATCATCATGACTTACGCGGAGGCCTTCAGCTACAATATGTCCTGGGGTCCGCTGCCCTGGCTATACGTCGGAGAGATCTTCTCCAACCGCACCCGAGAAGTCGGCGTGATGGTCGGCGCGGCATCGCAGTGGCTGTTCAATTTCATGATGTCGCAGGTCACTCCACACGCAATCACGAGTATTGGTTGGCGCATGTTCTTGATGTTTGCTATTTTCAACTATGCAATTATCGGGTACTCGTGGCTGGTTCTGAAAGAGGTATGTTCATCGCGCTAGGTTTCAAAGATTTTGTCTAACTCTGCTAGACTTCGAACCACTCGCTGGAAGAGATGCAGGAGGTATTTGGTGGAGAAAAGTTGCACGAAAAGCATGTTGAAAGTGCGGTTCATGAGGAACATGCCCAGCCGCCCAAGGATGGTTGAGGAGCTAGGTTCATTTCAATACGTAAATACAAGCCATCAATGGTGTCTATATTATGGAGAAACCCCCTTCAATTTGACTCGAAGCCAGTAAAGTCTATCTTTAGTGGCCTGTTGCCCCATACTGGGTCTCGGGAAAATAGCGGAGCTACCTAGCGCCCAACCTTCTTTGTCCGCCTCGCGTCAGGGTTGTCCTTTGCTCGAATTTTTACGGAGTCCACCGCACTTCTCCTGCGGGTTTGCTTATTTGCTATACCCGCGGATCTTTTCTGGATATCTTCCGTTTGAGCGAAGGCGTGCCTTGAATCCGACAAACTACCCATACTCCACAAGTGCAGCCCGACTTTAGCGGACGCCACGCGCACTATCCTCCACAGTGCGGATCTTGCCGCGCCGTGAGTGGCGGTCCTGCCGGCGCGGAAAACTTTGAGCTATGAGGCGTCACCGAACACGCGATAAAATCGACACAGGCCACGGTGTGGCCAGCGCACTTACTCGAATCAAACGAGGGCGTAACATGTGAACACTACACTGTAAGGTACACTGCTCCATAACTGTCTGTATCACAGCCCCTATGATTCCAGCTGGCTCCTGTAGAATTACCGCACACCTCGCTAGCTATTCACTCTCACTGGTTAAACTGAACAGGGGATTATCAACTGGCTCCTAGGGTAGCATTGGCACCGAGTTGTTCATGGGGCTCAAGTAACGCAAATCAAATGAAAAAAAAGTGCCAAAAATACGCGTAAGATGAATCCTTCGGTGCGGAACAGGGGTCTTGCCCATGTCAGATTTATAGGCCGACGTAACATTGCGCTTCTTTTGTGGGCTAAACTCAGATTACCACCCTTTAAGACGACCCGGTAGATTGTTTCTCTACCCTTTGCTGTTTTATCTTTCCACTTTTTTCTCATTCATGAACAGGCTCGAGACTGACTCTGTCTGACAGTCTGTTCAACCTGTTTTATAGCCTACACCCATTGAAGAACTACCAGCTTGGCTATTTCCTCCGTTGGCGAATTGAACTCTAACGCGAGTAAAACTGCCTACTGCCACTGGCACGGCTCTTTTTCTCTTTAACAGTGAACGCTGCCCCCCGGTATCCTCTCTGCTTCTTGTTTAGGGGTCACTACGGGTTCGAGCAGAGGTAGTCTTGTCATGAATTAGCACCATGCCCGACACTGGAAGGCCCACTGACCCAGATGGTCTGGTCCTGGAGGCTTGGGGCCAGGGCCTCATGCTCGGCAGTCTGCTTATTATGGCTGCCATCACCGTCTGCAATATGAAGAAGCATATCCTTCTACACAAGCTCATTCTGGCCGAGGTAGGGTTTTCGCTCAGTCTATTGATCCCCTCGGATGTGTTTCATGATTTCGTGCTAATTAAATATACAGTTAGTTCTGGCCATGGCCAATGGAACCTTCATTTTCCCACATGCCCCGGTCTATGGTTGGTATCAATCCGCCACAGCCATAGGCCTCAACGTCTCCTGGGCCCTTCACAATGTCATCGCCTGGATGAAAAACCGACCATTCCTGTCTCGTCGCTTCTCGATGTTCTATATCATCACCGTCATGCTCTGCTGGCCGTACTGGGTCGTGGAGATCTATGCGAATTTCACGTATTTCAACAATATCAACACGATATTCCTGAAGACACGTCCGCTCGAACCGCTTTTCAGGTAAGTTTCCTTTATTAACCCCACATATAGCCATTGAATTCACTAACTATAACCTAGAGATCCGTGGTGGGTCTTTACCACCATCTCCCTATTCTGGACCATCAAGCGCGAGTATAATTTCGGACTGTGGGAACTAGTCCAAATAAGCCCCCGCTTTGGGGTTATGCTGATATCGATGTGTCTATCGATTGGGTTTATCGTTGTCGATCTCCTCAGCGTCCTCAATGTCTTTAATGACTCGCTGCCCACGGGCATTGAGCCATTTTGGAAGGTGCCTGCCCCCTTCTATATACGCCTGCTTCTCAAAATATCATGCATTCCTACCCATGAACCCAACTAACACATGATTTTTCCAGTTATCGTTTATTTTCAAATGTCTCTGTGACACAGTCATCCTCGACGACTTCAAAACTGCGCTGGACCTGATGCGCAGCTACTGGCTACGCAAGCAGGCCAGCGGTGAGATCTTACTTACAAAACCTAATGAACGCTCGCCGTTTCCCCGGCGAGGTGCCGCGATCGACGACATCGAGGTGGCTGGTAGGCCAGTCGTTGCGCATGATATTGTGCGCAGTGATAAATCTTTCTCTGTGCCGAGAGTTGTGCTCAGGGAAAATGTATAACATTGTGTATGGTACTTGGCTTCCCTCATTTGATTGCCAGCGCGGCGTTTGGTGATTTCTTGGGTTGTGATTTATCTAGTGGTACGGATGTTGAGGTAGACGAGGTATACAAGAGGTAAATGGTGGGTTCGGGGTCAATGAACGATAAATTTATCAGCTTCTTAGACGATAGCTCCGATTTCGGCCCAAAGAGGTACCATAGCTGCAAGCTTCAAGCAGATGACGACCCGCCCCACCAATGATCCTCGATGTAGTTCCATCTCCACCCGGAGAATTGACTCGGAGAAATAGCATGGACCCACGGTTGTATACACAGTTCATCACAGGACTTCAACACTCACTTATCCATAGACCCCAGTTAGTTAGTAAATTCTGGAGAAATAGCCTAATTCTCCGAGTCGAGAATCTCGGCCGCAGCGTAATGGTTGGTGCATGGACCGCTTCTACACGTAGCCATCCCGCCACCGAGGAAAATATTTATTTGAATGCTGATCTCACACTGCCGTGAGGCTGTATGCCCAGCCGATCACCAAGCGGGGTGCGAGCCAATGACAAACATGGTTGAAAACAGTAGAAATGTAACGTTCAGAGATAGGTTGGTGAGCATAAATAGCTCTCATCCTCCCTCCTCGAGACCCTTATCTCAAGAAACAACTACACAAATCCACAATGGGCTTTATCAACATCCCCAAAACCCAAACCGTCGCTCTGGTGCGAGAAATCGGCGGTACCGTCGAATTCAAAACCGACTACCCCGTCCCAACCCCAGGTCGCAACGAAGTCCTCGCCAAAGTTCTCTACACCGGCGTCTGCCAAAGTGGTAAGCCACCGTTTCCCAACATCATAGCCGAAACCAAAATAACACCCTCCAGACCTGCACACAAAATCAGGAACAGCCGCCGGGCCGGATGGTATCCCGATAACAAAGATCAAGCTACCACACGTCGGCGGGCACGAAGGCATCGGTAAGATCGTTTCTTTGGGCCCTGATATCCAGCACGCTGCGGGACTCAAGGTTGGCGGGCTAGTTGGGATTAGGTTCTCAAGTCGGATCTGTCGCCGGTGTGAGTTTTGTCTTGCGGGGACGGAACAGTATTGTACGGCGAGTACGAACCATTTACATCATGAGGACGGGAGTTTTCAGGAGTATATTGCGCTTGATGCGGATTATCTGACTGTGTTGCCGGATGATGTGGATCCGGTGGTTATGGGGCCGGTGCTTTGTGCTGGATTGACGGCTTATAAGGTATGTTGATGGTCAAATTATCGGAGCAGGATTTTGGCTGATAATGCTAGGCGGTCCTGAATGCGAACGTTCGTCATGGGAACTGGCTGGTGGTCGTTGGTGCTGGAGGTGGTCTTGGGCATTTGGCTGGTATGAACATCTCTGAATTCCCGGCTTGCTTCCTGTTACTGATGATTCGTTAGTACAATACGCAAGGGCGCAAGGAGCATCGGTCATTGGCGTCGATACCGGTCCTGGAAGGAAAGAATTCGTTCACGGGATCGGGGCACAGCACTTCATCGACTTCGCTACCGAGGATCCTGTCAAAAAGGTGCAGGAGATTACGGGACTTGGAGCGCACGCTGTGGTCGTGACAGCTGGAAATGCAAAGGCTTTTGCGCATGTATGCGATATGTTGCGGGTCGGAGGAACGTTGAGCTGCGTGGGCATTCCTCCTGGACGACCTTGTCTTGAGATTCCCATTAGTACCCTTGTCATCAAGGGTCTTCGGATCAGAGGCAACCTGGTTGGGTCTCTCAAGGAGTGTATGGAGGCGGTTGACTTAGTGCGTCGAGGCGTCGTGAAGCCTGTGGTCAAGGTGCGGCCATTCAGGGATTTGCCGCAAGTATATGAGGAAATGGAGAAGGGGGATATTTCGGGACGAGTGGTCCTTCAAATTGCAGCATGATTGGGTTTCGTGAAAAGAGATTGGGGGTTGGGGATTATTCCATTAGCGAAGATTATTGCAGATATGGTTGTTCTGAAGAGAATGCCAATTGTTCGTTAAGATCACCAAACAAAAAATTTACCTCCAGCGGCTGCTGTCCATTGATTCGACCCTTATCCTTGTCCAACTTTTGCCATTTGAAGCAATCATTACCAACCTGTCTCGTTAATAAACGAGCTGGTGCCATGACTAAAACCTCAGCCGTTTTGTTGCGCAGAATAGAGTTGAGCACCTCATCCTGTTCTAGGAACGGTAAAAGCTTCTGATATAGCGCATGCAAAAAGTCCTCAGGGCCCAATTCAAATCCAGGATGAGAGCGAGGGGGTGTGAGTGTGAGAAGGACGGTATCTGCGAGCGAGTTTGCGACTTCGAAGCATTTCAACAGCTGTTGACCCTGTCAGCAGGCAATATTGTTTCATCGTCAAGGAATGGCTCACTTGGTCTCTTCCCAGTGGCAACAAGTCCAACTCAGAAAAGCACCTGAGCGCCTGAAGTAAATCATGACCAACTTGAGCTGGGAACCCAAAGGTCATGACTTCTACAAAGGAGGCAGAAGAGAGCAAGCCCCTGGACAAGGCCTCCTGCCAGATGATAGTTCTCATCCACTCTCGGGTAATGTAGCAATCTGCAGTCCGGGTCGTGACCTGGTCAGAAATGCTCAGACGCAGTGAAGAAAGCTTATTCTCGGTCTCTGTCAGGTCTGTGGCGGAGGCGAGTCCCAGATTCGAATTTCGGCGGACCGAGATCTGATCGAATGCAATAAAAAGCCTGGCCAAGTCTAGAAGCCCTTGCACATGGATATCGGCATCTGGATAGTCCTCCAGATCTGGAAGCACGGGAGGGTCGATACATGACGGCGAAAGACCGACATGAAGTGCCCATCCTCTGTCTTACGCTTTAGCAATGGGCTCGGCTACAGTCCGGAATAACTCACCTCTCGGAAATCCAGAGCAGTGGAAAAACCAGCTCCTTGTTCGCAATAAGATGACTACCCAAGCTGGATTCGTCACTCTCCCGCGACGTCCCTTCATCCAGACGCAAAATCCTCGCTCCGGATATAGCCTCTTGGATGTACATCATAGCCAATTTTCGCTGGTTTGCCTTTGCATGGTAAACATGCAAAAAGAACGAAACAAGAACACCGCTGAGATTAAGATGCTGACGGTAACTGTCCCAACTACCCCGAATCCGTAAGCATGTCCGTGCCATAGCTCCACTATCCACCATCTGCGATCCATCCACCACCGGAGCAATATGCAACTGGGCCATTGTGGCCGCGCAGAGAGCCGTAGCCAAGCAAGCAATGTTCTCCACCTCTTGGTTCGTCTTCTCCGGCTCAATATCATCGAGATCTTGTAACAGGGCATGAGCATTGACAACCGGCCAAACACTATAAGAATGCTGCTGGTAGAGTAGTATGATGCGCCCGAGGACGTCTCTTGATATGCGCTGAGGCACGCACGATCCTTGGGAGACTCGCGTCCCGTCCGAACATTTCAGCACATCGTCCAAGCCAGACCCGCTCTGACCCGTACTCAACGGAGATTCACGCTGCAGGTCAGAATCCAAGTTCCGAGTTGCGCGTCGAACCTTCGGACCTCTCTTGTGCACAGGCCTCAGGTACGTACAGGGAATGCGCTTGGCCGCATCCCGGCAGGTATTGCAGGGCCAGGAGCCGTTGCATTTGACTTTGCGGGAGATACAAGTATCGCAAGCTCGTTTTGGGGGCATGAAGACGGAGTTGGTATGACACGGGGAGCTCAAATGCGGAGCTGCTGGGGAGATGGAGATGGAGGGGGTACTCCGGTATACTTGTACTCGGCAGGTTCGCCGACTTACAGTGGGAAGCATACAGCCTTGCGGCTTTTCCTAACGGTGTTTCTTCTCAAGATATCCTATATTTCAAATCTATATACCTAATGAGATAGAATCAGCTGAATAGTATTCCCGGTCGTCTAAAACCTTTCCCGCAACTAAATGCTGTTAAGGCCTGGTAAATCGGACCAACGCCGTGCTCGCTGCCACCCATTTACTTTGTACCGAAGCAAGCAACTCTACAGAATCACTAGAATAGGCTTACACCTGACTGCAAAATCCTTCTATATCGACTTCGACCTCGACTTGGAGAGCTACGGTATTAATAATAGCACCTCGAAACAAAGGAAGGTCCACCCACGCCGCGGTGGATCCGACGTCACCGGTGAAGGTCATCCCAAGGAACTCCATCTCCACCGCAGCTCCCCAAGTCATATCTCCAAGCTTTAAATCCCCGTTTCCTCCCCAAAGCATTCCAAACGCTTTAAATCCCCTGCAAATACGCTTCAACCCATCACAATGGCCCTCTCCGCACCTAGCACGGACGTAAGTCTACACCTTCAATAATTAACCGCATAGCAAGGAAAGCCCCCCGGCTTACACCCCTCCCAGCCCCAGGTCCTCATCGCCGAAGAAACAAGCCCCGAGCAAACATTCAACACCTTCACAGCCAGCACGGCCTGGACCCTAGGCTCCGCGCTCCGCGAACGCATCCTCAACCTTCCTGACGACCAGCGCAGGCCGGCGCTGATCTCCATCGCCCTCGCCACTGCGACCAGCGGTGGCGGGTCCTTGCACGTCCTCTTCCAGAGCGCCACGGATAGTGGAACAATCCCGGATAACGAGAACTGGGTGCGTCGGAAGCGGAACACGGTCCTGCGATGGGGTGTTTCCAGCTGGGCGATGCGGCAGAAGGTGGTTTCGGGTGCTGGGAGTAGAGCGGCGGATGTTGTCGAGGCCGCGTTCGTGAAGAAGCATGCGCTGTCTAGTGCTAATGGCGGCGCTGTTGCGGATGAATACGCTATCCACGGTGGTGGATATCCTATTCGGGTTAAGGGGGTTGAGGGTGTTGTTGCCGTTGTTGTTGTTAGTGGGTTGAAGCAGGAGGATGATCATCAGGTCGTGGCTGAGACTATCCGGGATGTTATTGCCAAGGGGAACTAGGTGCGCAGTATATATAGTGCCTTTGAGATATGTGATTTACGTCAGATGATTGAACATCAAGATTAAGATTACGAGGAATCGATGAATGCAAAGGTATCATGATATTTAGCGAGTCGGTTATCAAAAGCCAGGCTCTTGCGACAGGGACTCCGCCCAGCGCAGATTCAAGGGGACTAGAAACACAAAAGCAAAGATGAAAAGAACTCCATGGTTAATGCCTGAAAGATAATTTTACAGTTCGTCGTGGTCCATCGGCTCATCGTCCTCAGTAGGAGCACCAGAGCCATACAGCTTGCTGGTGATGGGGTAGGCGACGCTAGAGAGCTGCTCCTTCTGCTCCTCGAAGTCCTCGGCGGTGGCAGTGGCGGCATTGTCCTCGAGCCAGTCGATAGTCTCCTTGACGGCGTCCAAGATGGTCTGCTTGTCATCCTCGTCGATCTGGCCACCCAGGCCGTTCTCGTCGTTGACCTGGTTCTTCAGGCTGAAGGCGTAGTTCTCAAGGCCGTTACGGGCCTCGATCTTGGTCTTCATGGCCTTGTCCTCCTCGGCGTACTCCTCAGCCTCGGCGACCATGCGGTCAATCTCCTCCTGGGACAGACGACCCTTGTCGTTGGTAATGGTGATAGACTCGGCCTTGCCGGTGCCCTTATCGCTGGCGCTGACCTTGAGGATACCGTTGGCGTCCAGGTCGAAAGCGACCTCAATCTGAGGAACACCGCGAGGAGCGGGGGAATCCCAGTCAGCTCGAACCTGCCGAGCTGGTTGTTGTCCTTGGTCATCGAGCGCTCACCCTCGAACACCTGGATCAACACGGTGGGCTGGTTGTCAGCCGCAGTGGAGAAGATCTGCGACTTGCGGGTGGGGATGACAGTGTTACGGGGGATGAGCTTGGTCATCACACCGCCAGTGGTCTCAATACCCATGGTGAGGGGGTTGACATCCATGAGAACAAGGTCACCAGTACCTTCCTCGCCGGAGAGAATACCACCCTGAACAGCGGCACCGAAGGCAACGGCCTCGTCGGGGTTAATACCCTTGCTGGCCTTCTTGCCACCGAAGAACTCCTCAAGAAGAGACTGAACCTTGGGGATACGGGTAGAACCGCCAACGAGAACAATGTCGTCAATCTCGTTCTTCTTGACCTTGGAGTCCTTAAGCACCTGCTCGACGGGCTTGAGGGTCTTCTTGAACAGATCCATGTTCAACTCCTCAAACTTAGCGCGGGTCAGGGTCTCCGAGAAGTCCTCGCCGTTGTGGAAGGCTTCGATCTCAATGCGAGTGGACATCTGGGAAGACAGAGTACGCTTGGCCTTCTCGACCTCACGCTTCAGCTTACCCATGGCCTTGAGGTCCTTGGTAACATCGGCGTTGTTCTTCTTGTTGTACTGCTTCACGAAGTAGTCCATGACACGGTGGTCAAAGTCCTCACCACCCAGGTGGGTGTCACCAGCGGTAGCCAGAACCTCAAAGACTCCGTTGTCGATCGACAGAAGGGAAACATCGAAAGTACCACCACCAAGATCGTAAACAATGACCTGGCGCTCGTCACCAGACTTGTCCAGACCGTAGGCAATAGCGGCCGCGGTGGGCTCGTTGACGACGCGGAGGACATTAAGACCGGCGATGGTACCGGCATCCTTGGTGGCCTGACGCTGGGCGTCGTTGAAGTAGGCGGGAACGGTAACAACGGCGTGGGTAACAGTCTTACCGAGGTAGCTCTCAGCGATCTCCTTCATCTTGCCCAGGATCATGGCGGAGATTTCCTCGGGGGTGAAGGTCTTGTTGGACTTGTTGACCTCGACCTTGACGTGAGGCTTGCCATCCTTGTTGACAACCTTGAAGGGGAAGTTCTTGGCGTCCTTCTGTGTATCCTTGTCATCAAACTTGCGACCGATCAGGCGCCTAGAAGGTGGGTTAGCACGCAATTTCTACCGGTACAAACTGGCCACGTTGGCAAACTCACTTGACGTCAAAGACAGTCCGGGTAGGGTTGGCGGCGTATTGGTTCTTGGCGGCGTCACCAACGAGGCGCTCCTCATCGGTGAAAGCGACGTAAGAGGGAGTGATACGGTTTCCTTGGTCGTTGACGAGAATCTCGACCTTGCCATTCTGCATCACACCAACACAACTGCGAAGCAAGTTAGCCAATTGTCTCGTTTGGCACGAATCCGGAAGATATCACATACGAGTAGGTGGTTCCCAAATCAATACCAATAACGGTGCCATAGTTCTCGACAGAATCCTCTTGGGCCTGGGCAGTGGTGCCAAACAGGGCCAGGGGCGCAATCAAAACAAGAAGAAGGTAGAACACGGTGGTCCAAGTGAAGGGCTTGGACGCGCCCTCGCGGCTGGCGAAGCGAGGCATGGTGAGTTAGATGTGTGAAACTCGGGGTTCAACGAAGAACTCTAGGGCAAAGCACCCAATGAAACGAAGCTGTCGGAGACCGAAAGCTTCAATGCGCGCAGGAATGAAGCGCGGAGAGTAAACACGAATGTGGTACTCAAATAGCCCTCGACTCGATTGATGTTAGGCGGGAAGGGTGACCCGAAAGGAAGGGAATGGGGAGAAGAAAGAGAGTGGAGGAGGCGACTTCTTGTATAAAGGGCAGAAGAGCGCAGCGGCCATGCTGGCCTTTTCCCAGTTCAGGTCACTTCTCGCGTGTTGATTGGCTGCCACCGGTTCCGCGGCGCATGACTCAGCGCAGACAGGTCTTGGCGTGTTTAAACTCTCACCGCCTGCCTCAACAGGTTTAGTGGCCATTAAACCCTGTCCCGAACGGGACTAGTCTGCGGGTCCATCCAGGACACGCCCCTGCGGTCTCCCAATCAAAACCCGCCAGCCTGTCGAATTTGCTAGAAGCAGCTAAGCGGCGGCACTGGTTTTCGCCCCTGATGCCAATTTTTGGGGCGGTTACTCACAAAAATAGTGCCACGTATTGACTGGAAATAGGTGCATAGAGCCAAGTGGCCTGTACAGCACCTCAAGGTTCTTGTGAACAAGTTAACATCCTTGGTATGATTGGCAGGGCATACAAATATTGAGGCATGGGGTCTAGACCTGGGCCAGGGATCTACAGAGCCTCACTGCCGGTTCGGTAAAGCATGCGCAAGGCAGGGAACGCAGGGGACGTCATCTAGTCATGTAAATTCCATTCGGTGTATGCTTGTAGGAGGTACTTTTCTATATGATCGCTTCATTCCAGTAGCCCGGCTGCAACAGTCGACCCTCCATGTCGCAAAACGATCCTAGTTGGTGCCTCAAGGGGCACGGCCTGATCCATCTCGACAACCACCCGTGCGACAGTGCCGGGTGCAACGATCTTCGGCCGTTTCTTGGTGGGTGCACCAGAGGCCTTGTCCAGGGACGCAACGAGCTTGCTGATGCGACCAGGCACATGAAGACGGCCGCGGTGGATGTCCACCATCATGGGCATCAAATGCTCGAAAGCGAGGACCTTGGCAGTGAAAGTGGTAACGTTCGGAATTGGAGACGAAGCTCGGCAGACAACGTCGCCAGAGCGCAAGTGAATGGGATCGATATTTGCTAGGTTCAACACCACGTTCTGACCGGCCACGGCCCAGTCGTTGGGCTCACCATCCACCTCCACGCTGCGGACCAGGGCAGTCTCACCACTGGGCATGGTGAGGATTTGATCGCCTATCTGTAGGCTACCAGAATCAAGGCGGCCCGAGATTGAAAGAGGATTCTGCACACTGCCACGGAACACATCGCCGATCGTCATGCGTAGTGGCTGGTCTAGAGCGTGCGTGTATCGCTCGGAAGTCTCCAGTTCTTCGATCAATGTGCGGCCGGTATACCACGACCCCTGGGGGTTTTCACTGCGCCGAGTGATGTTGTCTCCAAGCACACCCGAGCACGGGACGAAGGCAATGTTCTTCTCCTGGAAGCCAGCTGTCGTCAAGAACGAGGAAATCTGTTGTTCGATTTCCTCGAATCGGCCCTTGTCCCACTGAACAGTGTCCATCTTGTTGACGGCCACGACTATCTTTTGAACACCCATGCTACGCACCAGCAAGGCATGCTCTTTAGTCTGACCCTTCAACCCGGACTCAAACTTGCCGGTGCTAGCGTCGATCACCAGGACGGCGAAATCGGCCTGACTAGCACCGGCAATCATGTTGGGAACAAAGTCCCGATGGCCCGGTGCATCGACTATTGTGAATGCAGTGGACTCAGTCTCGAACTTGTTGGTCGCAATATCAATGGTGACACCTCGTTCACGCTCCTCCGACCCCTGATCCAACACCCATGCGAGAGCGAAAGATCCCTTTCCGATCTTCTCAGCTTCCTTCCGGTACTTGTCCAAGGTGCGTTGGTCGATCGCCCCTTGATCTGCCAATAATCGTCCCATCAGGGTACTCTTGCCGGCGTCGACATGTCCTGAATTCCGGTCAGAAATGATGCGTATACCAATAGACCATAGACGATACCTACCGATGACGACAAAGTTGGCAGACTTCTTCCGGTTTGATTTGTTGTATTCCTCAAGTACATCCAAGTTCTTGCTCTTGACAGTCACCTTCTCCTCCACGGAGAGGTCCTTCAACCCACCAGCAAGATCAGCCTGGCCCTTCTTGTCTCCAGCCGACTTGGATGCAGCGTTTTTGGACTTGAATCCTGCACATTATTAGGCAGATGAATTTTAGACCTTTCTGCGAATCGCCAAACCTTTTGCTGTGTTCTGAGCATTCAGCACCATGTCATCGGGGCTGGGGCCTGCAAAGTCAAAAGGTTCAGCATGGTCTTGACCGTAGATTTTGAGCAAATCCACACTGCTCGAGTGTAAGTGGCTGGGCTGGGCCATGGTTGGTCCCGCTGTATCACCAACGATGGCACTAGCGAACATAGATGGCGAGGCACGCATATCAGGCGCTGCCTGCTGTGGTTCTGGCTCGTCCTTTGGTTGATCTTGTGTTTGCTTCACCTGATCCGGAGTAGAAAGCTCGGCGTTCGTGGACTCGGGTGACGGCTGCTTCTGGGCTGGTGATTCCGCAGAGAGGCCCGATCTACCCAACCGGCGCAAGCTCCCATTTGTTTCCGACGGTTTTGGAGACTTGTTGGCCTTACTGGCGGCCAATCTCTCTCGTAAAGACAACTGGATGCTTTGTGGCTCGGGCGATGGTGCTTCTGATCTCTCAGGTTGAGGTTTTGAAGGAGCATCTGGCGTAGGTGCAACCTTTTCGCCTTCTTTCTTCTTGCGCTGTGCAGCTAAAGCCGCAAGCTTAGAGACCTTGCCTCCAGCCTCAGGAGCACCGCCTAGCAGCCCAAGCCGAGGGTATAAGGACTCAACCATAATATTCACTTTGCGCTCGGAAGGCACATTAAGCCAGGGACAGTCGCGAAAGAAATCGGCAGCAGAGAAGTGCGCTATAGGTGGGGAACTGGGTACTGGAAACCCTGGCACTGGATGACCTGTTAGAACATTGTCCAAACTTCCAGGTGGTGTCAGTTTCCAAGTCATGCGAGATTGATTGTAGAGCGCGGGGTTGCTGAAGAAGCGTATTACACACCTTTGTGGGATTTCACCAAGAGTCGGAGTAACAGCGGGAACGCAGCTCATTTTTCCCAAGCCCAGCCACGGCAAATCGACAAACAAATGCATATGATCGCGTTGCTTACCATTATTCTTCGGTACGGCAGCCGTCTGCTGCTTCTTGAGTTCCTTTTCCTTCTTGCCTGAGACACGCAGGACAAATGTTAGCTCCAAATCACAAATCAAAACAACACATCCTCGTCCTGAAAAGCAGTTACGGCCACGGAAGTTCCGGCAAAACGTACCTCTCAAATAACTCGTCGACTTTTCCACATCGTTGTAGTAGTGCCACAGTGCTTCCTGGATTTCTTCGGTCGTTGCGGTCACCGACGGCTGTGCCGCACGGAGATGTTGTGAGACTGCAGCGGTGCACTGTTTCAGGAACTCCTGCTCCTCGGGGTCGGGCGACTCATATCCATCCTCGTCATAATAATCGTCGTCATCATAACCGACATTCTTCACGCGATGCCTCGACATTGGGAGGTGGGATGAGTGTCAGGTGGGAGATGGAGGGGTCACGACTTGGAGCGGGGAAGGGAGGGTTGTGCTGCGGGAAGCGTAAGTCAATTCACAGGAATGGAGGAGAGAAAATGTCTAGTATAATAAGTTATAAAGGGAGAAATCCCAGTTGGAAGGGGAAGAGGTGGAGGAACACACACGGAAAGAGCTGGGAAAGGAAGCGATGCGGTCCACGTCATTCCCCACTTGGTGTTGCTGAGAGTTCTGCGATATGTCAGTACCCTAACCACGTCGAGCTTCCCCTACTGTTTACACATTTATCTACAATTACGGAACCATGTAGTTTTTTAGACATTTTTATTGCATTCGCGAGTTAAATAAGTTTGGATTCTATGCAGCCCCGAAGTTCGTGACGTGTACCAGCAGGGTCATCACCAAAGAGTAAGACAGAATCTCGACTGCTTCCAAAACAAAAAGGTAGGTTTATCGTAAGGGACTTCCGAAGAAGTCTCCCGCTCCCGGGCCGGAGAAAGTGCCATTGCTGGGAGTCAGGGCAATCGATCGTCGGAAAGCCTGGCGGGGAGTGGTGGGAGCGCTAGTTGGGGCGGCACTTGTAGCGGTTGCGGTTGCGGCTGCAGCTGCAGCTGCAGCTGCAGCGCCCGCATCGGGTGTACTGGGGGTATTACGACCGCTGTCCTGCATGGTGACGGCAGTGCCTGGTCGAGATAAGACGACGGGGGTCGCATTCTTGGGAGGGGGTCGGAAGCCCAGCTTGGAACCTTCACGGAAGATCTCCTCGAGCATCTGGGCGACGATCCCTGCATCTTCGTATTCTTGGAACTTTTTCCAGAGGCGCAGTGCCATCCGGGCATCCTCGATAGAGTCATGTCCATGGATTGTATCGGGAGTTGGCTCTTCCTGGATGTACTCCTTGAATACAGCCCAGGCGAGATATCGGAGACTAAGACGGCGGTTCTTGCTGGGGTAGAAGAAGAGGTATTGCGTGTCGACGGTCTGAGACTTGGGCACCTGGATATTGATCTTGCGGAAGTCTGAAGCTAGACCATGGCCCACGAAGACACAACCAAGGTTCAAGAGCAGCCATAGCTTCTTGTAAGCTACCTTCAGAGGCACCAGGTTGTGCTCGCTCGTCCGTGGGTCCAGGTCACCGGGCTTGATACCAGAGTATTGTGTAACGTAGTCGACAATTGGTTCCCGGATTGTGATATAGTCGTCAATGAACGGCACGCCCTCCGAAATGCCTGAGCCACGCAGCACGGAAACTCGAGCAAGTCCACTTTTGTTGGGTCGCACGATTTCCTGAGACCCGTCTGCTTTCACATCGATCTCCGCCTTTTCAAGGTCAACAAATTCGGTGTCAAGTGCCACGGCCGTTCCTGGCTGTGGCTTTTCCTCCTCGGTCAAGGTGCGGCATGACTCAACTTGGTGACAGCCATTCAAAGACCATTCACGGAAGAGCAGAGTGGTATCCAGAGCCTTCTTCCATGAGTCATCAACAGAGTGGCGTGCGTCTCTCACCTGGAACGCCAGTACGCAAGGCTGCTTCCAAGGCTGAGTAAAGCGAAGCGCTTCATCCCGGTCTACCTCGGTGACCAGGAAGTCATTGAACAGATGCCACTTGCTCCGTTCCTGTGGTTCTCGCTCTGAAATAGAAACGTTGATGAAGGAGACAAGATGGGCCTTTTGGTGTTCTGGAACGTCAATCTCCGCCACCAGGCCAACAAGATCATACACCACAAGGTTAGGAGTGTTGTTCTGCATCCGGAGATGGAGGTCTTCTCCCTCGAAACACATGATCTGTCCATTCTCGATAATGATACCCACTGTGTCGGGCAGCCACCCAGGAACAGCCCACAATCGACGGCAGATGGGGTTGGTCAATGCCGCATTAAGCACCAGAACGAGGGGCATTCTGTGTATAGTCTTCCGAATCATTACCTGCTGGTAACGTCGGCAGTAATTGCACCATCCTCGGTTCTGGGTCTCACGCTCGATGCTCGCACGCAGGATATTGGAGAATCGGAATGCCGGGTTGCGCCTAGCATGCTTCATATCCAGGTTGGGGTACAAAAGCTCGTTGGCGAGTGAATTGCCAGGGCGCACCGTCTCATTCTGGCAGAACATGCACCGAATCGACTCCGATGCTATAGTCGCAAGGCGTTGGTCGAGCTCTTCAGAGCTCGGCTGGATCATCCGGAAGTCTTGTGCTATTTGCGTCAGGAAGAAGCGGTTGACAGCTTGGATCGCAGTCGAGAGAGGCTTGTTAGGAAGGTTCTCTTCCAGGAGACCGAGGTTGGAAGCCTCCCGGAAGCTGCTGAAGGTTTTCAGCAAATTGGTGGCCTGGCAGTTTTGGCCACTTGCTTTCTCCAACATGTCGAACAAATAACCCAGTTCGCACAGAAGGCAGTGTTCGAAGATGCAAGCGCTAGCTGCGTGGGTCAGCGCCATATTTCGGAACAGCGGGATGAATTTGAAGAGCTGGAGGAGGGAGTTTGTGAAGGAATTGGCAATATGAGTTTCAAGACCTGAAAAGTTTGTTTTGTTATAGAATCTGCGAAGAGTATGAGCGAGATAGAACAGACTTCAAAAGAATGGGCCACGTACCGGAAATCGAAATCATCGACACCGAATCGACTATACTTGATCTCGACGTTGCTATATTTGAGAAGAGGATCGTCGTCGCTTTCACCATTGATCTTCGCGCCCGCTAGAGCTTCGGCCGCGTCTGTAATGGAGCCCTCCAATCTCGATTTGCTCTGGTCTCGGGCCTTTTCACTCAGGAACTTGGGAGCAATGAGTGCCGGCTCTACTGTGGCCAATGCACGGGTATTTTCGATCTGATTTCGCAGTGTCTTTCTGGGATTCGGAGCATGATGACCCACCTCGGCCGGGCGCAGGTATGGAAGCAATGCCTGGTCCAAGGGAGCAGGAGGGCTTCCCACCTCAAACAAGAGATGACTAGGCCATGCCGAGTAGAGACGCTCATGGTAGTAAGGCATTCCAACCATGCTCAGTGGAGTCTCTGGAGACCAGTCAATCGGTGGGGGTCGTGTAGGAACATCCGCGAACTCTATCTCCTTGCTCATCTCATTGAAGTGAATCTTGCTTGGCGAGCCCCATAGATGAATAGAGCACTCCGCATCATTGATAGCCAATGCCTCTCCTGAGGGGGACAGATCAAGCCCTAGCATCAATGAGACGTTCGCCTGTCGTAAGTTGATGGCATTGGGATTCATCAAGTCCACCACTTGGAGCTGCCCGGTCTGCGAAGCCACAAAGCTCGTTGTATGAAGCTTTGGATGCATGCGAACATAGGCCGCACCAGCATGGAAAGGGATAGGGGGCAATGGGGATAGCGTCTTGAGATCATATACATTCGCCAGGGGATCAACGATCGGAGAACCGAGTTGGCGAACGGAGAATCCGCAAGTGACGAGCAAATCGTTTCGCGCATCCATGTCATTTATAGCGGTTCCGTGAGCCTTCCACGACTTGACGACGCTAAAATCGTTAAGGCTAAGTGCGTTGACTGATCCCGTGTCTGTCGCTGCACAAAGATACCGGCTCTTCTTCATAAGTGTATAACTGTGTTCGGTGGGCAGCTTGTCAACAATCGTGCCCTTGTCGATGTCCACTGTGAACATCACGCGCTGGCATCCTGCAACAAGAATCCGATTGAGCTGCGCCGTGAAGCTCATGCAGCGAAGATCGACCATATCCTCGTCGGCAAGGTGCCATTGCGTCAGACCACGCCGCGTAATCATGTGTACGCTCTTCGATGACAATGATATCACGCCCCGTTCGTGAAAGAGAATCTGCCGCACCATTCCCTCAGAAACTGGATGGGCTCGCACAGAGGTATATCGTTGGAGGTCCGGTCCGTAGAACGAAGAGATTCGACCCTGATCAGAGAAAAGGCGCGCGTTAGTCCATCGTCCAAAAGGTATCAATATTGCCCACGAATGCTCACGTATTCATTTCCTGTCCACAAAAGTTCCATAACATCGTCAAAAGCTATCGTCGTCGCGACTGTAGGCAATGCGTGCGCACTCGGCGGTGGCATCGCGATGCGCGACAGCTCATCCCAGTCGGCCTCCATGGCTGCCCCTATCCGGGCGACGCCCAGACTATCCTCCTATTGGCAACCTATACGTATTCGTGTATGATGATTCAGGAATTGCGACCTTCACCTCGTAGGAGATACACCGAAGCCGGGCATCGTCTGCGAGAGGAAGACGCGATTGCGGGGAAGCTGTCAGGAAGGTTTGAGGTGAATCGCGGGCGATGGATAGGAGTATAGATTGAGATGTATGAAAGAGATAGGCTGTAGCCAGTGATATCGTCCAGCCTCAATGCGAGCTCGAGAGAGAGGCTCGCCCTGGTTCGAAGTTGCTTGTTGTCGACCGCCCCGAAGTCGTCGCGGGACTGAGGTGTCGATATGGTCACGTGGCTGTCCCGATAACGCTTAGTATAGACGCAAGGAGAGGTGAGATCTGTGCATCAATTTTGGAAAGAAGATCATGAAAGCCGAGAGAAGAATCATTATTTAATGGCCTTCGAAAATTCCATATGTCTTTTAGTTTACGATTTACTCTCAGACTTCGAGAATCCCTACTCCGGGACTCTTCGGCAAATTACATCCTGCCGATAGGAGTTAGACATTAGAAATCTTGCCCTCCCCCCTATTTTACCAAGAGAACCGAAGAAAAACATTCAAATGTGAGTACAGCTTTGCAATTCGGTCAGTTGATCAAATCCCGACAAGAAAGCACCCCTGCCTCAATAAGAGGTCCTTAGGACTACATATCCTAAGACACCTTGACTTAGCTACACTCAACCAAAAAAGAACCAACCCAATTGGCTTGTCAAATCCACTGAATCAAAGTGGTACGATCTTCTTACGAAACTATAAACACTTCAGACCTCGCAAGCCACGCTGAAATTTCAATTATATACAACACCGCAGTCCAAACCTACCCTGGGGGTTTGGCGGTTGTGGCTCAGACAGAGCCCAGAAACAGTGGTGGATACTGCGGCAAAAGTTGATCGCGAAGGTATAGAGCAGAGAAAAGACAATATTAACTAGAAAAAGATGATCTTGACACCTTCAAGGTACGAGTAAGCAATTGTCATGTCTACACATCTCCCGCCATTCATTCTACTAGACCCGAAAATACATAGAATGGGGATACGGCAAGATATATGGGAATATGTAGTGACAAACGACATAGACCGACAGTCAGTGATCGGTTAAATACACGACAGGCACAGAGCGGACCAGCAAGTAACAGAATAACAGGGAATCAAATCCTTCGGATACATGAGAAAAAAAGTCTCTGTTATTTGGACCTCTTAAGAAACAGACCGTTGCACTATCTGTAGAACGAAGCAGGATTCGAGGAAGGGACACCACCCTGCGCAGGCTGGTATGCCTGGTATTCCGCGTTGCCAGGTGGTGCCGACGGTGCCGGGTTAAAAGCAGCATACTGAGAAGGAGGAGGCGCGGTGCCAGGAATCGGAGGTGGTTGGTGCGAGGGAGGTGCTTGCTGCTGGGTGGTTGGGGAATTGGGATACGGAGCTTGCTGTTGTTGCTGCTGGAACTGCGGAGGCATACCAGGAGCAGATGACAGCTGGGGTGTTTCCTCGCCTAGCGAGTAGTCCTGCTGCGGTTGCTGTTGCTGCTGGTGGAATTGTTGGTGTGCGGTAGGTGGCACTTGGCCGGTGGGAGGGTAAGGAGGACGCTGATCCACGGGCGAATCGTAGACGGATGTTCCTAGCTCTTGGGGATGATCATATGTAGACTGCGGACGGTGGTGCATGGACTGGTAGGGATCAGCGGGAGGTGCCTGCTGCTGTACCGACGCGCCACCTGCAACGTGGGTGCGAGGATCGGGGGAATGAGATGCAGGCCGGTAGGGGACTGTTTGCTCTGCGCCATAGTAAGGGGTCTGCGATTGTGGAGGTTGCTCTGAATAACCAAGTCAGCGAATTGCTCTGCATGATTTTCATGTTCAACAAACCTTGAGGCCGCGGGCTGAAATATCGCTGATCCGGAGGAGGGCCCTGAGGGTATCCCGCAGGTGCAGCAGCACCCGGGTATCCGTACTGAGGTTGTCCAGGCCGACCATACTGGGGCTGCGCCGGGTGAGCCATCGACGCCTCGAGCAGAGACTCATAATCACGGCGGGCCTTGATAAACTTCTCGTTGAGTTGAGTGAATTCATCTGGGCAACAATCAGCATCAAAATCTAGCAGCGGAAGAGGGAAGACCCACCTTTCTTTTGAGAATACTTGCCAATCAACTCAATAAGTTTTGGCCGAATGGCGAGAGTGGAATGATAGAGGGTCGTGATCTCCTCGTTTTCTTGAACATTGAGATCCGAGCTCCGGGTACTCAACAGCGTCAGGAGCTTCTCGACATTCTTAATCTGACTGAAAACATCCCCCTCCATTTGGGCCTCACGCTGCAACTCCTCCACAGTCGGATCGGGAAGCTTTTCGACATAGTTGAGAGGGAAGATACCGGTCTGGCCCCTCAAGGAACCCTTCCACCAATCTTTGTATACAGATTCCAAAACAGCAATGATATCACCCTTCCGGAACTGAAGCTCGCCAGGCTCGGAGGGCTGGAAGTCGAAAATGGCCCTGACTCGTGACACGGTAGCGGCAGACGTGCCTGATGGAACAGGTTGAGAAGCGGCAGGTTCGGCTTGGCTTGCTGGAGTCGGGGTGGAAGTAGATAAAGGCGCAGGAGCGGCCGTTGCAGAAGAGCCCGCTTGAGAAGCGATTGGCTTTCTTTCCTTGACAGAGAGAGCTAGTGCCATCTGAAGTTCCTCTTCTTCCTTCTGTCTGTCGAAGTCGGTGATTCTTTGCTTGACGGGCTTCGAAGGGGGTTGCAGGTTGGGGTCTAGTGGGCGATAATAATCAGCAAAACCGACCCAAAATTATCTCAGATGGACAGTTTTGTACTTACTTGTCGTCTTCAGTTTCATGTATGCCTGTTCCATGATGCCAAAATCGGGGTTAGATGAGAACATCTCGGTCCATTCCTGCATGCGCTCCAAGATCTTAGACTTCACTTGTTGATGGGTGTTCTAGAGAGGAGTATTGTTAGAGATCATTCCACACTCCAGTAAGGCCATCGCTCAGATTTAACCTACCCGATCATTCGCCAGACGCAGAAGCGCATCAGTAAAGCTTCTCGAGGCCAGCTCGCGATGAATCTTCGGTCCGCAGTTTTGCGACAGGGCATTGCCAAGCTATGTCAGTCAGTGACGATTCCCAGACGATAGACGCGCCTCGGGGCACACGGGGAGAAATTGCGAACCTCGAGGGTATAGAGCTGGACATTGGCATTCCTGTGAGCCAACCTCTTAATCATGGCAGCAACCGCTTCTTTCGCGCTGTATAACCCATATCAGTTAGCATCCAGTCTTACAGCAACGAAACCCCATAACAAGAGCGCCACATACCCTGATTCTTCCACAGAGACTTTATCACAGACATCCTATATGGTCGTATCAACCCAAATCAGCTTCCAGACCCTTCATCGCAATGGAACGGATCAATCGGTCGGAGGAACGCACCAGAATGTATTCCCAGTTCTCGGAGGTCAGGTTCTCGTCCGTCGCCTTGGCTGTGAAGAAGATTTCCCATGTCAGTAATCATGTACGAAGGATGTCGAGACCTGGTACTCAGCCGCAGTTGTGCCTGTGATCCAGCTGGCGGACCACAGAGTAAACAGTCGCTCAGTATTGTGGTACAACTTACCGACGGCGTCGTCAAACGCATTTTGCTGCGCTCGAAACATCTCCAGTATAATATGTCCTTAGAGGTCTCACAGCAAAAGTAACACAAGAAGTCGGGGATGTCAGGCACCGGTCGTCGGCCTTAACACAGGGAGCTCGCTCGAGGTGGCACTAAGATTGCGCTGCTCCAAAAGAACGCACCGCAATGTCAATCACTAGGCTGCGTGTTCCTGGACAAATTCCACTGCTCACGACGGCGGGATTCGCAGCGATGCTGGTCGAACACTAAATGCGGGGAGTGGATAGAGATTCGTAGGGTGCGGGCTGAGCTGGGGGCTCGGGGTACGCCGAGAGACGAAGGTGTCCAGGGGAGAGCAGGAAAAGGAGTGCCTCGGTACTAATGTAGACGTCTTGCAACTTGCTTGTCCAACGGGTTGAAGGGACAGTGAGCAGCGCGACTTTACGTTGTTGTGTCGGGGCGGAAGTGGCCCTGAGTCAGCAGGCAATGACGACGGTGGGAGGAGCTTGGAAGCTACAAAAAATCGATATCGTGTCTGCCTTGAGCGGCAAATTTTGTTTCTGTGCCTTATGCTGGTATCGGCACAGAGAATTTCCATTCTTTGCTTGAATATCCGTAGGCTCCTGTTTTATAGTCTGCTTTGATTTGATCTATGTCTGTGGTTTGTACCTGATATTTCTACCAAGTACAGCCCCCCTGGCGGTCCAGGGGTATAGATCCCAGAGAAATGTATTTCAATAGATGCAAGCAGATGCGAGAAAGGAATGAGTATTCACATATATCCACATCCATCTTTAAAGACCTGTGCAACCACAAACGCTGAACGCGAGAGCGCATTCTCAATCCCCACAGTTGAAGGTATACCAATTGACAAGCAATAATAGCAAGATAGCTGAATCATCTCGCTCAAAGCAGCATATTCAAACAGCGCGAAGGAAGTCTGAGTTAGGACTACACATAGGCTACATAGACAGCCCGAGGGCAAATAGGAAAGAAGTACAAATCAGGGATAACAGGTCCTGAGGTCAGATCATTTTCATCACGAAAGGATGGTTTCATCAAGGAATATTGGGTAACAAATCGGTGCAGTAAATAGGATTCCTGCGACATGATGCGATTTTCGGCATGCCGGGGATCTAGAAGAAACATCGGTAGTGATGGGGTATCTGAGCAAGATGGGAAGAGGGATCGAAAGACAAAAAGAAATGCCGAAACAAAGAAAGAAAAGAGCGGTTCACCTAGGCTAGGCGCCGCCTTTTTGCGCCTTCTCCTGAGCACGGCTGAGGCGAGCAGCCTTGACCAGAGGGGCTAGGTGAGTGAGGGGGGAGCACTGGGCCATGAAGGGGTGCTTCAACAGGTCGTGGGCCGACGCTCGCTTCTCGGGGTCGACTTTGAGGGCCAGGTGAAGGAAGTCACGGAAGATGTGCGACAGGTTGTGTTCATCCTTGATGGTTGGGGTACCGTTCGTGGCGATCAAGTAGAGGGCTCGCAGCGGCGATTCCGTCAGGTACGGCGGCTCGCCCTCGATCATCTCAATGGCCATGATACCCAGACTCCAGATGTCGACCTTGCGACCGTACTCCTTGCGGGTAACTACCTCGGGCGCCATCCAGTAGGGAGTTCCAACCATGGTGTTTCGCTTGTGGTGCGAGTCGTTGATCTGCGCACAGAAGCCAAAGTCGGCTGCAGTAGAATTAGCTTCAACGTTCGATGTCGTGACAGGAGAGCCGGAACTTACTCAGCTTGATGTTGCCATCCAGCGACAAGAGGATGTTATCGGATTTGATATCACGATGAATGACACCCTTCGAGTGCAAGTGTTGCAGACCGTTCAAGGTCTAGTAAAAGATGTTAGAAACCACTCGAAAAAACAAAGTAAGTTTGGAACATACCTCTCGGCATACTGCCGCAATCTGTCCTTCACTCATGATGTTGAAGGTAACCACATCCGTGAGGCTACCGCCTTCCATGTACTCCATCACGACCCACAGATCCAGGCCATGAAGGAAACTCTCAAGGAAGTTCACGATGTTCTTGTGCTTGCTATCCTTCATCACAAGAATCTCGTTGATGATCAGATCCTTCTTGGGCTGAAGGTCCAGGTTCATCTGCTTGATAGCCACACAACCGTTGCTTCCCTTCTCATAGGCAGTGAAGACACCACCAGAAGCACCCTGGCCGATCTTGTTTAGGTTGTAGTAGATCTGCGTAGGATCGCCGGGGTGGCAGATGGACAGCAGGCGCTGCCGGACATCCATCACATTGCTCTGGCGCTGGCGCTGGCGAGGCCGAGCTGCTGGTGGGGCCCGCGTGGTTGGGGAAGGGTCTGTCGGCGAAGCGCCCAGATTTGGGGCGAGCGCGGGCGGCTGAGGCGGCTGTTGTGTCTGCTGGCGTTGGCTGGTACTCCGATCCAACTGCTTCTGTGCAATCGCTTGCTGAGCAGCTGCCATGACCTGTTCCTGATGCTGCTGGTATTGAGTCGGGGAGGCGATCGGTCCCTTGGGGCCAGGGGTGCCATTGCGAGAGCTGGACGGGCTGCGCTTGGGGGACTGGGAAATCGGCTCCGACTCTGGGACTGACGGCGCGACAAACGAGGGACCGTAGGGATCCTGCACAAGTCGTTGCGGAGGAACGGCATACGACTGCGAGACGGGGGGTTGAGGCGGCGGACGGGCGGGCGTTATGCCGGTGGGCGGCTTGGGGGGAGCGCGGTGTGGTACCAGACTGCCCAACGGCGGGGACATGGGTGGCGCCGGCGGCGATGCGGCGGACGGACCACGAGGAACTGGAGGTGGGGACCGTGGGTTTTCAAAGCTGCTTTCATGATTCTGGGGGAATCGAGGACTGCCAGGCGGCGAGGGGGCGCGCCCGTTATTGTTTGCTGAGTAGGCGTTATCGAATTTGTGCCACACTTCATCGTCGTCTCCTCGAGTGTTCTTCTCGTAGAATCGCATGATGTCCATCATGGTTTGCGGGTGCTCTTCCTGTTCTTTCTTTGAGATACCGTTCTCCTGCAGCAGCCGCTGCCACTCCTTGGGCAGACCCGTGAATTGACCGGTCTGGTTGTCATAGCCGACGTGAGTGACATGAACCGGATTCTCCGGTGCTGAGATTTTGATGTTGCGAGGAGACCCAAGCACGCTGTTGACGAAACTGGAGAAGCTAGCCTTCTTACTTCTCCCCATCCGGGTGGGCGGGCCATTATTGCCATCGTCGGAGAGTCTCTTGGAGTGAGGAGGCCGTTCAGTCTCGCGGTGGGAGAAAGGATCCATGCGGCTCGTTAGAGTGGTGAAGCTGGCGGACTGTCGGAGGGGTTGGCGGCCACGCGGGTCGGGGCTGGTGTGATGGGAACGCAGAGGCGGGGTTTGCTGCGTATGGGTTTGAGGGTCGGTCTCGGCGCTATTCTCGTCGAGCGCACTGAGCATGCCCCGCGTTTCGTAGGGGCCGTTTAATTCATCCGAACTATGTTGGTCATAGGAGAAGCGGTGGGAGCGGGTGCGAGAGCGCGAAGAACTGTGACTGGGGAACTGCGTCGCCTCCTCGTAGCCGGGCGAGGGACCGCCACTGTGGTCGAGTGAAGAGGATGAGGATCCGTAAGCTGCGTTCGATCTTGATCGGACGTGTTCGCGACTGCCGGTGGGGGAAGAACGCGGATAAACTGGGGCAGAAGGATGACGTTTCAGGGAGCTGGTGCTCTGATGACCCCGAAGAATGCGCGAACTGAAGCTAGGGGGATCCTTGTGCAGCTTGCTGGAGGGGCGGCGGAATTTTAACGAGAAGCGCTCTGAGGTCTCTTGATTCATGGCGTGCAGAGGAACCTGTCTCTACACGAGACAAGATTGGAATTGGGCCGAGGGAGGGGTCAAGGAAAGCAGGAGAATTTTCTGCCTGCGCTGTTTCGGGCAGGGACCAGGGTTTGCCGCCCGTGATGCAATGCTCGTGGCCCTGAGATGTGACGATGATCTTTCCAGTAGACCCCCGATGATATGAGATTCCGGAGAGAGTTCTGGAATGAAGAGAAGGGAGAGAAGGGGAGATGGAACTTCCAGCTGTCCAATTAGCACGTGGAGAGCGGAGTGAAAAGGAGTCGGTGGCTGGGGTTGACGGGGGATGACGCAGGACCCGGTTGATATGTGATAGGTATAGGGGGGAGGGGGTCTAAGTGTTCATTTCGTCGAGGTGATGACCGATGATACTTAATGACGGGGACTTGTTGATTCACTCCCTCCAAGTTCTAGATTTTGCCAGATTTCCCCCCATTTCTAACCGGTGCCACTTTTCGGGTACGCGGGATAAGAATAGCACGGCGATTGGCCGCTTATGTCATTGATGATGTCCATTTACCTGAATCAGGTCTCATTGTTGTTACTGTGACTCTGTTTCGGTTATAATTGAATTGACAGGCCTACGGCCCTCGAAGCATCTGAAGTTGGCCGACATGTTGCTCGGAGACCGCCCTGCTCCTGGCGCGACTCAGAAACGCGCCCAAATTTCGCACCGCCTGCTTTACCTGCAAGGTAGTTCAGGCCCCCAGCATGCAATATAAGTTCTAAACAGGGGGCAACCACTTATATAGGACCCGGCAGGTCAAGTGTGACGAAGCAAAAGCAGTCTGCATTCGGTATATCTTCCCTCCGCCGGTACCTTCCAACCACATGTTTCGACTAGCGCCCCCTACACCGTACGGATACCGGGCGAAAATGCGATGACTTCTCCAGCCCAAAACATTCATCGTGCCCAGGGCGTTGGCCCGACACCCGGTCTCCGCTCGCAAATCGAGACTCGCAAGTCGAGTTTTCCTACCAAACTGCACAACTGGCTGTTCTTTGCGACCTAATTCTTTCAAGGCAGCGTGCTCAAAGTAGCCTGGTGAGGCCTGCTATCCGTCAAGCAATGCCGGCGATAGGCATTGTTCATGAACAGACAGTTTTAGACTGATCCTCTCTCAATACTAATGAGCAAGCGGCAAAAGATCAAGAGAGCCGACCCCCTGAACACCCCTATTCAGCGATACAATGGATCGATTCGCGCCATCATTGACAAGGCCATTACGGAACCCAATTCACTGCCGCTCGTTGCCATGATCAACATCTTGTTTATTTGCTTTTCATATTTCCATAAAAATTTAGAAACAGCCGCGGCACAAATTAAAAGTGGGATCGGCCTTCTCCAAAAGTACCGAGAAACCCAAGGAGTCGTAGCACCCTGGGGCACCAGCTACGCGTCGTTCGAGGCGCGTGATCCTGGCAGATCAATTCGAGACCCTGTACGAGACCAGGGTGGGCCTCATGGATCTGATTGCCTCTGCCGTGTGGCATTTCAAGAGGTAAAAACGCGGCATTGAGAATGACCACTATCCCCATGCAGACACAGTTACAATATTCGATCATATTCAAATGGGTCTTGGTCGATGGAGGTGCGATTTCGATGACCTGATCCACCTGCAAAAGCGCAAATGGAACAATCCTCAACGCCGAGCAGCCGACATGATTCGAATAATATCACTTGGTACAGGCTACAGCGTCACACCCTATCGGGTAGTCTGTGGATGCGATTGGAACGCGCACCGCGCCATGGACGACGAGTGGATCGAGCTCACCACTCGCACATCAATCGCAGGTCACTCGTAGATCGTAGATCATTCGCACGAATGCATTCGGCCAAAAATGTGTCCTGTTCACCATCTTTCTCACGCGGAGATTCAATTCGAGGTACATCGTGCTGCCGATGTTATCGATCTCCAAGAGTATCTCCACACTTAGACCAAGACCGAGAATTTCAGCTCAATAATCCCAAACATCCTTATTTTGTTAATTCGAAAAGTAATTATGGGTTTGAATCCCATATTAGCCGTTGATATTAATACTCAAAATGTCCGTTCCCATTACGAACTACCTGATGGTAAAATCTCGGGAAATTAGCTTGGGTGGATCTTGGTTCCTGCCGATCCGATCAGTTATTAGGCAAGCTCTGTTAAGCTATAAGACAATCCCCACCCGATTGGCTCGGAGGAGGTGAATTTTGATATTATATTGGCTGAGAAGAAAAAGCCAAGCTTGAACTTTTTAGAATGGCCGCAGCCCCTGAAGACACCCAACGCAGACTTCACATCCCTCGATTACCATGGCTACTCCCTTCTTGTTGCATGACTCGCCTACAATGATGCCCGCCACACCCACAATCGTAGCCAGGATGGCCAGCGCCTCTGCTATCGTATCCGGTGCTGTCCCGTCAGCTAGCACTGGCCTGTCTGGATTCAAAGTGTACGATGAGACCTTCCACAACATTCTCGGCTCAGTCCCGAAGCTTGAGATGATCCTGGAGGACAACTCCTATCCCTTCGCCCACGAGGCCAGTGTGTACATCCCATCCTCAGAATCACTCTTCATGTCCAGCAACATCTTCACGGACCCGGCCACCGGTGAGAAAACCATCAAGATTACCAAGGCTAGCGTGAGCGAGCACCCCGTCACGGCGGAGATCATCAACTCCACTATTCCCCTGCCCAATGGAGGTGTCAACAACGGCGACGGTATCCTTTGGATCGGTCAGGGTACTATGAACGAGGCGGGTGGTCTCTTCCAGATGTCCGTGCATCCGCCGTACAAGACCAAGTTTGTTGTACGTGGTTTCTATGGCCGCCAGTTCAACTCTCTCAACGACGTGGTCGTGCACAGTAATGGATCCTACTGGTTCACCGACCCCGTCTACGGCTGGCGCCAGGGTGTTCGACCCAAGCCTAAGCTGCCGAACCAGGTGTACCGATTTGACCCGAACACCTCCGATTTGCGCGTTATTGCGGATGGCTTTGGCCGGCCGAACGGCATCACTTTCTCGCCGGATGAGAAGACTTTGTACATCACCGACACCGCCGAGACCAACGGTGATGGCTCGGAGGATAAGCTATTGCCTGCTACTATGTGAGTTAATCTTTGCCCGAATCAGGGTTTCAAAGGGAATGGCGTGCTAACTACTCTAGCTACGCATTTGACGTGATCAAGACCGGGGACCAGCCTTTCCTGACCAACCGTCGCGTGTTTTCCATGCCCGCAGAGGGTATTCCCGATGGTGTCAAGGTTGACATGGACGGCAACGTCTATGCTGGCTGCAAGGACGGTGTCAATGTCTGGTCGGCTGGTGGTGTCTTGCTTGGCAAGATCCTGGTCAAGGATGGTACTTCAAATTTCTCGTTTGGCAAGAATGGTACCATGTTCATTCTCAACGAGAACAAGCTCTGGAGGGCGCAGTTAAATCAGAAGGTTGAGGGTAACCTTCTAGAAAAATAAGCGCCACGCGAATACTTGAGTTATAATGTGTGTTTTGAATGTAAATCTGATCACTTGGGAGCATATGGGCAAATTGTTTGGTTAATATTCAAGAATAGTATATCCCTGAATATTTATTCATGATGTATCCCGAGTATGAGGTACACCCTAAGATACTTCAAATGATAGTTAACCAAGAGATAATCAAGAATAGGACTCCTAAATATATAGAGAAGTGGGACTCTCTGTCTCTGGTTATGAGCCGACATTGTAAGTATATATTTTCCTAACAAGCCATAAAGACATGTATTTTGGTGCCTAGGTATATTTCTGAATAAGTTTCTAGATCCCTAATGTTATTATGAGCGGTAGTCATTACCCGCTGCGTAATTCCCCCAAGGGCGGGGGGGGGGGGGGGGTGTATATCTTCATGAAGGCCACGTACCTAGGCAGGTACTTTCGTCTTTCAGAGGTGACATATTGTTCGACTGCGCGATAATTATCCGTGTTCCCTGAGCTCACTTGGGTGCCATTTATCTTATCACCCTATCTTCTTTTTGCGATAATCAAACACACGTATCGTCAGCCGAGTTTTGAACCAGGTTCTCAAAAGAGAACATCAGATTCCGCAGTTTCATTGGCTCAAGCCAGGCCAAGCTTCAGTATGGCGCCTCTCCCGCGCCATGTTCAGCGGAAGCCACAAATTTAAAACAAGCTTATACGTGTGGAATGCGTTGACAACGTGGAACCAGGTGCTCCAGATATTGTCTCAAAGAGCCGACGACATGTCTCAATAATGCGGGAGATCCTTCTTAAGGCTCAGAACCTCCCTTAGAAGCTACGTGCCGGTGCAGCTCGAACCTGAGAACCTTAAGGCTGCAGATGATCAATGAGCGCAGCCCACGTACGTTGGCCTTGACACTCGGATCTTTCTATTTCAAAGTGGCCCAGTCCCCTTAGCGGTGTCAGACAGTAGGGGCAATTGACTCATGATGTAGTCTAGGGGAACAGCCTGGGGTAAACTTCGGCGAGGGGATATGCCGGGGGCGAAGCAAACAAGTGAAAAGTACCATGGGGATTTAAGTTTCCAGCTCCAAATCCCGATGAGGGGTCATTGGGGCATGAGGGGGATGGGGACATGGCTGATGTGTCGGGGCTGTTATGGGTCTTGAAGCCCGATCTCTTGAGGTGCAAGATGCTAAATGACGAGAGCCAAGGTCGGGGCGGGCTAGTATCGAGGAGCCTCGAATCTTGGAGAAGACAGTTGGAGGTTCGAAGTCGCGGTGAGAACCGGGGTCAGCCGTCGGTCTCTGCTTTCAACCTTTGTTCCCCTGCATCTGGGCCAGGTTGGGCAGGGTCTGCGCGTTTTTGCTCCGCTCGGATTTGGTTGCCCTTTGGGTCCTTTTCTGTCCCTTTCTGTCCCTGATGTTCGGTTTCACAAACCCCTCTCTCAGCCCTGTGAGCGTCCTCTCACTTGACGATGATTGCCATCCTTATTGAAAGGGTGATCGAAGCCTTGATCTTCCACTTTCTACCGGGAGGACTCCACACCGTTGCGAACCCGATCCGCAGCCACATCGTGTAGATCCTGGGCGCACCGGTAGAGTTAGCGGCTTATTGGATCCGACCGAGTCCCACATGGGAGCAGATCATCAGCCTCACCGGACTTGAGGCGCCCCCCTGCGGCCGGGATCCAAAGGAAGACTAAATGTCCGCGGTGCATATGACCTACAATGTAGAGCTCTGCTGCCTTCATTGGCATGGCAGCGAAAAACCAAAAAAAAAAAAAAAACCAAAAAAGGTGCAGTCCGAAAAAAGACAAGAAATTCAATAGTGCTACAAAGGGCCGATCTCCCTTGCCTGCCACGATACGCCCTCGAAGGGAGAATGTGGGTCTCAAGGAACTTGCGCAATGCCTTATTGCGAGTCATGCACTCCTAACCCCTGTCCACGCACACCATAATCTGCATAAACGAATCCCGACTTAGATTCGTGTGGGTTTGTGGGGGGTTGCTGTGGGGAGATTGCCCGAGTCTGGCGAAGGCTGCGTTTGCAGATGCGAGACATCACATAAGGGATTATCGGCACTTACCGTTGATTGCAATGATCTCGCCGTGCGGGTCTTGCGTCTGTTTTCCAATTCCCCAGCTTGTCAATGATCGTCATCATCCTGAATGAATCTCCCTAGAGGCGCACATCCTTCCGCTACTATCCCCTTTGTGGCGTTCGAGCCACGTCGGGAGCCCAACTAATGACATGTGCCTTACATTCATAGGACCAAATGTATACTACGATCAGTCTGTGATTGGCGTGGTGGGGTTCCCAAGGCCTCCCATCAAGGCAGAAGATGCATTTTCCAAGAAGATATCTGCGTGACTTTTGCCTTTATCAAGACGGTCCGAGTCGACTTAAATTGAGCTCATTCCGCCGGTCTAAAAGAATTATCATCGCGACTAATCCCTTCGACCACCCGGCAGCCTATTCTTCGATCGCCATAATGCTTGCCCTGTTCTTCTTTTTCATAGCGTTGGCTTGTGCCTACCCCAACCGGGGTCCCTGCACTGGTGATTGCTGGACACACGACCCTACCATGATCCAGCGTCACTCGGATGGAAAGTACTTCCGTTTTGCTACGGGAACCGGTATCAACACTATGACGAGTGACTCCGTGAAGGGTCCCTGGAAGGACGTGGGCTCTGCTTTGCCAAAGGGCTCCATCATCAAGCTCGACGACGTTAGCAGTACTGACATTTGGGTATGTTGACCCGGCTATATATAAAATGTCCATTACTAATAAACAGCACCAGGCCCCTGACGTGCACTTCCAAAACAACCAGTACTACATGTACTACGCCCTCTCCAAGACCGGCACCCAGGACTCTGAAATCGGCGTGGCTACCTCGACGACTTTGGAACCCGGCTCCTGGACCGATCACGGCTCTGTCGGCATCCCGGCCAACAGCAACTACAACCGGATCGACCCCAACTGGATTAGCATTGGCGGCAAGAACTACCTCAACTTCGGCTCCTTCTGGAATGATATCCAGCAGATTGAGATGGAGAGCCCTCTCAAGGCCGCCTCTGCTCCTGCCCACCAGCTTTCCTTCAACCAGACCCTCAACCACCGCGAGGAGGGCTCCTTCATGTTCCAGAACGGTGACTTTTACTACCTCCTTTACTGCGCCGGTATCGCTGGCCGATACACCGCTACTTATCCTCCCCAAGGCGAGGAGTACCACATCCGCGTCTGCCGTTCCACTAGCGGCACTGGTGGCTTCGTTGACCAGGATGGCGTTGACTGCACCAAGACTGGCGGCACGCTCCTTCTCGCCAGCCACGGACAGGTCTTTGGACCCGGTGGACCGTAAGTCAACTCCACAGTCTCCCTAAACAAACAATATCTAACAAGTAAATAGTGGCGTTATCAACGACAAGAACCTTGGCTTTGTGATGTACTACCACTACTACCCTCTGGCCGAGAAGCAGGGTGGCGGCAAGGCCGGCAACTCGGGCTACATGTACGCCTGGAACGAGCTCGGCTGGGAGAACGGCTGGCCATTCGTCAAGGCCGCTTAAGCTTTCCCCGTTCATATTTCTTCTGCCTCATTATACATATCGCCCTTGGGTGCGAGGCTCTTACTTTCTTTTCTATCTGTCCATGGTTGGGGATCCATACTTTTCTTTAGAGTAGTGCACTCATTTTCGATACCCATGCCGTTCCGCCACTAAGGTTGGCTAAAGTGCAAAGACAGAATATACTAATAATAATCTAGCCCATTGGGCTCATGAACATTTCAAACATTATATGACATGTTAATTAGAGATGGTGAATACGGCTCGTTCCTTCGTTCTAACTTCGTTTGCTTTTAATCCAGTATGCAGAATTTTAGCATGCTTTTGTAAACTTGAAACCATTACCGTCCAACGTAGCGAAGCTCCAGTTTTCGGAGAGGGAGATAGGAGATGGTAGTGAAGACCAGAGCCAGTTCATTGGCAATGTCACCACCGTCCTTACCGATCTTCGCCGCAAGCACACCGACGTAGTACGTCTCCACCATCCCCACAATCCATCCTGCCGCACCGCACAGGAAGGCCGTCAGCCCGGCATAGCCAACAGGCATCTTAGAGGGGGTGTTCCACGCATCAAGATCATAGTTAGCCAGACTTCCTTTACGGAAGTAATAATGCTCAATGAACAAGATCGCGAAGAATGAAGTATTCCAGTACCCGAGCAGAGAGAGGAAGTTCTCCAGCACATCGAGCAAGTGATCACGACCGGCAATGCCGAGAGCCAGAATACCGGCGAAGACCAGGAACGACCAAAACACGCGCGGGACCTTGGCGAGCGGGGGCGCAAAGAGCTGAGCTGACAGTGCACCCGAGTAGATCGCAATACAGTTGACGCCGACTGCAAGGGCGAAGTTAGTGTCAGAGGTACATATGAAATCACAGATAGCAACTTACTTCCAGATAAGACCAGGAGAACCAGCAGGAACTTGGCAAATCCGGTTGGGTAGATGATGGTTTTGAGGATCTCGCCAATACCTATGTCGTACGCGGCCGCCCACTCGGGGTTCGTGTCAAGAGCCGAGCTGATGCAAGCACCCAGCAGCATGCCGATGCAAGTGGGGATTGTGATACCGAGGGTGGTGTACAGGAAGATCTTGACCTTGGACGTGTCGACGGGGTAGTGCACATAGAAATCGGAGACGATGGAGCTCCACGATGCGCTGGATCCGTAGATCACACCGATCAGGCTGAGCGCGTTCCCGGACTTGGTCATGCCCGTCACAGTCTGGGGAGCGGAGAGGTTGGCGCGGTGGGCAGCTTCTCCGTAGATGATCATGAAGATGACGAAGAACATCATCCACGCGTACTTCTCGTACAGTAGCACGCCGCGTAGTCCGACGAAGCTGAACAATAGACTGACGCAGGCGATGATGACGACGCCGATGGCGATTGAGACATGTCCGTCAGAGACGGCGTTGAGCGCCAATCCGCCAGTGATGCAGTTGACAGAGGCCCAGCCGAGCTGCTCAATCACATTGAGCAAGGCGATGAGAGACGAGGGGTAATAACCTAGCGAGTAGCGCGAGATGGCGACTTGGCGCAGGCCCGTACCAGGACCCATCGTAGCGCACCAACCCTAAAATCGACCAGCGTAAGTTTTCCGCAAACACACAAATTTCTCTTTCTGCACTTGCACTGCCTTGAGAGCCCAGACACCAGGGAAAGGAATTCGCACCGTCACCATAGCGCCCAACAGCGTAGCAAAGATCACGATAGGAATCGTCTCGCCCAGCGATAATCCAAACTGCTTCCCCAAAAAGCCCGTACTGAAGCAGCTGATATTCATCGTTGCTGAAGCCCACATAAAGGCCATGACCAAGGGACTGGGCGAGTTTCGGTTCTCGGGATGCACGCGATCAAGACTGTGGGATTCGATTCCCAGCTTGCGGTCCAGTACTTCTTCAAAGTAGCGAATTTTCGCGAAAAAACCGCGCGGTTTGACCGGTTCATCGTCGACCGGTGTCACAGCCACGGGCTGGAGCTTCTTCTCTATATTCTGCTCATGATCGAAGTCCATGCTGCCCGAGTGCGAGGGAATGGTAAAAGACAAAAGACAAAATCTCCGCAATTGCCCACGAGGCTGGATCTAACGGTCGAAGTAGCGCCCATTGCTCGGAGAATCTGCCACTGGGGGTCGTGTGGGTCACCTATCGCCGGTGGCCATGTTTATTTTCCCTTTGGGACTTGTTTATTTATGGATGATAGAAGGAGCAGTGAGTTGCATTTGACAACAATATATGGAGTACGAGCTATACACTTGAGTATAGTCAATTGTGGCTGGTCTAGGGTGTGTTCATAGACCAGTCAGCACCGTAAGCTTTCGAGTGAAGTACAAATGGGGTTAAGCTTCGGCGGTCCGATGAAAATTCTTTCCTTATCAGGTGGGGGGAGCATGTGCTTGAGAACACCCGATTCGATCTGTTTTTCTGCGATTTTTTTTTTTAAGCTTGGTGATCGGAAACCGGCTAGATAGAGCCATGGATTATAATCACACGGCGATTGCATACAGTAGCCAGCATTTCATGCTGGTCAACGGTGTTAAATTTGCCACTGACTTAGGATGCCAACTTTGCGCCCATGAATTTATGCCTCTGATAAATTTCGCTCTGACGGGGCTCCTCGAGCAAGAGGTGGTATAAGCAGGGTCGATAGAACTCTGGAGTCGATCATGTGCCCACGGGGCCGCCAGTGATATCTATCCCTTATACCGGTGTCTCACCCAGTAGAGGCTGTGTGGCCGGCTTGGGCACGTGGCGTGGCGTCCAAGCGTTTTGGTAAGCAGTGATTTGAACACCTCACGGAGACTATTCCACGAAGATGGTGACTCCCGAGCCATTGGATCATACATGTTGGGTTGTTTGGTCGTGGTGGAGAGGATGATGTGACACTGTCGAGTCCTGGCACGGTTGGCCCGTGGTGATGAGGTGACATCTACCAATTCAGAAAAGTCGATTGGCCACATGAGCGAGTAAATAGAAATGCTTCGAGTGAAGATCAATTATGGTAGAACGCGGTTGAAGTTGGCGCCGTGTAATCGGGTACGGAGAAATCTCCCCCGGACCCTCGAGCTGGCCTTTTCGGTCACTTTGTGTACTTCTGGGGTTCTCGACCTCATCTACCACCTTCCACCTTTCACCTCCCCCTCTTCTCTCCCCCCCTTTGCTCTCTTCCCCTTCCCCTTTCTCTTTCTCAGAGCTCTGTTCATTCAGTGTCTCTGTACATTCTTCTGGGTATTTGACCTAATTCCGGTCCCCATTAGACCACTCTACCCCATTTCCCGGGGATATTGCCCTCAAGCCAAGTTTCAATTTGGGCACCAGACCGCTCCCTGGCATCAATTCATAAGGATAGCACTCGATCCGTAAGTTCCTTCTCAATGCTGCCCATTGTCTGTTTCCCGACATGCCGGGTGGTTTGTTCCCGTCGCAATACTGATTCGGACCAGTTTTGATTTGCCGTCTACCTCCGCGCAGCTCCTCTCGTCGATCATCCCGGTTTCTCTCACGGTCAATTCATCCCACTCACCATGGCTGCCGAAGCGCCCGCTACCAATGGCGGTTCCTCCAAGTCTCTTGCCGCCATGCTAGAGGCACAGCACGAGGCCCACAAGCCCACTGTCGAAGATGCAGTGGACGAAGAGGACCTCAAGCACCCTCCTCCGTCTTCTATCGTCAACGACCAAAAGCCCGCTCCTCCCGCCACAGTTTTAGAAGAGTCGACACCGGCCGAATCGGCAACTCCGTTCCCCGCCCCGAAGCCCGCCGCTAAGAAGGCCCCGGCCTTTGACGTACAATCTGACGAGTTGTTCCCTGCCTTGGGTAGCGGACCCAAGCCTGCTGCCCCCGCTGCGGCCACATGGGGTGCGAAGAAACCCTCTGCGGCTGCGACCGTTGCCAATGGCCAGCCTGCTCAGCCTACGAACCTTCCCCGAGTCATGTCACTCCCTGGAAAGCACATGGAACAACTTCGCCTGGCGCCGTCCCAGATGCAGCCGCGCGGGCAGCTAAAGAAGCCCCTCCGGGATATCCTCCGCGACATCTCCCGGAGATCCAAGGCCACTGTTGATATGCGCGGTGGCCCCGGTGGGTCCATTATCTTCGAAGGCAAGGGTTCCGTGGACTCTGTTCGTCAGGCTCTCAAAGAGGTGGCCCAACAAGTTGGATCTAAGGTATGCACGAAGTGTCCTGATAAAGTGTCTCTCGGTCTAATGTTTTTTTTCTCAAATAGCAATCCGTTCGCGTTCCCATCCCCACCTCTGCACGCGCTCACATCATTGGCCGCCAGGGTGCCGTTGTTCAGGATATCCAGACCCGCACCGGTGCCCGTGTCAAAGTTCCACGTGCCGACAATGACGCTTCTCCCGCCGATGACGACGACAGCGATACCATTGATGTGTTGATTGAGGGTGATGCGGTTGCTGCAGAGATGGCGCGCCGTGAGATTGAGGCGATTGTTAAGGAGCGTGGCTCAAGCATGAGCTTGCGCTTGAAGACAATTCCTCCGGAGTTCTTCCCCTTCATTGCTGGTGCACATGATGCTACTGTGCGTGAAATTGAAGAGCGCACCAAGGCGCAGGTTAGCGTGCCGCGTTACGACACCTGGACCTCGCAGCCGCCTCCGCAGGAAGCCCACCCTGGCCAGGTGCAATTTGTCCCTGTTGCTGATAAGCACATCCTCATCTCTGGAGAGCGCGCCGCTGCCCAGGAGGCGCGCGCGGAAATTGAACGCATGGCTGCTGAATTGCAGCGCAAGCTGACTCTCCGCCAATTGGCCATTAACCGTGGTCAGCACCAGTTCATCCTTGGAAACGAGGCTGATGCTTTGCACCAATTCCTTGCTCAGACCGGATGTGCCATTGTTATGCCCCCCGCGTCAGATGAGAGCGAGTTCCTGACCATCACTGGCCCGCTCGCCCAGATCGAGGCCGGTATCAACCATGCTATGGATCTCGCAACCAGCATGCAAATGGCGAGCATTGATTTGTCTCGTCAGCACCTCAATGCCCCCGCTGGTCCTCACGCCCATGCGCGCGCCTTGACTGAGTACCTTCGCCGGCGCCAGATCATCAAGCAACTGGAGTCGGCTTATGATGCGCACATTGCACTCCCCGCGAGTGTCGATGGTCCTGTCAGCTGGGAGGTCTATTCCCGTGATGGCAAGAATACTATCCGTGCTCGCTCTGATATCATGAACTTGGTGCAGGCTTACCCGCCGTCCCGTCTGCGACATGTCCCTGTGGACCCCTACTTCCACTCCCACCTGCGTACCCAAAGCGCAAAGCGGATCCAGGGTGACTATGGTGTCCACCTCCTAGTTCCCGATGATGCTGAGAGCCCCGAGGTTGTTCTTGTCTATGAAGGCCCATCTTCTACCGCGTCCAACTTTGAGGTGCCCAGACAGCGCCCCTCCCCGGCGGAGGTCGCGGCATTTGAGAAGTCTTTGCAAGAGGCCCAGGAGTACCTTTTGAACGCTCTTGGAAACCAGCAGGATATTGTTGCCCAGTCGGTCTCCATCCCTGCGAAATACCAGGACAAGGCCCGGCGGTTCATCATCCGCGAGCAGGATGCCAAGGGCGAGGATAGCATCCCAGTGCGTGCCATTGTTGGCGAACCCCACGGTGACCAGGTTCAGATCACCCTTCGAGGGCCTTCTGGTTTGGTTGCCGAGCTGGCTGCCAAGCTGGATGCTTTCGTTGTCGAGCAGGAAAAGGACGATTTGGAGCGCGGATACACCACCACCTTCGACTTCCCTCAGAAATACGCTAACTTCTTGATTGGCAAGCGTGGCGAGAACATCAACAAGCTGCGCGAGGAGTTCGATGTCGATATCAAGGTGGAGAACGGCAAGGTCGAGGTCAAGGGACCCAAGGCCAAGGCGGATGCTGCTCGTATGCGCATCATCAACTTGGGCAAGAAGCTGGAGGACGAGAGCACTCACGTCCTCAAGATTCCCGCCCAGTATCATCGTGAGCTGATCGGACAGCGCGGCAACCAGGTCAACCGCCTCCAGGACCGCTACTCAGTTCGGGTTCAGTTCCCTCGTGCCACTGTCCCCAACGATGACCAGTCCGTCACCGAGACTGGCAGCGACGCCGGCGTTGTTCGCGCTGGCCGTCCTCAACAAGCTGCCGACGAGGTTCTGGTGAAGGGTCCCAGCAAGGGCGCTGACCAGGCTCGTGATGAGATCCTCAGTCTGTTGCAGTGGGTTATTGACCACTCTCACAGCGCAAACATCTCTGTGGCCCAGAGCCAGGTTGCTTCGCTGATTGGCCAGCGTGGCCGTGAGATGGACAAGCTCCGTGCCGACACCGGTGCTCAGATCGACGTTCCCAGTGCCAATGATGCGCCAGACGAATCTGGTCGTGTCCAGATTCGTGTCAAGGGTACTAAGCAGCAGGTCGCCGATGCTAAGAAGGTTCTGCAGCAGCGGGCTACTGAATTCGATGCCACTGTTACCAAGTCTATCGATGTGGACAAGAAGTACCACAAGGCCTTGATTGGCGGCGGTGGTAAGTTGCTATTCTCTGCATTTTCCTTGTATCTGTTGCTAATATCTATTAGGTGCCAACATCCGCAAGATTGTGACCGATGCCGGTGGTCCCAACGATGGCAGTGCTGCTCGTATGGTCCGCTTCCCCCGGGCCTGATAGCGCCGAGTCTACCATCCGCCTGGAGGGCAATGGAAAGATTGTCGACAGCATTATTACTGCAATTGAAGAGTTTGTCAAGGAGCGTGAGGACCAAGTAACGGAGGTTCTCGATGTCCCAACCTCCCAACACCGCATGCTCATCGGCCGTGGAGGTGACACTCGCCGCGGCATCGAGTCCAAGTTCAACGTTACCCTGGACATCCCTAAGCAGGGCTCTGGTCGTACCGATGTCAAGCTCAAGGGCCCCAGCAACGCCGTCGCTGATGCTAAGGAGCACGTCCAGAGCATGCTGAAGGAGCAACACGCGGAGACCGTCGAGGTTCCGAGCCACCTCCACCACGTCATCGCTGACAACGGTGCTTTCTTCCGCCGTCTGCGCGGCGACTATCAGGTTACCGTTGATCACGCCGGCCGCTCCGTACCCAACCGGCCCGCCGAGTCGACCCGTGGCGCTGCCAACGGCGCCATGCCCTTGATCACCGACGAGCCAGATATGGACGCTCACTCTTGGAACGTGGTTGACAACTCTGCTCCCGTGGATGCCGACACCACTCCCTTCCCCTGGGTTCTGACCGGTTCTCCCGAGAACGTCGCCAAGGCCCGCGCCGCGATCGAGAAAGCCATCGCCTCCGCGACTCAGCAGTCCGCCACAGGCTACCTAATCCTGCCCGACCCCAAGACCTACCGCTTCGTCGTCGGCCAGGGTGGCAGCCAGATCAACGCGATCCGCAAGAAGACCGGCTGCCGTATCAACGTGCCCAAGGACCAGGCTCGCGGAGAGGCTATTGAGATCCGGGGTAGCTCCACCGGCCTGGAGGAGGCCAAGAACATGATCCTGGAGGCTGTGCAGAATGGCTTGAACGGCTCTGCTCGGTGATTTTCTTTGTGAATTTTCGCGATCGTCGATGTGAGAAATGACGACAGAACATACTTATACTTGCACTTGACATTTGACACTTGACATACACATTTCATTCCTGCTAGCGAGGGAGCAGGGAATTTTTGCCTATTTGTGACTTCTTTTCTACATCACCGTGGTACTTAGTATATCTTATTTTATTCCAAAAGAATGTTCTCTTCTCTATTCCCCGGTTCCAAGGTCGTAGTTTTGACGTTGTAAACCCAGCAGGCTAATCACCCATTATCAAACTCAACTAGATTAAGCAGTATTGCCACCCTCGTGGGTTAGTCTTTACTAGTCAAATGACGACGATTAATCACATTTGCAGCCACACCCATCATTCGCGTAAACAATGACATCATACCATTTGGCATGGCGGAGTATATCACACAGCCCCCTCGGTGCTTAGTATGGAATACTTCATTTAACAGCTGCATTCTTATTCAAGAGATTTCATACGAACACAAACCATCGACTTCTATAGTCTCTCGTCAACAAGAACACACCCACAAACCACGTCCGTAACACCAGAACAAAACTTATAACATGCCCGTCGGCAACGACCCTTCGGACCAAGGCGCAACAGGCGCCGCCAAATGGGTCACTTCTACACTCGGCAACACCGTCGGCGGCGTCACGCGTACAGTGGGCGGCGTGGCGGGCACCGCTTCCCGCGGGATTGGCGATACTATCAACAGCGCGACGGAGAGTGCGGGGAAGCCTGTTGGTGATGCGTTGAGCTCGGGTGGCACTGGGCTTGAGGGTGGGGCGAAGAGTGTTGCGAAGGGCGTTGAGAATGCGGGACAGTGGAAATAGAGGGATTTGACTCTGCCTGGCTTTCAGGTTCGTTGGATGGATACTGGGGGTTTGAGGAAGGCCCCCGATGGGCGATGATGGGCGGCTTCTTGTATAATTTTATTGCCCGTGGGCAAGAATGCGGTTTGCATAGTCAGGATTAGGAATCCTTTATATCCCACTTTGCTTTGATGCATCATTCTTCTACCGTTGTCGTTTCAGTCAGTAGACAAGGCTAGAGCCTTGATCGGAACTCCGCTCGAATGGACTCGAGCCCGGACGGCCCATCGTAGATCTGTTGATCTATTAACCGGGTATTGATCTAAAAATCACTCGTTAGCTCTTCATTTAGTACCTAGAAGGGTGGGGGTAGACGTACATGTTGCATCCCGAGTTGATCAACCTTTTCCACGCCTAGTAAACGCATGCAAGTCCTAGTCTCATCAGCCAGGACTGTAAGTCTGATTAGCACACTCCGCCATGGGGGGAAAAAAGGCATAGAGCTTCTCTTACTCTGCAGTGTCCTCTTGACACCGTCCACACCTCCAGCACTCAATCCCCAGAGCGCAGGTCGTCCGATACCTACACCCCTCGCACCCAAGCAAAGAGCCTTGACAACATCAGTTCCTCTCCTAATTCCTCCATCAACCAAAACCTCAATCTTATCAAACACCTCGGGACAGTACTTTCTCATCTCAAGAAGAGTATGAACAGCCGGGGGAGAAGTATCAAGAGACCTGCCACCATGATTCGAAAGAATGATGCCCTTGACCTGAGGCGTATGTAATGATGCAATATAAGCATCCTCATGCGTCTGGATACCCTTGAGAACAACGGGTAACTTCGTATGCTTCGCAATCCACTTAAGAGTCTCCTTCCAATTGAGGGTAGGATCGAGACCCTGGAACACCGCCCTCTCATCAGCGTTCTGTGAAACTTCGGGAGACTTGATCTCGGTGATCTCGTTGATGACATTGCCGCCGCGGAGATCATCCTCTCTCTTGCCCATGACGGGGGTATCGAGAGTTAGCACGAGAAACTTGATAGCGGACAACTTGTTGATTCGCGCTATCATCTTCTCGCTCCTGCTTCGTTCCTCTTGGACGTATAGCTGCCAGCCGAACGATTGCTCCGGCGACGCGCCTGTGACGATCTGCTCTGGTGTCATCGACGCACTGTTGGAGATGATCTGCATCGCTCCGAAGCTACGACATGCCTCTGCGATGCCGGCTTCTCCGCTTGGATGTCCTAGGCGGGCCATAGCTGCGGGGGAAACATAGATCGGCATGGAAACTTGGTTATCCAGCAATTTCGTGCTGATGTTACATTCTGTGCAATCGATAAAGACTCGCGGGCGTAGGAGGATCGAGCGGAATACTTCCGTGTTGAATCGCTTGGTGATCAAATTGTCGGCTGCGGAGTAATAGTACGCCCATGCCTTCTTGCTGATTTTGGCAGTGGCCACCTTTTCGAACTCATCCATGTTGAGAAGACTTTGGACTGGGATTTCTTCAACGTTGCTTTGAGGTGCAGGCTCGGGCTCACTCTTGGGAATTGTTGAAAGGTCAACATCTCCAAGACATGCCTCGGGCTTGAGGTTCTCCTCGAGAGTGCCCTCTGGATGGACTGGGTCGAATTCGTCGGTGGCATCTTTGCCTGCAAGTCTGAGGATGACTTTGGCACCGCCCGGGTGGTCAGTGACGAAGTCGGTCACCTATGGGTGACATTAGCTTCTTGCTTCCAACGGCGTAAGTTGCAGCAGCTGGCCTTTAAACAAGCCAGACTTGATTCTCACATCGTAGACTTTCCCATGAATAATAACCCAACAACTCTCAGTAGAGTTGTGTTTAGCCACTGGAATCGAGTTAGCCAGGTCTGATAATAGACAAAACGTTGACGGAGAGTCAAGCAAGACTGGGATAGCATTGGGGTTGACGGACCTTCTGCAGCATCGAAAACCTTCCCCATGTTGAACGGGTGTTAAAATCAAGACAGAACACCTGTATCAATATTGATAGATCCTATTGCCCTTCCTAGGATGCCTGTGAAGGAGAGGCCGATATAGGCACCGGGGGGTGAAGAAGATAAATGAATGAACCAATAGAAAGCGACGCGGATGGGGTTCATCAGCAGAGCGGGATACTGTTGCCCTTTTCGGCACTTGGTACTTGGTGGGGCCCCGTTCGGGGACCGTGTAGCGATGGATGGGGTCTAGATAGTGTCGGAGGAAAGGTGGGGGTTATCGATCGGGTGAGGCAACCGACTTCGGCCATGCGTTTATGCAACCGAGCAGTCTCTCACCCGCCGAGTTCGATCGCCACGATGGCGCCAACTGGCGGCGGAACGACGAAAAGGAATGTTCGCATAGATTCCCTGCCGTCGGATCGCGAGATAGCGGACAAGGGTAAGTTCCCTTACGTGCAACGACCAAAACATGCAAACTGATGTAACCCAGATTGCCGCCAGTGCAGTACGCGCCGTATCAAATGTGATCGGTCTATGCCACATTGTTACAAGTGCTCTATTCGCGGTCTCTCTTGCTCTGGGTTCCCTCTCGTTCATCTGAGATGGGACCAGGGCGTGGCCAGCAGAGGATATCTCACCGGCAAGCGGTTACCACTTGTAGAGAACATTCCTTCCGTGACTGACGAGGAAGATGTCTCATCTCCCAATCCTGGCTTGGCCATGTCGCCTCAAGGCATTTTGATAAATAATTCGCATTTAATAAGGGATTCGGAGCTCGCAAACCAGCAGCTATCACGTTCTCTTTGCGACAAGCTGCTCTTACACTTCCTCACCAACGTCGCTTCTCATTTAACCTGGATCGACGGTCCAAGTAATCCATGGAGGAGTCTCGTCCTACCTCTAGCACGACGATCTGCGTGTCTCCGCTTGGCAATCCTGGGTCTAGCAGCGGCCCATCTATCTGCCACTTGCGCTGAATTCGAGCGATCTTCGACTCACTTGCAAATCAATCAGCGTCTTCGAAATGAAGCCGTCGGAACTCTGAGTAACAAGATGCAAATTGAGCGTTCTGTAAATTCCATCTCGGTCGGGGAAGGCTTCCTCGATTTCTCTCTAGTCGAGATGCTCGCCTCAATGCTTGTTCTTTGTTACGGAGAACTGCACATTCCGGGCTCGACCGACTGGAAGCTCCATCTTCGTGCGTGCCATGCTATCATCGAAAGGCATCATCTCAAAAGTATGCGAGAGCATTCCGAGGACACAATAGCCAAATTCCTGATCAAGGAAGTTATTGATCTGGAGACTTTTGGCAACGTCTCGACCTTTACGGTAGAACTGGATCCTAGTGTGATGATGACCTGGCCTTCGGTGTTTGATGGCCATTTCTGGGACTTCACGTCTTTGACCAATGAGATTACGGTGGCCGAAAGGTCTCATCATGCGCGTTTCGACAGAAGCGATGGTCCCGTGCAAGCCAACATGGGGTATTGGCATGCGAAGCTCGAGACGGCGTACAGTAGAGCTACGGTGTTGATTTCATCTTTTCCAGAAGAGGAAGCAGTCAAACGAAAGCGGTTTCGCGCTATCATAGAAGCGCACTATCACGCCTGTCTTATCTACAGCTACCAAGCTCTTACATCTCACATAGAGACGGCCGAGACAGTGCGGTCATACGTTGATCTTCTTTGGCATACCATTCTATCTGCAACAACCGAGCCAGGGCCAACGTTCGCCCACGATATTTTCTTTCCTCTTTTCATCGTTGGCACTGAAAGCCAAAATGGCAAATGGCGACAAGCTCACATTGAGACCCTTTTCCTGCAGTCTATAGTCACGACTGGATTCTGGTGCAATCATGCCGCCTTGCGATTCCTTCGCCTTTTCTGGGAGAGTGATAGCGACGGACACGAAAGCTGGATTCAATTCGCGCGACTCAACGAGCAAGAGATCGGATCATTCTTTGTATTTTAAGACATTTCAATCTCGAATAGTGATAATTGAACAAAGCGAGGACTATAAAGCTCCAATCAGCGAATCACTAAATCATATTTCCGTACAAGTCATCACATATCATAAGTTTCTTCATCCTCCACTCCAAAAAGAACCCTCATTGGGTCTTGGTAATTCATGAAACCAACCCCAGGATCGCAAACCCCGTATCCCAGCAATCTCTGAGCCTGGGGCTTCAATTGCCTTACTCGCTCTAGCGGGACCATCAAAAACTGGTTCTCGGCAGGTCTCAGTGTTGGCTTGCAGAGGAAGATGCCGACTGTTTCGCGATATTCGTCTCTGTACACGGAAGGGGAGGTCTGTTAGAAATTTCTGGATACCAGGCTCAGCAGCACTCAGGAAAGGGTGACTGGCTTACTTGGTGGTATTACCCCCACCGGCATGATAAGTATTTCCCAAGAAGATGAATGCATCACCGGGCTCCAGCTCGGCGGGAACAGCCTCCTCGTTGTAGGGCCGGCGATCAGGACCCCACAAGTGTGATCCAGGAATAGCAATAGTGGCACCATTCTCTTTGGTCGTCTTGGTCAATGCCGTAACACACCCGATCATACAAGGCATCATTTCGTTGGTAGGGTGATAGTCACTTCAAAATAATCAGTAATTGTCACTGCCTTTTAGTCCGAGAATAGGATTCGTACCTATCATCACGGTGCAACACCTGCTGTCTTCCACCAGGGTTTACCCGGAATCCAACGGTGGAAGAAATGATAGGCTTGCCGGTACAAGATACCTGGTGGTCGTCCCTCCAGTATTTGAAATGCGACGACACCATCTTATTCGCAACGTCGATGTAGAATGGATTGCATGCCAGATCCACACATGCGTCAGAGATACCTAACAGGCCAGTTGCGCGCTGAGTAGTTGACGGGAAAAAGCCGGATTTGTCGGGTATATCGTTGTCAAAGTGTGGCTTTAAGTCTCGTTTGATTTGCTCCGCCTCTTCGCGTGAGATGAGGTTTTCGATGATGACTCCGCCATCGCGTTCGATGATTTCGATGGCTTTGTCGGGTGTCACTGAGGGATCGGAGGCGTTGAGCCGAACAATGGAAGCTTTGTCTGTTGGAGCAATCATGGTGGATATAGGGAGCCCAGGACAACTCGCTGTCTTACGGTGACCAAAACAAAACGTGGAACTAACCACGAGGGATGCATCTGGCTTTATATTTCATGGAAACCTCGATTGATATTATTTCCCAGACCGGATTTCGAATTCTGAATAGTAATGAAATCACGCCCCAAGGCTTGCTCCGTCTTTCATCGACCAATACTATCAAAGATAGTTCAAGCCGCTCCACCATTCTCACCAAAATACGTCGCTGCTAAATCAAAGGTACAAGATAGGGCTAACCTAAATTAGACAGGTCGCTAGAGAAAGCCAGCTCGGAGGCTCCCGTCGCCAGGTGCCGACGAACGGCAACCTATAAACTCAACGTTACACTGGCTTAATGATTGCCGCCCATCTTAACTCGATACGGCAGGCCGGGCGAAAAAGAGAGAAGAGGATTCGCCCAAATCGTAGGGGGTTGTGAGGCTAAGCCAGATCTGACAGCCCGGCTGAGAAAGTTCCTGCGGGGTAAAAGGCCATGCCGCAATCCCGGATTGCTCTAGGTCGGATTTAGATAGCGCCTCGCTACTACCAAACTAAAAGGCTTTTCACTCGATTTTTTCTTCTTACTCCATAATTCAAGAAATTGGTATGGGGTAGTGCATCAATTGTCCCACAATAACAAAGACCCAGTCTCAGAGGTCCACTTGATCGTCATACCTAACAACGGTACTTGAATCCACCTTTAAGCTTTCATGCAAAGAGTTGCATCGTGAGTCATGTGTTTGAATATGGATAACAGCCACTGATTTCTACGTTCAGATTTATATGAGTCACGTATAGAGAGAGGCCACGAAGTCCAGAAGCTGGACCTTTTTTTTTTTTTTTTTTTTTTTTTTACGTGATGGCTTTTGAAGACAAATTAAAAGAGCCCACCGTGGGCAAATCTAAGGAAGCCTTCGACCAATTCGGTGATGGTAGCGATGATATTCCACGAGAGTCAAGGCAGATGCCAGCGCTGAAGCGCAAGCTGAAGAGCAGACACCTGCAAATGATTGCAATCGGTGAGCCTACTGAAGTCGATTCCCCGTGGAAACGCTCGCTCACTACGTACAGGCGGCACAATTGGCACCGGTCTATTCATCGGAAGCGGCACAGCTCTAGCAAACGCAGGACCCGTTGGTGCACTGATCGCCTATATTTTCATCGGCTCCGTTGTGTTTTCTGTCATGGTATCTCTGGGAGAAGTTGCAACCTATATCCCAGTTGCGGGAGCGTTCACCTCCTACGCAACGCGACTGGTAGATCCCAGTCTGGGCTTTGCCATGGGCTGGATATACTGGTTCTCCTGGGCAATCACTTTTGCTCTGGAACTCACGGCGACGGGACTAATCATCCAATACTGGGACTCTACTATCCAGATTTCGATATTCATCGGGGTATTCTGGGTATTGATCACGGCGCTCAACTTCCTCCCGGTCAACTTCTACGGCGAGCTTGAGTTCTGGTTCTCCAGTATCAAGATATTGACGGTAATCGGGTTCATAATTTTCGCCATTTGTGTGGATGCCGGTGTTGGTCAACAAGGATATCTCGGCTTCCATAATTGGGTGCATCCAGGCCCGTTTGCCGATTACCTGGTGACGCCGGGTCCAACAGCCAAGTTTGTCGGCTTCTGGGCGGTTCTTATTCAAGCCGGCTTCTCGTGCCAGGGCACCGAGCTGGTTGGCCTTGCTGCGGGTGAAAGTGAAAATCCACGAGAGACCGTTCCTAAGGCTATTCGGACGACGTTTATTCGGATTATTCTTTTCTACGTTCTCTCTGTGTTTTTCATCGGTCTTCTGGTGCCGTCGGATAACAAGGAACTTCTTTCGGGGGGATCAAATGCAGCGGCATCACCTTTTGTCATCGCTGCGAAATTGGCCGGGATCAAGGTCTTACCCAGTCTTATTAATGCCGTCCTCTTGATCGTTGTTCTCTCTGCCGCCAACGCGAATATCTACAGTGGCAGTAGAATGTTGATCGGACTCGCGCACGAACGCTTCGCACCCGCCTTCTTCAACAAGACCACCAAAGGAGGCGTGCCCTATTACGGAGTGGTTGCAACCTCCGCATTTGGTCTTCTCGGTTTCTTGAACGTTTCAAACTCCGGTTCTACCGTTTTCAACTGGCTGCTAAACATCACCGCAGTTGCAGGATTTATTTTGTGGGCGTCCCTCAACGTCTGTCACATTGCGTTCATGCGTGCTCTGAAAGCCCGTAAAATGTCTCGAGACCTGCTACCTTACAAAGCACCGTTTCAACCATTCCTCGCATATTACGGACTGTTTTTCAATGTCCTCATCATGTTGACCCAAGGTTTTACCGCGTGGATTCCTACATTTAGCGTGCAGAGCTTTTTCATTGCATATGTCAGCCTTATTCTGTTTGCTGTGCTGTATATTGGACACAAGATCATGTTCCGTGACAGACTGGTGTCTCCCATGCAAGCCGATCTTGATACCGGACGTCTCGAGATTGAAAGTGAATATTGGGAGACAACGGTGCCTACCACTTGGTATGGCAAAGTCTGGCTTTGGATCACTGGTTAATGAAGAGAAAGTCATCGTAGATAAGATATTCCGGGATGTTTTACATTATGTACCATATTGTTCAATATTGAGTTGGAGATTGATGCTATTAAGACAGAGTTGAGAAATGCTTTGGGTATTGTACAGTGATAATAGTAGAGAGTGCAGGGCTAGTCATAGCTCAGCCAAGATTTCGTGCCTTCATAAAGGCCCAACCACATACCCGAACCAACAATAGACATGAAGATATTGATGCCACACCCGCGGAAAAAGCCTCGGAAGCCTTCCGTTATGAAGATGTTTCGCGCAGCATGCATGATTCGGCTCTTTTGTGGAAGGTTCTGGTTAGGTGCATCCAGGTTCACTCTGGTCTTTACCATGTCTGTGGGTGCAGTGAGCACCGCGGCTATTCCACCCGAGATTGCACCACTCACGCTAGCAATCATGGCACTACCAACGACTTGGGAGTATTTCCTATCAGGGCTCTTGTCACTGGGCAACAAGAATGGCCGAGTGATGGTTGATTGGGCCATATGGCCTTTCAAAACCTCATAAAGGGGCATTTGAATGGCTGTGTAGGGCAAATGGTGTGCCAGAAGGGCGAAGTACCCGCTCCACAGTTGCTTGATGTTCTTGAATTTTTTGAACGCTTGAATTGATGCAAATTGGACACCAGAAGCCCTATGGCTCTGAGAATTTGCTGACGCTGGTACTGAAGATATTGATTGAATCATTTGCGCGTTATTCTTCAACGCCTCGGCCGGAGCAAAGAAAACGCATGCAACGGCCTCCGCGACGGAAGCTGCGCAAAAGTCAGAGGCTACTTGATAGGTACTTGGTTGGTAGGGCATGAGAACTGGGCCCAAGGCAGCAAGTTTTGATTGGACATTCTCATAAGTGATGAAGAACGCCCCGCCTGTAGCGAGTCAGCAGGGCTCTGTATTGAAATTCTTGGTTCGATGACTTGCCAGCTGGTAATGAAGAGACTAGCACACTGCCAAATCCTTGGTAGAGACCTCGAAAAATTCTAGGATGGCTAAGGACATTATTTTTCGTACTTCGTGCGTAGCTGATGTATTCTCGCGATTGAAGACGCGTTTTTATCGTGTCCAATGGGTGGATCAAGAAGTCGAGTGAGAGCGTAGTAGCTGTGCTGGCCTATTCAGAAAACTGTCAGTGTATCCTCTCTGATGAATTGATTTTACATACCAAAAAGATGTTCACTGGATCGGTAGCCATGGCCTGGGGCCCTTCCAGGGGTGACGGGGCAAAGTTGTTGAAAAGCGAAGGAGTGAATGGCGAATAAAAACGGTCCCAGTTAGGCTATTGAAATCTTGAAGCAAAGTCAAATGCTCGTAGCAGATAGTTTCGCGTGAATTTGTGATTTGTTGCCTGGACACCAAATGGTTGGCGGGCTCCGCGGGACCCGATCGTTGCCATATTCTTAAGGTTGCATGTGCCATTTGAGCGCTTTGTTCTCAAATCAATGAAGTTGCATTATTCTACATATCCAGACCCCCTCTATAATATCTATAATCTATATACAAAATCAATATCCGAAAATGCCCGCACATCGTCACGAATGGTGAGAATGCCTCTGATCCATCTGCAACCCCAACATCATAAACGCGCTAAAGCTTCCAACAGTCATGAAAACAGGTCCCCAAAACGCAGGAACGAACTGTCCCATCATCAAATACCGCCTCATCGACCAGTATCGGAAGAAGCCATATCCGAGACACCAAACCCCAAGGAACTGACAAATTCGAGTGGCAGTCAAGGCCTGAGAAATCACCCTAGGGCCCATGGTTTGCAGATGAGAATGCTTCGGGTCTGAAACGTGCTTCGTATCTTTGCTATCTTTGCTAGGCTTCTCTTGCTTCTCTTCGTGAGGGGAAGGTACCCCCGTCTGCTGGGGCGCCATGAGCGCTCCGCCCAACTTCTGGGTGATGAACTTGTCCATGGCGTCTAGACGGTCCAGAGCAAGCGCCATAGCCGCGAAGCCGAGGCCCGCACGCGTCCATGATAGGAATGTGCGCTCGTTGGCATGATGGTCGCGCTGCTGCGAGCCTGTGTTTGCGATGCGCGCAGGGATGATGCGGCGCAAGGAGGAAGCCATGTCGGCGAAGGAAAGGTGGGATTGATACTGTAGAATATATTATGGATGAGTGGGTTTCATGCGAAACGTCTATGCAGGGAAGATAATCAATGGTGATTCGGCGGATTACGGGGACGAGGACCGTTGAGAACGAGAATTATGCGACTCGAATTGCATCCTTGGCCGCGTTGGTGCCCGTAAACAAGCTATGAACGGCGACTCGGTACCCTTTCTCGCCGAGCTGAATAAAAGCTAGTAAAGCTCCTTCACCAATAGACAAGCTCTTTCTTTTTCGACGTATTTCCCCATAGTTCCCTATCTGTTAGCGACGTCAATGAGAGCTCCCAGCGGAGTTGAACGGGGCCATGACGTTTCATCGCCGACAAGTCCGCCACTCCAAGTCCCCGATTGGCCGATCATGACCCACCGGCCTGGACTATACACTGGACGACTCCGCGTTGTTTCCGTGTTTTTTCCTATACGAACGAGTCTTCTGACACTTACATTCTATCTCACTCGTCTTGCGTGGTTCTTATGGAGTTTCATATATGTGTTTGGGGTCAATCAGACCACTGGCTTGCGTTTATGAGGGCCATTCGGACGAGAAAGCCTCACTCGGGCGAGAAATGGGCCACTCGGGCGAGAGATGATGGCATCATCGTTAAGATACAGGTATTGTGTTACTCTAGTGCGTTCTGTTAGATACCAAGTCTGCTACATGTGAGATCATGTTCCGTATGGTTTGTTTGGAAAAAGTGTGCCGACTGCGATGGGAATATACTACGTGCAGTACCATAAATCGGGCGATGAAAGCTCCGAGAGCGAGACATGGTCCAGAAATAAATCGAGATCTAGTTTCAACGCTTGAGAACACAGTCAGAATGATGCTCAACGAAGCTAATCAACAGATCACAAAATAGATATGCTATGAACATTAAGATGAACCAGCAAGACAACTCGGAAACCCTCCTTGAATGCAGGACAGGACTCGGAAGCGAATCAACATTTTCATATTTTCAATCTAGTGTCTGAAAGAATGAAAAGACGTGATTACAATCTTCAACAAAATTCGTTAACCGATGCCAATATGGATAAGCTATTGACGAGATAAATCGGCGATATTCTCCCAAATACCAACACTCAGGCCCAATCTACCATTCCAACTTCCCCAACTTCAACGGCAGCCTCAACATCCTCAACCCCTCGTGAGCCTTCGGCAGCCTACCAGCCCTTATGTTGACCTGCAAAGACTGATGCAGCAACCTGGGCGCATTAAGTCCCTTGTCTCTCTCATTCCGCATAGCCACAAACTCCTCTTGCGAGATGGCATCCCGAAGATGCTTGTTCAGCTTCTTCTGGTCTTGCACACTCATCCATGGGGTAGGTTCCCGCCCCTCGGGCGGGTAGTCGTGCCCGGGCCAGATCTTGACGTGGTCCTCTAGCTCTAGTAGCTTGCGGGCTGATTGAAATAGCTGTGTTGCGTCCCCACCCGGGAAGTCGCAGCGGGCGGTGCCGATGTCTGCGTGGAAGAGGGAGTCGCCGCAGAATACATTGTCTGAGTATGCGTTAGTCTTTTGGTGAATAGGTGAAAGGTCTTGGGAGTGTTTCGATGCTAACCTCCGATCTGGTATCCCAGGTGGTCGACGGTATGGCCGGGTAGGTGGATTGCTTTTGCGGTCAGGTTGCCGATGGAAAATGTTTCATCGTCGTCGAACAGTTTGTTGAAGACGTTGGTGTATTCGTCTTCGTCGAGTCCGTAGCGCTTGCCGAAAAGCTTCTGGACTTGGTCGATGCGCTTGCCGATGGCGATTGGTGGTTTGAAGTTCTGTATCTGAGCCAGTCGGCTTTGGAGATACGCGGATGCCGTTAGGTGGTCGGCGTGGGCGTGTGTTTCGAGAATTTTCTCGATCTTGTACCTTTTTTCTTGGACAAGTGAGAGTAATTCATCTGCAGATTGAGTGGTGATAGCTTGTGTGGCGGGGTCATAGTTCAAGACGGGGTCTATGATGGCTGCTGCTGATGTTGAAGGATCTGCGACAATGTACTGCCACGTTCCGGTTACTTTTTCGTAGATGTTGTGAATGGTTGGTTGTTTAGCGGTGCTCGTGGTGTATAATGCTTGACCTTGAGGCGGTCTCTGGCGACTGGAAGAAATACCTTGCGGTCGAAGCTTATAAGCGGGTGCAAGTACCTTGCTGGACGATAGGGCTCTTCTCGGTGATGCTTGGGAGAAGGCGGCATTATTTCCACGCATAGAATTGTGGCCAACCGCTGAAGGGATAGCCGCTGATTGCATCCACCGTGCGGGTAGCGCACGTTGCACGCCTTGGGTAATGGACTGAAGGGATTTCATCATGAACTGTGTCTGTTAATATCAAGAGGATTGAAGAGACGACGTTATCAGACGCTGTTATTCATTGAAATATTTAAGGTTAGAGTCCGGGGGAGGCGTCGGGCTCTACCAGAAACCCCTTGGTCGCCGATTGTCGCCGATTGTTGCCACTGAGTCGGCGACCGTAAATTTCCCCTGCCGGCTCGGTGACATTGAGAGAACACATCTTGATTGAATGGAAATTGATTAAGGTAGCTTCCAAGAGCCCGAGTGGGGCGGTAAGCGTGATGTATTGCGTAAAGTTACGGGCGGTCGATCACGGCCGAGGCGTTCGATCACATCATCAGCTCCATTTAAATCTCCTGTTTTGCCGATGATTTATTCCTTCCCATGAAAACAACTTACTATTCATAATGTTCAGTCGAAACGCGACAAAGGCTGCCCGCGCGGCGCCAAGCATCCGTCAATTCGCGAGAGAGGCACCCGTTGCTTCTGCGCGCAATCACAAAGTCGTCGTGGTCGGCGGCGGCTCTGCCGGCCTGGCGATCAGCCACCAGCTGCTTCACTCGGGCAAGTTCTCGCAGGACGACATTGCGGTTGTCGACCCTGCCGAGTTCCACCACTACCAACCGGGCTGGACCCTGGTGGGCGGCGGTCTCAAGACCAAAGAGGAGCTGCGTCGCCCTATGAAAAGCTTGATTGATCCCAAGCTCAAGTATTATAATGACAGCGTGGCGACTTTCGCACCCGAGAAGAACAGCGTCAAGCTGGGCAATGGCGACAGCGTCAGCTACGAGCAGCTGATCGTTGCCCCGGGTCTTACCCTCAATTGGGGCAACATCAAGGGTCTGCAAGAGGCTCTGGCTGATAAGAGCTCGCCCGTCTCTTCCATCTACGGCTACGACACTGTCAGCAAAGTTTTCGGCACCATTCAGAAGCTGGAGAAGGGCAACGCCTACTTCACCCATCCCGCGGGCGTTGTCAAGTGCGCCGGCGCGCCGCAGAAGATCATGTGGCTGGCTTTGGACCACTGGAAGCGCGCTGGTCGATATGACCCTTCCAATCCAGCCAGCTCGGACATCAAGATCAACTTCGCGACTGGCATGCCGGTCATGTTCGGTGTGCCAAAGTACAACAACGCTCTGACGGCCATGCAGCAGGAGCGCGGCGTGAACGCCCTCTTCCAGCACGACTTGGTCTCCATCGACGGCAACAAGGCGACCTTCGCTCTCCCCGAGGGCAAGTCTGCGACTAAGCAGTTCGATCTTCTGCACGTGGTGCCGAAGATGGGAGCCCCCGCGTTCGTCAAGAACAGCCCGCTCGCCAACGAGGCAGGTTTCGTCGACGTCGACGACGGAACCACCCAGCACAAGAAATTCTCCAACGTCTGGTCAGCCGGTGATGCGTCCAGCCTGCCCACCTCCAAGACCGCCGCAGCCGTGACCGCACAGGCGCCCGTGCTCGTCCACAACATTTTGCAGACGATGGAGGGCAAGAAGCCCGATGCCGTTTATGACGGATACACCTCCTGCCCGCTGCTGACCGAGTACGGCAAGGTGCTCCTGGCGGAGTTCAAGTACGGCGGCGTGCCCAAGGAGACATTTGGCAACTGGTTCGGCATCAACCAGGCCACGCCACGTCGCGCCTTCTACTACCTGAAGAAGGACTTCTTCCCCTGGGTGTACTACAAATCCATGGTGAAGGGCGAATGGGCTGGACCTAAGGGCTGGAAGAGTTAGATTCAAAATACCTCATGTACTATGACTGCACGGAGTTTGGAAATAGACAAACACTTTTGGGTAACAAGCCCTCAGATTATCAGATCCAGATTCTATCGGGTTCGCTTTAGAGAAAGACCCCTCACGGAGCTATATGATCAGCCACTCAATATCGGTCTATTAATATATGCGTAGAAACAGAAAGAAGCGCCTCTATCTCTCCCCTCACGGCTAACGGAGCCCGTGCCGGCTTTCCTGAAGGGGAAGCGCCCAAAGGAGCAACGATTTCCGCCCGGGGAAGTCAACGCTCGATGCAAACCCGACAAATCAAACAGCAATTGACTTCATGCTGGGTTTTGAGCATAGCAGAGCAAACAAGTCCACGGGGCATAAAAGGAATCAATCCACAAAAAAAAAAAATGAAACAAAAGAAAATCTGACATGAGAGGAAATCCCGGAGTAAAGCCCAGATTATAGATAAAAATTCCACATCCCCGCAGACTCTATTTCCTAGCGCGCCGTCACCAATTTTCCAAGAAAATATTGGTATCCAACGGTCTCCTCATTTTCCCCTCTCCGAGAACCCCACACTTTCCAATGCACCTCCCCTCTCAGTTCCCGTCTACTGCGAAGTCTGCTGGGACTGGAGGTAGTTGTAGGCACCGTAGGCAATAGCACCACCGATGAGGATGACGGCGTACAGGCCGACGCCGAAGCCGGCGGAGGAAGACGAGGAAGAAGAGGAGGAGGTGGAAGTGGCTTGAGCCTTGGGGGCGGGGTCACCGGGCTGGTGGGTGTTAGTATATGTAATTCGCGATATGATATAGCCGTAGCGAAACGTTAGACAGGAATGCGTACCATGCGCTTCACGGTGCCGACGAGCAGACCGTCGAGAATCTCACGCGCCTCGTCGGAGTGGCCGACATCCTCGAACGCCTCAGAACCGTCCTGGCCACCGACGTCCAGAAGGACTTCCTCACCACCGCTGTAGGAAAATTGTCAGCCGCTTGTCAGGTATGGTCGGATGTGGCGAGGGATTTGAGTAGGAAGCCTGATGAGGCCAAGTTGGCCGTTAGGCTTTGCGATAGGGGCAGGGACTCGCGATAGGAGAAGCAACTCGTCGCAAGCTTCTCGCGAGGGGAAAAGGATTCGTTGAGGAGCGAGAAGAGTGGTAGTGACGTACGGGTGCTCATCGACGAAGCTGCTGCAGTCGTAGACCTTGTCGTGAATGACCATGTACAGGTCCTTCTTGGTGTTGTGGGTGGTGACCTCCGCGAGGGTGAATTCCTTGGACTCAGACATGGTGGATGGTGAAGAGAACTAAATGCGATCGCAGATATTAGCAGGGTAATCCGGCCACTGGTCACAGTGGGAGGGGGGAGGGTCCGAGGGTGATTCTGTGTCCCCGTCGGAGTCTCTGAAGGTAGTGAAAAAGCCGACAGGGGGCATCAAAGGGACACTGGGGTTGGAGTGGGACTGGGGACCAAGGGGAACTCACGTGGAGGAAGAGAGAACAGGCAAAAAGCAGAGATATCTAGAGAGACAAGAAGCAGAGGGAGGGAGAGAAAGTAGAGAGGGCCGAAGACCAAGAAAGATGTGCCCGGGACGTGCACCTGGGCGGTCTCCGCGGTGGGCCAGGTACAATGGACTGGCCAGGTACAATGGACTGGCCAGGGACTCTTCACCCGTGAATGCCCCCCGATATCTACGGCAGCTACATGTACGGGGCCATAGCCGGGGCTATGCACCGATTGAGGGGCAAATCTACCTAGGGAAGTCTACATCTGACACCCAGTCCATCGTCAGCGTGAAGAATCCAACCCCGACCGACGTTCTCGGTTTGGGCGAATCAGCGGCCGCTTATTAGATCCTCGGCGCATATGAAAATGTGCTATCTTGTGAAATTCAATGATGTCGATGGCAACTGGGGTAGGGCACTTGCAAATCTCGGAACCCGGCCATCTGCTGACAGCCCTTAGTGTGCAGCGTTGAACCGACCCAAATGCCAGAAGTGCCAGATGCAAGTGCCATCGTGCAATACCCGAGGCTGAGTTGGCCCGGTGGCTCTTTTCGGGAAACGCGTGCGGGATCGGCTGGGCCCAAGACCCGCGTCTCCGCCTCTGCGGAATTAAAGTCGATCCTCCAGGAAATTCCCTTCCCCGGCATTTCCTGGTACTGAATGTCCATGGCCTTGGCTTTTTGTGTACAAGGGGAGCAAGAAGATGGTGTAAGCGGGCTAAATCTCCATTCCTAGGCTTTTTCTTTAGACCCCGTTGGTAAACGTCTTTCTCGATATCTTTTTATTCCTGCTAGGTATGTTTTTGAATGTTTTTTCTAAACATGCCCAAAATATAGTTTCCACATTTCAAAATAGAAATCGGGGGTGTGTCCCCATAAGATTGATATATCCTATGTCCCAGGCGCCACTCTATCAATTCAATCATGGAAGTCGTGACATGCAAAAGGCCATGCGCAGCAATGAACAATACACGCAAAAGCATAACATAGATAACGCTCATTTCGCTGGAACTCGCTCATAAAACACAATGTACGCCTGCTCGTTCTGCAACTGGTCTCGTGAACGCAGGTCCCGAGGGTTAAAGTCCGTCACTCGTTCGTCGTCGAACTTGCGCCAGCACTGCCGCTCTGCGTCGCGTACTAGCGAGATGTAGTGTCCGCTGCCCATCGAGGACCCGATGTGTCGCAGCACGGCAAATGAGTCGTATGTGAAAGGTGGTTTGGTTGAGTCTGCGTTGGGTGGCGCGACGGGGTCGGAGGGTGCCGAGTTCGGGTACGGTATCACGAATTCATCCATCCGCAGGCCATGGAGGGGGAAGTCGATCGGGGTGTGAATCTTCCGTGCGCTCTGGGTCTTCGACGCAGAGAAGCGCTTAAAGTGGACCACGAGAATCTTCGGTGCTCGTGTAATGTAGATCTGCTTGGTTGCCATGCGCTTTACCTTGCAATGTGGACATTTCCACACCTCGTCGCCGCTCAGCATCTCCTCTTGGCAGTAGCTGCGAAGACACTGATAGATATCTCCTGCGCCGGTAGGCGGGATCTCAACACTAATGCTGTAAAATGCTTCGTACGTGGTAGAAGTTTTTTGACAGGTCGTGCACCGAAGACGGCTGGCATGTTGTCCCGCGAAAAGGTTGGAAATAAAGGACTCCTCGCGGTGGCAGTATCGATTCCATTCGATCTGCGATACCTTCGCCACGGGCATTCGCTCTCGCTGCATCTCTTCAGAAAAGGTCAATGGTCGTAGCGGGGTACGTTGCCAATTAATGTTGAGATCCTCGTGGAGACAGTCCACTGTGAAATCGAAAAACTCCTTGGCGTCCTGCTGCCGGTCAATGGCCCATTCCCGGTTCAGTCGACCGCAGAAATTCCGGAACGAGGATGGCATAATGACTTCCACATCATTTTTCCACAGCGACCGGATCAGGTTTGCGTACAGGCCAGGCATTACACCCTGTGATCCCTTCCAGTTCTTCTGGATGTAGTAGCGGAATCGATTGTCCATGAAGAACTTGCTCATCTCAACAGTCGCGCTGAGGCACTGGATGGTCGAATTCATGTAACAAGTAACACCAAAATTGGTGAGACCGGTCCGCGGAAGCTTCACGCGACTGAGAAGCGAGTTATGGGTGTACAAGGCAGCCCGATTCGCCGAATTCTGGCGCTCCATATGAGGCTGTATTTGCCGACCGTCAGAGACACCGCTATAACTTGGACGAGGCACCGCCGGAGGGGGGCGCGAGGGTGCCACCGGGACAGAAGGTGCTGCATAGTTCGGTGCCGGAGGCGGTGCTGGCCGAGCATCTGCGTGCATCATAGACTGCTGAACATGATGCGGCTCGGGGAACCGTCGCAGAAAGTCTTCATATGTATGGATGAATGGAGGTGTCGTCTCAGCCTGATCGGGCTCCTCTTGGGGCTCCTCAGTGAGCTGCTCTTCTTCGAGATAGGTGCTAGCGTCTATTTCTTCGTTCTTCGACTTTTCCAGCCACTCCGACAATTCCTTCGAGTTCAGAGGAGTAAATTCGCGCAAACGTCTCTTGCGCACCTCCAGACTGGAATTGGCGCTCGCCATCGTCGGAACCCGGCCAAGGGGGCGGCCAGGTCGAGGCACGGGCTTTTTAGACTGGAGCGACCCCATGACCGCTGCAGTCGAAGATGTAGCAAGCGACTGCTGCCCAAGGATATCAATCCAAGCATCTAAACCCCCAAGAAGGAGCGCGGGAGGACGTCCGGCCTTAAGCGGCTTGTATTCGTTGAATTCATAAAGCGTGTCATGAAGAAATCTGAGATGCGGCGCGGACGTCCCCGCCGGTGGGCCTGCCAAATAGCTGACCGACGCCGTACTTTGATCGTAATAAACGACAAGATCGAACTCGTTTCGCCTCTCGAACAAGGTCTGCTCGTGTTCTGGGGATACAACGAGGCGCTCTTCAAGCTCCTCTGCGGACACATTCTCCTTCAGGGCCACCGGCTCGACACAGAGAATGGACTTGGCATAGATATGACCATTGTCATAAAGGTCTCGGGAACGAACGTCTATCAACAAGACGCTAAATTTGCGCATGTAGTCGAGGAGGTCCTGGGCTGTGACAGCAGAGTTAAACGGTAGATCAGGAGAATTGCTCCTAGTATCGTGCAAGGCATTGACGCCATTCGGTGTTCGCGATCTGTACGGATTATCATCAAAGCCACGGCTTGGACTGCCGCGCGGTGAATTCGCAAATTGAGAATATCGTTGAGTAAACGATCGTACGCTTTCTGAAGAAGCTCTTGGGGGGTTTGGTGGAGGCTGTGAAGGAACCGTATATATAGGACTGTATGTAGGGTCGGGGGCACGTGGGAGAGACGTCGTGAGAGGAAGTTTCGGAGGAACGCTCGGAACGCTCGGCGTCATACTCCGAGGCCCGAAGGGGCGTCTGGTCGGTGAAGCGAAAGGCAGCTCATTGCTTCCCTGAAGGGCATTGTAGGTGGAGGCCTGGCCAGCAGGTCCAGAGGAGGTATAGCCAGGCGAGTTGCTTGAGGTTTCATGAAACGGAGAGGTTTTGAGCTTTGCAAACCGTTGTGCCAGCATATCTTCAGACGGGCTAGAGATTCTCTTCGGGTTCACCTGGTCACGTTGAGAGGGATCCTCAGAGATAGATCTAGTATGTAATTTAGTAAGATGTATAGAAAGATGCCAAGAAAATCGTGTAGCAAGATACCTACCTAGGAGGATCCGGTATCCGTTGGAACTGCGTCGGGCTCGGCATTCTCAAGGAGTTATTCGTCGGCCCGCGATTCTCACGACCCCTAGGAACGGCTGAGGCTTGCGAACTGGAAGACAATGATGGGAAGATGCCGGTTGGTTGCACGTTGGTTTTCAGATTATCCTCGATAATCTCCTGCTTGATTGCATCCATTGTTCGTTGCTTCCTTCGAACCGCCTGCATAGAATATTTAGTCTCAATCCGCAGATTGGGCTGATGTCACCGAGGCTGCCCGTACCGTCATCAAATCCGCAAACTCCTTATGCCATCCAGGCCGTTCCGCAATAGTTGTCTTATACTGCGAGTGGTGGGGGATGATGTTGATGGTGATTTCCGAGGCCCGCAAGTACTGGATATAGGCCAAATCAGATTCGTTCTCGTCCACAAGGCTCTTGGTCCGTTCGAGTGCCTCGGATGCCGTTCTTAGGAGGACGTCGAGCTGCGCATCGTATCATGTGAGCAGTAGTTCCCCGCGGCATAGGAGATCTGTACTCACCGGCGTGATCTCGTTGACACTCAACAAAGCGGCCTGGTCCTGCAGGTCTTTGATATTTGGGTAACGCGGTCGTGCCAGTGGAAGGGTGCCATTCTGATATGAGGCCGGTCTGCTGACCTGGCCGTTGGAATGCATGTTGCCCCCCACCGAGTAAGGACGCCCGTCCTTCCACGGTGGTACTTTTGGAGAAGGGAGCGCTGTCGCATCAGGGGGCATGATCGAGGCAGCAAAGATGAGAGAACTCAGCGCATGGCTATGCGACTGGAAACAAGACTCCAGCGTTTAAAGAACAAGCAACGTAGAGCGATTCAGGAACCGGAGCGGGTCTGGGGTAACCAAGGTGACAGTACGCCGCTCACCGCCCACGCCTATGACGCCAGGTGGGCTTAGTCACCTGCGGGCTGCCTGGAGCTTCGACGTTAGCAACTCGTCCTTGATTCACTATCCTTTTTAACTCACGAATCTAGATTCGAAGCTCGCGCGCATTCCGTGCCGCTATTGTCCTCTGTCATGGCAGGCTGGTTCTCTTCTGCGTCCCCGCTCGATGAGCAGATCGAGCGGGCGACATCCTCCTCTCTGTAAGTTGTCACCGTATCGCGACCTGTTGCCTACAACGATCGATGTCGTACCTGCAGCGCAGCTACGCCTAAGTCACTAGGTTCTAATCAATTCTTAGGGAGGACATTGCTCTTAACCTTGAAATCTCCGATATGGTTCGCTCAAAAAGCGTTCAACCCAAGGAAGCTATGAAAGCCCTGAAACGCCGACTGGAGAACCGGAATCCTAACATCCAGCTGGCCACATTGAAGGTTAGTGTCTGCTAATCCTCAACCTATACGCGTGGAGCCAGTACTGATGAGCCGATCTGGCCACTAGTTGACCGACACCTGTGTCAAGAACGGCGGCACCCACTTCCTCGCTGAAATCGCCTCTCGTGAATTCATGGATAACTTAGTGTCTTTGCTGAAGGCTGAAGGTGCTCCTCTGAACCCGGAAGTTCAACGCAAAGTTTTGGAACTTATACAAAACTGGGCCATGGCGGCTCAGGGTCGAATGGACCTGACGTACGTGGGTGAGACATATCGCAAACTGCAAAGCGAAGGATTCCAATTCCCTCCGAAGACAGAAATGAGTGGCAGTATGCTGGAGAGCAATGCGGTAAGTTTATCACCAAGACCTATTTTCGGGAGTGACGAGATTGGCTAATTATCGGCATAGCCGCCGGAATGGATAGACTCCGACGTCTGCATGCGATGCCGGACTGCCTTTAGCTTCATGAACCGCAAGCACCACTGCCGCAACTGCGGTAATGTCTTCGACGCACAATGTTCCAGCAAGACCATTCCTCTGCCACACCTCGGAATCCTGACGCCGGTTCGAGTCGACGACGGGTGCTATACTAAACTGACCTCGAAGTCGTTCACGCCATCGGGGGTTTCAGATCGAACCGCATTCAAGAACCAATCTATCAGCAAGTCCAATGCAATGGAGCCACGTGCCGCTAAAGCAGACAAGAGCTTTGATGATGATCTTCGTCGGGCGTTGCAGATGAGTCTCGAAGAAGCAGAAGGACGAGGTCCCTCCGGATTCGTACCTCAGACTGGCAACGCCCCTGCCCCTGCCCCTGCGTCAGCCCAGGAAGCTCCGGGACCGTCCGATGTGGATGAAGAAGACGCAGATCTCAAGGCTGCAATCGAAGCATCTTTGCGAGACATGGAGGAGCACAAGCAGAACCATGCTGCTGTGTTGAAGAATAACGCTCAGCCAAGCTCAGCGGCGCACGATTCGTCAAGCACCCCGACTCCACTGCCCAAGAACCCCTACGAACTTAGCCCGGTTGAAGCCGAAAATATTCATTTGTTCTCCACCCTTGTTGACAGGTTGCAGCACCAACCACCTGGCACCATTCTCAGGGAACCGCAGATTCAAGAGCTCTATGAAAGTATAGGCACACTTCGGCCTAAACTTGCCCGCAGTTATGGCGAGACTATGAGTAAACACGGTGAGTTCCTATTGCACATTTACCGAGTAAGCTAGCAAACTGACCTCACTAGACACATTGCTCGACCTGCATTCTAAGCTATCGACCGTTGTTCGCTATTATGATCGAATGCTTGAAGAACGCCTTTCCAGCGCCTACTCTCAACAGAATCTGGGCTATGGAGGGTCTCAGTATTATGGCATGGGGGCCATGCCTGCGCAGGTTCCTGATATAAAATCCGGCGCGGAGAATTTTTATTATGGAAATGCCGCCGATCCCGCTCCCCAGCCGAATACTGCATACGCGCCACAGCAGTTGAATAGCAATGGCTACGAGGCGCCACCCGCCGGTCTTGCGAACCCTGTGTACCCAGCACAGGCCCAGCGTGGACCCCCAACAGAGTCACACAACAATGCCTGGAGTCATAGTCCATACCCTTCGCTGGGGTCACCTCCACCTACGAACAACGCCGTGCCCAGTCATGCTGCTTCGGGATCCTCACAATATTATACTCCACAAGCCGACCAAGACCCGGCCAAGCAACAGTTCTCCGAGCCTCCATACCAACCATCTCCGATCATGCGACGAGACTCTCACTACCAGCCAAGTGCGCCTCCGAGCGCAGCAGAGCCGCACTCGCCCGACCATATGCAATCACCGACGTACTCGACTGTCCCCCCGGCCGGACCCGCAGCTTATCAGCAGCCCAGCGGGCCGCCGCCTCAATCATATTATTACCATCCGCAGCAGCCTAGTACAGTGCCCGCATACCCGCAGGTGCCGACTGGCCAACCGGGGGCGTATCCGGACGCCCAGCAGCAACCCCCCGCGTCGCATCAACAACCCGCACGACCGGTGGAGGAGAGCCTGATTGAGCTGTAGAGCGAACTTGCATATTCCCTTAAGGCGTTCTCCTTTTTCTTTGTTTACCAAGTACTCGATGATACCTGAGACCTCCAACTTGTTTTTTATACGCAAGAAGTCGAGATTGTAGTAGTGATCTGAATAGCTTATTATGGACTGTCGCCCAAAGCGGGTTGGATCTGCAAATTACAGCCAACTGTATCTAGTTAATCAGAGGTAATCAAAGTTGCATTCCTCATGATAAGGTAGTGAGATAACCTATACGCAGTGGGGTCTCTATGTCTCTCTTGAATTACCAGACGATGTCCTAGGTACATCTATAGACCTCTCTCCCAAAGCGGGATCTGGGTCTCTCCACTCTCCACACACGGCGTAGTCCCCGTACGGTAATTTTACCCGCTTCCCGTCGCCGGAGACAGCGACTTGACCTCCCGAGGGTCTTCCTTGCAGTTCTCAGTTCCCAGCTTCCACAGTTCTTATCGCTTGTCACCCCGCAGACCTCTTGAGCGAGGCGGTGTAGACACCTTGCATCCGACTATTACGACCTTGTTGCTTTTTCGTCTGCACGTACGATCTTCCGTCATACATCCTCCGCCTCGACCAATCCCCTTCGATGTGCTGTGCAAGTCAACTGATTACCCGCCTGTGGCTCTCGTGAGCTTTGCCGCCATGCCGAATAACACATCCTCCCCAGTCAAGCGCCCCGGTCTCGGCCGTCGCGCCGTCTCCTCGCATGCGGTCGTCACGCGGGCGAACTCCAACCTGGAACTGTCAGAGTCTCACAGCTCCAAAGCCCCCGTGCATCATAAAGCCCACCGCGCCCATGTCGTGGGTGGTGGCCGCAACCATCATCGCAACCCATCTTTCGGCAAGAACCTCAATAAACTGCAGCGCTTCCAGCTAGGCCCCGAGCCGACAGGCCGTCACCACCAGCGCAAGAAGTCCGCTCCAGCCACACCGGTCGGTAGCCCCAAAGGTTCCACACATGTGCGCTGGGATGCCGAGACCGTGGACGGCCACCCTAAAAACCATTCCATGAAGAGAAATAACTCTACGCCAGTCCTTCAACGCAATAATTCGGGCTTTGGAAAGAAGACCTTGATTACAGACCGCCCGCTCTCGAGCGCTGGCAAGAAGAAGTCGGTCGGCTTTGAGTTAGGTGATGATGAGACCGACGAAGCTGAATGGGAAGATACCACACAGTCGCCTGAGAGCACGAGGCGCAACTCAGTCGTGCCCTCCAACCACAGCGCCGATAACGCTGCAGTTCTCGTTGATCCCCTCACCTTTGTGAAGCGTCCGTACCCGCAAGTCCCTCGAGCTACAAGTCTTCCGGATTCGGTTATCAATAAGTTTATACGCAAGGACCCCGAGGAAGACGAGGAGGAAGAAAACGACTCGGACGTGACACCCGAGCAAGAGCCGGCTGGTGATCAGGGTGACATTGCCAACCGCCTCCTCAGCCCCTCGCATTCAGCCAAAGCTCCCCCTGCCATGTCTTCCATATCTGCCATGGGTGAACATAAGCCAGCCGTTCCGGATTCTGCGTCGCGCAGCGCCTCATTTAAGCTGGCTGGTGGCCAGGATGGAACTCGGCGCACTTTCTCTACCTCAAACCTTGGTCTCGCCAACATGCCCGGTAGCCAGCCCCAGGCCACTTCATCCTCCATGGAAGGCGGCGTCTCAAGGTTCATTGTGAACACCAAGGCCGGCCAGGCCTCTTCACGAACAGATTCAGACCCGAACACTCCGTCTTCATTCCTACCTCACTATCATCCGCAAACACCTCCGTCTCCCGGTCGCGTTGCTGGGAAGTCTACTGCTTCTCCCGCACGGCCTCGTGGTGGCGCCGACCTGCCATCGCGAACCCAACAGAAGCTTTGGCTTCAGCGTACAGCTGCCCTCAATAACTCTCCGCCCGATGCCCATGGAGCCTCGACTACTGCGGCTCAATCTGCCATGGATTCAAACTACATGACCGCTGGACATAAACGCTCTACCTCCGGAGTCTTCGATGCCAACAGAGGCATGACCAGTGCTAGTCGGGTGGGGGGGTCCGGATTCGACGGCGAGACCCGACACACTCGAAAGGCATACGAGAAAATGTCACTCGAACTGATGGTGGTACGGCGCTTTCAGTCCCCCACGGGCGATAGTTTCAATCGGCTTCGCTCAGTCGCTCGAGCATCCAAGGCTCTCGCAGCCAGCTCCGAGCAAAGTTCGGCGTTGGGAAAGCCGATCAAATCAGCCCCTTCGTTACCCCTCCTGCAGCACGGAAGGCGCCCAAGCCGCCTCGGCTCAAGCTCCGAGTTGCCTGATCCTCATTCCTCAGCTTCCGAAGATCCAGCAACCCAGAGTGAATCCACCGACACCCAGGCAACCAAATTTGCCCACCCCTCCCACCGCATCCTTTCTACCTCCGATGAGGCTGCACATGGTCTTCAAGGGGACAATGACCCTGAAGACTATTCGCCTGTTAGCGACACCGACATGATGATTCGTCGCATGTGGGAAAGTCGCGAGGTTGCTACCTCGGGCTGAACCCATGATTCTGCTTATGACGTGCGCTTTTGCAATTACCCGGCGCTGGTGGCTTTTCATTTGATTCTTTACATTATCTTCAGCCCGCAGTGGACATAACTCCTTTCTTCCAGTCAATAGCGTTGCATGCCAATGTAATACACCTGCTCTTGGCACTCGGCAGGCCCGTCTTCCGGCGCATCGCGCATGGCGTGACCCACGCCTTAGGCTACGATGAGTAATGATTAATCCATAGCTCCTGATTTGATCTCGAGAGTATATAATTTTGCTGTTGACTTCTATCATCATTCGCTTGAAAGCACCATGGAGCTCCTCGTGCCGTTGGTTATCGGTCAGATCCTTCGTATCAGCGGCTATGTCGCTGCGATTGCCCTCGTCTCGGTGGTGATGAACCTGATTCACCAGCTATTCTTCTACAAACGTAACGAGCCTCCTGTGGTTTTCCATTTGTTCCCCTTCATCGGAAGTACTATCAGCTATGGCATGGATCCATACAAGTTCTTCTTCTCGTCTCGTGAGAAGGTACCTGGTGGCCGACTCGGCTTCGAGCCAGTTCATAAAGCTTACACACATCTAGTACGGCGATATCTTCACTTTCATCTTACTCGGCAAGAAAATTACAGTTTTTCTCGGGACCGAGGGAAACGAATTCATCCTGAATGGAAAACTCAAGGATGTCAACGCCGAAGAAGTCTACGGCAAACTGACAACACCCGTCTTCGGCTCCGATGTGGTCTACGACTGTTCCAACTCCAAGCTGATGGAGCAGAAGAAGGTAAGGACAACTTTCATCTCTATCAATGACCCACCTAACCTCTTCAACTAGTTCATCAAATTCGGCCTCAGCCAAGAAGCCCTAGAGTGTTACGTGCCCCTAATCGAAGAAGAAGTCAACCAATACATCAAAACCTCCGGGAAATTCAAAGGTCCAACCGGCACAATCGACCTCGCCAGCGTGATGGCTGAAATCACAATCTTCACAGCCGGTCGTACCCTCCAAGGCTCCGAAGTCCGCGCAAAGCTGACCTCCGAATTCGCCGACCTTTACCACGACCTAGACCTAGGATTCTCACCCATCAACTTCATGCTGCCCTGGGCACCACTTCCTCACAATCGCAAGCGAGACACTGCCCACGCACGCATGCGCGAGATCTATCTCGAGATCATCCGCGAGCGGCGCAACTCCGGCGAGCAGGATACCCAAGCTAAAGACATGATCTGGAACCTGATGCGCTGCGTCTACCGCGACGGACATAAAATTCCGGACAAGGAGATCGCGCACATGATGATCACACTTCTGATGGCTGGACAACACTCCTCGTCGGCGATTAGCTGCTGGATCATGCTGCGGCTAGCTTCCCAGCCGGAGATGACCGAGAAGTTGTACGCCGAGCAGATCAACGCCCTAGGCGCAGACCTGCCCCAGTTGGAATTCGCTCATTTGGAGAAACTCCCCTTGCACGCTCATGTCATAAAAGAGACTCTCCGCATTCACTCATCTATCCACACCCTCATGCGTAAGGTCAAGAACCCCCTTCCCGTACCTGGAACTCCCTATGTCATTCCTACAACCCACACGCTCCTTTCATCGCCCGGTGTCACTGCGCGCGATGAGCGCTTCTTCAAAAACGCTATGACCTGGGACCCGCACCGGTGGGAGTTGCGCGTTGAAGAGGAAGAAGGCGATACGGTGGATTATGGGTATGGTGCTGTGTCAAAAGGCACGCGGAGTCCGTATTTGCCGTTTGGGGCAGGGCGGCATAGGTGTATTGGGGAGAAGTTTGCGTATCTGAATTTGACGGTTATTGTTGCGACGCTCGTGAGAGAGTTTCGATTTTTCAATCCCGAGGAGAGAAATGGAGTACCGGAGACGGATTATTCGGTATGTTGTCATGATTTCCCTTTTTGATATAGGTGCTGTGTCTCGCTAATGCTTTCTGCAGTCGCTCTTTTCTCGTCCGATGCAGCCGGCTACGGTGCGGTGGGAACGCCGTGGGGAGTGAAGGTCTGGCGGTTTGCACTTGGTCGTTCTTATATGATAGTTGGTTCAGGCGATTTAGTTAAGGCTGGCCTTGTTTTTGTTTTTTTTGGAATGGAGATGGTATTTACAACATTTAATCTAATCTCGATATAAAAACATCATCGTGTATCCTGCGCTCAAAGCAAAATCTATTACTTCAAAAGAGTCGATCAATCCAACGCCTTCCTGTCCAAGAAAACCCTGAGTCGGCGAAGATCACACATTATATAAGAGGTGCCAACGGAATCAAAAGTTATCAACAAAGAATGATACCCGGAAATAATGAGCTAAAGAAAGCCACAAGAAGGAAAGTGAAAAGTGATTGGGAGAGAGGTCGATCATGCCATCTTAGGTCTTTTCTTTGCCTTTGCCGCGATTCCCGTGTCCTCCACGACGTGCGTTTTTGCTCGCACTATCATTAGGAGTCTGGTTACCAGCTGGATTTCGCGGCTGTGCCGGGGCATTCATAGTCTTCTTAGGCCTGGATGGTGCCGGAGCCGGAGCAGGCGCGGCCTGTTTCTGAGCCTGAGTGCCACCTCCATCACCGGCATTTTTATTTCCTCGGCGCTTACGAGGGGTTCCGGAAGCACCAGAAGCCTTGCCATCTCGCCCGGCTTTTCCATTGCGCTGCTCGGGTTCGGGGTCAAGAAGGCCCTGCACGCGTTTGCTCTCTTGGTCCCACCATGCCTGGAACTCCTGCTCAGCCTGGATCTCTTCCAAGTTATGCTTAGCTGTAGCTGCCTCGCGAGTGACATCCTTTTCGATCTGTTGTTGCTGCAGGATGGTTGCCAAGGAGAGGGAGCCGCTGGATGGGGAGTGGAACCCTGATGGGTATGGCTCTGGACGTGGGATGTGACGGACAGATTGGACTGCGGGCTGGGGTGATGCCTTTGGAAAGGTTTGCTGGAATGGTATTGGAGGTCCCGAGGGTGATGGCTTAGATAAAGAAGATGGTTGCATGTTCGCAGAAACGCTGCGGCTTTGTGATTGTCCTGGTGTGGCCATTGGCTTTGGTGGAGGTGTTCCAGCCACGGTTTGGCGCATAGTCATCGGAGGTTTCTGGGCAGTTTTTGCAGGTTCTGGTGAGCTGAGCCTGCTTTGCCCTGGGAGGGGATCTTTGTCGGGCTTTGCTGGTGTCGCTGGAGGAGGTAGCTGCCATGGGTTCTTTGCAGCGTCCTTTGCCTTTTCCTCCGCAGCAAGTCTCTCTTGCATCTGCTGCTGCTGCATCTTTTTTCTCTCCTTTTGTGATACCTTGAAGTTACCGCTGCCCTCGCGTCGTCCTTCCATGCCCAAGGTAAGGTTCGACACCCGAGATTGAGAAGTTTCGCCCATGATGTCTTTGAGGTCCTTCTTGTTGTTTGAGATGACAGGAGAGCCCCAGGGTGCTGAGGAATCAGGCGGTGATGCCATGCCACGCTTTTGATGCATCGCGATTGCTCGGGATTCGGTGGGAGACTGAGTAAGTACTATATCTCGCGGTGAAGACATCTGCTCATTCAAGAAGCCCCGATCCTCAAGGGACTCGGCCTCTGGTATACTTGCACCCAGCGCTGGAGAATCGGGATAGGACCGATTCTCTGGCGTTCCTCCGTATTTCATTCCGCGCATCATGGCCTTGCCCTTGATTGTGTCACCGGGGGTAAGAGGAGTTTCCTCATCCATTTGGAACATGAGGTCACCGGTTGATTGTGTTGGTTTCAATGTAGGGCTCGTAACAAGGCTTGCCGAGTCCCTGGAAATGCTGGCCTTGCCCTTGCGCACGGGTGTAGTCGCCACTGACTTTTCGCTGGGTTGTCGTGGCCGTACATCATAGGACTCGACTTGGCTAAGTCGAGATTGCAAAGCCATTGCATCGATCCGACGTCGCTTGTCCATCTCCACTGAGCTGACGATCTCCGGGTATTTCTCAAAGACATACTCTTCTGAGTTACGCCCACGAGAGATAGGGAAGCATGCTAGCTGGTTCTCATGGCAGACCGCGTCAAGTTCGCTGAGGAGATCCTCGTCGAGCCCTTCCAGGAATCTGTTTGTAAGCATGGCTTCGAGATTGAGACAAATGTACTCCAGGGATGCCTCTTTAAACTCGGTCACGTAAATGGGAGCGATGGAGTTGAGAAGGTAAGAGATGTTGCGCGTGTTGACGAAACGACCAAAAATCTTTTGGCAGATCTGCGACAGTCTATCGATCATCAACTCGTTGGCGACATACATCACATCGAGAAGCAGGTCAATCAAATCGTTCAGATTTTTAGTCCGCACTTGGTCGAATAATTGCTCTTCCGTATCGGTGTATATGTAGCGCAAGACGAAATCGAACGTCGATCGATCGATGTGCTTAAGATCGACATGTACGCTCTCCGAAGGATCCTTCCGACGATGTGCGAGCCAGCTGCCAGCCGATCGACCATTGAAAAGGGCATCGAAGAAAGGGCAGCGCTGACACACAATTTGGCTGTGGACCTTAACAAAATCGCCATTCAGTTGAATTACCACGTCGGCATCATCGAAGAAAGACGGGTGGTCAATGGCATGTGCCATGTCAGTCTTCAAACTTGGCTCCGGCTCCACCATCAAACGAGCTGCGCGTTCCAGAGTTGGCAGACCAAGTTGAGTAGCCGTTCTCATAACCTCCGTGCGGACCTGACGGTAACGGGAGGCATTTTCAGGCGAACTCCTCGCTTTATGCCAGACATCGATGATGCTGTCCGTATAGAGGAAAAAGACAACATTCATAACGGTCAGGAAATCGACGCCTAGCAGACGGATTTGAGTATGCCCATCCTTCCCGTATTCGATATCGAGAACATCAGGCACCGAAGCATAATATGACTCCCGGAATTCTTGCAGGGCTTTGCGAAAAACAGGACTGCGGCCGGTCAAGAGAAATTCGTGTGCTGGGATTCGTGCCTCCGAGAGGGAACTAGTCACCCAGACAGTGCCCTCGGAGCGCATGGAGAGGAATTGATCTTCCATTTCCGACGAGGCTAGGATGGCTCTTTTGATGGTTGATGCAGAAGACAATGCGACAGGATCTTCCATAGCATCCGCTGTGATGATTAAATTTTCCACATCATCGGGCTCGGGGGTCATGAACGGTGAAAGCGGCAACAAGTCATCCCAGAGAGTACTTGGTTCAATATGAACTTGTTCTCGGGTCACGTCACAGTCGCGTTGAGCGACTGCATATGCGCCGAACGCATTACTGCGCACGGCCACAGCACTCGACAGGCCTGGTATGCGGGCAAACTTGTATTCCTTCGAAGCGCCCTCCTTGTTCTTGGTCCGCTTTTCTTTTCTCCAGGCCGAGCCAGAGGTCGTGCAGATGATAATGGATCCATCTTGTCCCACATCAACGTCGCTGGCAGCCATGTGAGATTTCTTGACGGACCAGGCCCTCACGGGAGCGGCCAGAGAATTGCGAATTTTGGCCGGGTTGGTCGTTGATGTCAAGGCTGAAGGCTCTTCGGCCTTGTTGGCTTGGACAGTGAAGACATCGCCAGAGCTCGACAAGGCACAGATTGTATTGCCACCACATGCCAACTTGACCACGCGATTCACCGAGCCGTCGTATCTCGTTGCCATAAAGCTATCCCTGATGAACCTGGAGCTGGACTCCAGTGGCAGCGAGAGCTTGGAATAGCCATACTGCGAAAAGACCCATACTTCGTGGTTCTGAAGAAGCACGGCAGTAGCACGGTCAATAGCGGAGACCATTTGGATTGGACTCTTGAAGAGAGAGGCACCAACACGTCGAGGAGTTGTCTGGACTTCAAGAGAGCGTGCATCAGAGTCAACCAATCCCAGTTGACCCTCATTCTTACCAAAAGTGTAGAGGCCCGAATCACTGAAGACAACTGAGTGAATCGAGGATGCCGCAGCTCCAATAATCATTTCTTTTTTGAAAGGGTTGAAGATCTGTCTCGGGGTAGTTTGAATGGGAACATCATTTTGGTTGTTCGTTCTGGGAAGGCCATAACCAAGTTGGCCGAACTTATTGCTTCCCCAACTGAAGATCTCACCGTGATCGGTGATAGCTAAGCTGTGATCCTGGCCGAGAGCAACAGATATGACCTTCTTCCCAGCCAGACCGCCGGTCTCGATGCAAACGAAACTAAACCGTGTCGACGCATCGCCAGTTCCCAAACGGCCACCGGGACCAAACCCGCACATAAACAAGTTGGCCTCGGGATCATCTGTGATGATAGCAGTATGCAGCTTTGACATGACCACATTCTGGAATTTTATTGGCTTGTTCTTGATTAAAGTCGGCAGCTCTCCGGGGATGCTGTGATCAAGTGTATCCTCCAGACCAAGACGCTCCATGTTCTCCTCATATTCGCGGTAGAAGCGTTGGAGCAGATGCTCCGGACGCTTCAATACCACACGTTCAGGGAATTGGCGGTCGTCCTGATCCCCAAGTCCAAGGTTCAAATTTTTGTTGCTGCCCAGGGTGAACACTTCGTCGGCGGAGAAATCACTCCGCGACTTTAGGATACTCCGGGTGATGTAGGGCTCGTCCTCGCCGTCGTCTCCATAGTTGGATGCAGCATCGGAACCGGCATCGCTATCCACAGCTGATGGAATCATCAAGTCAGGCCCTCCCCCCGACGAAGTTATCTGTTTGATATCTCGCGATGTGATGGTCGCTCCATAGATATCGAAAGGACTGTAGCCCTCCCGGTCCTTAATCTTGATCAAACTGCCACTCGGATGGCCTGCGCTGCCCAGTTTGCTGAAGTCCGTCACATCGCGCATGTCACGCGCCATGAGCGCCTGGGCAATCGTGGCATTTCCCATGTAGAGGGCACGGTGCAGAGCCGTCCATCCACTCTCCCAATCCTGCGCATAGATATCTAGGAACGGAATCTCGAGCAGTGCACGCGCGAAGCTGGCGGCCGTGGGTTTCGGGGATGACGCAACGTGGTGAAGGAGGGTTCTACCATAATGATCGCGGGCATTGACATCGGCGCGCGACAGAGCGGTATTGCCTTTCTGGAAGGCCGGTCTCTCGGGGGCGGATGTTCCAGGCGAGGGACTGTATACTTTCTTCTGTTTCGAAGGATTGGGAGATGAGTCGATCATTGACCCGGGGCTTCCAGTCTTGCCCGACAGAATTGTCGCCGCCGCGGCAGCTGCGGGGCCTCCGGGCCCTCCTGTAGCTCGCGGTCCGGCGAACGTCGCGTTCGCCAGGAACCGGTGGAAGCTCTCCACATCATCTTGAATGAAAAACTCCCAAAGCTTGCTACTCATGTGCCCGAAGTGGTCGGATCGCAGAATCTCTTATCAAGCCCAAGCTGGAGCGTCGCCGTCACCACACGAGGTTGACCGCGACGGAAGAGCTGGGTGATGAGAGATTTCTGGTTTCGAGGGGGGAAATGGTCGATTCGAAGGAGATCGACGCGTCCTGGGTCAATGCAATTTCACGGGACTTCCAGCAACGCGCGGTAGTGACAAATTCAATTGTGGGTTTTCGACAGAGGCGGTTCGCGCGAGGGGGCGATGCGCTGTGCTTATCTGGTAAGATCGGACGGGGTTTCGCGGAAGGACTCGGGTTGGAATGAGCGGAGGCAGAGAGGTGAACGCGATGAGACTTGTGTACTCAGCAGATGTCGGTGTCTTTAGACTCTTCCGTCATCGTGCAACGTGGGACCCCCGTCGCCCTGACCAATGATATGACGCACGTCCCTCCATGTTCCCCGACGAGAGGCGCGGATCATCCGTCGCCCTGAGAGCCTCGCAGGAGCCCGTGGGGAAGCGATAGGGTAGGACGTGTGCCTCGCCGTTTGCAGGTGCTGCGTGACATGCCTCGATCTTCATCTTCCCCTCCCCCGCACTGCATGTTGACCGTATACTCGGCCTCTCTCCTTTGCCCCGCGGAGTATATATACGATGGCAGCCGAGATGCGCCATCGCTCAAGACCATTTTTGAAAGATATGCAAAAACATGTCTTGAAGACCACGACAAAAGACATATCAGGCCTCATCTCCATAGGCTATCTAGAGAGAGGAACAGAGAGAACCCTGTTACCCCAGTCTCTCTATGTAGATTATTTGACATGCCGTATGTATTGTCAGAATAGACACTACCCAACAACGCTCAACCACATTGGTAATTGGTCATTTTATTTTTCTCGACAAACCAACCAATAGAGAACACCAGACTGAGGGGCTATTAGATTGTATAATTTTCCGGCTGCCAGGCGCTCAGATTTGGGTCCCGGTCTTATACTTAAAGGGCTATTTTATTTAGCTGGTCAGCCACGATCTATAATTTCTTGTTTCCATGATCTCGTTGAAAGGCATAGTGGCTCAAAGAGAGGATTTAACAGCCATACCATAATGAGCACCCGCTCTGCCACGTCATCTTTGACGATCGTGTTGACGGTTGAGTACAAGATACGACTCAACAACCGGAGAATCCAAACAAGTACCATGCCGAAAACCTAATCAAATGTCAGTGTGTAAAATTATTTATATTGAATGTATTGAATATATTGAATAAAGTGATCACCAAATGAGAACACAGGCAAGATACTTTAGCCCCGTAGATATATTCCAAATGCCCATGGAGAGAGTGAAAAAGAGGCAGGCCGCAGAAGCGACAATTGTGATTGCATTGATTATTGCCGGAAGTTGATTGATTTGTGTCCCAGAATATCACTGCCCCTTGACCCATAGGTTCTCGAGGTTATATGCACGAACGGGTAGGAAAAGATGATCATGCAGCTGTGAAGGAAAATGATAAAAAATCGAAAATTCCTCCAAGGCAATAAAACTCCCGCATAGCATGTCATAAACACCCAAATATGCCACCTCTTCAAGGATCGTTTGAGAACATCGAGCCCGAACTTTCCTGGTCGACGGGTTTATGCTTTGCATGTTCTCTCCTTGGCTAAGGCAATGCCACTCTCGAATATATGAAACCCTCGCGACGAGCCAGCAACAATCCCGTTGTGCTACTAGAAGCTACCAAGTACCAACGTGTCTCAAACGATTCTTGATAGAGACGAGCAATTTCCTGTTACCGAGGCAAGCTCTAGGTAATCTATTTTCCCCGAGCATGTAGTCTTGAGGGTTTGAGCTAGTGGGCTGGGGCTGAGCTGACCACTCTCGACGTGAGTCAATACGAGCAACCGGGTAATAGAGAGGCTCTGGTGAAACAGCTAGAGCATGCTATTAAAAATTCTGGTCTATAGAATCGAAAATTCTTTCATGGAGTTTTGTCGTCCACCTACACTTCGGTAGGGTTCTTCTACGTCAAGAACTTCAAGCCAGTTTGCTCTGGGTCGACAATGCCCTGCCGGTTGAAAAGCGGAAGAGCAGCGACAACGCTCGCGGACAAGCACACCACTGTCACTCCCGAAAGTATTATGGCGTATGCCGAAACAGAAAACAACCAGACCGTTCTGCTTGAAGTGATCACAGACTTAGCCGACGTGTTCGCCGAGAAAGAAGGTTGCGCTGATGCAAGAGACCTCATGCGTATTCCCTCAAGGATGATTGGCAAGACAAGAAAGTGGTCGCCAAAAATACACCCGCTGTCAAATCCAGATCGTCAAGCAATGGACGAGCAACTCGACAAGCTACACAACCAAAGCAGAATGATGTGGTCGAACCAAGCCACACCTTTTGGCGCGCCTGTTTTTGTTGTTAAGCCCACTATGCCCGACGGTTCAAATTCGTCCCTAGTAGTTGTCGCCGTGCGCAACCTGAACACTTGGACAGTGCGTGATTCTTACCCACTTCTCAGACAGGAGGATACCATCAAACTCACGTATCACAATGCGAACGACCTTTCAATGGCGAGTATAATGGATACCAACACCCGGCCATTCCACGTAAGAAATGATAAGGTCTACCCAATCGTGTCCAGAACCTGACTAGCGAGCAGCCTTTGAAAGAGAATCAGGGATTATATGCAGGTATACAACAAATACTAGTTTGACGGCTTCTACCATGACCCACCACTTCCTATCCTTTCCGACCACATTGTGGATATCGAGCAGTTTAGCGGGGTCTGCTGGCATCAACAACTTGGATCCTGTCCCGTCACCGACACTGAACATTGTCGAAATGCTACACTGCAGCGGCAGAGAAACACCCCCGGCCCCTCACCATTCTCCTCGAGATTTCAGTTGAGGTCCAAGTGGTCAACGACCACCGATACGACGTTGAGGGCGAGGATCACCACTGCGCTACATGGACTACGCAGCTCACATCCCCGATGGGAACAAGCAAGGCAGCGAGATATGCAGCCGGGTGATATTGACCTGGGCAATGTAACTCTGCTTTCGGGAAGACCAGTAGCTGCCCTTCAGGTTCTGAACTCCAAAGGAGAGTGGAAGTGGGTCCGGGCGTGGACGGGAGGATCACAATCAACAGGCAGCACTCTGCTCTCACGGGCGGCTTGATCAAATCCTGCATTTATCGTGTGCATGTGCCTCCAGCTGGCCAAGCCCATGTGGACCCTCTGGGCGTACCTTATTTCTCCGCAGCAAGTCTTAGCGAGGGAAGCCACAACGTCATAGCATTGTGCTGACGTTTCTTCAAGGTCCAATAACGAACGTGGTCCTTGATCCTACCCAAACTAGTGCGCTACCTAATGGATTTGGGCTGACAAGGAACATTTTTACCGAGCTAGATCAGCACTTGTGAGCAGTGGGTGAAGGTATGGCAGACAGTAACAGCGACGCAAATCCAAGTATTTTGATATAATACCGGGGCTGCAGGCTCAGATTTATAACTAGAAACATAATCAAGTCAAAGTACATAGTTTCAGTCACTATCAGTGGGCTGATGAGCGGCTAGTCTTGGTCTTTGCCTCCCCGTCCGAGCCATTCAAGACACCACTTCCATGGAGAGCTGATATAACGTGACGGAAGCGAATGACAAATTAGGTCGATCCTCGCTTGCGGTGAGCGGAGAGTTCATCCCCCCGTCCTGTTCTCAGTCACCTGGACATGTTTCAAAAACGGGGCACTTTCCTTTTATGCTTTTTTCTCCGCTTCACCAACCACCACTTTACTCCGAGTATTTCCCGATTTGGATGTTTACCAACCCTCTGTGTGCTTTCTCACATGTTAACCCCCCTGTAAAGAAGGTCCTGCAGAATGCATACAACGCAGTTGAGTTCGAATAAAGTGCAAAATGGCACTAATATCAATCATGGGGTAGGAGGAGAAAGATCCGATTACGGCATCGTCCGAGCAGACATCCATGCGCAAAACCTCCACCAGTCAAGGTCCATAGTACCCGGCATATTCGGCGCTAACTCAAATGCACAGCCCTATCACAGACCTTTCTGTTTTCGTATCCCGGGCTCGGTAGTATGGATGTTACTCTGCGGATCGCGTGGTTCGCAGCTCCAGGCGGGCCCTCGCAGTGCGGGGTTGGCGCAGATCCTTCACCGGGCCAACTTCGGGCTTTCCCCACGACAAGCCCAACGGTTCAGGCACAAGAATCCTTCTGGATATTGAGAAAAATTTCCTAGAGATATATCGCAGTTGCTCGATATGCGATTCTCGAAATTCCTCACGTCGGATGGCGATGGATCCTGTATCATGTTGTTGCTTTGCCCGAGTGGATCCAGGGGATGAAAATACAGGAATGCTGTTTAGGGGTGGGTTGATCAGTGCTCGAAAAATAGGATCCAAGGCTGCCTCGGTAGGAGATCGATAATCACATTCACAGGATATGACAGTGAATATTTATATCGTTTCCCTCCGATGTTTTTGACATTGTCCCCAGATGTGCTCCGACTGAAGCCCCAGCCCTCAATTTATACAGCCAACCATGATTTCCACCACCGGTGCTTCAATGGGCCGCATCATCATGGCCTTTATGGGCCTCATGTTGGCAGTGACATCTGCCCTGCCCTCTAGTATCTATGCTAGAGGCGCTCCTTTGACTCCAGCTGATGATCCATTTTATCAAACCCCTGCTGGCTTCGAGTCGGAGGAACCAGGGACCATCCTGAGGCAGCGAAGCATCAGTGTTTCCTTCCTGGGTCTACTCCCAGATCCAGTGGATTCCTACCAGCTGCTATATCGGACTACTGCCATCAATGGCTCCGCCATTGCCACGGTGACCACAATTTTCAAGCCTAGCAACGCAATGACGGATCGATTTATCTCGTTCCAAACGGCCTACGACAGCTCGGCAACCATGTGCGACCCTAGCTATACTTACCAGCGGTCTGCTGCTCAGACCGATCTCATTACATCCGCCGAGGAGCTGATTATGCAGGCCTACCTGCTCGAAGGCTATATTGTTGCCTCGCCCGACTACGAAGGCCCTGATGCGGCCTTTAGCGCGGGTCATCTAGCAGGAATGGGAACACTGGACGGCATGCGCGCCGTGGCTAATTTCGAATCGCTGGGTCTCAGTAGCAACCCCATGATCGTTGGCATAGGTTACTCTGGCGGCGCTCTCGCGACAGGATGGACAGCTTCTCTGCAGCCCAGCTACGCTCCTGAATTAGCCATCAAGGGCTGGGTGCAGGGCGGCACTCCCGCTAATCTGACCGGCACTTTGCTCAACATTGACGGTACTCTGTTCAGCGGGTTCATCCCTGATGCGGTCGCTGGATTGTCCTCTCCCAGCGCCTATGGTGCAGAGCTGAACACTCTCCTCAATTCGATCTTGACATCGGCAGGCCAATCAAAGATAGACTATGCTAAAACGCATTGCGCAGTGGACGACCTGGTCAGCTTCGCTGGACAGTCGGTGTTCTCCACGAGTTTCCAGACCTTAGGCGATGGACTGCTTTACAACCCGACAGTTCACTCCGTGATGATACAAAATACCATGGGCGCGAACGAGGCGGAAACCCCCACTGCACCGGTGTTTGTCTACCATGCCAGCCAAGACGAAATCATTCCCTACGCGGATGTAGTGACCCTGGTCAACGCGTGGTGCAATTACGGCGCCAGTGTGAAGTTCACCACATTCGCCAATGGCGGTCACGCAACAACCGAAGTCGTCGCGCTACCAGATGCTATTGAATTTGTTAAATCTGCCTTTGCGGGTACGACGCAGAGCGGGTGCTCGAGGAACACGGAACTTAAAAGTATCCTGAATCCGATCGCACTTGGCGTGGAGCTGGAGCCTATTGTGGCGAAGCTGATCGACGTCGTGCTTAAACTTGGAGCGGAGGACGACAACGTTCTGCAGGACCTCGAAGTTCTCTATGATTCGATTACTTGGTAAAGATGTAACCTTGGGTCGCACCTTGAATGATCTACGAGAGCCGAGATCTATGAACTGGTAATGATGAGATCTGATGAAGAGACGGACGCCACGGTCGTGATATTATTTGACATAATTGACATGATTGCACATTCTCACTCTTAGGACTGGCAGCTGATGCCGGTCATTCTCAAATAAACTACGAGTCCTATTTCGTGATTGCTTGCGTCATTTGTCCGCGGCTCTGCGCGCGGGTCTGCCGAGTACGCCCGGGCGTCCGACCGTAGCTATCTGCCCGGGTACATTTGGGTACTTCTCCTGACTCTGAGGAACCCCGGATACCTTGTCACGATATACAAAGACCCCACAGGCAACCATACGATCCAAATCCAAATCCAAACCATCGAAGATGGCTGAAACATCAAGAGATTGGCGCTTTCCGTGGAGCCTGGAGACGTCGATCACCTGGTTGACTTCCGTGATCGGCTGCTCTTATCTCTCTCCCCCAGCTTGGACTTTCGGAGGTCCATGTATAAGTACCCGTGCCGTTGCGACCGTGAACGAGCTGCATGGAGCTTTGCTTTTGTTTTTTTTTTTTCCGTCCTAGAATTAGTGAGATACAATAAGAGCCAAAATAAAGGAATCCTAGGATCGTGAGTATCATAGATCAGCTGTGGTGGCGCCAGGCTGACTTCCGCTCCTCGAGACCTATCGAGTCACCAGGTGTGCGTCACAGACCGTGTTCTCCTCTCCTTTCTCCACGTCTTCCCCCCTTCCATCCCCCATATACTTTGGCACATCATGGCTTCCTTTATCCCATAGGTTCCACAACGTGAACACGCTGTGAACCCCCGAGACGACTGGATTCCCCCGTCGTCGTTGATGCGGAGAAGCTCCTAGGCTCCGAAGGTCCCAGACCGACATCTGCGTCGTTACAAACGATGCGCTCGTCGTTCTTCCAATTGTTTCGTTGATCCATCGGCACCTAACAACCTTTGCCACCTTTTCATTTCGATCTTGATCTTTCCTCTTCCCTTTTGTTAGCATGGCCGGCTGCACCAGATCCACCGCCGCCCTGCACTCCTGATAACAGAATTCCCGAGCTGATAGCACTCGCCCCCCGGGGCCGTTTGTCGGAGTGAGCACTTTTGCCTCGGAGTCGTCCAACTCGATGCTAATCATGCTCTGATAGACCTGCACCATGCATCAGCATCCCCGGTCTCCTGCGATGCCTTCGGCGGCAACCAGGCTTCCCTCTAATCCGTCCGCTGCTCGGGACGATCCAAGAGAGCACGACTCCGTCCCGCCCTCGCCTTCCACCGACATAAGGACAAATCCCGCACGAGGTTTAGGCATCGACGCTGGAGCAGAAGCTGCTGAGCAGACTAGGGAGGCTGCACAAAGGAAAGAGGCCATAACCAAGTTGAACCAGATCATATCGGTAAGGTTACGGCGGGCTCGCCATCGGCCAGAGAATCACGTACTGACTGCTCGCTTTGTTTCTTGCAGAACTATCACACGAAAGCGGCTTTGATCATTTTGCATTCACGTGTTGAGCTGCCGGCGAGCTTCAACAAGGGCTCGGATAGCCCGAGAATCAATCGTTGGGTCGGTCCCGCCCCATCTCGATACCCCACTCTGAGGATGAAGTGCTAACGTCGGTCCTGTCGGTCCAGTTCAACGTCGAATTAGAAGATACGGATGCGATCCGGGATCAGCTTTTGATCTGGAGGGCATGTAACGCCACAGAAAAGCGACCGCCACCCCTCATTATCGAAACCTTCTTAGACGGTAAGGGCCTGACGAATAACCAGAGCTTGGTGATTTTGGACGACAATGGCAAGCGATGGGATGTTCTAGAGTCGCTCGCGGCTTCGAGGGGCGTCTCTGTGTCCCAGCCACGCCAGTCGGGTTCTGATGATATCATTTTGGAGCGATGGAGAATCGAGTTGGGCGAGTCATCCAGCGGGTTGCCGGCCGACTTGAGCTCCATCTTGCCGACTGTGTATAAGAAAAGCATCGTCCTTTTCCGCTCCTTATTCACGTATTCCAAGTTCTTGCCTGCGTGGAAGTTCTCCAAGCGCAACACGAATTTGCGCCGGAGTCCTGCCTTGCAGCTCAGGTACCGTGTGATAGATGGGAGCACCATGCGCCGTGATGCTTCGCGGGATCACTTGACGACTCCGTTGTATGAGGGGAATGAGAAGGTGGTGGATACGTACAGCTTCGGCGTTACTGAATCTCCTGCTGGGCCATTCTCGGTATCGGTCACATATCGAACGAATTGCGACTTCCGTGTGGACGACTCAGAAGCGTTGTTGAGCTCGCGTTTCATGGGCGCCGACGACGCTATCTTCCGTCCCTCACTGCCGTCGGAGGAAGTTAGTCGTCCGGGGCCTGAAGTTGGGTCGGTGCCTGTGGGAAGAAGGACGGTTGAGAATCCAGATTGTTCGCGTGCATACGGAAGTCTATCAACCTTCCACCAGGTTGGGCCAGCTACTGGTGCCAGTCCTATCTCTGCGTTGCGAGCTGCGCGTGATGCAAGTGTCGGGTCATCATCTCCATCAGATTCACCTAAGAAGTTGATGCCCGCTGCGAAAATTGCTCCCATAGGACGTACTGCTCAACTTGCAGGTGAAATTGGTTCCAATTTCGCTCGTCGTTCCTCTGTCTCATTTCAAGCCTTCAAAGCACCCCCTCTCTCTGCTTCACCTGCTCTCGTCGACACACCCCTAGGCGCATCTCCTCGTACCACGTCTGCCCGTCTATCTACAGGAACATCTGCCGACTCGAAGTTTATGCCTCCTCCTTCAGTTGCGGCTGCTGCTCGTCGACCTGCTGTTCTTGCATCCGAACACGCCATACCTTCCTCAACTTCCGCATCACCCAAACCTGCTCCTCTATCACGCTATAGTAGTTCTTTCAGCCACCGACGAGGACGGCCGTCTTCAGGAGGTACCGCCAGGATGGAAGACGACAACTCGAGTGGGAAAGCCAGTGCCGCATCATCCAACGCCCAACCTGGCTCTGGCCTTCTTGCAGAAGCCACTGGTACAAGCGCAGAGTCGATGCACGCAGACGATGAAAATATCTCCGATTTCTTGAAGATGCTCGACACTAGCAAGGACTTGATGAATCGTTCCACTGGCACTCCCTCTCTTGAGCAAAGTGCTCGCAACGCCACTGCTCCTGGAGCTGCCTTGGCTCGCTTCCGAGGCATGCGTGAGTCCCATGCTGCTCTCTCGGACTCTATGACATCCTCTATGCATATACACCGCTCTTCTACCCCCTCCAGCAAGCAGCTGTCGGGTGTCCCACCTATGGTTGCTGGCACCTCTATCTCTACGGCCTCTTCACCTGGAAAGCCAATTTCACCGCACACGCCGCATACGCCAGCCATCCGTTCCCGCCTGAGCTCCAACAGCGTTGCTGATGATATCGTCACGGAACGTGAACGCCGCCGGCATGCGAACATCGGGCACGATTCGACGCTCGATGAGCATCCCAGCCTCGAAACCACCCAGCACGCTTCTGCTGTTGCTGCCATCGACATACCAACTTCTCCGCGGGTCTTCGATCCCAGTTACCGCCGCTCAAGCTCTGCCGCCCAGCACAGGCGGCAGACGGTTAGCGATGACGACGAGATTTTCCCCTTTGGTATGCGCAGTATGAGCGTGGGGCCACCGCTTCCTCTGCCCATCGAGACGCAGCAGGAGACTGGGTTTGCCCCCGAAAACCAGTCTGGGCAACAGTCACCCTCCGTGGATGCTCCTACTACCGCCACAAGCAGCACCGGTCCCTACCGCGATGCTACCTCGACTCGAGGAGCTGGCCCGGTAGCAACGTCTACGTCGTTTACTGCGAACGTCTACCAGCCCCGATTCGCTAGCTCGCGCGGCCGCGGTTTCTCAGGCGGCCCTCAATCCCTCAGTTCTGCGTCCAGCAGTCTCGCCCGGGGTGCCACGATCCCGCCCCATCTCGTGGAGCGCGATGCTGACCGCGACGGCAATGCTAGCGGCAACGCCAGTGGCAGCAACAGCGGAAACTCCACTCTGGAGATTCGGCGCGGATCGGGCCACCGGCTCAGCACCAGTCGCGCCCCGCCGTCTCAGGTGGAAGATGACGAGCCCCTGCTGTTCGCCATGAGTGATTTCGGTGCATCCCGGCGGAGCTTGGAGGAGAACAGAGGCAACCACGGTGGCAGTGACTCTGCTGGTGCTTCACGACGTGGCAGCAGTCGCCGCGGAGCTGGGCTCCCTGGCTTCCACGCCTGGTCTTGAGTGACCCTTCGATGTTTTCCCATTTTCCCATTTTCCTGGCGCAATTTCAAATACCCATTTCTCTTTCTTTCTTTCTCTTTCATCTTAGCTTGGTCTCACTTTATGATTTTTTTCCCTTTTCAAAAGGCTCTCTTTCTTCATGGTTGGTTGCTGCTCCCATAGACTGAATAATCGATTTGGTTCGACCTTTGTGCATAGAATGGGGTTGATCTTGTCATTTGGTCTAATTTCTGTTTCGTGTTTCAAGCTACTTTCTATGCAATCGTGCATGATTGATCCGAATTGATGCTTTCCTGCGCACTATTCCTTGCTGCGCATACCGTTGACTTTAGGCATCTTGCCTGTCATGGGATGTCCTTGCGATTGTTGGATCGTGTGATCTTCTTTTTCCTTGCGCTATTTGGGATAAGACGTGGAGTTCAACTAGTTCGGATCGTAGAGAAGAATTAATACTACGTTTTCCAATTTTCAATTGCTTATAAAGATCGTACGTGGGATGGCTAGGTGAAATTCAAAGACTTTTATCCAATTCCGGTTCAAGGTATCTAACAATTAAGGGCTCTATGCTGAAAACAATCCTGTCATGCAACGTGTCCATACTGAATATACATCCACCCGGCGGTCGGGCAAGTATGAAGGTAATCTTCCAAAATTCACCTAGATTCAAGTTTGATAATGCAGGTGCCGAGCCCGGCCACAGGGTGGGCGAAAGACTGCGCATGACATCTTAATGGAAGGGCGCAGGAACGCGAAGCGTCTGGTCTGGCTCGCACATGCGACGAACCAACAGAGTTTCACTCGACTGGGCAAAGGTGGTTCAAGTGACATGGCCTATGATGAGGCCTGAGAGGAGCTTGGACCTCACATCCTGCGGAATGTGTTGCCGGAAGCGCTACGGCGCTCCTTGGACTTGAAGTCGGTCTTGTCATAGCGAACCTCGGGCTCGCTGCGCTTTGACTTTCCGGCGGGCATGAAGCTAACCTCTCTCTCGCCAACGGGGCCACTCTGTCTTGAAGTCCTCTGCTTCGTCTTCATGTTCTGGGCGCGCGAGCCGAATGAACGATCGCGGGCGGAGTTGGTGCGTGTCGAGGAAGAGACCTGCATGCGAGGTGGGGCTCGTTTCGTACGCTTGTAGTCGGAGGAAGAGATCTTGTTCGAGGCCTTCTCTCTCACGGGTCTCGGGGCCTGGGGTTCGTTGTCCGATCCCGAATCATCGTCGCTGGATCCAGGAACATCGTCCACGGCCTCTTGCTCAACGGCTGTCAAACCACGCTCCTTCCTTGAGGAAGACTCGGGCACAGTGCTGGGGTTGAGAAGCTGGAATTCGAAGGACTTCTCGTCGACGGCGTAGTCCTGGTCCTCGAACAGTGCCTTGAAACGGCTGTCACCCAGAACGCCCTTCTCCTTAGGCTCGGTAACGGCAGGGGCCTCGACCATCTCCTCGTCACCACCACGCTCCAGAACACGCTTGGCTCTGCGGCGCTCATTCTTCTCCTCGGCGTTCATCAACTTCTCGGCCAGCCTCTTGTTGACCTTGACGGCGGCCTTCTTCTTGCCACGGATGCGGCTCTCACGTTCCTTGTCAATCTTCTCCTTAACACGCTTGGCACGCTCCTCTTCCCAGATGTACGGGTTGGTAATCAATCTAGCCTCCTCGTACAAGCGCTGCGCAACGAAGTAACCATGCATATATGGTCGCAAGAGGTTGGTGCGGCCAATAAGGTGCTCCAGGTTCAAGGTGCGGAGCTGAGGAATAGTCAAGAACTTGTAGTTGTCGTAAACAGCACCAGCCTGAGCGCTGGTGAATGCATTCGGGTCGTTGGGATCCTCGGCCATTTCCTCCACCAGATTGTCCAAGAACGAGCACCACTTTGGCGCAGGTCCAAGTTGAGGGATAAAGAACGAGTGCTGCTGGCGGCCTTCGTTGGCGGTCAGGAGCATTCCACTATCCTTGCACCAGGCGACCGAGTTGATATCGACGGCAGGTTCGACAGATGTCCATGGGCTACCGTCGCGAGGATCCCAGAGCTTGATGATACGCTTATCAGCAGACATGATCTTAGGATCCATGGTCGCTTCGCGTGTCGCGGACGAAGGCTGCAGGAACTTGAGGGTGTGGATGGGGAAACCGTATCCCTGATCCTTCTTCAGAAGAGGAACTGGAGACCGGAGATCGTAGAGATGGATCAGGCCGTTCGACGAGCCGGTACCAAGTGTCAAACCAGAACGATTGAACTCCAACGCAGTGATTTCGTTTCGCCTCTCGTCCGGTCCGGCTTGTGTAGGTGGGAGCAAGACGCCCGCTCGGCCCTTGGCTCTGGGATCCCACAGCTCCACCGTACCGGCCGAGGTACCGAATGCCAACAAATTATGACTCTCCTCCGCGATAGCACCCGTGTTGACCGAGCCGGTGTGAATACCGCCTTGCAGAGTGCCGCCTCCCGCAGATGTAAAATCGTCACCACCAACATCCACCTCGAAGCTGCGCATATACCTTCCAAGCTCGAGATTCAATCTGAATACTTCTCCCATGCCATCCTGGTTGACACCGACTGAGGGGACCAGCGCCTCGGTCGACTGGCGGTCATACACCAGGTCACGGCCGTATCGCGGCAGCCGAGTGGTGTAATGGCATCCTTGCGGAGTGTGGAACTCGAGGGAGCGGTCGGACTGGAGGTGAAGAGACTTGGAGTAATCGGATGAGAGAAGGAGGAAGGTGGTGTTAAGGGCGACAGTATGGCGGGCCCAAGACAGAGAAAGTTGTGGAAGGTAGTGGGTGTGAATTTGCGGCTTGTATGTTCCTAGTAGCCACCAGGTTAGTTGCGCATCGACAGCAACATGATCAGGGAATCCCACCTGTACTCATAACCCATTCGCCATCCTCACTGGCTCGAACACATTGACTGGCTTCCTCAAACTCAAAGTCCTGCAGCAACTCGACGCGATTTGCATACTCAGGATCGTCTTTCAAGCTGCGCTTCCTCCGTCTGGCAAGCCATTCGGGTAATGGGCGGGCAGTGTTAGAGCCCGATATGGTGTAAACGGGCACCTCAGACTGGTTGGACAGCTTCATGGTGCCGGTTGTGTATGCAAGTCGAGAAGCTGCGATAACGAAAGAAAAAAAAAAAAGATAGAGACGATAGGGACCACGTGACAGGCCCGGTGCGGATCCCGGTGATTGGCCCGAGCGTCCCTCGAACTTCCCCCGGACTCGCGATTTGCTCACTTGTTTGGCTTCCCATTGCAATGCTTACATTCTGTGCTTCGATGACTCGTGGCTGATGGGTCTGTGCTTGCCGTGCGCGTGTGGTCATGTGGAATCATCCTCCTGGAAATGACTCCCCGAATCAGCTTCGTCAACCCTCTATTTGTGATTGCTCCCGGGCCTGTCCGTAACTGGTAAAACATGGACTTTCCCGGAGGTGCCCCGACTAACGTACATCTGGTTGTAAGTACGCGCGTATACGATCCGGGACGCGAACTGATCAATCATCCTAGGATGGCTTCTCCACGATCTACTGGAGAATCTACACCGAAGAGCCCAGCATTACCAACCCAGCGGTAGAGGGCCCAGCCAATGGCTACACGATCTTGAGGCATCTTGGTCGTTTGAAAAACTTGGAAGCCCGGTTGCGCAGTCTGAACTGTTTAGCGTCATGCCCAAGGCGCCTCGGGCTATGGGTGTTTTCCTCAACCCCGAACTTCGAAAGTTTGAGATCTCTGTACGTGAAGGAAGGGGACTCAGCAACGACGAAGATACTCGTTGATACGACAAGCCTCAGAGGTATGTATAAAATTCGTGGAAACTGATATTGCCCGTTTTCTTTGCTAATCCCTGGCGTAGTCTCCGCGTCTGGCAACATCACATCCCAGAACTTGATAAGAGGTCTTTCATCAGAGTCTCAGGATCATAGCGGGCCTCAATCTTCCGGATCACAGAGACCACAACAAGGCCAACCATCTTCTCGACGGCCTGACGGCTATAGTGGCTCGGCGGCGATATATGCGTCCCTTATATCGGCTGTCACTGGGGCGGTCAGCATTCATCTAGTCCGACGCTATGGTGCACTCCCCCTTGGGTCTCGTACACTATTCACTCCTGTGGAGCAGCTCGGCTATGAGAGCCCTCGAATTGAAAGCGAAAGCGTGCTTTCAAAGTCCTATTTGACAACTCTGAATGTTCAATTAAATGCGTCTGGGACTTTCACAATCGCTCCGCAAACGATATCTCAGGAGGGGATCGCCCGATTATGCAGCCCACTTGATGATATTTCAGATGTTCTAAGAGTGCAGCCAGGGTCTGATCTCTGGCTGTGTCCCAATGGGGCCGTTGCGAGACTTGTCACGGCGAATCTTGAATCTCCAACGGTTCCATCGCCAGGGTACTCGAATCCCGAGGATACGGCGACAAAACGACGACAGTGGAAGCTGGATGTTGTTCAGTGGCTAACAAACTTTGGATTACGTATCGAGTCCGTCGATGAGGAACCTTGGGTCGAAGTTGAGGTTTGGGAGCCCTTCTTTGCAAGGCTGGCTGGGGAAGCATGGCGTCAAAATGAGGAATCCCAATCTCCGCTTCCTCTCAAGCGCATGCTTTGGCCCGCGAGGTTTTGCTTCCGAAGATGCGGTCAACCGATCCAATCTTCTTTGCTTCGGGATTCCCTGGATGACCCTCTCGAATTTGTTGGACAGTGGTCTTCAGAAGCCGGCTCTCTCAATCTCAATCATCACACTCAAACCATACCCATACTAGAGGAGCCTCAAAGTAAAGACCATGAAATGTCATCACCTAGAGTTGACAATGGGGAAATCTTTGAAAGCCTCTCCCGAATGGCCCAATATCCCGACTTGCAAGCCACAAATCTCGTCTATCCAACCCCACCTGACGGCGCTGCTGCGATGGGAATGAACCACACGAACCCCTCCGATGCTTTCCCCGATGATGTCGACTTTTTATCGCCAGCTGCGCCTCACGATAAGAACACTTCTAATGCCGAATCCACATCCAATGCCCCTATTGGCACTGGTAAATATGATGCAAGCGATGACGATGATCTTTTTGGGGAGATGAATGAGAAAGATTTTGGATCCAAAGGAATAACGGACGCCGATTTCAGCTTTTTTGATGACCCAGATCTCGAGGGTATGGGTGGTGAGGCTACTATGGGTTCGCTGGAGGAAACTCCCCCGGAACCCTTAGAATCAACCGGTCCTGGAGAGGAGGAAGTGGATGGCAATGCAGAACCAACCACGGATCTGCTAAAAAAAGTCGACCCTGTCCAACACCCCGAAGAGGAACATGCTCCCGAAGCGGTGCAAAACAACGAATCCGAGCCCGTGGATGTACCAATGACATCTGCTGGATCGGGCCCTTCCTCGCCAGCCCCCAAAAGCCAACCCATCAGTCCACCATTGAGTCCAGTGGAGATCAAGAAAATTCTATTCTCTGGATCTCGGACAAACTCCATGGAGCAGCCCAAGGAGCCCCATCTTCCTCAGGGACACTATCACCCCATTGCATTCGAAAAGAAGATCGGAGATTGGGATCGGAAGTATGGGTCAGCTGGCAAGTTTTGGTTCTCTACTAGTGCCAAACCAGACAACTCGGACCAAAATCCCAACACCATCCCCACCGTTGGTATTCCTCATCGCGGTCGACTTTCAGTGAGCCACACAAAGTCAAACGGTACCAATGCGTCGCCATTGGCCCTGGAGGACCGTTCGCGATCCTCATCGGCCTCGAGCAGTGACAGTAGCGAATACAGCAATGAGCTGCCACAACATGCCCCGACCCCACTGGCTCTTCCAACCTTGAAGAGGAAACGCGTTCTCTCCGACTCTGATATCCAATCAGCTGCATCGCCTGCCAAATCATCAGGTGTGCCCGAAGGGAACTTAGGATCTAAAGCTGAAAATTCAACATTTCTGGGGAACTTTCTTGCGAACTTCTCCGACTGGAGTCTAACTGGTTATTTCTCTGCGTTGCAAATCCAGCAACTACCCGTTCTTCTTCGTCGCGAAGATCAAATGCCAATTGCGCAACTCTTGGTTGATCAAATCACACAATCATCTCTGGACCATTTGCTGGGTGGAAATGTCGGTCTGTTTGGTCTTGAAAGTGACATTCTGGGCTTGCGAATGTGTTTGGAAGATACAAGCTTTCTGGGTGATATGAGCAAACTAGATCTCAAAGGATACGCATCTCTGCATGATGAACTGGTTGCGGATTCGACGCAGCAGTCGTCCAAGGACTTGGGACGAAGCCCCATCTCAAAGGTTGCAGCTCCACATCTTCGAGTTCGCCGGGGGAAAGAATATCTGGAGGCCCTTCCGCCCGCTATTTCCTTTTGGGAGACGTTCGGTCTTGAGCCTGCCCGTGGACCGAAAGATATCTCGGCTTACTGCATTCATCCCGATACTGCAGCAAAGGCTGCCGATTCTTTCTTAAGTCGTTTCGGTCTTACATATCAGAGTTGTAACTTCGGTAGCCATGCCAGAGGCGACAAATCAATGGCATTCGAGGAAGGACTAAGGGCGTGGGGCACCGAATCCAGCTACGCGTCTATGATGCAGGCTTTGAAAAGGCTATGTGAAGAATTAGGTATGTTTTTTCTGTCGTATGTTTGTATGGCATCATCTTACCCATATTCAGGAGCCGATTTGTCACAGTCTTCGCCCAGCACAGAGAATTGTGTCGTTTATATCGTTAATCCATTCCCCCACGCCGCAGCTTTAGCGGACATTTGCGTGGCTTTTTGGTACCTATTCCAACAATTGGTGGCCAATGCCGACCTCCGAGAGTCCCGGCAGGTCAACGACGTTACTTTGCAAATCATCCCAATGGATTTCATGACGTCAAGCGAGTCAATGGTTGTTCCGACTCAAACAGATTACTTGAATCTTGCTCTTGAGGTGTACGGCCGATGCCGACCAAAAGAAGCTGACTTGAGCCCTGTGCTCTGTGCGCCCGCAATACTCCTCACCGACCCGCTTCCGAAGGCTCTCCACTTCCGGCTTGCATCTGAGAAGGGATCACCATTGCAAGATGGTCGCAGCCTCCATGTCGCGTGCTCTAAAAGCGCGGACCAACGCTGGATGTCGGTGGCATGGTCTGATGGAACTGGATCTATTCAAACAACCATGTCCTATTGCCTCCGGTATCGAAGCAAAGGTGCCGCCAGGACAGTTGCTGAAGTACGCAATGAAATCTGGGCAACGACAAAACACATCATGGACAAATTCCAGGCCCGGTGGAAGGTTGTGCTGGTGAACACCGAACCAATGGACCAAGATGATGTTGATGGTAAGTTTTCGAGACTGCTCGAATTTCTAAATTACATGTCTAACTTTCCATAGGATGGAGCACTTTGGCCGAGCACCTAAACAAGATGCGACCAGGGTCATTGGAGTTGGTCATCATCACTGTCAACACCACCCCGGACCTGATTCTCGAAGCACCCACTACGTCCATGACAACAGCCGTCCTTAATTCTCATTTCTCATCTACCCCCGTCTCAACCCCCAACCCAAGTGTCAGCATTGCCTCTCCCGAGCAATCTGGCAACGCGCCAACTCCCAGCGCCATCTACAACGCTCCCACTCCAACCGAACCCTCCCTCGAACCCGACTCAGATGTCGTCCTCGCCGACATCAGCGACGAGTCATGGGCGGTTATCCTCTCGCATCGCTTGAACAGCTCTCCACACGTTACCGAATTCCGCCCCGCGCTGGCAAGCGGGCACCTCCTTCGCCGCAAAGGCACTACAGACGGCGACGGGGTCTTTGCCATGACCGTCAACCTCATTTACTCCCAGCGGCCATCTTCATCTCATGAGAATACTCTGAAGGAAACTCTGTGCATGTACCGCGATCTATCATCCCTTGCGCGAGCGAGGGGAATGCGCGGCGTGCAAAACAACACGCTACCTTGGCATATTGCAACGGCTTTAAGAGCTCAGGAACTTTTGAGCTATGTTTTCTGAGGGTGTAGCGAATCTTCTCTGGTTTATATCAAGGCGTTTTGTGTTGTTTTGAACAAGGCTCATGCTGGGTTTGGTGCATTGTATGTGTTATTCGGGCGAGTGGGCGATACCACCGGCGGCATGGATTTGGTTTTTCGTGGAAGCGAGTGGCATATATCTTTGCATTTTCAGCCCTGTTCAACTGATTATTGCTACCCGTGGACGCTTATCAACAAGCATTATTATTTCTCTTGCCATAATTTTTCGATTTGATTTGATATATTTGAACTTATTATACGCCTGGCCCACGGCTCTCGAGTTGAACCGTTGAACCTTCGAAGCATTTGAGCTCTCGATCTCTCGAGATCGTTATATATCCGCTTACATAGGCAATGCCGTCCGCCGTTATTTTTTTTGGAAATTTTCATTTCTTTTTACGAATAAACCTCCAAATTACGAAGTTCCGGAGAGTTTGTGCCAACCAGTAAGTAGAAATGCCCATCCGAATGAGCATGCAAATTGAATTCATCGCATCAATCATATATCATATGTTATAAGCAGGCCATGTCCATCAGAAAATCATCGTCGAAAAGTACAGCCGAGAAAGAATAATAATGTTCAACCAACTCCATCTCAAGGTCCAAAAAAATATGTAGCAAACATGCTCAAAGTTGTACAAAAAAAGCGCGGGGTCTCGGCATCAAGGCAATCGTATCGGGCTCATCAAGGTAGCAGAACATGCTAAAGGGTATCGTGTTTCTTTTTCTCGTCGGTTTCTCAAGAATATGTAGTAGGTGTAGTCGCATAGCACGGTAACGAGGATGGCAGCAAAGTCGCTGGTCAACGTAGGTCACCCTCCGTCGGCGCTCTCTTCATCGATTTCCTTCTTCTTTGAGAAGAATGAAACGTGGTTCTGGACAGCGTAGATGGCAAATCCTACAATTGCGAGGATGATGAAGAGCACGATGATGATGATCGCGATGGTAATGTTGCGTTGGACCATCTTGGTGGAGGGGCCCCCGTTGGGTCTTGGTGGCTGGGTAGGGTTTGACGATCAGCTCGTGGTAAGAATGGGAGCTAGAGGTATAGAGGCGATCGACGTCTTTGGATGAATGGTGCAGGTCGTGATTCCGTGAGGTAGGAATGAAGAAAACTTGAAAAGAAGTCCGAGCGACGGCGGTAAGGCCTGGCCTGGTGTTGCGTTGGCACTGGGGGCTCGATCGTATACTCCGCAAGTATACAGCGCAGTATGCTCAGCGCAATTCACTTCGGCTCGACTTCGCTTTTCTTGTGATTTTTAAAAAATCAAACCAAGAACTGCACCACTTGGAATGCGGACGGGGGATTTTAAACAAACCGCGTCCGTCCCAGCCATGTGCTTTTTGCGATCGGTGGCTGGGGATGCAAGTTGGCGGGCGCTAACCCCATTCGCAGCTCGACTTCCATTCCAGACACTGGTACCGACCAATAGATCTGTCATTATGATCAGGCAGATGCGTAGAAATTATCTATGGATCAACTTGAAACAATAGCGATAGGAATCATATTCAAGGTCGAGGGGATCATCTGATCAATGAACCTGCCCAGGTGTATTCATAAGATCAAGATCACCATATAGGGGTAGCAGGAGTTTAAAAGATGCTATGGGCCTTTTATTGGCATTTGTTCTCTCGATTGCCCCTTTTCTCCGATAAATGAAAGTATTAATAGCGTGACTGGGGTTGACGTTGACGTTGCTGAAACTTGTGAGGGAAGGCTGGCAACGCGGCCTGATGTCTCAGGTGTCGATAGTAAGTAGTTCTGCCGCGTGTGACTACAGGTCAGTGCACCTAGGGTCGGAGGTCGCTGCACCTAGGCACGTGACGGTATGCAAACACCTACAAACAAAATTTCACTTTCTGTTGCAAAGCTTTTCGCCTTACATTACCTTACATTCTCTATCCACTAATTTTTTCTTCAATTTACCATACCTTACCCTTTACATTATTTCACTATACAATGTGATTCCGAGAGACAACTAAGATAATAGACTAGTTATTAACTAGTTCTCTACCACTCTTTAAAAGCTCTAGCTCTACTTTCAGTTTCTGATTTTCTAATTCCAACTTTTCCCTCCTTAATCGCCGTTCCTCTATATCATCCTCTATCTCTTGGTGCCTTCGCTTAAGCTCAAGGCTTTTAAGCTCAGTATATTGATCGTCATTAGACGCATTTACCGTAGTAGTGCGACGGGGATTGAATCCGCTTAGCTCAGGACTTGCGGGGATTCTATAAATTAGTTAGCAACTAGTAGGTAACTAGTTAAGGGCACGTACTGAGAACGACTTTGAGAGCGATTTAGCGTAGATACTCTAGATCTTAACCCTCTCGGTGTCTTTGACCTATACCGACTAACGATAAAACCTGAAGAGGAGGCCTCCTAGAGAATCTGATCGTCGATATTATCTTAGTCCTTTTGCGCTTTATCTCGATCGTTCTACTCTTTTTCCGCTTTTAGTCTTTTCCGCTCTTCGCGCTATATACTATTACTGAAACGAGTCTCTATATTATTAGCGTGATAGCTATGATGGATACTAAATCTCTCTCGAATAGAGAATTAATCGATGTCTCGCTAATCAAGGAATCGTGACCTTATAACTAGTTAGAGGCTAGTTTCTAACTAGTTATATTGAACTTACTTTATTACTGTACCTAAAAGAGTGTTGTAAACCCTAAGAAAGTACGATTTCTAATAGCTTTGCTTAATAGTATTCGTATAAGGCCGAAATCTCTAAAAGAATTTAGGGTTTATACCTAAGTAAGCCTAACATAAACTAGTAGTAATTACTAGATATCTCTTATACTAAACCTAGCCTCGTAGGTTTAGGTCGTGGTCTAGATAACTAGTTAGTAACTAGTTAAATACTAGTTAATATTTTTACTTACCTATAATCAAGTTAAGTAACGTATAATAATCGCTTAAGGATTAACAGGAAAGTAGATTAGTTAAGCGTTAGCGGGCATCAATATAAGAGCTATCTAGCTTATTAGGGTATATCTTAACTACCGTTCGTATAAAATAGATAGTACAGAATATTATAATATAAGTTAGCTACTAGTTTCGAGGACGTCTATAGGGGTCTTAGTCTTAGAGGAAATCTCCTAAACCTTAATTAGTTATAACTAGTTAGAGAGTAATTTATAACTAGTTAGAATAATAACTCACTATATATCTAATTTAGATATATATCACTAACTATAGCCTTAATACCTTCACTATAAATAGAAAAGAACTTAATAAGTCTCTAAATAGCCTAGGACACTAGTTTAAACACTCGTTGAAAGATAAACTTATATACTATAGGGTTTTCCTAGTCCGTAAAGACACAGAATAGTGTCATAACTAGAGAACTAGTTAATAAGTAATTAAAGACTAGTTAAATAGACCTTTATATACTCTTTCTATAGTCTAGTAGCATCGTAGCAAAAATGACCTTATTTATTACCCCTTTCACCTATTTATAAGATATATTAACTTTAATAGCGTCAAGAGATATAAGAAATACTATCTATACATAGAATGCATAAAAGATATATATCCTATAGATAGTGTAGTAGGTTTCGCGGACGTATTGCTAAGTAGAACTAGTTAGAAACTAGTTTCAATCTAGTAGTAAATTAGTTAATACTATACCTTTAATGCTAGATTAACTCGAACTTAATAACGGACACTAGCTAGATTTTTTCCTAATAGGTAGTATAACGCTCGCTATTTCTAAATTATAGCTATAATTTTATCACTCTTAGCGAAGCTAGAGTAAATCTAAGATAGCGTAAGATATTGCTTTTTCTCGTAGAATTCGCGGAGCGTAGGACTTCGAAGAAATATACCTTAAAATTTAGTTAATAACTAGTTATTAACTAGTTATATTTTATTATACTCACTTAGTGTTAGGTCTAGATTTATATTCCTATAAATAATATTAAGAACTTCGCTTATAATTAACTATAGAGCTTTCGTAGGTAGTGGCGGTGGATGATTATAGACCCTATGTAAGTAGAAGATAGTATATAGGTAAGACCTTATATTATATAGGATAAAGGTATAGAAAACGACGTCGTACGTACTATAATCTTAGATAGAGCCTTAGCCCTAAGGATAGATTATTCCTATTACTAGTTAGAAACTAGCTATATAGTAGTTGATAACTAGTTCTTGCTATATCTTATCCTTCGAGAGTTCTATAGCTTGATAACACCGTATATTTTCGAGCTTGCTTTAAAGGTGGTACTTAAGAGACTCTTAAGAAGCGGTATATCTATCGAGTTCTCTTTCGTAAGTAGAGACTAATAGAAATGCTTTTTATAATTCTCCTAGGTTGCGTTGAAATACCTAATATAATAGCTAGTAACACCACTAATATTCTAGTAACTAGTTAATAAATAGTTTAGCACTAGTATTCGTAAAATAAGCGAGCTTACCTACTTATCGTACGTACTAAAGGTAGGCCGATAACTTTTAGTTTGCGCTTTATAAGCTCTCTCTATAGTAAACTTTCTCTAGATCGTATAGTATAGACTAGTAAAGTATTAGTGATATCGATTATAGCGTAGAACTAGTCTTTAACTAGTTCTTAATTAGTTTACCTACGCTATACTTACGCGCTAAAGTAGCCCAAAATCCTTAGTGTACTCTATCCATCGCCTAGCTTAAGCGATCTTAGTGAAAAGCGCCTTATCCGCGTAAAGATAACCTATTCTAGCAAGCTCTAGATTAAGGAACTCGCAGCGCTTAATACTAGAGCATATATATCGTTTTTTCTCTATTGGGTAGCTAAGATACATATTAAAAATGTTTGATGTTACACCTTTGCTTTTAAACGAGTACTGGATCTATACTAACTATCTAGTTAGTAACTAGTTAATAACTAGTTTAAAGGCGACCCCTACCGATTTAAGTGTGTCTTTCGCCTAGTGGGGCTTAATATTTTCGAGGTTCACCACGTATGCGTACCTAGCGTTATGCGTTTGTGGATACTTAGGTAGCAAGGCCATATACTTAATAAATGCTGCTGATATAGTATGTGTTGATCGATCTGTTAAGGGCATTGGAAGAGGGTCAGGGTGCTAGAGAAATAGTTAGAAACTAGTTAGTGAAGAGTTGTATGTTGTCAATACAGATATATATTTACGTCGTTTGGGTCTGGAATCGATGCGTGACGATCTTGGAGATCACCCTGCTCCCCGAATTCAAAGGCGTCGTCGGTCGGTTCAGGTGTAGGGTCAAAACGTATAAGATCATGGATCATCCGATGCTCATAGTCCTTCCAGATAGGTTGATTACTATTCGCCATAGTGATAGTAGTGATAGTGAGGAATAGAAAACAAGCCAAAACAAATACAGTATGTAGGTAAAATACCTTGTTACCATGGCATACAATGATTAGTAAGTAGGAATGCGAGATGGGTGCAGTGAGCTCAGAAAAGAAAAGTGGGGCTAGGTGCAGCGACCTCCGACCCTAGGTGTAGTGACCTGTAATCTGCTGCCGCGTCGGGCAGCAGCCATCAACACTTTAGTTAGCTACTCGGTAATTCGGACAGGCTTAGTCTTTATTTCTCTCGATAGCTATCTCCAACGTTATCCAATACTCTATATTTAAGTCAGCAGATATCTTTCAGATTAAGACATGCCAATCGATCTCAATCAGTCCGGACAGTCCGTACTAACGGTATTCCACGATCGATCGGAATCTCTCGAACCCACTGTCCTGTAGGTGACCACGGCATTGATCTATAGCCCCACCGAAGCTGTGAATTAGAGATACACACTCGATTCAATCCAAGTCGTACGTATGGAGAATTTTCTTCAATTGGTACTCCACGACGCTGTCATGAAAATCCCACGTGGACTCATATCAGAAACTCCATGCGGAAGAACATAAACACAACCAGGGGCATACAGCTGCCGCTACTTCCTCCCCGCGTTTAAGGATCGCCGTACCCCTATTCTTCAGCCACGAGTGCCCCTCCGAAGCCTAGGGCAGCCCGGCCGACAGAGTTGGGTCTTGCAAGCAGTGGAACCCAGTCGATGAGGATCGACAAGGGAAATGACTCGACCCTTAAGGTCGGTATCGATATGCACCGGGTTTTAGTGGAGGTCATTGAGCCCAAGTGGTCATGGCGCCAGTCCATCTTATATACCGACTATATACGCCGAGGGTAATAAAACTCCGCTCGGCTGGTAGTTGAGCCGTCAGAGCACCGTGGGCCCAGCGGAATCTCGGCAATGGGATGTGGACGGGACAAAGCCCTACCGATCGACAGATTGTGCGACAGATAACGACAGCTCGGGGCAGTTTCTTTCTGAGTACGAGTTCATATGGCGCGGAAGTCTAGGGCACGGATCCGAAGCATCTCCTTCTCCATAGACTGCTCTTTACGTCATAAATGTTTCAGGCTGGTTGTTGAAACCGACGGGGAGGACTGCTGCACTCTATAACTTGCATGAGCACATGGCGGTTCCGATAGGGTTTCCTCTTATGCCGCTGACAGCCACAAATTCGGCGCTATTGACGCTATTGCCAGCCACCGAGTTGGGGGTTGCTGGGATGGAGATGATAAGACGCGCTAATCCGCAATGCCGGGAATACTCCAAATTTGAAATGAGCCGAAAAAAGAAAAAAAAGAAAAAAAAGGAGCCCGAGCTAAGGGCATTTTAGCCGCGTCCTAAGGGAAGCGGCGTTCGTTCGGCAACTCCTCGCGATTCCGATCTTCCACGCTAGTGCCTGCGTCCATGCCAATTGATCCCCGGTCTGGTCAATGCAGGGAGATGAAGTCACAATAATCAGTCATAAAGGCGGGTAAACAGAGAAAACATGGAACAGCGACTCCGAAGTTTGTCAGGGACAACGGCGCGCCTCCGGCACTTGAATTATGCTCGGCTTAGGGCGAGCTGGTTCCATGGATTCAACTGTCGTTTCAGACAGATGTCAATCCACTTCAACCAAGAGCTGTGCGCAGCACGAGCCGAGAATTATCTTCGATCTCCACCTGACTAGTTGACTGGACTTGTTCATTTCTTGAAATCTACTGGCGCAGTGCTGGCTCCGCACTGGAACGGGCCCGCGTGGAACATCGCACGATGATGCCCTCGAACGGGTGAGGCATGCATGGCCCCTCATGGTTTGCAGGCAAAAACAGGACCGTGAGCTCCACGCTCAGTCGAGCACCCCCTCCACGGCACAGGGGACTGGCTATGATAGGCACGCTCACGTTGGCCACCGGATCGTCGCGACGACGCACTCCACAAGTCCGTCTAACTCTGTCGGGAGTTATACTTGGCGAGGTTCGAACGGTGCTCTGATGCTGATGGGCTCACTGACCATGATTCCGAGCATTAGGTTAGTAATGATATCTCCTGAAATTCCAATAGTCCAGTTCTTGTTCCTAAGCTTATATCCTCTAGCCCCTCGGTGGCTGCTCGGCACTTTGCAAAGCGAGACCCATACTGTCCTTTCGACCGTTCCTGGGCGTCATCGCAAGCCACGGATTCCCCTCCTTTTCCTCTTTCTGTTTCTTCGAGAGGGGCGGCTCCACGATTCCATATTCTTCTCAGTGCCACACAATGGTGTATGAAAAGAAGGTGGCCCTGGCTCGATCTTAATTTTACCCTCCACCGGGACTTCCATTCTTTTATCTAGCCCGAAACTCCGGTGCTCTTTGGCTGCACAGACCGACAATTCTGTGTCCTGAATAATACACGCAACAATGACTACAGAATCGACCGCAAGAGGCCGCTCGGCTCTGGCCGTCAGCGCTGTCTTCACCACATTGGCAACGACGCTGGTTCTTATTCGCATCTATACGAGAGCAATTATGGTGAAGCAGATGGGAGCAGATGACTATGCCATTATAGCCTCCTTAGTAAGGGATCTATCTCCGAGGGTCTGTTGATGTACGGATAAGCTAACCATAGCACTAGATATTCTCATGGGTCTTCTTCGGGTTATTCGTCGGAGGTCAGTATAGTTCGTCCATTCATTGACGACGTGTGCTAATTCCCAACAGAAGTCTACCATGATATGGGTCAATACTTCAAACTCATCCCAGGCGCAATCTATAAGGCTCAGATGATAGTGAGTACCAAACACAGTCCCAATGGTCCCACCGAGAGGCGATTAACCTTCGGTTCTAGTGTTTCTGGGCCTCGGTTCCAATCTATCAGTGCAGCCTCTTCAGCACTAAGATCTCCATCCTCCTTCAATACCGACGAGTCTTCTCAACACCGCGCTTGCGTACAGCCTGCGCCATCCTTCTCGGATTCATTGTCGTCTACGGCACATGGTCGGTCGTTAGTGCCTGGGCAAACTGCGTCCCCCTCGCCAAATTTTGGGAGCCTTCAGTGCCGGGATTTTGTTTTGATAAGAAAGCCCTGTGGTTTTCGAACTCGGCCATTCACATTCTCACCGATCTCATGATTTTGATCTTCCCAATGCCCGTGCTCAAGTCTCTCCAACTGCCCAGGAGGCAGAAGCTAGCTCTGATGGGCGTCTTTGCTCTCGGTGGATTGTGAGTATACTCCATGACTTCCAACGGAACAACTACTAACGACCATAGCGTCGTGATAACCACGATCCTCCGCCTCCACAGTCTCCTAATTATCTCCAACTCCACTGATCCAACCTGTAAGCACTGGCTCACTGCTCAAAACTGACCCCATCTAACGATCAGCAGACGACAACGTCGGCGCCGCAGCCTGGTCCGCCGTCGAATGCAACGTCGCCATCATCTGCGCCTCCCTCCCCAGCACGCGCGCATTCCTCTCCCAACTCCTCCCCCACATCTTCTCCACCGCCAGCAATGGCTACCGCAGCAAAACAACACGACCCTCCCGAACTGGCCAGAGCGCTCTCACTGGCAACACCTTCCAAAACACTAATGTCCAGGCATCAGTAATTGGTGGCCGCAAGACTGTGCAAGATGGATACGACTTGGATGACCTGTCACCCGACGGGTCGATCCATAGCTATGAAAAGAAGCAGGATGCCAAAGAGCCTTTTGCTGGTATTAAGGTTACTACTCTTGTGACGCAGGAGTCGAACGTTACTCCTGTTGGGAATCAGAAGATGGAGAGTACCGATGAGCTTGTTTGAGAGCATTTGGTTTATATTGTTATGATTTGTATGCCGGTTGGTTATATTCTTTCTTTTATGGTTTTTGGCCGTCAAGGTCTTCCTTTTCCTTTTTCCTCGTCCTTTATGGATTGTCTTTCCTTCAACGGCTCTTTTCTTTACCTGTGTTAACATTTACCTGGGCGGGCTTTACGGAGGAGGCTTTTATTGTTTTATTTGTGACTGGCATGTACATTTTACCACCGGCAGCGAGCGCATTGTCGCAGCTGCTGGTCGCTCTATACCTATAATTTGAGGATACAAACCTTGCTTTAAATCCAATACAAAAATTAAGAATGAAAAAGATTGGACAGAATGTTCATACCTCGATATAAGATTTGAACAAACCTACGTCTAGGTTGTGTTTAGCACCGATTCACCTACCTACACAGGTCGACGGATATGCCCAAAGGTACAGTGGGAAATGTAGAATTTCTCTAGCAACATAAACACTAATGTAGGCAATGCAATGCAATTTGCATTTATATCTCAATTCGCTATGGAAATAACATACTCTACTCCCAAACGTTAGAGAAGAGGTCGTCAGCTCCACCAAACCCGCCAGCCGGCTTGGTTGAGCTAGTTGTAGTAGTTCCCGACGAAACGGGAGCAGCACTAGTCCAGCCGCCAAAGTCCTCATCGGCAGCCACAGTGGGAGTGGGCTTGGGCGGAGCGGCCGGAGCACCCCAACCACCTCCAATGTCATTGGGGGTCAGGGTATCAGGGACCTTCATCATGGACGCTGTGCTGGAGGGCGCAAGCGCAGGCGGTGCAGGAGAAGGGGCCGCGTCGGGAGTGTTCCATGCATTGCCACCCCAGGGATCCATGCTAGCTGACATGGCATTGGCGGCAGCGGTGGTCGCAGCCGGTACTTGGGGCTTGGGGGATGTGGCAGGCTTAGGCTGCAACGAAGGGCTGGAGAGGTTGAATGCAGAGCTCATTTCGTGCTGCGGAGAGGTCACGGTTGACTTCGGTGGTGACACAGGCGGAGGAGGCGGGGAAGAGAGACCGAAAAGGTCATTGGAGAGGGATGAAGAAGGAGGGTTGGGCTTCAGCTGAGGGGGAGGAGAGGCAAAACCGCCGAAACCGAAGTCCTGGCTTTGCGAGGATATGGAGGTGTTTCGTGACGGCTTCTGCGCAGACATTGTAGGAGAGGTCAGACTATCAAATAGGTCACCACTGGCCGAACCGGAAGGCGACGTGACCCTGGGAGCTGCCGGGGTCGACTTGGCACCACCGAAGTTGGTGAGGTTGGCAAACGGAGAAGGCTTCTCGGCCGGCTTGACCGGAGCTGGAGATGTGGTTGATGGGAAGGTTAGGCCACTGAACGCATCAGTCATGCTGCCTATGTTCGAGGACGCGGAGGGGGCAGTCGGAGAGGCCATATCTCCGAAGGAGTTGTCCCGCCTGTGCTGGACGGGGGCGGCCTGGGGCTGAGGCTTCGAGTACAAGGACAGAATTGATTGTTTCAGGTCTGGACGAGACATGCCAGTTGGTGCGGCGGGTGTAGATACGGTGCTTGACGGGCGGCTGCCGGTCGACGGCTGGGTGCTGCCAAAGAAATCGAGACCAAGCAAGGAATCACCCGGCTTCTGAGCCTTCGGCTGTGCGGGCTGTGATTGTCTTACGGGAGCGCGAGGATTCGGGTCGGTCGTGCTAGGGCGAGCAGGAGGAGCAATCGGGTCGTCACCGAACAGATCGAACGGGGCTTGTTGGCGTGCGGGTTGGCGTGCGGTTTGGGGAGGGGGTGCCATTGGTTGCGAAGAGGAACGTTCGATCTTTGCCTTCTCCTGTACAACCGCAAGAGGCTGGTAGGTCAGTGACTGCTATTCGATATCGTTGCGCATCGCAGTCGGTAGGACTCACAACATCATCGTCGCCATCATCCAGGGTCGAGGGGTCGGGCATGCCACCATCCATGACCCAGCGCTTGGTATCGTACTTGGTTCGAATAAAGTTTTCGATCTTACTATTGTCACGCGACATCAGTGAACTGCCATCTCGTATAGTCTGGTCGCAGTGGACTTACGCTTCCGAGGGGACGTGGCCGGGCGCCAGTTTCGCTTCCCAGTATCTGTAGGGCATCAGCACATGTCCGATGCCACCAATTGCGCAAGACTAACCTGTTGGCTCTCGCATTGCCCCATTTCAACACACTCTGGAGTTGTTCATCGGTCCATGTATCAAGATCAACCGACTTGACCCGACTAATGTGTGTGCCCATACCCCGATGGATGCCGGAGCAACGAATGCAAATGAAAATACCCAAGTTCCAAGATGCCCATCGCGGGTCTAAGCAAGAGCAATGTTAGTATTCAATGTGACCCAAAACCGTGGAGGCCCGCGGTGAGCGCCATCGGAGGGGGGACACTAACGCTTGTTGCGCTTGCAGTCGGCACATATCTTGTTGGTCTCAAGTTTCAGCAGACTCTTAATGGTCTGCTGGTTCTGAGCAGCCTGGCTCGGCGTAGCGCGTCGAGACATAATTGTGGCCGACTCGAGGGTGGTGAGAAAGGAGAAGAGAAACAATGGCAATCCCGCATGCGCAGGTGGCGGTCGGCCACGGCGGCCTAAGGCGGTATACGGTGAGTGGCACGTGCCAGTCACGCAGTTTCATGTAGGTTGGCCACAACTGATTTATTCGGCAAGCTGCAAGGGGGGATAGATACGCAGGATCAACATGACAAAGGGACTAGGCTGCCTGGCGTATGCAACGTGGTTGGTCCCTGACTACGCGCTTGGCCCCCGAGGTCCTTGTACACACATCCGCGCTAACCAGCTCCGTTTCTAGAACACTTTAAATATTGTTTAAATAACTACATCCAATCAAGCCTTTGATTTTTCAGCTGCCTTTCCAGCTCCCTGGTCCTCCGTAAAGCGCAGACTGACGCTGTTCACGCAGTGTCGCTCATCCGTCGGCGTCGAGTACCCTTCACCTTCGAAGACATGGCCGAGGTGACCTCCACAGTTGCTGCAGACGATCTCGGTCCTCTTCATGCCAAATGTGTTGTCCACATGTCTCGTCACGGCACCGGGAATCGAGTCAAAGTAGGCAGGCCAGCCGCAGCCGGACTTAAACTTGTGATCAGCCGTATAGAGCGGCGCGTCACATCCGGCGCAGTTGTACACGCCCTTTGTCGGATGGTGTTTATCGTACTCGCCGGTCCCAGCACGCTCGGTACCCTTCTCACGAAGGATGCGGAATTGCTCTATATTTAGCCAGGTAAGCAAGAGGCTCGGTCAAAGACATTAGGAACAGAAAGGACGGACCAGGATTCAGAACCGCCCTCCACTGATCATCACTACGCTGGTCAGGGTAAGACATGCTGCCGCTGGGCTCTTCGGGTTTGTTGGAGCTGAAGAATGCACCAAAAAATGGGATAGTTGGGGCTGCTCTCAACACCGTAGACCCGGGCGCAGAACGACTGTTCTTGGGAGCAAAGGTTGAATGGGAGCGAGGGAAGACGGTTGGCTGAACGAGGGCACGATGCCTAAGTGGTGCCTTCAAATTGCAAAGTATTTGAGATCGCATAGAGACAACTGTGGTACTGTTGCGTCAAGTGTTGTTGTGAAGGAGTGGGCGCGATTTGGGTCGAGGTGCTTTACGTCATCATGCGGGGAGTCTCTCTACGGCGATCTAGACTGCCGTATTTGGAGTAATCGAGATGATCTACTTTACCAGCTAAAATGGATTCTACTCAAATAGAGCGGCGAAAAAGAGATGAAATCGAGGCAATCGGATAACTGCCAGTGAAGGTTTTCCCTCACCAAGGAGGAAAGCTAGACACAACTCCACCTATGCTGGGTATCGTGCAAATCCTAAAAATAAAACCAAACAGATGTGCCCAGAAATGCTGCAAAACGGGGGGATTATCAAAGCCAATATGAAGGAAGTCGAAGACAAAAGTGAAACAGATCCGACTAGCGGGCACGGGCGACGCCGGTGACTAGCAGGAAACCTCTGTCGATCTCCACTCGCCAACCTTCTTGGATGAGCATCCTGCTAACTGCGGGTCCGAGCCGGGATGTGCCGTCATGGCTATGGTTGCCAACACCGGTGATGATCTTATAACCACCGTGAACGTGCTTCCCACCGCCACGAACATACTTCGCATCGCCCAGCCTGTCCCACCAGTCCGAGACCCGCTCACGGGCAATGCGAACTGCATTGGCAACTGTGATACCGTGAAGATCCAGGTCGTACTTGGTGGACTGGCTGTCCACAAGATGATCAGATGCACGCGATAGCTGTGCCTTTCCACGCAGAAAAGCCTCCTCGGCGGATTCTCGGTACACAGCCGTGGCGGCAGCATACAGATGATTTGACTTGGAACGACGATAGCTTTCGCGTGCTTGATTGTAAGCAGCCGACCCCGCTGCAAAAGAGGCATTTGCCGCTGCCTTTGCCTGCACATAATCAAAATCACCTGCCGCGTTCTCGCTGGCCCGGCTCCCAGAACCAGAGGCGCCAACGTCCTCATCGCTTAGGTCAAGAGGTGTTGCGGTGAATTTGATTATATTTGACACATCGGACAACGAAGGTCTCCGAGCCAGCACAGCTGCAAAGTCATTCGCGGCTGACGGCATGTTGCGTGTGGCTCTGAGAAGCCCGATGAGAGTGGTGGTTTGGAGATTAGGGAAAGCCCCAGCAAGCTCGGCAACTTGCGTCAGCATGACGGGATCCTCATCAATTTCGTGCACATCCTTCGGACAGTTGGCAAGGGCAATCGATCTAATAGTAGGAAACAAAGAGCCTCGGTTGGCGTGGTAAATTGATGATACCTTTTCCTTTGAAAGATCTGGGGTGCGCGAAGTTATGAACTCGATATCGGCCTTGCCAGATTCCCACTTGTTAGGAGCAGGGGCATCACCAGACGAACTGATGGCTTCATGACGGAGTTTCTGGTTTTTGCTGCGCTTTTTCTTGCGACCCTTATTATGACCAATATCGCCGTTGCCCTCCAGAAACCCCTCGATGCCTTTGGGTACATCGATTTTCATGTCACCATCCGCTACCTGCGCCTCATCAAAAAAGGCCAGGTTGAGCAGGACATCCATGCTCTTAGTGGGATCTCCGCCGCTCTTCTTCAAGCTTTGTTGAATATCAAGAAGGGAAATCGTAGGAAACATCTGTGCGAGTGCATCGACGGTATCTTCATGTGAGCCGCTTGAGAATTGCAAAGATCCATCCGTGCCCACTGTGTACGCAGCCTGTGATTTGCTCTGAGAAGAGGTCTTGCCATCGTTGTCACTGGGAACCAAGTTGGAAGTAAGATTGGTGGTATCTGTGGGAGGCGAGGAGCCAGTGTCGGGTTGCCCGCTTAGTGCAGCATCGTTGACATCGTTGTTGAAGGTTCCACTTGGGTCAAATAGCAGATCCTCTTGCTCTAGAGCTGATTCCTTGATTGAGTCAAGGATATGGCAAAGCTCCTTGGCAGCTGTCGGCTCTGTGAGGTCAAAATCCGAAGCCACAGCCGCGAACAACGCAGAGTCCACTGGGGGGCAGTAACGCGCTTCAAGCTCCTGTTTATGACCAATATGTTAGAATATTATAGTCCCAGTCATGTAAATACTAACGTGGCACGTACACTAAACAGGTTGTCACTGGAGTGTTCCATTGCCGCATGAGAAAGACGACTGAAAGAGATGGTGGAGTGTAAATAACATGCCAGGCCGCGCCAGGCTGTTCACCGCGGAAGCAAAAGCGCCCTCTTGAAACGCTGCAATCTTAAAGCACCAAGATTTACTCCATGATAACCACAGTGCGACCAGGTTCGTGTTGCGTGTCCGAGATGAGGGCATGAAGGATGACATAAACGCTAAGTCCCACGTTTCTTTTTCTGCCATCTTCACCGACCGCTTTCCTTCCTTCTCCACCCCCACATCCCGACCGCCCGCTGAATTGCCGGTCAACTCACACCGCCCTCACGGTGCACCCCGGGACACGACGAGCCTAGATTCCCGATTTGATACTGGTCAGTATGCCTCTGATGATAGGCTTGAGAGTAAGTATGTCATCAGTTGGCTCGGTAGATGAGAATGCTGCTGACCGTGTGTTTTAGTAAAACTCTCGTTGCAGCGGCGTTTGTATCTCAGGCCGTGTTGATTGACTCCAATTCCTGGGCTGCTTGCGAAATATGGCCAGGCAGGCTGCAGATACGGTGAATCAGAGACGCCCGTGCCCAAATATTGACTGTGTGATTTAGGCTAAATGTACGACATTAAGTTGACAGTGTTGAGCTCTGAAATTGCCATCCGAAGGCTTCCCAAGCTGCCGTCTTCTACCATTAGTTGTCTGATAAAGTGTGGGTAGTATCCGACTTGGAGAACACTCCTTGTGATGGATTGATGCATATAATTTAACCCGCTTGGGCATGAGTTTCAGCTGGGACCTTCATGGTCTTCAATTGTGTGCGCCAGCGACTCACCACGGACGGTGGCCGAAGCATTGTCAACAAGTGAGACTACTTTAACTCGCTGAAGATTTGCATTTACGTTTTCAAGACTCGTACGTCAATTCAAACCACTTGAGCAACGATACAGATAGGAAATCTCCTCAGCCAGCTCTATCCGAGGAGCTGGAGGCACCGGAGAACACAGATAACGCGTCAGGGGCCTTCCCGCAGCAACAACTCCGGCAGGGATGGGAAGTTCAACTCAGCCGATTGAAGCGTTTCAATTCCTCCCGTGCAGTATCCAATCATGATAGTTCCGACCCTCGGTGTACGTTGTGCGAGCAGAGAGCGAGGGAATTGAAATCTAATTTCAAGGCAGCCGTATTCTCGTCATCCGCAGAAATAGCCCGAGAAGGCAATCTGTAACTTAGCAACCACGTCCCGGATAAAGAAAGCTGGTGAGCTCAAAATGACATTCCCGTATTGTGTGAGCGACGACGTCAGGTTGTAAATATAATTGGGCTCGGCCCTTGGTCTTGTCCTACCTTTATCCATGACGGAGATCCGAGACCATGCGCAGGAAATCCAGCTGTTCCGATGTGCTAAAGCCCTTCAGATTCGTCATCTGACTCTCTATGTATTGAATAAACGGTGATGAAACAAATAATTTGCCTCGGGGGTGCTAATTTAGCTCCTCCTGCCTTTCCTGTCGTTTGAGGCTAACACAAGACTCATATGGTCTGCATGGTATATCGAGCCATCATGTACTTGAGTCGTATCATCTCCATCTATCTGAATACTTAGACTCCCGGCAAATAGAACTGAGTAGCCCTTCCCATCCCCAAATGAAATACAAGGTGATCAGTCCTCCTGCTAACCGGACTGCAGCGGTCATCCCAGTGGCGATAGCCCTAGACCAATGGCTACGACTATTTGACCATGAAGGTACAACAGCATCTTCTCACCAGTAATGCATACAGCTACTGAACAGGGACTTTGACGCGCGGCCAGGCGACATGGCGTAGTCTGTGTGGTACAAATTGGCTGGTGATTCAAGTTCGGGCTGAAGTTCTTTTTTTCGCGAGCTTTGGCATCCACTTTGCCTGCTTCCAAGATTTCTCACTACATTAAACTATAGATGCATCCCCGGGATTTGGGCGATATGGCCCTTGCTTGTGGCTTTCTGTACTCCGTTGATGCTGGACACATGAGACATGACGCATGGAGGAATCACGAGTACCCTAGCCTGAACAATTAACATTGGCATGACAGGCAGGTAGACCCTTGGGAGTTCGGAGCTGGTCTTCGGACCATATAACAAATATAAAATATTACCGTCTTTCCCAGATTCTCCTTCTTTCCACCCTCCCGACTTCCCTCCCTTATAATATCTACTTCCAGGTCCAAGAGAAATTCTTTCCATTCTCATCGAGGGATCGAATCAATCAATCAAGCACAATGCTTATTGCCACTGTTTCTTCCCTGGTCGCCTTAGCCGTTTCAGCTGCAGGTACGGCTTGAGACTTGACATCGACCGAGCGGATCTAACATTCGACCAGGTATCGTTATCACCTCGCCCAGGCAGGGTGAGAAGGTCGACTTCTCCAAGCCGGTAACCATTCACTGGCAGAGGGTTTCGTTAGTTCTATATCTGCTTTTTCACAAGGATGGGGAAGGTATTAATGAAAAACTTTAGGACCGACCCCTCTACCGTTGACATTGTTCTAGTCAATGAGAATGTTTACCCGCCAGTGACCGAGACCGTTGCCTCGGGAGTCGACGTGGACAAGGGCTCCTATACTATCAAAGCCCATGACCAGGATGTGTCTACCACAGACACCGGGTATGTCATCGACGACTCCAAAGTCGTAGGCATCCAGTTACTGACAGATACCAGTGGTGGCTATCAGGTCAACTTCCTCGCGCCATCAGGCGGTATCCTAGCTCAGTCACAGCAATTCAAAGTGACTGATCAGAAGGCTGAATTGGCCTCTAGCTCTGGTAAGAAAACCAGTACTGCTAGTGAAAGTTCTACTGCATCTGGGAGCATGCTTTCTTCCACTTTGGTGTCATCTACTGCCACTTCGACTTCTGCTTCTCATACTTCTTCCTCGACTGCTTCTTCTTTGCCGACTACTACTCACTCTTCCACCAGTGCGTCTTCCCATACCGCCTCTTATTCCTCTACTTCACATTCTACTTCCTCCCGCACTTCGTCTTCTATGACGATGTCTACCAGTGCGTCTTCCTCAACTCATTCATCCTCTACCCCAACTTCTGTTTCTACCAGTTCGTCCACCATTTCCAGTTCTTCCTCGAGTTTTGCCTCGAGAACTAGTACCATCCCTCCAAGCACCCACATGAGCACCACTCGTTCTTCTCTCACGCACTCAAAAACGCACACTTCTGTTTCAAAACCCCATTCTTCCATGTCTCGCTCTACCCGTGAGTAAATGGTGCCATCTTTGGCTACCAAGCTTTTTAATATTGCGATAACCACCGACCGCATGACTTTCTGGAAGCTAACCTGATCAACCCATGTAGGGTCATCGATGACTTCGTCCTCCACTAGCATGTCGACCAAGACTCACACTACGTCTACTACTACGACTACCAAGCACATGAAGAGCACTATGACTTCCTCTGCCACAGCAACTACAACCTCCAACGCTGCCGGAATTATCCTGCCCCCGAGCCAGGCCGGCAGTCTGCTTCTGGGTCTCGTTGCCCTAGTTCTGTAGGGCTTGGCCCATTGGATCAAAAATGTCGAGGTTATCCACAGTGAAGACTAAAATATACTGCACAAAGAATGCTGTAGTGTCTTTAAGACTTTTCTAACATAGTCTGCTGGGCGAAGGATATAGTTGATTCGGGGTTTACTTCTATTAATTTTTGTTTGATGACTCGGGACCTCTGTCATGTCCCTATTTGATGTGGAATGCAATAATGTGGTGCATGTTTAATCGAAATACTTACATTCCCACCAATCGGACTTAATCAACTGGGACCTCGGCACTTGGCTGCCCGGCTAAAGTTCTCCGCAATGAAATCATCCGCTATATACAGCCGTCTCCCCCAATCTCGAGACCCATCCCATCTCGAACATTTCTATTTTTTCTTCTCCCCAATACATACCACAAAGTAACTGCCCATCATGCCAATCCTCGACCTCTACCTCTTCACCCTCGCCAAATCAACAGACCCGCAATCCTTCATCCAGCAACTCAAACAAACACCCAACCTCAAAGTCATCGTCGCATCGCGCCCACGCCATGTTGTCATCCACCCAAACATCCTCGACAGCGAAACCCTCACCAAAAACCCCTGGGACCTCCTAGTCCTAATCCAAAACAACGACCCAGAAAAACAAAACCCGGTCCACCACCTCCGCCACTCCATAACAAACTCCTACAAAGTCCCAACCGGCATCCCCTCCAAACTCCTCTCCGACTACAACACCCGCTCCGACAAATTGAAGTCCGAAGCTTCCAGTATCCCATTAACAGGTTCTCTGGACAAGCTCCTCCGCGCAGGAAGCAAAGATACGTCGCAGAACCTAGAAGTCTCCCCTTCGCTTCTAGAATTCATGCACCAGCTCGAGAAAACATTCAAAGGTCCTGTGACGATGCTGAACCTGCTTCATTTCCACCATCCGGATGGGAAGAAGAGCTATTACCAGTACGGGCAGGCTTTTATTCCCGTTGCGGGGAAGAGAGGTGGACATGCGAAGCTGGTGGGGAATGTAGTGCCTGCTCCTGAGGGACAGGATTATTCGAGGGATGGCAGGGAGAAGGAAGGATGGTGGAATGAGATTTCGATTGTGCATTATCCGTCCATTCGCCACTTCTGTGATATGCTTGCTGGGGAGGATTATCAGGCTATTAACGAGAAGTATCGCTTGTCGGTGAGTTTATTCGATCTTTGGTTTGCTGTGTTAAACTGTTTGCTAACTGTGCAGGCGCTTCGTGATACTTTCTTGCTATGCACCACTGAGTTCGATGTTGAGGGATCGGGGAGCTCGAAGCTGTGAAGTTATGGGCTTGTTTCATAATCTGATCTTGCGGTATGAAGGCGATGGGTATGAAAGTAAATACTGAGGAAGGACAGTGTGATTTGATTTTGAGCTTGATTGATTGGGTATCTGGAAATATGGCGATGTGACATGTCACCCGTAAACGCTGAGAAATCCTAGCAAAGCATGAAAATTTGAATCGGACTGTGCATAATATCCTGCCTGAAGGCAAATCAAAGGCGGTGGTCATGATGGACAACGCTGTCGCTGGGTCGGTCCCAAGTACGAATGTGCCCTGTGTGGAGGTTAGCAAAGCTCCACAATCATCGTGAGATTCGACTCATACCTTCCAGCGAGGATGTCATGATACAATCATTCTGGAACCCAAGCCAGCAGATAGGGTCTTCGCCGACAACTTTGGACTTGACTCATGATTAGCATTAACTTATTTGACCGCAGTAAGCAAACTCACCATGATAGGCGGCAGCAACGCAGTCCGCGACCGCGGCTCAACTGGGTGATTTTCCACGGCATCGAGAGCCCCGTCAAACTTCTCAGTTCGGTCCGAGTCTGATCTCAGCCTGAGGCCACCGCTGTCGGCCCGGTTGCGAAGCGCGGACTGTGAACCGGGCACGACGATGCTGCTACGGTGTCGAGCTGTATTTTGGTGATGCTGTTCCAGTATATTAGGTTGATGTCCAAGGGAGCGGGAATCGAGGTGAGAACGAACCGCGCGAGGTCGATGGAGCATACCAACGCTGAAGTCCCACAGCAGCAGCCGGCAATCGTCCCCGACACTGCCAAATCGGTAGGTCTTCTGGTCGCAGCGCCACGGATCGAAGGCTACTGCTGAAACCCAGGAGTTGTGGCCCTGGCACCTTGCGACGATCTTGCGCTCTGGGAAAGACCAGATTGTAAGAAGATCGTCCTGGCCACCGGTAACAATGTATTTGCCATCTGGGGACCAGCAAACACAGATCAGGCCTCCGTAGTAACTGCGGAAGATGTCCAGTACCCTAATTTTTGTTAGTTCTGAATTTCCAGTTAGGCAAGGCAATCAACATACTCTTCTTTCAAATAGTCCATCAGACGGAGAGATCCATCCTCCAGGACGACAGCCAAATGCCTTTGATCCGGAGAGAAGGAAAACTGTGAAATCTTCTGGTTCGCGAGCTTCCACAGAGCAATGGGATTGGACTTTTGATTTTTCGAATTCACCGACTTCAGGGTTTCCAGGGGTAACTTGCTGGTGTCCTTCTCGGGGTGTGCAGCGGCTTCGGGAGTAAACAAGGCATCCTCCTTCTCCTTATCATAGACCACCAAGACGCCATTGGCATGAGACGCAAGGAAGAGGTTCTCAGACCCGGGCAGCCATTTGATATGTGTCACAGGAGAGTTGTTGATTACTCCATTCTTGTTGATGCGAGCATACTTCTGTGACATGGGTTCGTACCAGATGATGTCTCCGGCAGATGAGCCCATCACGATGTCCAGATGAGACACAGTCTTGGTCAATTCATTGATATCATGGCACAGCATGTGGGCCTTGGTGAATAGAACTTTAGTAAGGTGGTCCTCCTTCTGCGCTGAATTGAGATCGAGCCATTGGAACGCTCGGTTAATATTGGCAAACGCAAAGACACCATTCTGGTCGCGGTCACTCAGTCGCTTTGCAGAGGTCTCGTGGGTAATGACTCTGGACACAAATGAGGAACTGCTCTTAATGATGTTGTTCTTCGGTTTCCGTCTCTTCAATGCATCTTTCTCCTTGGCTGGCGGTGCTGGCGGTGCAAGCGCTGGGTTCCCATCTCCGAACTGCGGGGCAACGACAGCCGTTTTCAAGAACGTGGGAGGTTTCTTGCGAGGATCGAGGCTGACCAAAGACAGCTTAACTCCCGAGGTGGGAGGTGATGGAACAGTCGCAAGCGGATTGGGATTCACGATTGGTGCTTCGGATGGATGAGGGGGAGGTGTGGCTAGGAGAAGGTCGTCTTTGAGAGTATAGGTTCCTGCAGTGACATCTCGTATGAGCACGTCGGAGTCGACCATGGACGCAAGGGGGGAGACTAATCTAGCGTCGCATATATTCAGATGGTGTACGTACCTTCTCCAACCTGTAATGGGCATCCAGCTTCCGGATGGGTGATTGTATTGTTGGTCTCAATGACCGGGACCGCCATGCCATTTGCCGCCCCCGCCTGATATGCGACGGGGATGGTATAGCGGGGCGGAGGAGGCGGTAAGACGCTGTGTTCTGTTAGATATGCTTAGAGCTATTGCGGGAGCTTCGTCTAATGATTGCCTCCGAGCTCAACACCGGGTGCAATTCGGATGTCTTGGGGCAGAAGGCAAGTGACGTGTTGCAGATCGCCTGCTCCAGACGAGAACCCCGGGCGAACGATAGCAAGCGAGGACAAGAAGTGGAATACTTACAACATCATCCCTGAATGTTTCCAAGGTTTGAGTGCTGGTCTGAGTTCAGGTCGGGCCAAATCCGTGGGACACAGGCAGAACGAGGACCTCTTCCGCGATCAGGGGGTAAGATCGGTACAAGGTTCTTTGATTGCAACAGGGTGATTGTATGCCAAATTCTGGATCTCCGATTGGCTTTCACCTAGACAATGACGAGGGTTGGATGCGAGGGTGGGATGAAACGACTGCCGAGAGGTTCAGATCGAGAGCGCGATGCACGACGGGAGCTGTGGGCGGACAGGTTCTGGGCGATTTCCCAATAGTGAGGGACTGAGAGCGTACCAAGTATATGCGGCAATGCAGAGGCAGATGTCCTTCCAACAAGCAAGGGGATGGGGGAGGTCAAAGAGGAGAGAGCAAGGATGAGGAAGATCAGCGATGTCCGGGGTAAAGTCGAGCGGAGACGCAAGTCTCGTGCCTGGCGGGGCTCCGGTTTAACTCCGAGCGAGCCGACCTTGGCACCGAGATACAGAAGATTTGGAGCCATGAAATAGAGATACATTGGGGTATTATGCTAACAGTATAGGTAATCTATATCTCAAGGTCCGCTGCCACTCACTCGCCGCCAAATCATCACTGCTGCCGCTCCGGCGCAAACCACCGCCCCAAAAGCAATGCCCCACGCCATCCATTTCCCTTCCGCGTCCTCCTCGCTCCGAGGGAATGCCGTACTGGGCTCCATGGCAGCTTCGGCAATATGTACAAAAACTTCCTGAATAGAGGTCCAGGTCACACTGACATGCAGCGGGGGGCTAGGCATGTTCAACAAGGCTGTGTACTCGTGGGGCTGGTGCTCAGCCCGCTGAGTGGTCCGATCCAGATCGGCTTTGAGAGCAATAAACACACTAGGAATCTCTTCCAGATAAGGGTACTTGGCACGCAATGCAGGAATGTAGGCAAAGGAGTTGGGGTCAGACGAATCATACGTGTATGCAATCACGTCGCACTGGTCAAGCAGTTTTGCCTGGTTGTCGAGAATAGCCGGTTCCAATTCTCCTAGCTCGTCCATGATCAGGTAGCATTGTTTCCCTCCAGGAAGCTCAACTGTGTTGACAGCGGTACGAGGTTGAATCGTAGGGTGATATGTCGTGCTGAACCCACGCGATAGAAGTGCATCCAGCAAAGCCGACTTTCCAGATCCAGAGGCTCCCAGAACATGGCACTGGACAACATTCCGACCCACTCGCCCGGGGCGTCTACGCTTCTTGCGAGGCCTTGTGATTTTCAATGCCGCTGTAATAGATGGGTTGCTCCGATCAGACGACTCGAACCCGAGGTATGCCAAATACTCCAGGGTTGTCTTGGGGGACATAAAGGTCGTCATACTCCATTGAGCCAGCCAGCCTTGGAGTGTCACATGCCCGGCTTCATTGCGAACCGTGGAGGAAGGAAAAGAGCCGTCAGCCCAGGACGCAGGGAGACCTGGAGTCGGCGCAAACAAGGATGCAAGCTCGGCATCATTCAAACCTCCATCATTATCTTTGTCGGATAGGAGGAACAAGTTCACAAAGAAACGATATCCTTCGGGGGAGAGCTCGGCGGAGGCAAAGGGGGGAACCTCGAATCGCGGATGCAAGAAGTTTTCTTGCAGTGAGAGATTGTCAGTGTACTGGAAGGACCGCAGGATAATCCAAACGGTCTCATGCCGACCCTTCTCCGCATAAAGCTTATTCAAATGAATGAAACCTCGGCAGTCAATCCCAGACTCGGTGACCGATTCTGGGCAGCCTTTCTGAATAGTCTCCTTGATGTGCGCGAGGTCCACCTCACTCAGTGGCTTCCCAAAGCAGCGTGTCTGGAAGTCCGTGATCTCCTTGTCTGACAAATACCCATCCCGATCTTTGTCGCTTAGGTAAAAAATGCGCTGTAGCGCTGCCACGGCAGCCGGCTTCAGGAGCGCCTCCTTAGAATCAAACAGCGGCGCAATGGGGTGGGTAACGGCTTTTTGGCAAACGAAGAAGGCCTCGTTCACGTTTCGGTGCTCTCGAGCGCTTGTGCGAATGCACGAATCGATCTCCTTGAACTCCGACATCAATGGCAGCATCTCCTCTTCAATCACTTGCGCCTCGCTATGTTCGGCCGCCAGGTCCGACTTGTTGGCACATAGCACAACCGGGACATTGACACCGAGTGACCTAAAGTACGGCAACCAGAACAGGGCAACGCGCTCATAGCTGTAGTGGTCGGAATAGACCAAGAGAATCACATTGGACTTCCGAATCTCGCGCGCGAGGTTGTTCCGTTCCTGCGGTAGGGCAGAGGTATCGACGACAGTCGTCGTGGTGACATTCTCAGGGGTTCCGATCGTAGGGGGGATGGTGATTTGGGGAAGGACGGGCTGGATCTTGTTCGTAACGAAGACACCTTTGACCAGCGAGGTGATCAGGCTGGACTTGCCGGTGCCCTCGTCGCCGCAGACACAGATCCGGACTGAGTTGTGTCAGTAATGTCAGTGAGGATTAGGGCAGTCTATCGTACCCGTTGCCATCTGCAAACGCGATCCCAAGAATGACGGAACTAAAGACGGAGCACGGCCGCAAACCGGGGTGTCGGAGGTGTTTGGGGGAGACCCGATATGATTCCGGGGTGGCATCTAGTCTGATAAGGGGTTGACTAAGCTAAGCCCGCGCTCTCCCCAAGCCCGAAGGATCTTAACCTTAACTCGTCCCTGGAATACCTTACCTTTCCAATCCCAAGTACAGTCATCTCACGTATGCATGAATTCGCAGTTACCGCTTGCTATTCTGGACTAGGACATGGGCCATGACTAGACAGCAAACGCACAAAGGACTTTCACGTGAGGGCGAATCATCAATTAATCATTGAGACACTCTTCGAAGCCCTGCGTTTCAACTTCCCTGCGCATTTTCTTTTCTGTTCAAGTCTTGGATTTCGCACTCAGCCTTCGGTTACTTCAATTAGTGGAGTTTATATTCCTACGTCTTCTTGGCCATCAATACTACGAACATAGAGTCCAAAGACGAGAGGGCGGGTATTGTTGTCGACGTTGGGCTTTTAGCTTGATGCACGCAAATATCAATCCATATGTCCATTTGCTACATGGTAGGGTCGGCCACTAGTTTTTCTTTCAGCACTATATAATTTGCATAGGTGCTCACATCATCATACTTCAAAGTATCAAATATAATCACGGAAACAAGTGTATCTTGACCGCAATTGACTTATAATTCAAACTGCGAATTATATGACGGGAATACAGGAGCAGGATCCATATTATCAAGATACCCCTCTCCTGGCCTGGTCAAAATTGTTTTGACGATCACTGTCCCCGCGTTGATGACACTAACAGATGAGGCTGCGCTGCGCCACAAGGTCTTATTGGGAAATGGAAACCCTAGGAAGTCTTGACTGAATTTGAAAGTACCTAGGAGCTGGAGCCTAGGTTTATCATAAATATAAGTAGTATATCTCGTGTTATGGACGTTGGCCCAAGTATATCTCGAGTAGCACGGACTCCGTGCCCACTGTCCTCCACGAACTGCTGTCCCGCGTCACCCGTCATCAGGCCCACATCCGCCGCCCCATCTACTGACTAACCGCCGAGTTCAACAGCCTCTTCCTCCGCGACCTCCTCTCTGTTCATTCCCCCCTCCGACGACCGCCAAAATGCCTCTCGGGATTCATAATCCGCTGCCATCGTCTCTGGCCAGTATGTATCTCCCTGCTCGCCCTACCCTACCTGCTTCCCCGCAATCCTTCGCGCATCTGGCGGCATGTCCGGCTAACAGCCACCTTCCCTTGAACAGGTGAATGCAAGAAGGCGGCCAAAATCCTGACCTCCTTCGTGGACCCCAGGCAGGCTTTCGGTCCGGATAAGGTCATCCCACCAGAGATTCTGGCTGGCGCAAAGGTGAGATGTTTAACCGTCGCGGGGTAACGTGCGGCTGACTGACCGTTAATATTCTCCAGGGCCTTGCCATTCTCACAGTTTTGAAAGCCGGATTCATCGGCTCCGGTCGATTTGGATCCGGTATCGTTGTCGCCCGCCTCGCTGATGGCTCCTGGTCGGCCCCTTCGGCTATCGCGACTGCCGGCGCCGGTGTTGGAGGACAGATCGGTTTCGAGCTGACCGACTTTGTCTTCATTCTCAACGATGCAGCCGCCGTTCGCACATTCTCGCAGGTTGGAACTCTGACACTGGGTGGTAACGTCTCGCTTGCCGCAGGACCGATTGGCCGAAATGCCGAAGCCGCCGGTGCGGCCAGCACGAAAGGCGTCGCGGCCGTCTTCTCATACTCCAAGACCAAGGGCCTTTTCGCCGGTGTCAGTTTGGAGGGTAGCATGCTCGTCGAGCGGAAGGATGCGAACGAGAAGATGTACCAGAGCCGTGTGAGCGCCAGCCAGCTCCTCACCGGTAACATTCGGCCACCACCCTCCACCGATGCTCTGATGCGCGTTCTCGACTCGCGTGCTTTCCATGGAAGTGCACGCGGTCAGGGTGACTCTATGTACAATGACATGCCTGTTTATGACGAACGCCACGACGACGTTGTCTGGGAAGGACGACGAGGTGAAGCCTATGGCCAGAACACGCGACGCAACCGGTCCAACACATATGATGATGAATATGAATATCGCGACAAGCCACGCCGCGCGAACACGTGGGCTGACGACGTTTATGACCGGCCTACAGGAGGTATGGGACGGTCCCCGACGACTCGTTCTCCCGCCGATTACGGGGATAATTACGGCCGCAGCCGGAGCAATACCGTGCCATTCGAGGAGGATTACTCCTATTCCGACCGTAAACCTACCCGTCCCAGCGCCCCCAAGCCGGTCTTCGGGCAAAAGACGGGCCAGGGTGCTGGGCTGCGGACCGATCAAGCGGTCGCATTGTACACGTTTGATGCCGACCAGGACGGGGATCTGGGCTTCAAGAAGGGTGAAATCATCACGATTCTGAAGCGTACCGAGAAGGCAGAAGATTGGTGGACGGGTCGTATCGGCGATCGCGTCGGCATCTTCCCAAGGTAAGCACTGGCTCCCAAAGGTTTGAGGTTGCAGAACATGAAAAACTAATATCGGTGTAGCAACTACATCGACACCTCCTAGTTTCATGTGTAAGCACCCGATCTCTCATGGACATAGTGGGCTTGATTCACTGGCTTGAATATATTTGGGCGTTGGATTCATGTCTCTTTCTGGTCTCCCCATTTGATTCCCTATCGCTTTTCTTCTCTCGAGCGTTGGAGTTTCTCATTCTCGTGCTTGATTTTGAGGGCATTGCAGACTGCGCTTTTCTGATATTAGGCGCCATGTTCGGTGATATTTACGCGCCCCGCTCTGCACATTTCTAGATTATGCGCGCTGGTTCCTGCGATTATCTACGGTGGAAATATGAAAATAAAATCACCATTTCAAGTATCTGCCTAATCATCAGCTGGTTCGAGCCGAGAGCGTGACCATCTCGACACCCCATGGCTGACGCCTAAACTTGCACAGCAGGTCACCCTTTCCCGCGCTGCCTGTAGAGTGACACCGCGTCTTATACAATACGGCGAAGTGCGGAACGTGGCCCCTGAGACTCTAGGACCCCGGTTCGACCCTGGTTCGCGCGCCCGGAAACGGAGTTAAAGAACCCGACGCGATCAGTGTATACATGATATATGTACCGCGTGCATGGGCAGTCGAGAAGCACGAGGGAGGCGTCTCAGCCTCGAGGGAGACCGTGCCACGAATGAAGGATATCAGCGGAGCTGGAACGGTCGTACTTGGGCGCAGTCGGGGTTGGAATTTGAACCGAGGTGAACCATAGTGAAAAACAGTAGTAGGACTCGAGCGTAGATCGCAAAGGCCCAGCCCGTTGTGCTGGTGGATCCCCCCCTCCTCCCCAAACCCAGGCTCGTGGGCACAAAAAAGCGTGGATCACGATCGATCGACTGGGATGTCACCCGCGACCGTCTCCGCCCTCTTTCCTGTCCCTGTCACCTACACCTACACCTACGGGGACCTTCGACCTTGACCTTGAATTTGTTTTCTTCTCCCCGTCCCACCGATGACGGTTCGCACACGGTAGCTACCCGTTAGCCCACTCCGATTCTTTCTTCCGCCCCGCTTCGATGATCGTTCGTGTTTTCCCCGTGGTACATTGACCGACCCTCCTTCCTCCCCTCCTCCCTCCCTACCCCTTCGGCTCTCCAGGGTTTTGAGGGGCGTGGTTCCTGTATAGCTGGTTCCCATGCAGGTACGTTTTACTCCGTGATTCTCTTCTCCCTTGCCGGGTGCCTGTTTCTGTTTTCGGGGGAAATACGATCCACCCCCCTCAGGACGAAGCCCCTCCTCCAGAGACATCCCTTGGCGGCCGATAACGCCCATTGAACATGCTCACGGCATTACAAAGTCCTTTCTTCCTTGTACTGACCCTTTTTCCCCCCCCTCACTCAGGCTTCCCCGAGTGCCCCTGAGGGTGGCGGAGGACACGCGACGCGGAGAGGCCATTCACCCCATTTGTCCATTAGCGACCCTAGCCACCATGTCACGGAAGCCATCGGGCATATGTACAATGATGACTACGATCGCAATGATCCCAGGCGTCTCAGCTATATATCGATGCCTCTTGGCGAGTCAATAACCACCATCCCGCGCAACGCCGCAGGTTCAGAGTATTCCTCCCCCTCCACACTGTCTCCCAACTCGCCGGTCGAAAGTCAGTCAAGGCAGGCAAATGGACACCTACGACCACCCCTCATGGCTCACCGGTCTTTTGACCGGGAGAGTGAACCCGGTTCTTCAGACGGTACTCGATCGCCCTCGGAAACTGCAACGTCGTCCTTTCCTCTGAACGATATCGACTACGAGTCCGATCCTGCCGCGGTGGTCCAAGAATTGAACAACCTCGCGGCCATTCGCCGCATGTCCATGAACGAAGCGGCGACGGGCGACCCTGACCTGCCGGCGTTTGGCAATAACAACCTCACGATTCCGTCCGCTCCCCCCTCTCCCTCGGCCGACGAAAACGATGCCTCCCGTTTGTTTTGGGTTCCAGCAAGCTTACATCCTGAGTTGGCACCGAAGGAATTCAAGTCCTTCCTCGAGAGCAAGGCCGATCTCATCAAGCGCAAATCGGGCGACTATTCCTCTTTGGGACCGGAACGCCAGGGATCGAATAGCAGTTTGCGTCGAAAACGGTCTATGCTGTCGAGACAGATTGATGATTCGTCCGGTTTTCAAGACGGTGCTGACCGACTGGAGCGCCAGCGCTCACAGTCAAGCAGTAAGCGGGATGGCATGTTGAGCCCAAATTTGCAGCAACTGGAGACTTTGGTGGACGATTCGAGGCCGACAATGAAAGACTCCTCCTTAGTGCGAGGGATGCAGAATGTGGGAATCACCCCAGGGGAAGATAAACCGATTCTAGCGCCGGCACCCCCAGGCCACAGCCTACGACGCTCGACTCGGACACAATACAAAAAGGGGAGCTTAAAGAAGGGCGAGAAACCTCCCTATTCAAAAAGAATTGGGCGAGGCCTCTCGGAATCTGCTGGATCAGCACCACCTTCAATCGTCTCTTCGTCCAATGATCAGCCAATCCTTGGACTTACTCGTGTGTCCACCGATTCTACTCCGCCAACGTCTCGGGTCGCTCGAACGCCCTCTGCTTCATCCCGCAGCACGGCCTATGCCCCAGGCTCCACCACTAACTCGACATTTGATTCGATTTTCGACAATCCAGAAGCAGAGCAAGAAGAAGTCTGGTCTTCCGGTGCTCAGTCCGATGCCGCTTCATCGGATAGCTCAAGTACTACTGCTGCCGCTTATGGACGACAATGGCATTCACGCATAAGCTCAAATGGCCGATCCACCCTGAATACCCCCTCATCCGACCAACAATTCCCTAATATTGCCGAACCGCCGCCCAACGATTCCCCTCGCGCATCGGCCGGTGCGGCATCTCAAGGTAGTCGAGCACCCGAGCGAGATACACCATCTCTATTCACGCCAAAGACACCACCGCAGCAGGATTCGACTCCTAACAAGCGGAGCTTGATGAGCGGGAGCCGCCAGTCTGGCAAAGATAGCACAACATCACTGAATGATTTCGCCAATAACCCTCAGATGATACCCGGCAATAGTACTCGCACCGACAGCCTCTCCTTTATTCCGACTATGCCGGAGGAGCGCAAACCGGAGGAACGCAAATCGGAAGGCAAGAAGTCTAAAAAGGACTCGGAAGGTGGTCGCAAGTCCAGCTGGCACTGGCTATTGGGAACTGAAGAAAGGGATAAAAAGAAGGAAAAGGACAGCGATTCGAAAAAGGCAAAGTCCAAGTTTGCCGACAAAGTTCACAGCAATCCGCGCACGGATGGAGTGCAATCGTCCTTGGACAACAGCCCGAAGGGCCGGGAAAGCATCATTCTGGACCGTCTCGATCCTAAATTGGAGGAAGAAAGGCGGAAAGACAGTGTCCGGCGCGCTTCGGGAGAGTCCAAGAAAGAGAAGGATGGGATTTTCTCGTCGATTTTTGGTGGCAGCAAGAAGAAGCACGGCGGAGAAGGCCATCACAGGAAGCACTCATCTCGAAACTTGTCTCCTGATCCACCAATGCGAGAGCTTCGAGCGGACGTCGACTATGCTTGGACACGCTTTTCTATTCTCGAAGAACGAGCCATCTACCGTATGGCCCACATCAAGCTTGCCAATCCCCGCCGTGCACTTTACTCACAGGTGTTGCTGAGCAATTTCATGTACTCATATCTGGAAAAGGTGCAACAGATGCACCCGCATATGATGGTTGCATCTTCTGCTTCTCAGAGGCAATCTCAGTCGCGGGAGCAACCAGATGAGTATCTCCAATATCAGCGATACCAAGAAGTGAGTGACGTGCCCGCCGTCGAAGAAGAGCCAGTTTACTGACGTCCCCTTCTGCAGGCGCAGGAGCAGCAACAACAACAGCAGCAACAATACGGGGACAGCGCCTACGATGATACATCCATGTACGACTACGACGACGATCCGCACGATCGCTACCAGTCCCACGGGAGAAGTAATAAGCATGGTTACGAGAACGGCGATGCCTACGGCTCGGGCCATTACCAGTACGGACACTCGTCCTTCGGCGACGACGTCCAGCTGGATGACGACGATGACGACGACGATATGTGGTGAATCAGGAGTGCGGCGTCTTCACTCTTTTTTTTTCGCTTTCAGACCTGCCCTTTCTGTTTTCTCAAATTTTCTGCCCTCATCGGAAATACCCATGCCTTTATCAGTCCTGGTTGTTTCTAGACTGCCTGTACACGAGCCTTGTTCCTCCCATTTCTCCCCATGGCTTCTGACGCACGAGCCGAGGAGTCATGGGTTCGTATTCTTACATATGCGCCGGGGCTTGGAGCTCAAACAAACACCAAGCACAGAACCCCAGGACATGTCATTCTCCCTTTTGTTCGGCCCCTCGTGGCCCTCGGTCTGGCCCATGTGCCTCCTGGCCTGTGCATTGCCATATAGTTTGTTCACCCACATGGTCTGATTTCGCACTTCGCATAGCGTCTGGGGTTTGTTTTTTTTTGTCTTTGCGCTTGGTTCAATTAAGCCCGTACAATTCAGACCTTGTATTCTCCCTTCGAAACTTACCAATTTTCGTTTGAACTGAGCATTTTCCATATTGTGTTAATCCACATCCCTAGCCAGGTAGATTCTATCTTGGAAATTTGAACTTGAATTAAGTCTTCATGGTCCATAACTTCGTAACTATTCACATGTCTATATACTGTATCTATGTCTTCCTGGAGTCACGTTTCCGCACGAATCCGAAAAGGCGTACCCAAACGCATATGTTCCGCAAACCGGTCCAACTCATTCATCATGAACTGCGAGTCGCATACCCTCAAATCAGAGCTATAGTCGTTGAAAGTGGCGAGAAGCTTCGCTCGCAGCTGCGGATCCGTCGTAGCAGTCCATGCAAACGAAAAACATATAATCAGATACCCCGTCCCAATAGGCCTCCAGATAGCCGAGCGATCAGCAAGCGCAAGGACCTCTTCCGTGAGATATTTCGCGTCGAAGAGACTCGCACCGTCGTGTGCCCCTACTGCACCGAGCAGGCAGTTGAAGAACAGTGAGATGGCTAGCCCAAGCCCGTACGAGCGCTCGTGGTGCGCGTACATGAACGAGCGTACCGAGGCCCGGTCACCCGCTGACATCTGGGACATGTCGATGCCGGAAAAGTCATTCTCGGTAGCGCGCAGGTGGAGCGTGCTCAGGTTTGTTTTGCAGTGTTGATAGATGGTCCATACTTCATCGCGTACTTCTGTGGTGTCCGCCTCGGTCTGCAGTGCTGCTCTTCGGCGGCGCATCAGACCGGGGGCATGGGATAGGCACTGTAGCATCTGGCCCTCGGGCGTCTGTGCGTCGAAGTCGTTGGTGACGAGGTCCGTCCATTCTTCTGGTGTGAGATCAATTCGATGGTTGAAAAGACCTTCGAATAGCTAGTGGTATCATCAGTATTCATGGAAACGCAATCAAGAGAGAAAACACTCACCACTGTGCCGCGTAACGAGAGAAACATCTTCCGCTCGAAATTATCTCTGGGCCCGAAGCTTTTTCTTGCTTTAAGAATCGATGCTGCGCCCTCTGCATGCCCAGACCAGCACTGGGTTGTCGGACCCAGAAACAACTGACAAACTAGTAAAACCATGACGGCACATAGAGTACTAGATGATTGCGCATGTGCCATATCATCTAGATAGACGTGTAGCGTGCGCAGGGCCTGGGAGTATTTAGCTAGTGCATCAACAGACACGATATGTCGGGTGCAGAAGTCTCCATGTGCGGTAGTCATAGCGTCGATGGCGCGGTCTAATGCCTCATTAGTGCCGAGACGGCGGGGCACATCTTCCAGGAAAAAGCCGAAGGACCACCATAGATTGTAGCGGAGATCAGTGGAGCGCTTGATTGTTTTAACAAATGCGCTTGTTAGGTAGGTGAGCTCATTGGATGGGCCGGGGGATGGGGTCCCCGGTGGAACGTGCATGTAAATATGCCGGATTGGCCTTGTGGTGATGACGTGGGTGCGAGATGAGCCAGTTGAATCTGGAGATACAGCTTCAAGTTTCGTGTTATTGGATTGTTCTCTTTTTGGTGGAGAGAAGCGTTTTTCTTCTTGAAATTTAAAGCGTTGTATGCCCGAGCCCACACATTTCACTTTGAGGCGGGCGCAGCGTGAGCAGGTCGGTTGTTTTTCGTCACACTGGGACGTTTAGTATATTCTCAATCCAATGTCGTTGTACAATTACGTAAGTGTATATACCTTTTTCTTCTGCTTGCGACAGGCATCGCAGGCCCGGCCGGTTGGTACACCGGGCATATCCAATGGGGCCCCGCTGGCCCAGAGTGAACGGAGTGAACGGTGGGGAAATGCGGATCAAGTGCAGACAAAGCTGCACAGAAGCCAAATTCGTCTGTATAGTCCAGGGCCCGAACGCTGATAACCGTTGAAGGTGAAGCTATTCGAAGGTTGGGGCTGAGTGGGCTGAGCCGTATCACTTGGGTCTAACCGTTTCGGGCTGGATGTGCCGCCCATATTTTCGTATTTCCGTGATACTTTATTCGTTAACCGTGATAAGGATAGACAAAGTGCCCACTTGGGGGCTTGGCGGCTCCATTCTGTTCTAAGGTTCTATTCAGGACCGGCCTTGGGGCCCAAGGGCTTAGCGTGCAGTTTCATGCGCCTCGGAGAGATCTCTAACCTTCTTGGGGTCTATCCAGCGCTTGCTTGTCATGGTTTCTCCTGATGAAAGAGTATTTAAGATAGCTTCCAGCGTACGAAAAATATAGTTGAATCTAAATCAGTCTTCACTCCATCTTCACTATGACCAATTCAGCGACGGAGGCACCTAGCCTCTACCTATACCACCCTAGCCATGTCCTTCCCGCCATCTTTGCTGCACTGGTCGGGATCTCATTGGTAATTCACATCTTCCAGAATTTGTATGTCGCGCACTATACTCCCGTTGACCATTTACTGACTGCCTTCAATGAAGCCGCTATCGATTTTGGCGAGTAACCTTCTTCCTCTGCTGGGGAGGCGCCCTCTTCACTACAGGCTGGATCCTCCGCTGCATCTCGAGCTATTACCCCGCCAACCTCAATCTGTACATCGCCCAATCCGTCTTCATCTACTTAGCTCCTCCAGTCTACTCCGCCGCCGCATACAACCTAGTTGGCCGATTGATGAACTATCTACCAATGCACGCCGTTCTCAACCCCAACCGGGTTCTCATCTTCTTCGTCTATGTCGGCGCCGCAGTAGAAAGCATCACCGTCGCAGGTGCGGCCAAAAATGCGGCCGCTGGAACCAATCTCAACGAATATAAGAGCGGAGGTGTCCTCATCGCTGCAGGCCTCGTTCTGCAGGCGGTGGTAGAATGTCTAGTTGTTGCGATCGTCGCAACGGTACACCGCCGTGCCTCACGCACACGTATGGCTCCTCGCAATGTGAAAACCCTCTGCTATACACTGTACGGAACGTCGACCTTCGTTCTATTACGCTGTATCTTCCGTGCTGTCGAGGCGTTCGAGATGTTTGGGAACCTTGGATGCACGGAGAACTGCGGTCCTATTCTCAGCAACGAATGGTACCTGTATGCCTTCGAGCTGGGTCTCATGTTGATCTTCACATTCTGGCTGAACCTGCTTCATCCCGGTCGTTTCTTGCCTAAGGATAAAACCCGGTATCTCGATCTGGACGGTCACACCGAGCGATTTGGACCGGGCTGGTTGGACCGCAGGAGTCAGTGGGAAACTTTTGTGGATCCCTTGGATATTAGTGGTGTACTCAAGGGTCAGGCTTCTCATGAGAAGTACTGGCTTCGGTCTCAGGCGTGGCCCATTTGTAAGGATGGTAGTTTTGCTGAGGGGACTGCTTCGAATCGCAAGTTGGCGGTCCCGGCGAATCAGGATGTTCTTTTGGCTGAAACTGATGAGGTATAGATCTATGGTTTTGTTTTCAGGTTATGAATGTTGCTCGTGGATATGGGTTAGCTCTAGTTATTGTTTCAATAATTAAGTTGTGTTCATCTCTTGAGATACAAGTGAAAGCCGCCTAGATTTTATTTGAACCCCTGAGAGACATCTTCCTCGGAATGGCTCTACAGCCGGACCAAGGAGATATTGAAAATGGGCCTCAGTACTTTATTATCTGGGTCGTTCTAAATCTCCTCCTGACCATCGACGAGAGTTCGGAATTCGCAAAGAATATGGTGCGTGGCATCCTTATTCCTCACTCTGTGCAAGACTAATGTCCCCCGAGGAAGATCGCGTCTCAAGAATTGAAGACAAAATGGAACACTTGATTGAGCACATTATGTACGTACTCACGAAATTTCAGGACTGCGAGAAGGCATTTGGGGACTGGCGAAGGAGTTAATTGAGGGATGTCCCGGCTCACGGCCCGGTTCCGTCTTCTCCGGGCGCCAAGACCCGGTATTGAACCGGGTTTCCATTCTTCCACTCCACATCCCATCTTTTTTAAATAACATGGAGACTCCGTCAATTTGAACATTATCATATATTCATTCAGATTTCTATTCACAAGTTTTTTTTCAGGATGCCCTCAAAGAGCGATTCGATTCTCATCGTGGGTGCCGGTGTCTTCGGCCTGTCCACCGCGCTGGAGCTCAAGCAGCGCGGATACACCAACATCACAGTACTGGATAGATACGCCCCTCCGGCAGTAGATGGAAGCAGTGTGGATATCTCTCGCATTATCAGAATCGACTATGTCGACCCTGTCTACTGCCAAATGGCCCGCGAGGCCTATCAGGGCTGGACATCAGAGTACAAGGACCAGTACTTCGAATCCGGATTTGCGTTACTGTCAGAAACTCCAAAGAACGACTGGATCGAAAATTCAAAGGCCACTGTCCTCGCCAGTGGGGGAACCGTGGAAGATCTGAAGGATGCCACACAGCTACTCAAGTTGTATCCGAATATCCAGTCTGACTTGTCCGGCATGAACGGTTATCTCAACCGCAGAGGCGGCTGGGCGGATGCCGCCGGTAGCATCCAGAAACTGGCTTCCCGATGCAGTGTTGAGGGTGTTTCCATTTTAACTGGGCCCCGTGGAAGTGTCGTCTCCCTGCGAAAGGAAGGGTCGCGAGTCGTGGGCGTGAATGTAGCGAGCGGAGATTCCATCCTCGCTTCTCAAGTGATTCTAAGCACCGGAGCTTGGACGAATCGCCTTTTGAATGTTGCACATGCCGCTTCTTCTTCAGGACAGCCGGTTGGATTCATCCAGCTGACCCCCGAAGAAGCTCGTTCTATGGAAAAGACGCCTGTGATGATCAACATGACCAACGGCGTGTTTATATTCCCTCCTACGCCAGGGAGTAACATTCTTAAGATCGCCCGACATGGCTATGGCTACGCCAACAAAGTAACTGTCCAGAACGACGGTACTCGAACTATCTCATCTCCCAAATTCGAAACCAGCAACTCACAGACCGGATATCTCCCCGACGATGCCGATGAAGATCTTCGCAAGGGCTTGCAACGATTCTGTCCTCGATTCGCAGACCGACCGTGGTCTTTCCGCCGCCTTTGCTGGTATACCAATACGCCCAAGGGAGATTTCATCATCGATCATCACCCGACAATGGAGGGCCTATTTGTGGCCACTGGGGGTGCTGGACAGTGAGTGCTTACCGCGACCGATTTGAAGAACTATATAAACTGACACCTGAACAGTGGCTTCAAATTCCTCCCAGTCTTGGGTAAATACATTGCAGACTGCTTTGAGAACAAAGCGTCTAAAGAATTACGGAAGAAGTGGCGATTGGAACCGGTTCCGAGTGGTTCTACCGGACATCCTATGAAGGGGGATGGAAGCCGAGCGGGTCCCCCTTTGAGGAACCTCACTCAAGTGGAGAAGGCTATGCTCTAGAAAGTTTGTAATTAATGTTGTAGACATGGTAGTGGATGTTTCCAACCATTTGTCTCGAAGTATGCCACATTTTTGACGCGATTCGAGGAGAGCCACATCCTGCCACATTTGGAGCCACATTCGATGTGAGGAGGTACTGTCGAAGCGTTTATGTTCGCTTGCTTCACTTTAACTGAATTTGAGGATGCATATTATGAGACTGTAAGCCAAGCTTTACCATCTAGAACGACTGTATTCAAATAAACCCCCTTCCTCCCTGATTACCTAGTTGACAACAACCCTATCCCGCTTCTGGGCCTTCACCCACAAAGGCTGTGCTAAATCACTGATTCCTACACTTGTCAACTCCGGAATCTCCCCACGGAACCCATTCGCTTGGGCACGAGCCCTCTCATTCTCATCTGCTAGCTCAAAGTCAAATTCACTCAGTAGTGTGCTCATCAACTTGTAGATGTTGGTCATAGCCACAGTCTTGCCAATGCACTGCCGGGCCCCAAGGCCAAAATGCATCAATAGCCGAGATTTTTTCGCAGTCTCGGGATCATCCCACCGGGAGGGATCGAATACGTTATGGTCGGGTCCCCAAACCGCTGGGTTGTGGTGGAAAGCATGATTGCACACGGCAATGGAGGTCTGTTCATTTTCAAAATAAGCAAAATGTCCAAATTCTCAACAGGAACTCTCGTGGCCGATGACATACTGCGTAGGGAATATGCTTTCCAGCAATATTTACTCCTTCTGGCATACGAACTCTCCTCGCCAAAGGCATTGTGAAGACGGGAGTGATCCGGAAATTTTCTTTTATGCAGTTTCGCAAATACGGAAGTGACGTCTCCGTGACTGTGACAGAATAGGCGCTTTCATCGGGTTGAAGAATGGGCAATTTCTCATCAATCTCTGCCACACACTTGGTCATTAGCTTCGGGTCATGGAGCAAGTGATAGAAGAGTAATGCGGTAGTTGCGCTGGTAGTATGAGTGCCCGCAATGCTATGTTAGAAGGTTCTGTTAGCAATTCCAACGAGAAAATACGTTGAGGGAATGGCGGCATACATAAATCCAAATGCCTCGGTCTCGAGGTCGATCTGGGACAGACTCTCACCCGTGTCGGGGTGCTTAGCCAGTATCAAATTCGTAAGAATATCCTTTCTTCCAGAAGAGTCGGTGTTTGATCCATCTTTTGGTTTGATGGAATTCAATCTGACATCAACACATCGGGAAGCGAGATCTGCGCAGGCTTTCCGGCCCTTAAACAGTGCTTGCAGCCCGTTGTGCGGGATAAGTGGGAGCCATCTTTTCAGTCGCATAGTCATCATCGGCCAAGCACCTGTGGCTGCTGCTAGCAAGCTATGCTCGATAGCCGGTGGAACGCGAGTTTCGTCGTCGGAAACCTGCACGCCGAATGTCTGGCTGAAAGCTAGTTCACCCAAGGTATCAATGACATAGTAGTGCAAGGCCTTTTTTAGATCAAATGTTTCCTGGTTCGCAGCATACGATTCTATCTTCCCTCGCAAAATCTTGATATTTGCGTCAAGGTGCTGCTCCATCTCTTTGACGTAGCTCATCGAGAAACTGTGAGACATGTGACGCCGTCTGACGGAATGTACCTAGTTGTAAACAGTCAGAGTTGGCTCTAAAGCAGGTGACCAGGGTAGATACAGACATGTTCATCGCGCATTCCAAACACATTGGGATGAGCCGCTCCATAGGCATTGTAGAACTCGGTTTTCGGCATATATCGAGCTCCGCTCTGGTAGATTGATTTGATGGCCTCTTCGTCGGTGATGCTCAACTTGTCTGGGCCATAGCGCACAACCGAGCCGTATCTTTCGTGTAGCTTGGTGAGTGTGTACGGTTGCTTCAGAGTCATGAATTGATGCACCTGCCAGAGGTCGGTGAGCGAGGCGAGAAAAGGGCCGGGGTATTTGGCGAGGGGGTGTAGGAATCTTTGGTAGATGACATATCCAGAGAAAAGTAGGACGACAATACCTAGAGCAAGCTCGTGAGGGTGATTCAAGAGTTGGAGAGCTGCCATGGTAAACAGGTAAGTTTGTCATTTGCTTCCAACGTCAAGAGATCCGCAAGTTTCAGATCGAGTTTTGGGACATAGTTCATCAGCGAGGGATTAGGGAGACTCCATATATATAATGCATAGCTGCGAGGCTGTCCAAAAGTCCCGCCACATGGCAAGTTGCTTCAAATCAGAGTCTCAAGACAGACATGCCACATAGTCAAATGTAATCTGAAATGATGACATTTGTCAGATGCGTGGACGTATGCATGGTATAATCTCCCCGCACTTCGGACCGGTAATGTGGGGAGCCATTCATAGACTTTGGGAACCCCACATTCTCACAAATCGCCAGGAGATCTTTCTGGAGGCTTTATTTCGTTCTAGGTCAAAAGAGAGCACATTTTATATACGGTGGCGATATATCGTTCAGACTTTACGGTCATCAGGCCGTGCTCGTGATGGCCGCTTTCCGTTTTAGAAGTTCTCGTCGTAGTCGGGTAGTGAATGTCTGATTTCTCCTACATTATCACCCGTGATTTTAAGTCGCAAATCTAAAGTACGACGAAAAGACTAGCGATCTGATCAGACCAGAATTTCATCAAGCGAAACGCATATCTAGTGAAGCTGGGACCTTTCCTAGGATTCAATGTTTGAGCCATTGCGTATGCCTTGAAAACTAGGCCACAAATTGTCAAGTCACCCCCGCACAAGACCCGGCCGCCGTGTATCAGGACCAACATCTGCTGTCTTCATTTAACTCGCCACAATGCGACAGCGACGCAAGATCATTGCGCATAGGATCTCCTGTGCGCAATGTGATAAAACTTTCTCCAAGATGGAGCATTTAAATCGGCACCGCCTTGTCCGTATGCAGCTCCAGAAGATCATTCTTGTTGATCTATCCACTACATTGAGAATGAGTTCTGATTTATGGCCAGATACCGGAGAGCGCCCTTATAAGTGTTCTATCTGTTCAAAGCGGTATGCCCGGAGGTAAATGATACAATTACGAGTTTCGAGGTCATTATTAACTGAGCAGAGATGTTCTCCTTCGCCATCGCCGGAACCATCCTTCAGAGAACCGCCAAAATCCTCATGTACGTTACCTTTGAGTTGTACTATTCGGCGACTGATTAGTGGACAGAATTCCTCAATTACCCCGACCAACCCATTCGAAGGGGTATCCCATGAAGAAGCAAATGGGATTAGCATCATTGGCCACCTTGATGAAATCCCGATACCACCAGCAATAACTGAAAATGCCCTTAGTATACCAATGCACTCGTTAAGTGAAAGCCAGGAATTATCTGCAATCAAAGGGCTCCAGGATCACGGCTCCCCATATGCCATAGCAAGAGGTGATTTGAACAATGAGTTTCTGAATATGATTTTCAGCTCTTCTCATGAATCGCAGCTTCCTGTAAGCTCTTTAAGCCACCAAACAATGGTGTATTCAAGCGGCGAAGGACATTTCGAAAGCTCTCCAATACATGCAATTGCCAACGATGGATCAACATCACGCTCCGACGCTACCTATCAAGGTGAAACAAGAATGCAGGCTATCTGGCCAGGAAGATCTCAGAGGACAAGTCACCCTCAATTTTGGCATGATATTGCATTTGGCTCATCGAGCAACATCTTCGCCACTTACAATTCTAGGTTAGAGTCAGAAGCAAGCAACCAGACTCGTATCGACGGTACCGCTCCGGAAATAAGTCTGAGCGATGACTGCAAAGGTCGTCTTAGAGGGTTGAAGAGAAACTTTCTTGTCTGTGGATGCAATAACATCTTTGATGATGGGGCAGCTTGTGAACGGCGTTATCTTTGTATTAATACAACGGATATTCTCGACCAAGGCCTTTATCTTTACGCTCACAAGTATCAGCCAGCTTATCCCATTCTTCACACCGCCACGTTCAACCCTGAGAATGTACCGGAGCTTTTACTCTTCGTCATGTGTATGATTGGTGCTTCGTTCTTGAAGACCGAAGAAGCCGCAGCATTTATTAGAAACACTTATCCGGTAAGGAAGAGCGACTGGTGTATTGAATCTCCACTTACTGACAATCTGATATCGACAAGGCAATCCTCAATGAGGTCTATGCTCGAGTAATATCTGCAACCGTTGTATCACAGACGCCCGTTGATATCCTAGGCGATCTAGTACTCGCTCACCATATGCTTTTCCTGTTTATTTCGACCGGTGTGAGTACTTGCTCTTCTCGTTGATATTCTCCCCGCCTAATTGGTTCTGCAGGGAAATCTTTGTCCAGAGAAATCACAAATCCTCTATATACATACACTCACTGTAACTGATCCCCGTGTGATTTAATTACTAGAGCATCAAATTCTAATCAGGTCACTTTAGACTGCACAGCAATATGGTTTCTTCAGTTCAAAGCTGGAGAAACCTACTGATACACTGTTCCCACATCATCTGGAAGAAAATGTGCGATGGCATGCGTGGAGTCGAGTGGAATCAACCAAAAGGTACACCTGCCCATCTTACCCTATTCATTACAGCCTGCTTAATATGTTGCAAATAGTCTGATCATAGGTCTCCTTCTCCACGACTCTTGGCTATCAGACCTTTGCTCGATGCATCCTATCATACAGGTCCATTCACTATCAGTCAACCTTCCACAATTGAATGACCTCTATGAGGCATCAAACTGCCATAGATGGTCCCAATTATTAACAGAAACCTCAACCAACAACAATATCCTCGAGCTCTCATCACACCACTTCAGTCTACCGGACCTGCGCGGCCCTATACATGCTTTCTCCATGTATGGACTACTGTGCTCTGTTCTTCTTCGAGTTTCAGCAGATATCTACCGGCTGGTCTCCAGCTCTGATATAGTTCTAGAGGGCCAGCACCACCACATCCCGTGGGGCATATGCCAGTTCGACAAGCGAGCGAATATTGCTGCTCCGCTACTTACTAGTTTGATCAGAGTTTATGACCAAACTCTCCGCAATTCAAATCCCAACTGCATCGTCATCTGGCATAGCGTTTGCATTCTCTTGACAGTCGATGTCAACGTCCTTGCGCGCGCTGCTGGTCGAGACGGTCCAGAATCTATGACAGACGCTCGCCGTATTCTCCAAAATTGGACGAATACTGCTGCTTCACGGAGGGCCTGTCTTCATGCGGTCCAGGTGTTCAGGACCTTGGCCCATCGGAAGCCCGCTGATGGAACGGCTTTCCAGTCGGTCCGAACTTTATTCATGTCTGCACTCCTTCTTGGACTTTATATTCTGTTAGGTCCTGATTCTATAGCGTCGGAACATTCCGATGGCTCTAGTCCATTAGATCTGGCCAACCCGGATATTGACTGGAAAGCTATTGGCAATGTAGGAATGTCCGATCCCGTTTCGTCGCCTCCGTCGGCCGAATCCGTGGACCTCGAAGATGCCAGTATCAGGTTCATTCGCCATGGTGGGCCGATAATCATTGACGGAAAGAACTATCGACCAGGGCCTCGGCATGCAAAGCGAATCATTCTAGATTTTGCCGGGCTTTTGGATGAAGTGGGGACATATTGGATGGCGGACTATGCGCGACTGTTATACATGATCCATGACACCATGGCAGAGCCAACCGGTGCATCTTAGATGACAAATAGAATACTTTCAAAATGTTATCAAACACGAGAAAAGAATCCGAAAATACTACCAGTATGGAAATGCCGAATCACATGACCCGTCGCTGATCGGCTCCTCGATCCCCGTCTGAGCCACCGCCGCCCTTCCCCAGGCCGCTGCTCTCTCAGACTCTCAAATCCCTTACATCGCCTCCGACAACGTCTCATTAGAGATATTTGAACTCGCTCAAGATGAGCGACGCCTATGAACGCGAGCAGTACGTCCCAATCCCTTCCGAAGCTGCTGGCTCCACCCCAGACAGCTCCCAAGACGCCGTCCATTCGCCTCATCCAGCCGCCCCGTCATTGAACGTCTCTCGCTGACTATATGCTCTAGGCAGAACAATGCGCTCCTTAACTCCCTCTCATCCAAAGTTACCGCACTTCGAGACGTGACGATCAATATCCATGACAACGCGCGGGATCAAGAGACGCTCGATCACACGGTACGTCGCCCGATGACCCAGTGTGGAGATAGTGCTTCAAGGAACCCACGATAGCTTTCGACACCGATTTGAATGTGCGATTGACAACTACTCTCCTGCAGAACGATGTCTTTTCCTCTTTTGGCACGAACTTGACAGGCAGCGCCTCCCGGCTTACGAGAATGGCCAAGCAAGGCGATACTGTCGCCGTGCTCAAGGTGGCGGGTATCTGCATTGGAGCTGGCATTCTGCTCTACATCATCCTGGGTTGGATCTTTTAAGCGGTGAAGCTCCTTGACACGAGTCCGCCCTACGGCTGCCTCGCTCCCGCCTTCACACCGACGCCCGGCCGATGATGGATGCTCTTGCTGGTCCAAGATGCGTTCGATAGTCCATTAACACCCTTGTCTCTCCGCACCAGCCGTCGTCCCTAGATGCGCCATACATAAACACGCTGGACCTTGATGTCTCGTCGATATACACCTACTCTGAGCATACACGACGCCGACTCTCCAAGGCCCATCCACCCCCGCCTTACCTCCCCGGTTCCTGAACTCATGCTTTCACTACTTGTGTAACTACATTCGAGCGGATTTCTTTTATCGAGAGGGGCAAATTAGCCTGCATTGCGACATCGGGGTTTATTCTGTCATTCAACTTGCTACTACTAGTGAACATAATTCTTGCCCAACTTGTTCTTGGGCTCTTTAGCACATTCTCCAATAATAGTACCCATGAATTAAAAGGCCTTTTAATTACATATTACGTCAATTCAAGCTCTCGTGTCCCATTACTCAAATTGGTAGGCTTCCAACCCCGGAGGGATATAGTAGATCCACCCTTGGGCGATGCATTACATTGCCAAGAATCATCCATACTCTAGAACATCCCAATCAAGCTTAATGAACCTTTTAATCAACATTCTATTAATATTCAAGCTTTTTAGCACGGCCCCTAGAATTCCGTTTTCGGTGACGGTTCCATTGGAATGGAATACCCAATTCGGCGACCCCGTCTCATCGGGAACACGTACGACAATTACATGTTCTGGATGCTTTCAACTGTGAAATTTTAGCCGGTGACACTTTGTAAACTGTGGATCAGGGCTGTAACAAAGATGGTTACGGCACGCGAGCGAAACCCGCATACCTTTTTCAGCAACCGCCCCTATCCTTTTTTTATTATTGAAAGCTCACGCCTAAACAAGTAGCCGAACTCATCAGGGCCGTCCTGTCCAGCCTGAGCATTTCAGAGGTGCTTCGAAGGCAGCGCGATCATCATGCTGTGGCAAAAGCGCCATTACTGGGCGCTGGGGAGCATCATAGGTTTGGGGCTTCTGCTTACCTTGCTCCTAATCCCCGCACCGCATGAAGAAGATATGATCAATATGAGAAACGCCGGAATTACTATATTTGAGGGGAATTTACCACCGATTCCCGAGTATGGACCCGATCATCACACATATGGATACGACGAAGGCCCGAAGACTAGCCACATATCGACATCGACAAGTTCGACGGGACACACGCCAACACCGAAGACTGGAACGCAATGGGACCCAGCCTGGGAAGACAAGGCCAAATGGCCCAAATGGTCCAGACCAAGCGCTCTTTCATCATCGAACTCGATCACCACAGCATTCATAACACGCGCAAAGTAAGGCCAATACCTCCGATCCATACTCGACTTCTAATATAATACCACTTTCGATCGCCTTGCCTGCCCCTCGAAAGCCGGATCCCGGCGCAGCAAGTTGCGCGCAACGGCAAATACCAGCGGCCAGGTTCGATACCTCTTCGCGCTGAATATGTTCCAGTCGACCCATGTCACCTCGCGCATGCACGCTCCTTCTTGTCCAAGATCAAGGTCAGGCCTCATTGACAGAAAATCATGTTGCTGAATTACGGAATAATACTCTTGAGCCGTTAAAAGGCAATGGGCCTAGAGGTGTGATGAATGAGTTGATTGGGCTTTATTCGCCAGAGTCTATGATCATCTACTTGTCCGTTTGAGTGAACTAGGAACGGAATGCTGTTTGAAGATATCTCGGTATCGCGGTCATTGACCGGAGACACATTCTGTGAGATCCCACATGACGGATCATTGGCGTATAGCCAGGTCTTATTTTGGAAATTCCAATCGCGCGACACCGGTTCAAGACTTCCCAGCGTTTCCACCTTTCCAGGTGATGTTGTGCTGGAGTGGGATGGTCACATTAGATGCTGCCTCGTTCGCTGAAACTTCCAGGCTCCGGAACAGCAAAACTGGGGAGTGCGAGGTGGCTTCTACCCTACTGCTTGCGAGGAAGTTGTGGCGTCGCGGCCAGGCGAAGATCTTAACTGTTTCTTCGGCCAACGTCGTGCGATTTGATAACCAGGCTGCTGGCGCGAAGTCAGTGCGCGAATACGTATGCGATTATGTTGACGCATGGAAGCCGAGGCTGAACCAGGAAGAGTATGTCTCGTGGCAGCTCAAGCCACCGGGCGTCATCAAATGCTTGCCCGGTTCGAGGCATCCTTGTTGGATTGCGCCGACCTGATCGACCGTTCTCATCTTTCATTTTGCATATTGCGTCGGCGCTGCTTAGTTAGGGAGTCTGTGTATTACTTCATCAATGTTAACATTTCCCCTGACGATAAATGGTTCATTATTCTCGACGTCATCGGCTCTGATCACGACACGAATGCCATCGGGAGCCGGAGAGTACGCTCTCGAACAATGTAGCGAGGTTACATCGCACGATTGGCGACGAGCATGAAAATTTATCCCTCTTGGTAAAAGACAATCCCTCTCCGAGACTTAGTTCCCGCAGGGCTGTCCAAGCGTCAGACTCGATCGTCGGAGAATAGCGCCAGTATAATTTCCGTCCTGGGCAGCTAGTCGGAAAAGCAGTCTAGCCATACCCATCGACAGTAGTCAGGGGGCAACCAGCGCTAGGTGCATGGACGGAGGCGCCGATACTCGCCAGGAATCAAGCCAAAGAAAAAACCCTGGACACCCGCAGTGGGTCAGGCTCAGCGTGCCGCGTCCCAGCACGGCAATTGGTAAAGAGAACGCGGTCTCACTGGCTGCACCATCACTATCTTTGTAAACTCGGATGATAGCAACCGAGCTGATAAGGTTCGAGTCACAGCCAAGGCCATCAATTTGCACTGAGTGTTCACCCGTTCATCCGGCATCAGCTGCGCCATGTGCCCGGACGTTGGTTTTCGAGATGGCCTGGCACAAGCGATTGGAGCCGGTGTGACCATATGAGGCGTTCAGAATGTCGTAGTGTGTATCTACAAATGACGTATACGGCGAAGCTACCATCCCAAAAAATAATAATAAAAATAATAAAAATAAAAAACAGCCGTATGGTCCACATAATTTGCCTTCGTTGACTCGGGTGATGTGGGTGTGCCCGCTGAGATTGGGAACAGGATTCACACCGGCTGCTGGATGTAGCCGCATACTGTGGACAAAGAGAAAGCCCGATACTGCCAAAAAGAAAAAAGAAATGTAAAAAAAGGTAAAAAAAGTTCACCGTCAATGATCTGCTGGTGGGTCCGCAATAGAAAACCCTGACGACGGGAGCCGGAGCATTTCTCCAATTCGGACAATCACAGGAATGACATGTACACATCAGCTTCTGCCTTTTTCGAATTTAACCGTGTCTATTCCCCGTTGTTGAAAGCGTCACCATGACCTTTTCCAAGGGCTTCTAGATTGTTCACAACATGAATGGCAGGGAGACCGAGGGCAACTGCAACCTAGGCAGAGGCAAACTCGAAACAGCCAAGCATTTGGGAGTATCCAGATCGTCAGGAGAAGGCTACACGGACGCGCAAGTCGGGCAAAGAAACCGGCACGCGGGATTCCGGTGAAGCGGGAATGGCCGAGTCCACAGTGTAGGCATCCCGACGGGACCCGTGGTCGGCATCCAAGCCGAGACCGTCGCCCCAAAGAGAACGCCTATTACGCTGTGGCATTCAATCCTGTGCTGTGATATGATTTCCTGATCCTCCCAGGAGGCGTGTGCGCACGCCACCTCGGTCGGGGTCCATCTAACTGTTAACTGTTCGAGCAAAGGATCCAAGGGATCCATACGGCGCCGGAACCCTTATCTAGGAGGCTTTTAAGACAACTTCAGGTCCAGGCAAATCGTCAGCAGGGAACCAGACTACATTGGTGTGGCCGGTGAGCAGTTGACACTTAGTGGAGCTCATAGGCGGATCGCCTGCCGCGAAAGCGGGAGATAGACCTTGGAATTGCGAATAATGGAATCGACCGTGCAACTGCTGCTTTCAGGAGTGTGCAGATTGCATTGTGCCAGGCAAAGCTGCATGCCATATCCACATGGTTTTTTCGGGCACATTTGTGGCTATTTGTGGCAGCTATCCTGTCCTTCGGATGGAGTAAAACTCACCTTCGGGGTGCTTTGTTATTGTTTCACAAGCCAGATGGGGTATATCCCATCAGGCAGGCACCATAGGGCACAGGGCCCTGCGGGGTCGGGACTTTGGGGCACCATAAAAGCGATCAGCACAGGCCCAGGCCTGTGCTGATGGCCTGTAACCAGGAAGCTTGCAAGGTTGACACCCCAGCTCATATGGAGATCCAGTTTCAGGACCATGGATTGCATGCAGGCTGGATCGAGTGGAGTGCATAGGCAAAAGCCAAATTGGTCACGCTGTGTAACCACTATGATGTGTATGATGTGCAGCACACGATCGTCAGCGAACTGGATCGATCTGACACAGGTGCGGCAGGGGTGATCCCGAGGTATGGCGTGATAGGCAAGATGGGTAAAAGAAGGCCCCGAGCATCGGGAACTACTGTTTCCATACGATATTGTGAATTTATGAGTATAGGGTAGTGTGATAGCGCAGTGACCGTGAAACACTCACAAAGTACCAGATATTAAATATCGGATACGTGATTGAAGATCGTAATTAGGGCAGACGACATCTTCATATGATCTTACGTGTACTTAGGATCCCCTCGCGCTGACGTAAATGCGTCGTGGCAGGTCAATCGGTGGTTGGAACTTTTCACCATTTGACTTCCTCTTAATTGTCCCACATCCCTTTCGATCATTTCTATTTTGATCACTTAGTTTGATCACTTCTATTTCTCCCACCCTTAACTACTGTGGCAGTTATCTAGAGTCCTGGCTTAGTCAGCTCGCAACATCGGCGGGCCTTCAACGCCACCGGAAACCCGCCGGAAACGGCACATATCCACCGGTGCGGACCCGTTTGGCCGGACCGGATTTCGATTCTGGACACAGTCCGGTAGATCACAGATAGAGAATTTACGCAAAAAAACCCTCTGTCATAGTTGATTTATTTTTCCGATTTTCCTCCTCCATTCTTCCCATCTCCCATTCTCTCCCTATACTGCCCTTCCTGGGGTTTCATTCGGCTGCCCGATCGCAGCGGGCATCATGGCTCTCAGCTTCTTTAGTGGTGGCGGAAGCGCAAGCAACGCCAAGTACTTTGACATTCGGTGAGTGGGGTGGTCATGAGCTCTTGCCCAGGTGAGCTCAAGTGCTAATGACCGGGGATACAGATTGAACGATGACTACATCGTATTTCGCGGCAACGAACATGAGGCTGCCAGCGCCCACCTGAAGGGGACCCTGGTACTCTGCCTGTCAGAGCCCCTCGCCATCAAGCACATTCGCCTACAGCTGACAGGCATGTCGCGCGTCTGGTATGTCATTCTACAGCACTGCGCAACCTTAATGTCAAACTAACGCCCCGCAGCTGGCAGCTTCCATCCAGTTCAGCCGGCGGTGGCCGCAAATCGTGGCGCGAACGAGTATTTTACGACAAGACCTGGCGATTCCGAGACGCCGGCAAAGGCAAGACGGAGGTCTTGGCTGCTGGCAACTATGAATATCCCTTCGACGTCGTTCTGGAGGGCTCCATGCCCGAGAGTGTGGAGGGTCTGTCCGAGACCTGGGTGATGTACAGATTCAAGGCCGAGATCGGACGCAAGTACGCCAAGGACATTGTCGCTCGGAAGCCTCTGCGGATCATTCGAACCCTTGACCCCAGCGCGCTGGAGCTGTCGCATGCGATGGTACGTTGCACCGGGATATTGTTGTGAGAGGCCATACTAACAACTGCACAGTCGGTGGACAACATCTGGCCGAACAAGATCGAATACTCCATCAGCACACCGAGCAAGGCGGTCATGTTCGGTACCGCGATTCGCGTTGATTTCAAATTGATTCCCCTCCTCAAGGGTCTGCGCATCGGACAAACTACGTCGCAGCTGATGGAAAGCCACGATTTGACTCTCAACCCGGAAGATGCCGACTCCGTTCGGAATACCTACAAGACTACCCGTACGATCTTGACCGACGAGCACGAAGTTGATGAAAACAATATCGAGATTCTCGACGAGGCGGCCGAGGGATATCAGTTCACACGCTATCTCGACATGCCGCAAACCCTGACCCGGTGCCTGCAGGATACGGACACCAAGGGCATTAAAATCCGCCACAAATTGAAGTTCCGCATTCAACTCCATAACCCCGACGGCCACATTAGTGAGGTGAGTCAGAGAAGCCTCGGCAACGTAAATGTGGGGGTCATGCTAACTGTGACAATCTAGCTCCGCGCGACGCTTCCGGTCTCGATCTTCATCTCCCCGAACATTGCCATTGACGAGAACAATAATCTCCGCGAGCAGACGCAGCAGTCAACTCGTCAGGCTGCCGATGAGTTTGCCGCCCACCAGGCGCCTCCTCTATACGGCGAGCACACATTCGATCAGCTGTACAGTGAGGTCGACCCCAATGGTTACCGCACCCCGGGCCCGGGCAGCGGCGGTCCAGGCACCCCCTTTGGTGCACTCAGCCGCAATATCTCGGCAGAGAACCTCGCTTCGATGAATGCTTTGACGAACACCGACATCTCCGCCTCCGCGTTGCACAGCCGTCTTACCAACCTCACCGCAAATTCCGTATTTCACCCAGCCACGCCTAATGAGCCAACCCAGGACTCTCCCTCGGAAAGCCACACCAACTCGCGTGGCTTGAACGTCCACTTCGGCGATTACTTCGGCCCATCATCCGGCTCGAATTCACATAGCCCCAGCAGCCCGGCGCTGTCCCGCAGACCTTCTGATGACGGAGACCACGATCCGATCTCATCGGGCGCGGCAACTCCCTACCATCCTCAGTATGCCGAAGTCGAGACTCTGAGTCGAGTCCCCAGTTACTCGACCGCTGTGCGCGCGGCCGTGGGTCCTTGTGACTCGGGTCTTCCCGACTACAACGCAGTGATTGCGAGCGACATGCCTTCGCCGCCGGTGCTCCAATCGCCGCAACAGGCTCACCTCCGGAGTGGCCGAAACAGCGGCCGAACTAGCGGAGTCTCCACTCCTTTCGAGGTGCATAATCGTCCCGGATACCTGCACCCTGGCATCAATGCTGACGACACGGAACACAGGCTACGACTAGTGCAAGCGCGCGCTAGAGCGTGACAGGTGACCATGACACCATAAAATCCTCGATTGAAGCTTTACACACGCCATCGCCTTAATTTCCCTTCCGACCTCCGCGAGCACTGCGGGTTCAGTGCTGGACACTGGTGCCCCAATCACCTTTTCTCTCTTCTCTTCCAGAGTGGAAATTTTTCTTCCAATCATACCCGCATTTCACGACACGGTTCATACACCTGGTCTTTCTCGGCGTTCGGTTACTATAGACAGGAGAAGATATATCATAGACATGATCATTTGCTTTTACGGGAATATGAAACAGCTGAATCGGAGAACCAGCCTCCACAGCACGAGTTACGCATGGATAACATTTTTTCTCAACCTGTAATTTAATCTCACCATATCGAATGGAAAGTGGAGCACCCGTCAATTTCCAACTTGGCAAGCTGTCTTCTTCCGTACACTATCAACGCCATTGTGGCATCGTGGAATGGACCGGTACTACGTGCGGCCGCATTCGAATCGCGGGGCTCCACAGTGGCACCAAACACACGGGGCGCGGTACGTGTTGAGCATCAAGAACTATAGCTATAGCTAGGGGCAATGATCATGCCACTCTTTTTCAATCCGTTATTCGTTGCCGTAATTCAAACAGACTCAAAATGGGTCACCAGAGTTGGGCAGCGGAGCGCCACAGACGCGGTCAGTGACCTCATCGACGGACGATCGGCGTAGAAGAATGCGAGCTCATCCCACCATTCCTTCGATTCCCACCATCGACCCCACCCATCGTCTGCGTTCAAGGCGCTTTGCACACGACTAGTCCGTCATCAGACTAGCGCTTGCCCGACGATTCGGGTTTTGAATCACAGCCACAAAAGTGCCACAGCCCACGATTCCCTATCCCGCATATCCCACTCCGTGTCGAAAGTTGAGCTGAGCTTTAAAAGGCATTGACTGTACACCTTACGATTCTACTTTGCGAGTCCGATCACGAGCATCCTTTTTATCAGCTCTTCTTGTCCCCCATCCCCGACCCCCCGACCCCGACTATCCGCCATGTCGTCCCCAACAAGCCCCGTGGATGCCAAGCTCCCTCAGCGGTCGGCCACCGTGAGCAGCGGCTTCACTCGCCGTACGTCTATGAGCGATGACGAGGCCATCCCCGATACCGATAGCACTGAGGTGGGTTCAGAGCGCTCTGTTGCGAGAACGTGCCGTTGGGCAGCAGCGGAGCCCCGCGTTGGGAATGATAGACTAACGACGTGCTCGTCCATGCAATATAGACTACCAATCTGCTAATCGAGCGTCTGCGTGCTTGGAAGCACATGTGCGGTAACCTTGAGGACTATGTCAACGCCTGCGCCAAGGTGTGCAAGTCTCAGTCTAAGGACCATGAGAAGATCCTCAAAGTCAGTGTCCCATTATGCCTGGGTTATGGTGATCTTTGAGCTGACTATATCCCTTTTTACCAGACCGTTAGCGACCCTTTGAAGGAGGGCCACCATTTCAGCTCCAGTGGTGGTGGTGTGACCGGTTTGTTCGAGAACATGCGCAACAACTCCCAGGTACGCATAAAACGGTCCAAGTCGATTGTTATGGGTGGTCACTAATGCTCCCAATTAGGGCATGGTGAATATGTACCTTGAAACCGAAAAGAACCTGAAGGGCAGTGTGCTCCCTACCCTGGAGCGTCTCCATAAGGAGATCAAGAACAAGTCCAAGGAGCTCAAGTCAGGCGCCTCCAAGGGCGCCAAGGCCGTGGAGAAGGCCCGCCAGACGACCCAGAAGCACATTGAGCTGCTCGGCCAGAACTCCGCCACGTTCGATGCGGCTGCTGGCAACAAGATTGATCAGCATCATGATCCCTACATCCTCAAGCGGGGCATCAACTACCGCCTCAACAAGCAGGTGATCGAAGAGAACAACCACCGCAATGACATCCTGGCTGTGCAGAACTCATTCCAGCAGTTCGAGGGACATCTTCTCCTGACCGCGCAGGGCGCCATGGAGCAGTTTTTCCTGTTCATGGGTGGCCAGCTGGAACGCCAGCGCGCCATGTACGCCGACATCTTGAGCACGGCTCAGCGCATTCCGCCAGACTTCGAGTGGGTGAACTTCGTGGTGCGCAACGACTCTGTCCTGGTCAACCCCGACTCGCCGCCCCGCTCATTCGAAAGCATCAGCTTCCCTAACATGGAGCACCGGTCCACTAAGCCCCTGATTGAGGGCTCGCTGGAGCGCCGCTCCCGCGCCGTCATCAAGGGCTACAGCACTGGCTACTATGTTGTCACCCCGGCTCGCTACCTGCACGAGTTCAAGAGCGACGACGACTTCAAGAAGGATCCAGCCCCGGAGCTGTCTCTCTACTTGCCCGACTGCATCGTTGGCGCTATCGACGGTGTCAAGTTCAATGTCAAGGGTAAGGACGTCTCCAGCAGCAAGGTCGGCAACGCCTTCCACACCAACACCGAACTCAGCTTCAAGGCTCACACCCCCAGCGACGCTGAGAAGTGGTGGTCGGTTATCAAGGAGGCCACCCGTGGCCCCGTTGCCTCGCCTGCAGCCTCCGCTGGCCCCTCGCGCAGCGCTTCCGCCAGCCAGCCCCCTATCTACGCCGAACAGGACGACGCGAAGGTGGCTGAGAAGGAGACCGAGAAGGAAGCCGAGAAGGGAGCCTCCCCGGAAGCCTCCCCGGAAGCCTCCTCGGCTGCTTCCCCCAGCACCAATGTAAAGGAAGCAAATGAAACCAAGGAGGCTGCCGGCCCCGGCCTCAGCCGTAGTGACACCACTACCAGCCACTTCCACACTTCTCCTGGTGGCTCAGCTGTTCCGGAAAAGCCCGAGGAGAAGGTCTAAGTGATATCATGCGATTGGGATCTTTGATTCCTTAGTCCTGCTTCTTTCTTTCTTGGATATGCCACCGAATACGTTTGGATTTCCATGATGTATTGATCCCTTTCGGTTGACATTTCGTTCCGGCCATTTTGTTTTCACAATCTCAGCGTGCCCTGGTAAATTGATCTACTCGTGGCTCGTGGGATGCATACAGTTGTTCCATATATACTTTGCCTAATTCTCTGCAAAATCTACGACTTCTAACGAGTTTTTTTCTATTTTTTAATCTCAACCAGGATGTTAATCGTTTACTTGATTGCGTTATATAGATATAGTCGAGTCGGGGATAGGATTCGATACCAAAGATGTAGGTAGATACGCAAAGAATTCCAAGGTCCGCTTGAAGAAAGTGCCCAAGTCGCTGAAATAAATTCACAATTTGTCGTGAGCTCATGTCTGATACACTAGTATAGGGGTTCGAGGAGATCATAGGGTGTGGGGGATGTCAGGCCACGGAGATGGCCAGTACACATAATAGATCAAAAATCCTCCGGACTTTCCAAGTCATGAAGTTTCTGCCCAAGAAACCTACCCAGAGCAGCACATTTGGACTCTAGGGCAAGCAGAACGGAAGGTGAAGCAGACAAGTTCAGACTAGCCAAGCGAGCAAGATCAGCACTGCGGTCGATCTCATGTTGGGCATCAAGATTGCCATTGCGAACGGCGGGGTTCGGAGATGCTGCCGTGGGTGTGTGGTGGCCATCGCCCTGAGACCCATCTGATGTGGCCCCATTCCCAGAATCACCTGTCACACCATCGACTATATCGTCGCCATTCGTTGCTTCTTCGTCGAGTTTGGATGGCCCCACAGCGGCTAGCAGGACTCTGTCGGCGATTCGGGTCACTACTGCGACTGACTCGTCCAGTTCGAAGACGATCGACCCCACATCGCCTAGTGACATGGACTGAGCTGTCACGTAGGATGATGGGTGGCTGGCGGGGTTTACGCCTGTTAGGTTGCCACTTGAGGCTGTCTTAGCGTAACATGTGTAGGCCGCACCGTAGGTTGCGCTGAGGTTTCGTAGTTGGCGGGAGGAGAGGCAGGAGCCGTAGGCGAAGACGGCACCGTTTGTGGCGAACACACTACAAGAAGACAAATATGTCAGTGATTTGCCAGAATAGTCAAGATGCAACATGGGGGTACCCACAGAATGGTCGTGATCTCCGGTGGGGATAAATTATCCTCCAGAAGGTCTCCCAGCGCCTCCGAGTCCAGCATCTTAATATCAGGAAGTCCAGGAATCATCGTGTCGGTGGCGTCAAGGCCGGTCGAAGTATGTCTTTGCACTTGGATGATGGGTATCTCCTTTATCGTTCGGCAATGCGCCTCCACGGACCAGTCCTTGGGCGGGGTCCACGAGCAATCCTCCGGAAAGAAGAAGCGATTATCACTATAGTCCTCGTCGTCGTCGTCGTACTCGATCGGCTCGTCGGAAGAGTCCAACAAATTCTGAGCACACTGCACACGACAGCGAGCCCAGTAGGGAAGGAAGTCGGGGTCGGTCTTCGGGGTAGCGGGATCGGGCTTGGAGAAGTAACCTGAGACTGGAAAGGGTTCGTATTCAGCCATCTTCAAACCCATTGTAGCAAATTCATGTGCGCAAGAGGGCCAGCGTCTATTTCATTCCAATGCAAGCTTAAGAGGGAGCACGAGTGCAAATCGTTCATAGCGGGCTCGAGGCCAGAAGGGGGCAGGGACAAGTGCAGACGGTGTTGACTCAGAGGTGACTCGATCCGGATGACAAGTCACGATAATTCCAGCCGCGCCCGGTGGCACAGAGCGAGCTCGGAGCAGAAAGGCAGGTTTTTATGAAGGCAGGGTAGGACGTGCAGTCATGGGATGCGCCGCGAGGCTCTCGCCAGGCACCACGACGATCGTACAGAACCGGGGGGCATCGTGAAGCCATGCGGGGCTTTGATTGGGGAGCAATGGGGACAGGGCGCAGGCAGAAGTACATTGACTGTGCTAAGCGCGGAAGTGCAAATATTGGAAAAAGCAAAGGGCCCAGGAGCGACACGAAACCGGGGAAGGAGGGGGGAGGCCAATAGCCGGTAGTGGGCGATCAGCCGGCAGTAGGGGCGTGCGGAGTGCAGAATGGAAAGGCAGACGAACCTTGTGGCGATCGTTAGAGGGTGGTGATGTAGAAGGCGTAGAAGGGTGAAGCGTCTAGGCGTCGAGAGAGAGCGCAGAAGGGCAAGGCCGAGAATGCGGGGCTGCGAGGTTGCACCGGTTGGAGCTCTTGGCTGCAGCTACCATGAACTATACAATGAAACGGCAGTGCATCTCTTCGCTTTGTGTATTATAGGTAGTATATCGGAGTGTTTACGAGGTATATAGAGAAGCATCGACAGTATAGGGCACCTCAGCCAATGTCATGCCGTGGAAGTCAGCGGAAGCTGTTGCGGTAGCGTCATCCGCCCCACATCGGACTTCTCCCCTCACGCAAAATTCCCCTTCTTCATAGCATGTTCTCCCGATTGCGTTTGTCCTCAAGGGTACTCACTCCTTTCTCTATTCCTGGTAATGTCCCCTGTCTGTGTCAAATAGCCAATCACTGACCGTTGTAGTGCGAACCTACACCATGGCGTCCGATACTTCTACCTATAAACTCAACCGTTTGTAATCATTCTCCGCCCTCCCAGTTTGACACTAACACCATGGCCAGATACAATGCTGCGGGTCAAGGACCCCAAGCGATCGGTGGAGTTTTATGAGTTCCTCGGCCTTAACTTGGTCAACAAACTGGACTTCCCCGAGTGGAAGTTTACCAACTACTTCCTCGCCTACAACGGCCCGGCCTCTCTCCAGGGTGACTGCCACTGGACTGACCGCAACGCCGTCTTGGAGCTCACTCACAACCATGGCACCGAGAACGACCCCAACTACAGCGTCGTTAATGGTAACACCGAGCCACACCGGGGCTTTGGTCATCTCGCCATCTCCGTGGACAACATCGAAGCTGCCTGCAAGCGCATTGAAGATGCCGGCTATCCCTTCCAGAAGAAATTGACCGAAGGCCGCATGCGCCATATTGCCTTCGCTAAGGATCCCGACGGATACTGGGTGGAGATCATCAGACGCGCCGACGAGGATATGTCTGCCGCCACCGACCCCAGCACCTACCGTCTGAACCACACCATGTTGCGTGTCAAGGATGCGGAGGCCAGCTTGAAGTTCTACCAGGAGAAGATGGGCATGACCCTGGTCCGTACCATCGAGAACCCAGATAACAAGTTCAACCTGTACTTCCTGGGATACCCCGCTGCCAACCCCGAGATCAAGGAGGGTGCTAAGAACAATGTCGCGGAGTGGGAAGGCCTGCTGGAGCTGACCTGGAACTACGGAACCGAGAAGCAGGAGGGACCGGTCTACCACAACGGTAACACGGAGCCGCAGGGATTCGGCCACATCTGTAAGATCCACTGTACCATGGGTGTTTTTTCTTCCATTCTAACCAATGACCGCAGGTGTTTCGGTCGACGACCTCCAGGCGGCCTGCGAGCGCTTCGAATCGCTCAAGGTCGACTTCAAGAAGCGTCTGACTGACGGTCGGATGAACAATGTGGCGTTCCTTTTGGATCCCGATGGATACTGGATCGAGGTGATCCAGAACGAGCGGATCAAGCGCACCTCCAACTGGTAGAGTAGACATTCCCTAGCTATAAATATATACGAATCTAGCAAGGGTAGTACAACTAGTCGCAAAACGTAGTGTCCGCGTGAGTCTAAAATGGGGCACCAGGCTTATCATGCATCGTCTCATAGGCCCGCGCCGATGGACCGAGGTGGACCCTTTCCCCTCCCCGACGAACATTTTGCGCCTGGTCCAAGGCCTCTTTTATCTCCAGACTTCTTTCAGATCCGTCGCACATATAGCACGATGAATGCGACTGTTCAAACAGACGCAAGATGACTTAACACGTTCTCGGTGACTCTTCAGCCTGGGCTCCGACTGCGCTCCGACTGCGCTTGCGACCCCAACCCCGACCCCAACGTCACCCCCACGCGTTAAATCAGATCGCCAATCGTTCTTCCAGATCCAGAGTAGGGAATCTTCCGAACCATGTCGCCCGAGCCCGAGAAGCCGAAGAAAGCTCCTCGAAAGCACGTCACGACCGCCTGCGTGCCTTGTCGAGAGAGCAAGGTCAGAGTATGTACTTCCTCGTGCGGGGATCGGCGCCGGCATCTAATCAGCTCCAGTGCGACGGCTCGACGCCACACTGCCAAAATTGTCAGCGAAAAGGAAAGGACTGTAAATATCAGCATGGCGATGACAAGCGGAAGTGGGTATATGCCTTTTTTTTTTTTTTTTCTATGCATGAATTGGATCGGCGGCTGATGCGGGGGTGCATTGTCGATATCCCGATAGAAAAGACGCATATTCGGCTGACACATATGCTAGAGTATCCCTTCGAGCTTCCACGGAGCTATTCTCCGCGAGAATTGATCAGCTCGTTCAATTCATACACGATCAAGGGCTAGAGCCGCCACCCATGAAGGCCGAAGATGAAGCCGGCATGAACAGGGTCCTGGACACTCTGCAAATCTCCCGCGGTATCGCTATAAGTACAAGTCTCGTAGAAGATGACAGGAAACCAGCGGAGACAGCTTCAACCGGTGTTTCGGGCACATCTCCCGTCCAGAGTCCACCCAGCACAACTCCAAATGGACAAGTCCCGCAGGGAGTCGATGTAGCAACTCCCGGCTCATTGACTTCGCAGGGGATCGCCCTCGGTCAGCAGATGCCCTCTGTGGAACCCTGGAACCCGTTTGGAATGGTACGGGGAGCATCTGATAATCAAAACTTTGTCCATTGGGGGTTTACCCTTCCCACTGCGGAAAGTCTGGATACCATTTACGCCAATCTCAATGGAGCGGCACCCGGCATGCCAGTCAATCCCGGGCCGAGTCCGGATAGTTTCCAGCTTGGTGTGGATATGGCTCAGCAGCCTGGCGTATTAATGGGCCGGATGCCTGTCGACCACCCAACCCATGAGTCTGACAGTGAAGAAGAGAACGAGGCTGAGAACGATGTCATTGAACAGCTTTCTAATCGAATCGGCACATTGAAGATTGCAGGAGATGGTCATTTGCGGTTCTACGGTGCTACTTCCAACCTCAACTTGGTGGATGTGTCCGCGACGCAACAAAGACAGCGGCCTGATGCGCGTACTGTTCGCCATGATGGTCAGGATATTTTGAACCATCTTCGAGTCGGCCAGCCGGTTGATCAGGTCTTGGAAGATCATCTCGTCGAACTTTACTTCACATGGCAGAACCCGAGCATCTACGTCGTTGACAAGGAGATGTACATGACCGCGCGGTCCAAATGGCGGAATGAATATGACGATACTCCCTTCTATTCAGAAGTCCTCACCAATGCCATGTATTTTTGAATCTATTTGTTTATGGCTGTTCGGTATGCTAACTGGTCTCCAGGTGTGCCATTGGAAGCGCCTTCGAAGCCCGATACCATCCTACTTTCATCACATTCCCCAAATCCTTGGCCGAGTTCTTCGCAGACAGGGCAAAGGCCTTATTGGAGATCGAACTCGATTCTCCGTGCGTTGCAACAGTTCAAGCCCTTGTCCTTATGAGCTGCCACGAGGGAGCATCAAATCGTGACGCCCGTGGCTGGCTGTACAGCGGGATGTCGATGCGGCTTGCCTTTGACCTAGGCTTACATATCGACATGACACCATATGTCAACCGAGGTGATATGAGCCCACATGAAGCCGATGTCCGGCGAGCTGCATTCTGGGGCAGCTATGTTGCAGACCATTTCTGGGGATTCTACCTGGGCCGCCCATTCCGCATGAATGCCGGAGACATCACCGTTCCCAAACCTGCTTCTACCCTTGGGGCTGAGAAGGAAGGGACATGGTATCCATATGGACTTCAGTCTACCTCTCATGCACTCGAAAACGGGTTAAAGAACCCAGCTGAGCTGGTCTGCAGACAATTTGCTGTGCTCTGGGAGATGATTTCTCCTGTTGGACATATCCTGTGCGTATCTGCCACCTTGCAGATGGTACCTTTCTAACGTGAACCTAGATACGGATGTTCCGAAATCTCTCGCCATGACTTGCAGAGGCTCACCTCGCAGGTGACCGAAGACCTCTTTGCTTGGAAGGCTAATCTGCCGTCGACTCTCGATATCGATTTGGATGATGATACGACACCTAGACTGCCTCATCTTCTGATGCTCCAGTAAGCGCATACGACCAAGCTACGAGGAAATTATCTCGATTGCTAATAAAACAAAAGTATGCAATACCACCAGATCATCATTTTCTTCCACCGGCCCTGGGTTTCGAAAAGCTACATCCAGCCGCGCAGCCCTCGCCAAGGACGTGGATACCACCATGCACGACGCATGTGCGTCGAGTCCGCCACAGCAGTCGCACGCCTCCTTCACATCTATGAAAAGCACTACTCGTTCCGACGAATGAGCAACCAGGTCGTAGCCATCATTTTCAGCGCAGCACTAATGCTGCTCTTCGTCACGGTGTCCAGCTCGCCTCTAATGCCCACCGAACCAGGCGACCTGAACCAGCCGCACCCACGAAATGCGGAGATGGTGGCATACCTTAACCTCTGCTTCCGCGCCCTGGACGAACTAGGCCAGTCCTTTGAGAACGCTAAGCGCACACGCGACTACTTGGTTACCCTCCAACGGCGCTGGCAAGCACATATGCGCCGCTCTGGCCCGCGAGCTAAACGACAAATCAGCAGCGCCAACCTTCCCGCTCTATCGCATCACACCGCGTCATCACAGCCAACTCGGAATGGCCATGAGTCGGATGCGCGCAAGAAGACCCGCGTAGCCGATAGTAATGCACCCCGTCCACGACACGGCTCTACCTCAACGGGACTCCCTCCTACCGCCAATCGAACCTTCCAGCCTCAGCCCCCATCGCAACAGAATCAACACTCTTATGAACAGCATTTCTCTGCACCTTCGGTCCAGCCAGGGGATCTTGACTGGATCCGCAACTCTGACTTCACTCTTCTGTCCGATACCCGCGGCAGTGGAAGCAGTGCGAATCCAATGGGCGGTATATCTACACCCCAGTTCGTTGGCGATCCAGGCATGCTTCCAGATCTGGGAGATATGGACGGGTGGTGGGGGTCACCAAATGGGGATCCCGGGCGTGGGGGATCATCTATATAAAATCGGTTGGCACTGGAGTACATGGATATTGGATATATGGGACTAGACGGACATGGCGCGTTTTGGTACACCTGTATTTGGGATACTGTATCTGGAGTATATTTTCTCCATTTATAATATGGCAGTTATGTAAAGAATCTTAATCCCCTTCTATCGACCCGTCAAAAACACCACCGAGCCAGGCCGCTGCCTCTTTATCTGGGCTACCGTTAACCCGCGATAACGTCACCTTCTTCTCCCCAAAACCCTTCTCCCGACCCCAGAAACACGCCCGACGCATAACAGAAACTATCTCCTCACCCTGCTTCTCAAGGACCGTGGGCATTGCATCAGCAACCTTATGTCCCGTCAAACGACCCGCAGACTCCTCGCCAAACCCATCAACCTCATTCCGCAAAAAAACCCTCACCCAAGGTAAAGTAATCTGCAACCGACCAATCCCATGCCCGGGCCCGGACCAAGTCTTTCCACTTAGCCCATAATCCAACCCATACGGCGGCCAACGAGACAATGCCTTCCGGCGACGTACAACCGGAGTAGAAGCTTCCAAATCGGCCTGTGCATCACCATCTGGATACACATCTCTATCCCACAAAGACCCATCCGCCGCCGCGTGCTGCTCTGCGGATGTCGACTTGCGGGTATTTTTAAGCGTAGGCACGGGGTATTCTGGACCTGTGAGATAGCGCGGGAATGCGCGCGGTATATCGCGGCCTGCGGAGCGGAGGAAGAGGATTGGAGATGCGAATGCGTCGAAGCATCGCTCTGGCGAGGCGAAAAATTTTTCGCGCGCTTGTAGAAGGGGGATCAGGTCTGGGGGCGTGGACCGTGATGATCTTGCCTTTGGGGGTCGTTTTGATCGGATCCTTGATCCATGGTGGCTGTCACTTGAACTGGTGCTAGATTCGGCTTCTTCTGCGTCTTCGATTGCGCAGTATTCGTCTAGCCCGGGCCAGTCGCATACAGGCTCGTGTGCTGCGACTGCTTGGACCGATTGTGCTTCTGTGAGCGCTAGCATTAGGGCTAATGAGCCGCCGATGTGAGACCCGAATACCACCAGGCAGGCGGGCTCAAGGTGCTTCTGGATCCAGTCAAATCCAACGAGTGTGTCGTGTACCGGGTTCGGGTACTTGTAGAAATCTGTCTGGGCATCGCTTGCAGAGACTGCTTTTTCGGGACTTGAATCCTGCTCTTGCTCTGAAGCCGTCTTTTCAGGCAAGATATTTGTCCCCTCCGGCCTGCCAAGGCGGTAGTTGACCGTGACTACCGTTGCGGAGGTCGCGGAGGCCAAACGGTGCTGCGGCGAGGACTCAGCAGAGTCTGCATTGAACAAGTCAATCTCTCTGCGCGCATCAAATGAGGCTGAATTATCCTGAGCAGGATCTGCAGCAGGCCCTTGAAACAAGGGACCCGGTGGCAGATAGAGAATTACATTTGGCCCCGATGAAAATTGGCTCTGGGCATGTGAATACGTGGCCGGTCGCGTCACTCTAGCATCCATTTAGAATCCGCATGCATACAAAAGAAAAGTCAAGCTCATACCTCAGTTCAATCTCTCCATTGTTGCCGATAGGGAGCGCGAATGTTTCATCAATACAGCCAGCCGACGCGGTGTGGAATCGAACCGCTTGGAAATAAGTTACGGAAATGAAGGCACTAGTTCGACCCCCTGTGGATATTCGAAAAGCCAAATGGCGCGAATGGTGAATCAGAGGGCGCATAGCGCCATTGGAAGATGCGGCTGTACAGGATGAAGATCGCGGGGGTTGAGGCGAAGGGGGTTTATTGACTGCTGAAAATAAAAACCACAAATGGACGCACGCGTAAGGTGTATTTGAATGACCCTTTGGTTTCAGAGAACCACAAATATGGGATAAGAGTTAAAAGAAAAAAGGTAAACCCGGTCCTTTGGGGTTCAGTTCAAGTAAAGGAATACGTAAGTGAGCAAAAATAGAGCGATGCGCTTGCGGAGAGCCGAACCTGAACTCAACTTGAATGTTAGTTACCGCTATACGTGGGTTACTAATCTGTGGTTCTTCAGCTCTTCTATCTACACGGTCGCACCATTTACGTTGATACCTATTGTAAATAAATCAATGAGGTCGACTGGGTGAATTATAGAATTGTATCCAAAATTTGAATATCGTACGGTCCCTTGCAAATAATAATTGAAAAGTCGTAACTGTCTAGTAACACGAATCCGAAATATGGCCATTACATAGCAGCATAATACAATCGGCTCAATTGCAGACTAGATACAAAAGAAACCTCGAGATAGATTAATCGTGAACGCCACAAAACATCTTCTCAGTAGTTGCCGATACTGCAGGATCATCCCGATCCAGAGGAGCCTCCATATCGTCCTCTGGAACAGGGTGTGCCACTTCCAAGCTGAGATTGGGGTTTTTGGAGTAGACTCGAAGCCCAACTACGCAAACCGCATTCCACGGATCAGCAGCAGGTCCATCCAACTCGGGGAATTTTCGTGGTTGCTTGTGATCTGCCTCGTCGGCCGGCATATCGAGGTCGGTGTCGAACTCGAATCCGTCCAGCAGTTCGAGATCACTGATATCCAGACTCTCATTGGCAAGGCGCGTATTGAGACTCGGGCGCGGAGACTCGGTTCGCTGCCTTCCAGAGCCACTGGCGTGTCGGGCATGGAGGCCATTGAACTGAATGGTTGGGACTGACCCGTTGATGGTCCGCCGTCGTTCACTGCCATCGCTGGAGATGCTCGCGACATCAGTGGGCGATTCTGTTGGCCTATCGTTTAGAATCTGCTTGGGAATCGAGGAGCGCTCGAGGCCGTTGGGAAGTTGACTGGGGCGACGGGCTTCCTGGCGTTGTTGCCGGGCAGTCATCTTGCGCTCACGGATCCAGTCCTTTTGCATCTTTCTCTTGGTTTCATCGCGGATCTTTTTGCGCTCGGCAGCCTTTCGTCTTTCATTTTCGTACCGTTCCTGGTCGGTCTCGGCCACCAGGCCCTTGGCATGCGCAAGATCATACGAGAGTCCGACCTGTACGAGCTTCTCCCTCCTACTCGAAGCAAGACGGCGGACAATCTCTTCGGTCGACTCGACATCTTCGTGCCGGAAGGCAGTAATCTTCATCAGCACATGATAGCGACCTGGGTCAAGGTTGATCTCGGCATTCACTGATCGGCCCATTAAGTGGCTGCTGTGACTGCGCACGATATAGTCTTCCTCGTCTTCCTTCTGAAGACGGAACTTGAGGACGAAGCTATACTCGCCGGCTAGGCCCTTGAAGTAACGAGCATCCAGCTGAGACAGAACAATGACTACAGGGCCAGCCTGGGTCACATTCATGATGAATTTGGTACCGTGGTAATCAGCGGACCAGGGCACGTTCAAAGTGGTCCATTGCTGAGTGATGGTCCATTCGGGGCCGAAGAGGCGCGTCCGGTCGAAATGTTGGTATTTTCTGAGAAGGTCTGCATAACAGATCCAGAAGAAGCCGTCATTGCCAAACTTGTGGCCGAGGAGCTCCATCCACTCTGCTGTCCATTGCTCGGAGCCGTCGCCCCATGCACCATGCCATTCCTTCTTACCCCAGGGGTTTCTCAACCGAAGAAGACGATGTCCCCTGATCTCGCGTGCCTCCATGATTGAGTACGAATGATTCTCCGAGATTCCTTTGCGTTCTCGTGGAGGCCCATTATAGCCAGGATCCAGCCAGTTGGAAAAGAGTCCGGTGCCACAGCCAAACAAAAACTCCTCGTTTACTTTCATCAGTTCTTCCGTCCAGAAGCGGTCCTTGTCCAGGATGTTATTAGAGAGTACTTCGGATGTGACACCTCCAGTCAGATCCTCGATGGCTTCTCCAACGAAGCCACCCTCGATAGCTGAATAGTCGCCGTGGGCTTTGGCGAATGCCTTCTCCAGCAGAGGAAGCCAGGTCTCATTGGGATCCATGCACTGCGCAAAGTAAAGCGCGCGCGAACCCGTCTGCCAGACCCGTCGATACTCCTCTTCGCTGTCGGTGCGGTTGATGTCGTCCCAGGTCTGACGCTCATCAATTGATTCATCGTAATCCGCCGCGCGCAGATATAACTTGTCGTCCACGATATATTGTTGCCATTCACCATCTAGTCGTATCGTGAGTCGTTGGGATTGCTAAGAGTGCTGGGGCGGGCTTACCACGATAGAACACAAACCCATAGATGCCGATCTTCTCATTGCGAGCAACGCACATCTTCTCGATCAGGCCCTTCTTGTTGCCCATGGTACACAGCGCCGCCATAAGCCAGCAGTCACCGTCATAGCCCTGGCGGACATCTGACGCTGTCGGCCCGTTCACGAAAAATTGCGGGTTTTCGAAGATTTCCTGAGCCGGTCAGCGATTCTCTACGCTACTTCCTTCAATGCCGCGGCATATCAACGTACCGTAACTCTCTTCACGCCTCGCGGTCTCATCTCCTCATTGACCTTGTCAAGACCATCCAAACAGTGTCGCCGACCAGACTTGAGATCCAGCTCAATATCAAAGTGCGGATCGGTATACTTCTGATTTACTCGCTGGCATTCCTTGACAATGCGCTCAACTGACTTCTGGCATTCCCGTTTGGCCTGTTCATACGACTTGACGGCCTCGTGGCCCTGGATCACCCCGTTGGGCACGCGCTTGGCCCTTGTACGAGCGTACGGGTTATCTGGCAGCACGGTATATACCTTGCCAGGGTACTTGGTGTTAAATTGCTCCCAGAACTGCTTGACACACTCCTGTGGTGCCTGCGAGCGTGCACGATGCGGAGGCCGGCTGTTAGAGCGTGACGACGGTGGCCGGTTGAGAGCACCGTAGCCCATATCGTCGAATTCATCCCTGGTGGGCATAATGCACAAAGTTGGATGCTGAAAAAATATGTCTTACCCCTGACAGATACGGGAAATTCTTCACCTTATGTAGTGCTGAGCACTTGGACGATCACATAAGACCGAGTCGAAAGCAGGCTGTACAGCCCTAAATACTCCTCTTTCCCCACTACGATACCGACCACTGCATGGCCTCCGCCCCAGCCAGCCCGGCGTTGCCGGGACAGAATCGCCCTTCAGCGCGCACCGTATTGGCGGGTAATATTTCCAGGGTGCTTTCCGTAAGGCTGCAGGGGTGCGTTAGACTCGCGGTGGGTTGCAAATCAAGAGGTACAATGGCCGGACCCCGCGCGGCCCCCAAATTCCCGTCTTTTTCAGCAGAGCGAACACGGCCCCCAACAGCCCTAGGCGTGGCGCAGAAATCATGGAAGAATACCCAGACCATGCACGATGATTGCCAGCCGGGTCGGACGTTTCCAATAATAAGCAGTTGCGATGTTAGCGTACGGTTTTGGCTTTGTTCCAAGTGGGGCGCCTTTCAGCTCTGACACGAAGCCCATCTCCCCGCTAACTGCCTGATTGGGCGCGACGACCCTGTAGCGGTGTTTCACAGGTTGACGTCCGAAGGTACGGGTGGTGTGGCCATGTGGACTGACATAGCGGCATTGAGGCTGACATGCAGGTCGTGCCCTGGCAGCTGTCGATTTATCAGCACTTTTTAGCTTAAACCGTTATGAAGCATCCGGCTAATGGTCCAAAAGGGGTATGTACGCCTTGCATTTGACTGAAAGCATTTGTATCAAAATAAGCCCGCCCGCCTAGTCACTCCCCCCATGAACGCCAGATACATAGAAGAGAAAAATGAAACAAAAGAAACGCATTTCCCCGGGGCATCAGCTTCGTGTGCGGTCCTCTGACGTTGAATGAATAAGGCTACACGGAATAGATCTGAAACAAGATCATATTAGTGGTAACCGTTGCGCGTGGTAGTGCGGCCCGAATAGTACGAGCTGCCATTTCGGAAGTAGGGATGCATGCAGGCCTGTTTCGCCGAGAGACGGTGGGCTGGGTCGTACTCGAGTAGGGCCTCCAGCAGCTCGAGGCCAGCCCGCTCCAGTCCGGGGACAATGGGGGCGTCGGGTCGCTTCCACTTGGGGAAAGTGGCCTTGTAATCGGGGAATGAGGTGACACCGGGCCAGATCTCTTCGTCGGGGGTCCCGAGGACACTGTAGAAAAGGAACATTAGTGGATGAAAACATGCAGCATACAGATGAACACTCACCGGAAGATCTTGAAGATCTCATCAATCTCCGAGTCACCGGGGAACAGGGGCTTCCGAGTGCACATCTCAGCGAAGATGGCGCCGACGGACCACATATCGACACCGGTGGAGTACTGGCGGCCTCCAAGCAGAATTTCGGGAGAGCGGTACCACAGTGTAACGACCTGAGATGAATGTATCAGTAAGGCGGGACGGACAGCAACTGCAGGGTCCAGTGCTTACCTCGTGGGTGTACGTGCGCAGCGGGACACCGAATGCTCGGGCCAGGCCAAAGTCGGCAAGCTTCAGGTTACCCTCGCGGTTAATGAGCAAGTTTTGAGGCTTCAAGTCACGGTGCAGGATGCGGTGGCTGTGGCAGTATCGAATACCCTCGACCAACTGGGCCATGAACTTCTTCACCATGGCATCGCCCAGACCGAGACCTGCCATTGACACGGACCCATCGGGAAGAGCCTTGCCACGACCGCCCTCGCTAATCGGCAGTGCCTCCATGTATTTCTTCAGGTCGCAGTCGAGGAACTCGAAGACGAGGTACAGCTTGTGACCATCGGCGTGGACGATGTTCAGCAATTGGACAATGTTGGGGTCCTGCATTTCTTTGAGGAGAGAAATCTCGCGTATGGCGGTGCTGGGAACGCCCTCATCTTCGGCCTCCAGTCTGATCTTCTTCAAGGCAACAATTCGGTTTGGATGGTTTAATTCGCGGGCCTTGTAGACGACACCGTACGTGCCTAGAGACGAAAGACGCGTGAGTCAAGTTCCGACAAGACAATATCAACAACAGCGTCAACAACACGTACCTTCACCGATTTTCTCAATTTTTTGGTAGTTCTCCATGGCGGCGGCGACGTCTGATTCAGCTCTGCTCCCAAACATGTTAGGAGAATGACAGGGGGCGGAGAAAGTAGGGGAGACGCAGATTGGACGGATAAAGGAGCAATGAAGGAGAAGCAAGGAGGGACACGGGGGGTAAGGAACCAATGACACTAACATGTAATCGGAAGTCAATCTCTGAGACCACTGAGCAAGTCAAGTGAGGTCTCAACACCAAAAAGATGTCGAAATTTGTCGGATTGAAGATATTCACCAGCAGGATCGTTACAATGGTGGGGAGCAAAAACAAACAACCCCCCACGCGCAGGCGGTGAGCGCGTGCCTTTCATGTCTCTCTCCGCCGATCTGTGTCAACCGCATCGCCATGGCCCAAATCAAAGGCCTCGATGCCCACGACCGCCCGCCGGAGGCCGTCCGGCTTTGTTTCAAGAAATATTCTAGGCTTCCTCTGTCCGAAATCGACAATGATCCCGGCATCCTCGATCTCCAGGGTGTTGATCCAGATAATCTACCTCCGAGCCTGACCATCTCGCAGTACATGTCGAGCCAGGAGCTCCGGCTGGCATTCGATGACTTCATCCGCGGGGGACATGCCTCCGGTCAGGACCAAGCTCCCTTGGCGGAGAACATGCCGGTCTATACCCACAATGCAGTTTCCGGTCAGCCTCGACTTTCTCGGTTCTCTCCGAACTAACACCGCAGCCCGAAGAACCTCTCCTAACCTTCAACAGGTCTCCTGATGATCCCCTCTATATTCCCTCCCACCGTCCAGTCCGAACTGGTATCACGTTTGCTCCACCGGGACCTTCCGAACCCCGAACATAAAACCAATCTTCATCTGCATTACGACGTCACATACCCGGAAGGAACAGACAGTACTGCGACCACGAAGTCGTTCTTCGCAGATGACCCAACACGTACACTGCAGCCAAAGGACCCGCAGGTTCATTTGCCCCTGTCCATCCAGAATGTGCTCGAGAAGAAGCTCCGCTGGGTCACTTTGGGCAGCCAGTACAACTGGACCGACGAAGTCTACCCTACCGAAGCTCCGCCACCATTCCCGCAAGACGTTGCGAATTTGTTGAAAGCCGCATTCCCCGAGACCGAGGCGCAGGCGGCAATTCTGAATTTGCATTCAGCTGGAGACACCCTCAGTATGCATCGAGACGTCAGCGAGGATTGCGATGTAGGCTTGATCAGCGTAAGCTTCGGATGCGATGGCTTGTTTCTCGTGAGCCATGATGATGGGAATGGTGCGGAGATTATTCGACTTCGATCAGGTGATGCCGTGTACATGAATGGAACGTCGCGCTTTGCCTGGCATGGAGTCCCGAAGATTTTACCCTCTACTTGTCCGAACTGGTTGGCGGACTGGCCGTCTGCTGGCGGTGATGCGCCCAGTGTTCTCATAGATCCTTATGAGATGTGGAAAGGGTGGATGTCCAGCAAGCGGATCAACCTTAATGTGCGGCAAATGACTACTTCTCATGCTTCTTGAGACGCCAATCGTCCTAAGTGAGCTGTGCTATTTCTGATACCGACAGATCCTTGACCGTATGGCCTTGAAGTATTCACAAACGTATACCACTGGTTGCATGGATTATATTCCCATAATGAACGGATACGGGGAGATCAGGGCCAGCAATCTTCCTGGGTACGAAGGAGAGACTCCACCATCGAAACCAAAAGATGACCTGTCGAACCGTCAGTTAACGAAAACACTGCGGTTTTTCTTTGTCAGTGCCCAAGATTCCCCGGCCCCATGCCACTCAATCCACGGACAACCCGAGGCCTTTTGTTCTAATTTAGAGATGATGTCTGAGAATATGGCGGGACACCCTCGTCGTGTACGATCAGATCAAACGTGACAAATTAGATAGAAGGAATACGACATGACAATTGCTGTACTTCTAATGGTTCCGAGGCTGTATCTTGATAAGGCCCCGTCCGTCTCCAACTGACCCCGACGACCCTACCCCGCGCGATAAGCCGGGGCAACATAAGTAGAGCGTATCTGACACCAACACCTGCTGCATGATATCAAATAGTCATACTCAAAATGATTCACTCGACTTGGAGAGTTCAAGGCGAGGCCAAGCGCCAATCGATCCTCAACGCGATCCCTGACAAATGGCGACTCAAGGAGCCCGTCCCTACACTTACTGAACAGCGCGATGTCACTGGAGCTTATATCCAACAGTTCCTCAGTGAACGCGAAGTTGAAATCACAGAGTCCGATGCTGTTGACATCGTCGCTGAGACAACAGCAGGGCGCTGGTCGGCCGTCGAAGTGACCGAGGCCTTCTGCCATCGCGCGGCACTTTCTCATCAACTGGTACACACCGATCAGGCACTAAATATATCCAACCAAAGCTAACCAGTCAAACAGGTCAGCTGTCTGCATGAAATATTTTTCGACGCGGCAATCGAAGATGCAAAGAAACTCGATGCCTATTTTGCGGAGCACAACGCACCCGTCGGCCCATTGCACGGCCTCCCAGTCAGTCTAAAAGACCAATTTCACGTCAAAGGCGTGGAAACCACCATGGGTTATGTAGGCTGGATCGGCACTTTCCAAGGCCAACGCGAAGATCCACGCCGAGCAACAAAGGAAAGCGAGCTCGTGAGAGAGCTGCGCAACCTCGGCGCCGTACTGTACTGCAAGACCAGTGTCCCAACGACCCTGATGGCCGGTGAAACCGTCAACAACATCATCGGCTACACTTGGAATCCAAAGAACCGGCTCCTGTCCTGCGGCGGTAGTTCGGGTGGCGAGGGAGCGTTGCTTGCATTGCGAGGATCACCCGCTGGCTTTGGCACTGACATCGGTGGCAGCGTGCGCATCCCTGCCGGATTCAACTTCCTGTATGGATTACGGCCTTCTTCGGGCAGAATACCATACGAGAGCGCTGCGAACTCCGCGGACGGGCAGAGTACTATTTTGTCGGTTATTGGACCACTTGCGCCGACTGCTCGATCTTTGACTTTGCTGTTTAAGGCTGTTCTCACTCAAGAGCCGTGGCTTCATGATCCGCTCGCGCTTGAACTGCCGTGGCGGAATGCTATCGTTGAAGAGACACGGTCTTTGATTGAACAGGCGAAAGGCGGTTCTTCGTCCCTTGCCTTTGGCCTTATGCCTTACAATGGCGTGGCTCGTATCCATCCGCCCATTGCACATGGGTTGAAACTTGTCGAGCAGACCCTGAAGCGGCTCGGGCATAAAGTCATACCTTGGAATCCACCGTCTCACGAACGGGCTCACGAGATAGCTGTATGTGCTCGTGGTGTCAATTACAAAGCACTATAGTAGACAACGCTGACATGCAACAGGCCAAAACATTCGATATGGACGGCGGCGCGGACTTCAGACACCACTTCAGTCTGTCCGGGGAAACCCAGGCGCCACAGGTCATCGTCCAGGAAAACGGCACCCAGCTGACAGCTTCGGAGATCGCCGCGCTCAATGTCGCCAAGCGTGAGTACCAGAAAGAATACATGGACTATTGGAACAGCACGGCACTTTCAACTGGCACTGGTCGTCCCGTGGACGGATTCTTCTGTCCATTGGCGCCACATGCAGCCGTTATACCAGAGCAGTATAAGCATGTAGGCTATACGTCGTTTGTGAATGTGCTGGATTACAGCAGCGTATCTATTCCGGTAACCTTTGCCGACAAGACCGTTGATGTTGAGAAAGACTCGGGTTTGTCTGAAGAGTATATTGACTGGGACTGTGAGTTTATTTCCCGGCGTTTTTCCAGATTTCGTGGCTAATCCGGATATAGATGATGCTGATACCTATCATGGAGCGCCTGTTGGTGTTCAACTGGTGGGGAGAAGATTGCAGGAGGAAAAGATGCTGACACTTGCGGAGTATATTGGGGAGGAGATCGTCCGCGATGTCGGTCGACCTTAGATGAGATATGTCGAGAAGCTATTTCAACTGATGGTTCCTATATTCTAAACTTTGAAATTTTTACTGGGGATGTATGCTGTAAAGCGGGCGTCTTATACTATGGCAATGCATCTTGTTTGAAGCTCGTTTCTCTTTGATACAGATGTATGACAAATGATATTTGCTTATTTTTTTCAATGGTAATGCTGCTGTACACGAATATATGCCATGGTGAGTGTCGAAGACGGAGATATTGGCCTCCCCACAGCAAAAGCAAAGTTTATTCTCCCGTTGGAATGTTACAAAGGAACTAGTGTTGTTTCCGTATACCTTGCGTGAGCGGCAACAGTCAGTCCCGAGAAGAAGACGGAGGCGTCTGACTGGAAGGCGCAGCCAGGTTGGAGAGGTTCGGAGTGGAGGTGTGCCAGGGACCAGGAGGCTTGTTGGTGGGTGGCTCGGAGGATGGTGCACTCGGGCCGTCAGATCCATTCATCAGTCTCGGACGTTTATTCTGTAGGCCCGGGCCACTGCCACTCGGCGGACTGCGGGGATCGGTATGGGAGTAAGGAGAGGCGTAGTTCATGGACGAGGCTGGCGTTGACGTATTTGCGGGATCAGGACTCATGGCGACCGGAGCCTGTAATGGACGCAAACGATTTGGATGAGACGAGGTATCCTCGCCTGGACGCGGAGGGGCAACGTCGGGACTTTGGCGCCGACCATTATCTGATTCCATGAAACCGCCGGCATTCACGCCATAGCCCACTCCAATGCGGCCCATGCTCTTGTCGTGCATGACAACACGCTTCCACTTGGCGACCACGTTGTCGTAGTCCCACCGTGCCGAGTCGGGGCTAATATGGCTCTCTTTTGCGTCCAGTTCTCGTGTTATGTCTCTTGACAAAGGGAGCGTGTCTGGTGGGAATAGAGCAAATTCACGAGGCCATTGACAAGCCCCGAGGCGCTCAACTTGGGCACGCAATTGGTTCGCTTCCTGCTGCACTCTGGCAAGCTGCTCATCCAAAGTCTTGCGTTTCTCAATTTCGCGTGCGAAAGCACGTGTAATCTCCAGTTGCCATGCTTCGCGGCGAGACTCATGAGGAAGTGTGCTCCAATGATTGAAGGCAAGGTCCAGGTGCCGAAAGCTGACTTCCTCATGCTGTTGTGCTGTACGGTATATCATTCCATTTTCGAGGCCGCCACTTGAATATCTCGAGCGGGATGTGGGGTCCGCCGCAATCTGATCAGACTGCCACTGTGCGATCTTGGAACGAAGGGCTTGCCGAACGATATCGAGGTGCTCCGCACCGGGAGCTTGAAGCGGAAATGATGCAGGAGAAGGGAATGGGTGGGACGCAAATAGACTTGGAGGCGGGGGAAGGAGGTGTAGACACAGAGAGGGGAATGTCTGAGCCTGGAGATCGAAGTCGAACGGAGATGGCCGAGGTCGAAAGCCTGAAGTAATACTAAATCAAAGTGAGCTTCAGCTTGAAGAGAGCAAGTGAGTAGATGTTGCATACGTCGCAGCCTTGATATTGTCCAGCACCTCGCGCAATGCCAACTCCAGCGCCTTCATGGTATCCGGGTTGTTTGCCGTTGCGCCCCGACTCGCGTAGTCCGGCAGCTGCAGCGATCCTGACCGCGCCGGCGCTGGCACAGTCCGTGGTCCGTCCAAAGTACGACTCGGATTGGGAATGTCGTTTATGACGCCGGTTGCGTGCCAGGTAGGCGTGTTGAACATCATGCGCACGGGTGCTTCCCGAGATTTCGTGCTCGATTCTCCCGCTGGATAGGGGTCTGTAGAGCTCTTGCTTAAGGCCCGATCAGGGCTACCGTCGTGCTTGCCCGAGCTCGTGCGAGCCTGTCGACGGGTGATCCCACTGCGGATACGCCGAATCTCTTCGACATCGTGAACGCCGTCGGGCTTCTTCTTGAAGAGAAACTGATCAAGATGGCGACCGAGAGACGATGATGTAAATGCCTGGTTACAGTACTGGCATTTGCGATCCTTGGCCGTCTGGTTGTTCACCGATTTCGAGGCCGACTCGGGGTTGTCGTCACCGCGCGACTCATCAGGCGTCTCTCTGGGAGTTTCTTCTTTCATATCGGCACTGGTCTGAGGGTAGGTGAGGGGAGTGGAGCTGCGTGGGTAGAGGAGAGGCTATCAATTCAAGCGTGTACCAGCATGACATATGGCAATCGAGCACGCGCGACAGGGTCTGGAGAAAGAATTGGGGGCGGTGGTTGAAGAGAGGAGGCGCCAAGCTTTTCGGCGCGGAGAGAAGAGAGCCCCACGAGAACGGTGCAACCCTCGTGTTTTATACTCCGCTTCTTGCTTCCTAACTGGGCAATCAATCTATTCCTACCTGAAATCTATGTCTTAAACTAATTAATAATCCACTCCTCGTTCTATATCAGGATTTGCCACTTTTATCCTTCCGAGTCCTGCGTTCGCTGAGCCACCGCTTGAAATCACGGACACCGTGCAGGTATAACCATGAGAAGAAGAAGACCATCAGGAAGTTGAAGACGACATAGGCCCAAAAGATACCCTTTGTGACTGTCAGTGCCAATTGAAATATGAGACGGTTTAGGTTTCAGCAGAACTCACATAATTCCTCCATTTATGAGAATAGAAAACATTGAAGGTGGCAGCCTAGCAGATTCACCTCAATTAGCCTCCATTCCGTGCATAGAATGAACCCCTTGAATATACGTACGAACTGATCACCCTCCGAGAATTGGCAATATGCGCACAGCCCATTCGCGGCATTACTGAGATAACCACCGGCTTCCCGTGCATAGGCTCCTGCATATTCCTGGCAAGTCATGCCGGAGGGCGGGCTGAAATACGCCTCTTCGCGCGCCACACACCGGACAGGGACTTTGTGGGTGACAACACCCAGGAGCCCCTCGAGCAAATAGTGAAACGGGGTAAGCCAGTACATCCAGGATTGCCAGAAATGAGGCAGCGCCGCATATGGCACGACAACACCACAAAATGCGACCACAAAGGTGAAGAATGATGGGACTAGCAGAGAGGCAAATAGCTCATTCGGTGCAAATGCCGCAATAAACTGGCCAAAGCCGATATAGAAGCACTCAAACACCATGAGCAGCATCCATATATAGCCAGAGCTGAACGAGTCGCGGGGGAACCAGACTCCCCAGTACCTAGATTTTATAAGATATCTGAAGCTTTATGGTAATTAATGGCCACTTACCAGCAGTTGAAGTACACAGATCCGGCTACAATGGCATATGGAAGCTCCGGTAAAATTGTGCTGACTACAAATGCAACCCAAGAGTATACCTTGGAGTTGGACTCGCGCGACTCGTAGATCCCTCGGAAATGAAGGAACCGTGGCTGTAGCTGCTGGATCAGAGGGGGCGATATCGTCAGGGTCATAAAGCAGGAGAAGAGTCTCGACTGCATGTCAATGTAGCTGTTGCCCAGATGCCAGAAAGTGAACGTGTTGAAAAGACCGGTAAATATATGAAGCATCATTTTACCCTGGAAGAGACTGTTAGCAAAATAATCGCAACACATATAGTAACATGGAAGTGAAATACCAAAATGTAATCGGGAAGTCTCCAGTATGCCACGAATGCTCTCTTGGTCACCGCCACAATCTGCGTGTACAGGGGCATTGCGTATTCCCGATCATCTTTGATTTTATCATCGGCTTGCATATCGCGACGGGAATTAATGATGTTCTCCAACTCCTCTGTAAACTTTTTGAATTCCAAAGAGTTGGTCCACACATCGCCCCAGTCTTGACCCTTGTAATCTGGGTTGCCAGCGCCGATGACTTCAAGCATATACTGAAGATGTGTCAGAAGAAACCTAGACAGGTCATTTGTGGATGATTTGACACATACCTCCGCCGGGTTGGCATGCGGCGAACATTTCTTGGCTCCGTTTTTCTCGAAATAATCAATTAGCGTCTTCGAATCGGATCCAAGAGGTCCATTATATACCACCCGACCACCGCTTTCCAGCAAAAGAAGTTCATCGAACTGCTCGAAGAGCACTGCTGAAGGCTGATGAATAGTACAGAGGACAGCCTGCCCCGCATCCGCCAGTCTCCGAAGGAAACGGACGATATTGAAAGCTGCGAGAGAGTCAAGACCCGAAGTCGGCTCATCCAAAAAAAGTAGTAGTTCTGGCTTGCTGGCCAACTCGACTGCAATGGTGAGTCGCTTTCTTTGCTCCTGATTCAATCCTGATCCGTGAGATCCAACTGTAGCACCCGCAATGGGTCGCATTTCCAGCAAGTCAATTATCTTTTCGCAGTAATCGTACTTCTCGTTTATTGGCACTTCCTTGGGTTGTCGCAAGAGAGCCGAAAAACGCAGCGACTCTCTTACGGTAGCGGTTGGCTCGTGAATGTCCATTTGTTCGGCAAATCCAGTCGCTCTCTGGAAGCTTTTAGGGAGAGGTCTGTGATTATCAGATAATGGGACTGGCTGATTTATGGCTAGGAACTTCTTACTTGCCGTCAACCAAGAAGGTACCAGTAACGACTCCAAAGTTGATTCTTTGCGCCAAAGCATTGAGAAGCGTGGTTTTCCTACACTAGATTAGCAGCCCTTCTTGCTCATTCAAAGACATATGGTCACTTGCCCTGCACCAGATGCACCAACCATCGCTGTAAGCCGCCCAGGTTTGACGTAGCCATGGACATCCTGCAGCAGCTTTCGCTGACCACCTTTGTAGGGGATCGTATAGTTCACGTTCTGCCATGTGAAAATGGAAGTGTTTTTGGCAATGTCCTGGACCTTCTCATTTGCCTGCTCATTTTGCAATTCGGGAGTTGTGCCGTTCTTTCCCGTCGACTCCTCGTCAACTGGATGCCCGGTATGCTCGATTGCGTCTTCAACGGCCTTTGGAGCCTCTCCTCTTTTGAAAATAGTAACAGAACTTCCACCTTTGTTGGGTTTTTGGATCTCCATTCCAAGCATTGTTAGAGCGACGAAGAAAATGAACCATGCAATGATGATACCAAAGTTTCGCCACAGGTGCGCGCGGGTATAGGTGTAGGCAGTTTTAATGTATTCAGACCCTTTCACCGTCAGGTTGTCAGGGCTGCTCCCTTGTATAGCACAGCTCTGATGGCCAGGGGATGCGTTTGGCCCTGCAGGCACAATGTATGGCGCCTCGCATTGGATGTCGAGGTTGTGAAATTCGTTGGCCATTAAAGCTTCGAAGGCGTATTGCACTGGGTTGATCCAGATGAGCCACTTGAGCCACGGGTGCATTTTCCAAGGAGGAATGAGGTAGCCTGGATCGTTCTGGTTAGCTAAAACACCTTTTTAAGGAATGTTCCGAGATACTTACCCGTGTACACAACCAAAGCTTGGATTGCAACACCGGTAAGACGAGTGGCTAGATGACGTTAGTTAATATGTCTGCCGTGGTATTCAGAAAAAACCCACCAATATCCAGTGATGCACACAACGCTCCAAGGCAGCGAAAGAATGAATACATCGTCATCGTAAGTATGAAAATGAAAAGCAGATTAATAAAGAATTGGGAAGGTGTTCGCGCAAGGTTTGCCATGCTGTGGCCCGGTTAGTTTTTTGGAAAAGAACGGGAAAGGTAGATCATACAAATATACCACCAGATCGAACAACACGACTTGGATAAAAACTAACGGCACATCCACGACAACCTGCGCCAAGGCATATGCCGACGGACGATAGAATGAACTGAATCTGTTAGTCGCTTTCTTGCCAGATACTTCCCTTGAAACGGGGGAAAACATACAAGCTCTTGTGTTTCAAGAGAATGGGGCGACTGGAGAATGTGGCCGTGAGCTCGGCCAGCGCAAGTAGAGCATTGAACAATAGGATGAAGAACATAACTCCTCCCCTCGTGAAAACTCCGGAGCTGTATGGAATTAGTTTAGACAGATCAGGAGCTTCGAATATTTACCAACCTTGTGTCAGGGAGGTTGTAGAATAAGCTTCCCACAATCAAAGCCTGGAAAATAATGACTCCCCACTTCCCAGCTAGCGCTGCTCGATCTCCAAACATCACGAGGAATTGCCGATGAGTGAGAATCATGACCTGCTTCCAAAACGAGACAGTGTAATTTTTGGTAGTCATTTTCTTTCGCACGGTCTCTTTCTCGTGCTCTTCTGCTTGGACCTCGCTCTCGAAGCTTTCAATATCCGCAAATGAAGCCTTAAATGCATCACTTCGGCGATATTCAGCTTGAAATTCGTCTGCAGTGCGAGGAATTCGATCTTCCCAGCCACGCTTGACGCGTCTTGCATTTGGATCGCTGACAGATGTCAAAAAATCAGGGGTTGTCCATCGTGGTGGACACTCGAAGCCCAGTCGTTCAAAGTAGGCTTTGGCGTCTTGGGAGCGACCGAAGAAAGCACACTTTCCATCTTCAATCAGGATGACTTTGTCGAAAAGATTGAATAGATTTTCAGAGGCCTGGTAGAGAGCGACCAGAGTTGACACATGAGCGGTGTTGGTCAAGCTTCTCAAGCTCTGAACGTACTCGAGTGCGGTACTCGCATCCAGGCCCCTGGTGGAGTTATCCCAACATTGCGTGCTAGCTTTGGTAACCATTGCCTCTCCGATCGAGACTCGCTTTTTCTCTCTGATTTGACGATGAATTAGTTTGGAAATCGTGAAGTTTGGAAACCTGGTAAAGAGCTTTGGATTTACTTACCCTCCAGAAACTCCGCGAATCAGCTCATTCCCAACTCGAGTTCCTAAGGCATGCTCAATCCAAAACAGCTTGGCAATTGCAGAGAGGAAAGTCTGCTGGTAATCCTTCCGGCTCTCTCCAGGAATCCGTGATCGTTTATCTGGGGTTCTTGTCTTGAGAGCGAAAAGTAAAGTATCCCGCACAGTCAGACTGGCGTAGTGAAGGTCATCTTCGGGATTATAAGATACTAATGGGATCAGTTGTTGGCTATTCTTGGAAATATATGTGCGTTACTTACCTTCGGATCGGTAGTTCTTTGCCATAGTGGCCGAATCAGCTCCCCCGTACCTCACATCTCCCTCAATACTCTCGTATCCGTATCGCTGGTTTCCAATAACTTTTAAAAAAGTTGAGCACCCAGATCCAGGACGACCTAAGACAAGGAGCATTTCTCCCGGTCGGACGCAGCCCGTGAAATCATTCAAAATGGTTCGAATATTGGGCTTTCCACCTCCAGTGCTCCTTCTACCCCGAGACAATAATCTTTTGATGAGCCTCGGGATACCAAGAAATATATCGCCATTAGTCGGCTGAAGAGCTGCGCCAAGACCGGCTCCTTTCACAGTCAAGTTCTTCCAAATAACTCCAGCATGTCGTGTCTTTTCTTCCTCGGAGTAGGCTTGGCGCTCATGACCAAACATCCTAGAGACCAATCGTTCGATCTGTGCCCATTCTTCACCCTCGTGGCCGGAGGCATAGCTGCGTCGATGACTTAACGTACGAGCAAGATTCGGATCATTAAGTTGAGGTCCGCGCCTAGTTCCATCGGACTTATTGGTGGGTACATTGCGGATCGGAGCGAAATTATCCTGTCGGTCTGAATCGGTAGATTTCCTGGGGACAGACTTCGTCGAAGCATGCGCTTCTGTTTGCGACCCTAAGGTTGAATCACTGTCAGGTTTCTCCTGGCTCATGATGAGTCTTATGAGAGAACAATTCAAGGGACCTGGGCGTTATGAAAGTGTATCACAAACGGGGGGCTTGAGACCGTATGAAACTACCTCCTGGTGATATGACAATAGTGGTCATATCAGATAGAATAAATCATACTCATTAAAAACTTACAAAAAGGAACACGATGAAATTTTAGGGGTGAGCAGCAATTACGTCAAGTATCACAGCCCAGCAATATTATGGGTGCTCGGCGTCGGAGCTTGAGGCACCCGGACCAGCGTGCTGCAAAGGCCGACTACATCCCGACCAGGGGACCATTCTCTTGATCCAATAACATGACAAATTCTGAATGAATCATGTGAGTTACATGTCTCGATCTGGACGAAACCACCAGGTGCATTGCACCCCGGATTTCAAGTTCTCGGATGGCGGAGACTACGGCCCCGATCATGAAGTCATCAGTGTCCCCGATCTCCCCGATTCCTCCGATCTCCCGTGAGCAGCTTTGAGCGGTCTAGGCCCATTGTATTTATTTATTTTTATTTTTGGTCGTACAAGGTATGCGCCTGGTTTATATCTTAAGAAATTCGTCACCTGCACCACGGTTGCATTTCAGCAAATCATTCTTCCTGTGTGACCTGCTTGGTGACTGGATACATTTCTGATAATATCTCTCCCAACCGCCACCACCCAAATTGAATGGCCCTTCAAGGTTGATCAAAACCCAAATAAAATCTTGACCGCAAATAATGAGCGGGTTGAGATTGGTCGTCAGATTACCGTCACCTGAACATCATTGCAAAATTACCCCTTCGTTGAATGATGCCAGGATTATGCTGCAAATAATGTTTGCAAAATTATTCAATAGGTTAATACCTTGGTAAATAAATGTAAAAAGCGAGGAGAGTAGACGTTGCTGGTGCTTATGTGGTTTGAACAAAGTAATAAACGGATATGCAAAGAACGCGTTCTTTATTGCGTTCCTTTTCACCCCACGGACCAAACCCTCTTCTCATTATTCAACCCAATTAGACCAAAGCCGCCTCCAGGGAGAGTGTAATGCGCCGTGATCTACTTCAGAGCGACGTTCGCCGCCTCCTGACATCGCAGCGGTCTACGATCCTCGACAAAGCCCAAACGTGGACTCTTAGTAGATCATCCGCCTTACGCTCTAGGACCACAATCACTCGACTATTCAAGAAAGCGCGACTGGCCTATGCCAATTCGACAACGGAAAAAAATTGGAATTTGAAGGTGATGATCTCAAAAATCGCATCAAATCACTCAACTCCGTGCGCCCGCTAAATTTGGAGCACGATGTAATCTTAATCTTCCGACGGCAGATTTGGTCGTCTGGTTCCCAACCCTATTGGTACAGGGAAAACGAGCAATTCAGACTGCTCAGCAACAGTTCCGTCTTTGCGTTGTCTGTCAAGTGGATCGGATAGCTAGTTGGTGAGCCCAATATCGACCCGTGACGAATACGAGATCTCGGGAAACGACTCATGGCTAGAAGTGTGGACTCTTCAAGATCCAGTTATTATGATAAAGGTGTTGGGAAATTTGGGGTATCGTCACAAAGCTCACAACAGTACGTGATGTTTTCGCTTTGCTGCGGCCTAAGTTTTTTACCTGGGGTACTTATGCAGTCTAGCGGATCGGGACTGACGTCGGCCATAGGAATGACAGCCATATTCCGGATCAGGATTAGTCCAGGTGCATGATACACTTGAGGTTCATGGTAATCATCCTGTACTTGCTTCTACCGTTCTCACCCTAAGACGTGATTGGGATTGTGACCTGATCGCTTCGAAGCGCCATCGGCGGAACCGGCATCGCCGAATATCTGGCATCCGACGAACCCATCCCTGCGTAATTATTCTAGAGAGGTATTCAGATATCGCAAGGTAGCAAATGTATGCTATTACATGGAACAACTCTGGAACCTTGGAAAACAGACTTCGGACTACCCGTGAATGAGTTGAATTAAATGACAACGCTAGCTTTGCTGCTGAGATCGCCAGTATCTCTTTCAGTGAATTGATCAATCATTTGAAGCCAATGCTATCGGATAAAAATGATTTGGAAAATGAATACCATGGTAAGTGGCCAGTGTCTCAGCGACATAATGTTCACTCAAATAACACTCAGCAGACTGGTTTGAGCAAGTGACGCCTCTAAATTCCGGCTCACTTACTTTTACATCATGCACCTGGTAGAAAGACGAGATAGAGAACCCACCAAGAAAAGACGCCAAAATTTGCATAGATGCTCGTACACAACACCAATGAGCAGGCAAGCGGTTTTCTGCCGGTGCTCACCGAAAAAACTGCCGCGCGGTCTCCCGCAACATTATTTTGGCCGGTCTTCCCGGGAACTGGTTTGAATCCCTGGATAGGTTAAACTCTCACCCTGAGCACAAACAAAACTTTCTATTCTTGAAAGGGCTTCTTGCGCGATGGATGCTTCCACGGTAGCTTCCTTTTGGGGGCAACAAACTTCCTACTTGAAGTATGTTGCGATTTCTTCCAAGTTCTGCGCTAGCGACTAACACTTTCGTTTCAGTTTCTGTGAAGAGGTATCTTTCCCTTTATCTAGTCGATTTTCTCCAAAGGACTAATGCTGACTTGCCTGAAACATTTGAAGGATTATGTAGTAACACGATTCGTGGCGGAGTTTATAAACACATTCAGTAGCTTCGTCTTCAGTGAGTACACAGGTTTGAATATCCCAGACTTGATTTATTAACAGACTTGATTAGTGGTTTATGGAATCTACGGTCTCAGACAACTTTCTCAAAAGCAGCAGTCCGGTGGCTTGCGATCGGTTTCGTATTGGGGATTGATTGGAGTCGGCGTCTGTTCGGCTGGCTACCATATGACCCTCAAATATCACACACAGATGTGTAGGTCTTCTTCATTCCCCTTCTTTTGATACAATTGTGGCATTTCCTTACTTAAAGACGAAAAAGCGGATGAATTGTCGATGCATCTTCTCACCACACCCCTTTTATATCGCATTCTTATCTTCCAGGCTAGTCCACAACGGACTAAGATAACCGGAATCATTCTTGGTACCCTTTTCACTATCGTGATGGTGGTTCATATGGTCATGGATGAGTTCATTCTTCATGCTGTGACCTTTGGCTTAGCTGTGTACTTGATCGCGGCGCGAACCCTGAAGATTATCCCTCAACAAGTGCCAGATCCTTCAATTAGGAGAAGTATCCGCAACATCGCATTTTTTGGTTGCTGTACGTTTCCCTCCCATCTGACCATTCTCTTTTGCCCAAGTTCTATAATTAGGAAGTCACTAACAATTCTAGTCTGCTTCGGGTTTGGATACTTTGTGTGGCTGATCGACGTTTGGGCCTGTGGAGTTTTGATCAAATTTCGACATGTGGTTGGTCTACCCTTCGCATTTCTAACTGAGCTGCATGGTTGGTATGTTATTGCACTTCCATTCATCCCGTTTGTAAAACCATATCGCTGATTATGACAAAAAGGTGGCATGTTTTCACGGCCATTGGCGGCTATGTGGCGGTTGCAATTGTGGACCTTGTTACTACTGGCAAAGTCCATGAAGACCCCACGAAAGACCTCGCCTGGCCCATTGGTCCCGCAGCACGAGCTATAGAATCTCTAAAGACATCCAAGAAACAGGATTAAGTCTGGGCAGACCGCTCATTCGGGAAACCTTCCAGACCTTTCTGCCAAACATCTCATGAGGCCTTCTGGCCTGGGCGATTTGTGACAGGGGATAGCTGCAATCTGAGAGGTATATACGAGCACGAGTTTTGATAGAGTTCCTCGACTATTTTATATTCCTATCCAATTGATATCCCAAGAAAGATCGATCTTTGAAGCTAGCCTGGGGCGTCGGTTATGTCAACAATCGAGTAGATTCGCAGTAGCACGATGTCCTTATCCACTACGACAAGAAGCCTGGAAGTAGGATCGTCAATTGTCTTAATTGTAGTTAAGCTCGACATCCCCAAGGGCTGGCGTGCAGTAAAAAATTATCTTTTAGCTTCAGCTGGATTTCAATGCGATAAAGATACCGTTTGGGATGACCAGGGGTTTCAATGTTTACCTTAGGTTTCTTACGCTTAGATGAGGCAATAATGAAAGCTCAATTGCTCAAAAAAGCGTGTCCGATGCGTGGTTTAGTATCGTTGTATACGTAGAATGTTCAAGACTGTGTTATCGCTCTTCGATTCTAGTAATCCTAGGCAATGAAGGCCTCTAATCTTTGCTTATTCAGGATTTCCCCTTCCACCAGCCTCCCCGTCTCAGTTACTTCCCCGTTAATCTGCTGATAGCGTACCAGTGCCGGAATGTTCTTGGTACTCCAAGTTGTCCGGTAGACATTTTGAGGATCATTCCACCTAGAGGGTAATACATTAGCTCAATGTACCACAGAACATCTTCAATCCTGTAGCCCAGCAGCAACGCATGCACTGTACCTTCAGACATAAGACCTATGGTAAAACTTACTCGGGCTTTTGTCCAACCTCGACAATTGCTAGGATCGGCGCATCACCTCCGACAAATGCCTCATTGATGTGTGGCAATGCAGCTCGTACGTCTGGGCACCAAGATTGCTTGGTAGTGGGATCTGTTGAGGAGATGAAGGCAACGAACAATTTTGAGTCCGGGCCACCAGGCAGTGCCAACTCCCTCACCGAGCTTGGCAGTGTGGAATTCTTGGTGATTGGCATTTTCGCGGCCTTGATAAATAGGTCTCGTTCAAGGTGCGAAGTCCTTCTCTGGGGTTTGTGAGGCAGTTACAGTCGCACAAGATGAGGCAATTGTGGCCTTTCGTTGGTCATATGACTAAGCGGGTCGTGATGCGCGGGTCTCTTCAGCCAGGGGAATTTTACAGCCTGACCAAGAAGATATTGTAAGTGGGCCTCATTAGGCGGTAATAACCATCTGCCCGGGAATTTTGAAAAAAACATTTTAGTGTGTGTGTGTGTGTGTGTGTGTGTGTGTGTGTGTGTGTGTGTGAGAGAGAGAGAGAGAGAGAGGGAGATCCATTATATTCTGAAAAAGACGTTTAAAATGGTATCCTGGAATATGAAATCAAAAGATGTGTAGAAAGATGTTGACAGAAATCCCCAGGGGGAGATTTAGAAGGACTAAGAGAATAAAATATTAAGGCCCATTTGCAATACCTCCTTGGTCTGGCTGTTAACTGTTGAATTAGAGAAGTGCATCAAGGATAGCTGCGTCAAACCTAAATAGGACTCGCCGTAGCTGTTCGATATTTTGTAGCTTGAAGTGACGATGCAAAGTCTACGATAGTGCGTGATGCCTCACTACAGACTACACATATGACGAACGCCTAGACGTATCCCGCGTCCACCACGATGTTTATTAATCTTTGTTGATGGGAATCTATCTCAAAATAAAAAGAATTTACTAGACAAAGAAAAAACATATCACTCGTATAAATAATTAAAATAGATACATAGGGTATATTAGAACAACTCATAACGCTGATCATGTTTCTGTGGCAGCGACCCGGGCGCTTCAGGAATAGCATGAGAAAGATCATGGTCAGTACCACGCAACTCGGCCGGAGCATATTGCCAGCCGTAGCTCTGTACATTGTTTATACCTGAAACTTCTCCAGTAAATTGGCTGTTTGCTACCCCGGCCGACTGTCTTTGATTTCGCCTGCGACGAATGACAAAGAGCCAAGCCAAACCACATATTAGCACCGCTCCCCCGAGTCCGCATCCAACTCCGATACCGATCTTGGCTCCTTGAGACAGTCCCGACGAGCCCGAGGTCCTTGCACCAGATCCTGCTGTTGTGCTGTTGGTGCTATTGGTGCTATTGGATGTTGCTGTAGAAGACGGCAGTGCTGTCCAGTGAGAGTCCCAACTGACCTCCCACGAGTTGCTTGTTGCGGGAATACTAGAAGAAGAGACTTGAATATTGGTTTGATCTGAAACGTCAACGAGCCCAGGGCCAGGTGCTTGAGCGAGAAACCAGGTTCCATAGCCATCTCCTGTGCCATAGTTTTCCGCTACAAAGGCTGCTTGAAGGAAAGCGCGCCCAAGGGAATAGTCGTTATCGGATGGGTAGCAGGGAAAGTAAGGGGTCTCCTCGGTGACAAGAGTGGCCTCCAAAGTCAGATTCAGCAGCGCAAACGGCACTTTGATGGTAATGTTTTGATTGTTTGTAGAATCCTTCTGAAAGAGGAAAGAAAGATAAGCAGGCGACGTTACAATCGTGCGGTAGTTGTCATCATTCGTGTTCCAGAAGTAGAGACCGAGATAGGCGTTGAAGGTCACGGGGAGTGTGGACGCGATGTTATCGCATGTGCTCCGAGGGAGGTAAAGGTAGGGCCGTGTGAGATCCAGTTGGACTGTCACAGGGGCGATCAAACTTGAATTTGAGTCCGAGAGGAGTCCCGACTTCTGGCTGTAGCTCCATGGAGACCCGCCCGTGGCAACTCCCAGTCCAATATCCTGGAGTCCAATGACTAAGTTTCCTCCTGGATTTGTATTAAAGGGTGTGAAGGGTTGGGCCGAGGTCTCCCCCATGATTCGGTTCTTATCGTACCCTCCCAGCCAAGCAGACCCTGGGATTCCGAGCTTTGCTGATCCGATATGTATCCCATAAGAATAGGAAGGAGTTCGCCGGCTAGCGCTCGTGTACATATAGCTAGCGATGAACATCATGGTGTATCCCCAAATATGAGTCAATGCAGGTGTTCCCATCGATAAAATCCCAACCTCAATCGGATAGTTGCGACCATTCGGGTACGTCTGATAAGCGTCAGAAAGTCCAGTCATACTGACATTTGGAACGATCGATCCAAGCCCGATATCGAAATTGTCATAGAAGACGCTTTGGGAGGCCCATCCCGACAGCGTAGCATCGGTCCATGCCCCATTTCCTGCTGAGTTTGGCGCATTATTGCCCGCAGAAATTGACTTGTTGCGATTGAATACACCAGCATCATCTGCGTAGCAAGCTGTCAATGAAGACCACGAGGTCTGGTTATCACAAATGGTCGACAACAGAATGGTGCTGGCCCAACGTCCACCGGGATAGAGAGCAACGTTTTGTGATGGCGTGCCTATTCCCACTGATACAGCTTGCCATGGGCCATCAGGAACGAAGGACTTGTCCGACCAGGTAAACGGAAATGCAGAAGTCGCTTCAGTGATTCCCCGACCGAAAATGAACCAGTGGCATAATATAAAGAGTATGGAGGAACGAACAGTATCTGGTATTCCGTTCATGATGCGCGGTGAGTCACCAGACCGTAAGTCTGGTGTGAGCGAAGAAGGATTGAGCAATAGTGTCTTGTATCAAGCATGAACCGTGGGTTTTCTGAGTGACGAGCCGCAGCGATAAACAAAAAAAAGAATTGAAAAATAACCGTAGCCTAAGGCGAGCAAAAGTCTCTAAAATAGCTGAGTCGGGTACAGCAGGTCCGCTCCGAAGGGGAAAGGGTACAAGTGAGTTCGCGCTACATACATACGTAGCTACAGGCCCTAAACTGTGAGAGTCCGCGACGATACGCTGTACAGAGTAAAACCGTCGCAGCGGCCCACTATACCCTTAATTTCGAGGAACGTGGCCAATTGTATAACATATTGTCCTGGGTTATGGAAGATGTTTTACGACGGTTGAACTTAGGTCGTTTCTTTGCATTCGACCGATTCCTATTTTGGGAATGGGGCGCCATGGGATGAGCAGGGGTGTGTTGTCAGTGCCAAATCAAGCGCCTAAGACATGACCGTCACTTGTTCGGAGCGCCTAGTACTGGTTTTATGATTCTAGGGCATCAAGTCATATCTCCCTATGCACAACTAAGTGAAAATCGATAACTGTTCTGAATGAGTGTATGGCCCTACGGCGTGAAAGTCCGACACTTTCAGGGTTCTGGGGCAGGGGCTAGTTTCGGCCCCGACGGGGCCAGAGGCTTGGTGGGGCCCGTGCAAAGATCCCCGGGCGGGAAATTGCCGCTCCCGCAATGTAAACCAACGTAAACTTCCCTCAGGAAGGCTCTCTCATTACGCCATTTAGACTTATCGCCTCGGTCTATATCGGAATTAAATAATTTCGAATCTGACGAAGGCTCTTCTGATATTATTTCAGCCAACCATATACGGCGTAAATGATCATGGCCGATCGACGGTGGGAATCTGCAATAAAATATTCGCGCTGGCGCTAATGCAGCTCGACAAAATCAATCACGCCGTTCCATTGGCATTTCAGGTACACGACGGTCCACTATCTCGGGGACCCGTCGCCTGGCACGCCGTATTGCCATTGTCATCGGAACCCAAATCGGGCGTGCAGCCGCGACCCCGTCCGATTGCCCTTGTGCTTTCGTGCTCTCCTAGAAGCCCTGAGTATGACCAAATTCCACCTCGATGCTCGCATCCATGCTATCAAGCCTCAGTAAAATGGCCTGCGGTGGCCCTCAGTAGCAGTAGTCAACAGCACCGCATAACTCTGCTTGGATCATTCGTGCTGGTCACAATACTCTTGCTCATGTACCATTCCTGGCTGCCAATCCCAAGTTGAAGATTTCACCAGATGGATACACTCATCGCTGATGGCGAAGAGGATCAAGCTCCAAGTCTTTCTGCGGAATACAGTGCCATCCCTTCTGACCCACCTTTTTGTGCGGAGTCTTTTGGAACGAAATTTCTTGACAAACTTCGTGATTCGGCGACACAAAACTGCAACCAGTCACCAGCTCTAACCTGCTTTCATACTCGGCCTGTGAGCCATTGATGGTATTTGTTTTGCTTCGGAAAGGGGGCCAAGTTTGACCATGACGGAGGTAAATTTCACCTACAGTGCGACTTGGGCCAGCAAACAGAGTCAGATTTGTAACAAATGGTGTTTGAGCAGGCTCTCAGGTTCCCAGACTTCGATGAACTTCAGAAGTACTGGTATGATACTGGTCCACCCCGAGTCTTAGATGGCTGGGTTCAAATGGATAATGAAACCCAATTATCCGGACAAGACTGAAAATTACACCATATTGGTCAAGCGAGAAGGCGCCACCAACCATTGGCACTCATTGATGGAAATGTATTTCATGACGCTGAGTATGGATGTTCTGCATATTACACCTCAATCAGCAGGCTCGATCCCATTCTATATCGCCGAACACGATGAACCGAACACCCAAGTCGTCATTGTCGATAACCACCCGGACGGACCATATTTCGATACGTGGTCACTTTTCACAAAGAAGCCGGTTCTCCGTTCTAATGATCTCCCGGAAAACACAACCTTTGAAAATCCCATCGCCGCTTGCTGGTGCAGGAATATGCTTTGTCAGGGTGACTGGGAGGTCAACTCTTGCGAGAACCCAGAACTTTTAAATACGTTTGCCAATCGGGCTTTGAACTTGTACGGGTTGAATGACATCAGACCGCAAGGGACTAAGAACATCACTTTGACATTCATCAACTGACTGTCTGGGCAAAAGCTTGCCAACCATACTCAATACATAGAGCGGCTCCAGCAAGAATATCCTCTGGTGAACGTACAATCGATTGATTTTGCCGCATTTCCTATTGGTTCGACGGGGCTAGGAACGAGTTTATTGGAGACGACTTCACTGTGGGTCCCGCTCTACCTTTTGCTTCCTTCAGAGGCCTGACCTGGGCCGATATCTAAAAATAGATAGTTATTATCTCTATTTACTTCTTTAGCGATTCTTCACTATGAGGTGTGATCTGATCCACGGCTGTACTAACACAGTTAGTCATGAGGGGTAAGCTTACGTCAGATCAAACCAAAAGTTCAAATAGAAATATAACGCACTCCCATGTTATTAGCAAAAAACATATTCTCAAACATCAAATTAACCCCAGAAAGCTATCAAAATGGCTGAAGTCCTAGAAAATCGACCTGTGAAATTCACAATCACCCACTATCGCCAGCAGCAACACTCCCACGAAGCATTTATCAAGTGGATCGTCGAGGAGCACCTGCCTCTTGCTATGCCCGTCTTCGAGAAGCACGGAGTCCTTGAATATTCACTCGTGAGTACTTACGACTGTAGTTGTATCCTGCTTCACACGACTGCAGCTGAAGAGTGATATCTAGTTCGTCACACCGCCTTATCTTAATGGCGCATTGAAACAAGAAATTGGAGGACTTCGACCGAGCTGGGACTTTGCTGACTTCGACTGCTTCATCGAGTATATACTCCCTACTGTGGAAACCATCACGAATGTTATGTCGGATCCCGACTGGCAGCTAGCGGTAAAGGACCAGGAAAATTGGGTCGACGTCCCTAAGGCCCTAGTTTCGGCGGGGTATTCTACCCCGTACCTACTGAACAAGAAGCCTGTTAATATTTCTAAATGATCGATGATATATTGGAGGTTAAGCTAGACATAACTCGCTTATTCGTAATTTCTGATTTTGACACAACCGCTCAATATCCTACGAGATTAAATTGATTTGCTGAATCCCTCGCAGGATACGGTGTACAAGCTATCGCAAACAGTTTGCCCGTCTACGTACATGATAGCCAAAATTCCTGGTGTCCACTCACGTCCACAAGAGATATTCAACATGATTTTACATCATGTTGACTTCCCACTCGGCTGGGAAGATGTCCTTGGGGGAAGAATGAAGGAGAGAGCTGGCTTCAATGAAGAGTTCAATGACCATCTAGACCAGGTAAGCGAAATCCCCAAGCCTTACCTATGGATCTTATACATGACCGAACTAAGTACTCACGGGAAGATGGACTGGATTCTACTTCTGTGAGCATTAAACCCCGAAGCTCTTGCAAAAACCATGGCAACTCTCAAATTCTCCGTACATAGAGCTACTATTTCAGGCCTATTGAATCAGTAGTTATGACGATAAGGCAGAAATATGTATTAACTTTAAGCCCCTGATCTAAAAGCCAGAGCGCTTAGCCCAGAGTATTATGTTTAAGCGTGTTGAGCTAATGCGCAGAGGCTCACATAGCAATGGTCAAAGCAGGTCTCTATGGTTCTCGTAATAAGGGCAAGTAGACCCACTATAACATCCACGAGGAATTGAGTCTTAATCTCTTAACTCAAGAATGAGATATCCCTGTGTCTCCAGCCTCTGTCCCCGATGCGACTCCCTCATATGCCTGTGCGCAGCTCAGTTAATGGGTTGGCGCCGGCCTATAGTAGGAAACTCATAAGACGTGGCCGCGCCATTCGAATTAAATACTTCCTGACTCTGAAACCATGACATTTTTCGTGAATCAGTCACTATTGCTATAAACTTACACCCATGGCTCTGCGGCTCCGATATTTTTCATCCACAGCCACTGTCTCAACAATCTGTGGTCCATTTTTTGTCTTCATGTAGAGCTTTCCTTCTCGAACTCCAATGTGCTCCGGGACCATCATTGGCTTATCAACGTCGCCCCATGTTGCCTTTATAGGCTGTCCTCTGAGAAGACGCTGCACGTTCAACATGGTACTGTATAGCATTCCCCAGCTAGCAAAGCTAACTGTATCCCCTTCTCCTTCTTGGTGAATGTCAGAGCCTTTCTCTGCCGCTCCAGCGGAGCGGAAAGTACCTGTGATGGCAGGATATGGTGCAAAGCACCGTAAGTACCCATGACCGCACATACGGCCTAGCGCTACGTCCATTTGTGCGCCGATATCAATTTCCTCAGCAAGACCGGATGGATTTACGGACAATGCGGCGAGAAGCTTTTGTGCACCGTGATAGCTCACAGCGTAGAAACTCGTACAGACGGCATCTTTAGCGGTGCAGACCATTCGGGAACGGTCGGGCCGTTCGACTGGGGGAGGTTCGCGCCAATATGGAAGAAAGTGACGGGCCTCAGGGACGGTAGGGTCGTCTGCACTTTGGTAGTATGGGAGATTGGTCTTACATTCTAGACCGCAGTGTCCGAGCCAAAGAATATCCCAGTCGTCGCCGTATGGTGATGATGTAGGTGAGTTGGTTGTGCCTTGGAGTCCACGGATTGCGAGGGCGAAACTTTGGAGTTGGGTTTTGATGTTTATATCCCAGTCGGCGTCGTCTTCGATGATGACTCCGCTACCTAGCCCTTGTTCGACGATTCTGTTTGACATTAGATTTCGACCACCGGGCACGAAAAGCGAGGAGGTTTCATGTGTACCGTCGTATTCCATTCAGGTGTGCCCGGCGAGCAGCATACTCGCTTGGGGTGTGGTGGGGGTTCCAGTTCTAGAAGATGATCAGCAATCAAGTCATTAAAGGATCGTTGCTGCGCCATACGTATGGATATGTTTTAGGTGGGATCGCGTCCGGAATTACACCGTCGACAAATTCGACTTGGAAATTGCAGACCGATGAACCTAAGACAAGGTTGTCACGCTTGTCCGGCCGGTTGGGCAAATTGATGGCAAAAACCTTCCCAAACTATATTGTCGTCAGCTTAAGAACGCCAATGTTTGATTCGAAGTAAATACTCACACCTAGGGTTTGGTTTTCGATAATGGGTATTTCGTCCCAGACCCAGTCATGCGGGTGTTGTGTGATCGAAATTTGATTAGGTGGAACCGGCCAGAAGCGATAAAGAAGGGCGAGCACCCCAAGAAGGATGAGCAGTACTCGTCCCCAGCGCAGCTGGCTGGAAGATAAAGACATGTTCGAGTGCTGGTGCTGGAGTAAAGCTAGCAAGATGTGCCGATCATGTCGAAGGTCCAAAGATGGCTGCGGTCTCCAGAGTCCTGAAAAGTCCCAAGACTAAAGTTCGTCAAACTTCGTATAAGTAGCGAAGAGGTCAGTCGCGCATGAAACGTTCGCGGCGGCATGGGACAGAGAACAGCTCTCTGATCATAGAACTCCCGGTCGCTGCGGGTAGGAAGCTCGTAGACTCCCTCGAAATCTATTTAGAGTGTTTTCTGGTGTAGACGGTGCTAACTTGGGCCGGTTAGCTGATTAGTTGATTCCAGGCGCGAGCCGCGGCGTAGGGGCGGAATCTCAGGTTCATTTGAATCTGGAACGGTCAAGGCAACGCCCATGCTGCATTAGTATCGCGTTCGGGGCTTGTTTGGGCGATAGTGGAGCCGAACATGCTAATAAAGAGATTAAGGAGTACGCCGGGGTCCTCCCGTTGCATGGGTGTTCCCGTGGTAGCTTGGATCATCCCCACCACCTCCAATCGCCCGCGAGCATTTGCCGCTTTCTTGTACCACTCTGAAACATGTTCTTATTGCGGTGGTCCCATCTAACATGGGCCGATAATCCCAAGATACTTAGCGCGTATGTATCACAGGCTACGTAGATCGGTCACTTTAATCTCGAGTGTGCTTTCATTCCAACATGTTAGTCAAGCCAAGTTTCAGGATTTGATGTACAGAACTCCTCAGCGAAATCAGGGCGCCTATCGCATCAGGTGCCTGTCTCTGATTTAGAAGCTGCTGTTTGCTCCTCCAAGGAAGACAATCCAGATTGGCGATCTGTCATCTTCATAGTAGCATCGTAGGTGGTCAAATATTTCTGAAGTCTCTGGGTGATGCATGCATTAACGCTGCAAGGCAAACACACTCATTGATTGTGGAAGAATGGACCAACGGATCGATGCCCGTCTTTGGGTATTTTTATGCACAAAATTTGTTCTCCTGTGCGCTTATTATGGTGTTTTCGAGTCAGACCCACGCAGAGCATTGCAGTGACTATGCACTCTTCGGAACTGCCTTGGAGAGTCTACGGCCAGTGAGTAGCCACGGAAACTTGGCCGCAACCGAGTTCTACGACAATCTGGAGTACTTGCAACAGTGCCTCAATCAGAACTGTGGGTCACCGGCTCAAAGGTTTGTCTCGATCGGCTCTTTGCGGCCTCATCAAAATTCCCCGGATATGCTCCCTTTGCACACCAATCCCCCTACTGGACGACCGACTGAGATAGGAATGTCTGGAGACCCCACCATGTCTGATATAATGGGCCAAGGAAACGTTACTGATGAAATGGTGTTCTGGACCGGAGCATGGAAGAGTTTCTGGCGCGAACTGATGCGGATTTGGGACCATTTGACCCGTCAGGAGTGACGATTAACATGGCGGACGGCATGTGGCCGAATTTCCCACTGTGGACAGCGTGATATACATCGGATGAAGAGCACATTATCATGATCCATGAGGGGATATGTTAGATGGTTATAACGACATTTGTACAGGTGGAAATTGACATTGGTGGGTTACCTTGCAAGGTGACTGACTCTTCATTTATATCTATATCAAGACGGAAATTGTTCTCAAATGTATCTACCAAATCCCCTTACGGCTTGATATTGATCACTATTTTGCCAAAGTTCCTGCCATTCCCAAGAAACTTGAATGCCTCCTTAGACTCAGCGAACAAAAAGGTTCAATGGTGAACTCACTGTCGAGTGCCTCGCCAGTACTGTGTCGGAGGTCGTAAGGTCCATTGCCTGGATCATCTCGATGACCAGCTCAGCCGCTGTAACAATAAAGATAAGTGTGGTACTCAAATGGTTTCATAGGGTGAGTAACCATTTCAGAAGAGGTAGAGACTGGCTGACGACAAATTAGCACGTTCAGTTTGTCTTCTTTAAATTACAGTCTGAGGGAATGGTGTGGGGAAGAAGACACTAGCCCTAAATATTTCCTCGATAGAATGGATATCTGCCAGAAATGCGTCGTCATAAATTGCCATAGTAAGTGTTAGACTTCAGACATGAGAAATATTTTCCGTTTAAAAAGGTTAGCCTAGAGCAAAACCGAGGCTTGCAATAACTGACCTCTTTTGTCTGCTATAATGACCCTGGGTATACCTTAAATCAATGTCAATCACAAGATAGTCACGGGCAAATCCAGAATTTAGCAGCAGAATCAAGCTAACCTAGCTATAGCATTGTGGTTCTAAACTATCTTCTCTGAGGTCCCAATCTCCATAAGCTCCCTCAACTTCACCTTCATTGCCAAAGAAACACGAAATATTCGGTCGCTCGATTTAGTCAACGTAAAAAAGTGAACTAGGTTGTCTAGCTATCTAAGCTGATATCAGCAAGAGAAATGCAACAAGGATCAAATATGGTACTTTTTGATCCACCGCCTCTTGATTCTACTAAGATTGTTCTTGGGTGAAACAGTATGTCGCTTTTGAACAATGCCTTTCTTGAGTTATTCACGACGCCGCCGATAATACTCGGGCCTACAAGATCGCTTTTTCCTATTCGCAGATGAATCAAGAATATATATAGTTATAATGTAAGCAGCCCCTTGTGGGGGAAGTGAAGATCGGTGATTGCAGGCCCATGATTCCTAGGAGGACTGATCAGGCACCGGCCATCCTCCGCCCTTCCTCTTCTCATGTGCTCTGGAGAGAAATTAACCAATGCATCCTGTAAAATGTCTACCACAATCTCAAATCCTCAATGAATGAAAACTGGGCCATAAAGCTTGAATGGGCCTTGTTTCTCTGTGGTTGAGGGCGGAATATTCCAGGCTTTGCAGAGATAGTCGGGTGCAGCTTCCAAGATGGGAGATTGCAAAGTCAACAATTGGTGACCGAACTTTTGGAGCTCGTTTGTGCTAAAAAAATTGCGATAGTGAACTCCATGAATATGATCTACTCGGCATTTGACACACATCACGGGGTATACCTTGGTACCCTGTTGAGTGACCACAACATTGTTCAAATTAGTAGAAATGCGTTTATAACCGGCATTGAACTGCCGGCACTAGACCTGGAACAGTGGCTCGGTAGCCGTCACCTGGGCGCCGCGTCACTGCCACGCGAGCTACGTTGCGCCACTATTCTATGCCGACCCGGGCGCCAAGTATCACCAACCGTCCAGCCTCATAGTACTATCACTCGAACACCCAGTCATTCAAATACTCCCACTGTCTATTAGGTAATTTGAAGACGCAAAAATTGCTTCTTTTTCGCGTGCCCAGCCCCAGCCGTGCCGCCTGTCTTGCCCGGCCTGACCGATCGCACCCAAATGCCTCCTTCACCGCGTCTCCTAGACACATCGGCAGTTACAAATAAAAGTCTAACGGGGTCGCCGAGATGACGACTAGTAATTTTGCCAATCCCACTGAGAATGCATTAGTTAGCTGGTCGCAAGCAAGCTTGGAGTTGAGCACCCAGAATTTAGCATCTGTCTAGATGTTCCTGATTCGCTTCTTAAAGAGCCACTCTCAGTAAGATGACATATGTGACTTAGGTCCTATAAAGTATTGCCTACTTGTTGGCTGACTTTTATCCTGCACGTGGGTACTCGAAATACCGTATTTGTATGAAAGCTGATTTTTTTAATAAAAATAGGTGTCAAGTGGTCTGTTATCTGGGAAAAAGAAGGCGGCTGGGCCGGGTAAATTAGGACCAACATTTTAGTTCCACAGAATCTCAAGATCGATCGGTCTAATATCTATGTATAGGCCCGTAGCAGGTACCTACAAATTATGATGTTCTTATCGATGCACACCAATGCATACGCACCCGGGTTCCATGACGTTACAGTCACCTCATTTCACTTGACCGGAAAGCTGGGACGTAGGCGGCTTCATGGGAACTACTCGATTGTTAATTTTAAGACGGTTAAATATGACTTGAACAGCAAAGTCATGACGTTGCCTATCCTCAGACTGCCAGCTATGTCTCACTTGACAACGACTGCGCTGACGACTAGCCTGACACCGGTAAAAAACACCATGCCTATCACAAACGGTGAGTGGTGATCCTGCGCGATCCCTGTCAATCTCCCTCCAAGGCATCGTGCGCAATATGAATTTTCACGGTGCTACATACATTGATTCCGAGGGAAATTGTGCGTGGTGTGTTTCATTCGTTGACCGGTCCTTTATCTATCAAAAATACGAGGGGTCAGATTAATGCGAGTCAAAGCATCAGACAAAAGTAACGACGGGCAATTGGAGAACAGCCAATTTGAGTCTAGAGCAAATGCCACTCAAAAAACAAGGCTCTAGTGTCTGAACACGAGGCCTAATTCTAACCGTGGTTGTCATCGGGACACTTGCTGATACAAGTTTATGCTTGTGACGCTTCATACCACATCCGAAGCTGTGGGCCAAGGCTCGGAGCCCGGTGGCAACTCGAGGGTTTTAGTCTAATTGGAGTGAGATGAATATATCGACCAAAACAACGGGAGTTGTTGTGTGTTATTTCCAAGACAATGAAGGAATGGAGAGAAAGAAAGAACCCCCAAAAATTCCGAACAGAAAAGTCTCTGACATAATTACCGGCCACGTCGAGACCGCCGAAACGCTTATGCAGCTTCTGGTGGCTGCATAGACCGATCAAATTGTGGACTCCAACCTTAGGTCTATCTGAAGCACGGAATTGGGCCCGGCCACTCAGCAGGGGTGATAAGTCGTCGGTACGGATCGATAAGTTCAGTCCGAGTGGATTAGTCTCACCCATAGTGGGTCCTCCGGTCAAAGCGACATGCGGAGTATAGCCATCCTGTTCGGCCCGATAAGGGTGTCGGATTCATAGTAACGTTGTACTCGTAAATAAAATATTTGGACTTCGAATGGCTTGATTCGGGTGAGACCAATTACTCGTTCTCTGCTTCACATCACTCTCGCTTTTGCCAAGACGTCTTGGAATTTACCTCGTTCTTTCTAAAGGTATCGCGCAGTTTCCAGCAGCAGGCTCCTGCAGGATACCTGGGTATCATAGACGGAAATGCAGCTCTCGGTGTTTTTCACAGTGTTGTTTCTAAGCACTTATGTCTTGTGTTGGCCCTACGATGAGTCTCTTATTGATTGGAATCTCAATCAGAACAAAAGCGCTCAAGGCCCTATCGATTATTGGGGAGCATGGCCGGACCATGACTATCATCCGTCGCCAGATAACTGGCGCTTCCCTACATATACAATCTTCTTGGACCGCATATCTAATGGTGACCCGACAAATGACGATATCAACGGGACCCACTTCGAGCATGTGGTCAACTCTAATCAGATGCGACACGGCGGCGACCTGGATGGCTTGCTAGATACGCTTGACTATATCCGTGGCATGGGCTTCAAGGTACGTTGATACGAGCCCGATCAAATCCAAAAGCTAATCCACACATTTAGGCCATTTACTTCGCCGGGACGTATTTGGAGAACCTACCTTGGGCCTACGATGGCTACTCGCCGGCTGATACCACTCTCCTCGACAAGCATTACGGTACACTGGAGGACTGGAGACGGATTGTCACAGAGATTCACAAGCGGGATATGTACGTTCTGGTGGACAATACGCTCTCGACGTAAGTTGATTCATGCATACTTTTAACTATTTGTTTCCAGTGCCCCGAAGCTCATTTGGAACATAGATTGAGCAACCTGATCGGTTTCAAAGGCCACCTGAACGGCTCCGCAGATTTCAAAGCAAGCGAATACAATATTGAATGGGTCACAGACAGACAATATGCCGATTTTTCATTTGGGAACACCTGGAACGACACATGCAACTATCCCAGTTTTTGGTATGAGAATGGATTCCCGTTGACAACCATGGGAGTCCAGGATCTCAACGGTTGCTACAACAGCGACTTTGATCAGTACGGAGAGCTAGAGGCATTCGGTAATTTCCCAGACTGGCAGCGTCAGCTCACAAAGTTTGCCTCGGTGCAGGATCGCCTGCGTGAATGGCACAAACCCGTTCGCGATGTCATCACTCGGCACTCCTGCTTCCAAATCGCGAGTCTCGACATCGATGGATTCCGCTTCGATAAGGCCGTTCAAGCCACCCTCGAGCCCCTCAGCGAGATGATGGCCGTCTACCGTGAATGCGCAAAGAAGCTCGGCAAAAACAATTTCTTCCTGCCCGGAGAGATTACATCTGGAAATGACTTTGGCAGTCTCTACCTTGGCCGTGGTCGTCAGCCAAATCAGCGTCCGCCCTCTGCAGGTGCTGCCGTCACGCTCACGAACACCTCCGAGGGCAGTTTTCTGAGAGAGGATGGGTTACAAGCATTGGATGCGTCGGCATTTCACTATACCATCTACCGCTCGATGACCCGTTTTCTGGGCATGGATGGTAACTTGGTTGCCGGCTTCGACCTGTCAACCGATTTCATTGAAGCCTGGAACGAGATGCTTGTCACAAATGACTTTTTTAATGCGTTCACAGGAGAGTTAGATCCCCGGCATATGTACGGCGTTTCGAACCAAGATAATTTCCGATGGCCAGCAATCAAGAATGGCACGTTGAAGTACCTTTTGGGTCTGAACGTCATCACATTGTTACTTCCGGGAATTCCTCTCATTCTGTGGGGTGAAGAGCAGGCAATGTATGTGTTCGACGCCACTGCATCTAACTACCTCTACGGCCGACAGCCCTTGTCGTCTCAAACTGCGTGGTGGACAAACGGCTGCTTCAACCTAAACACAACCAAGTTCTACGATTTCCCGAATGAGAAAGGACTTGATGGCTGCAACGATATCACTGTCACATATGATCAACGCAATCCAGCTCATCCACTCCGCAACATAATGAAACGAATGTTTGAAATTCGAGCTCATTACCCGGTCGCAAATGATGGCTTGTTTCTTCAAACGATTTCTCAACTCACGGAAGACATCTATCTCCCCGGTTCATCGACTACTCCGACAGTCACCGGTCTTTGGTCGGTATTGCGAGCCTACTTCCCGGCTGTCCAAACAGAGGCAATCTTGGCCAACGAAACACTGTGGCTCGTGTATCAAAATGGAAACACGACGAAGACATATGGAGGCGGCTGCACCAACAGCAGCGCTGCCTTGTTGTCTCCATTTACGTCGGGAAAAAGGTTGAGGAACCTCTTCTATCCTTACGATGAGCTTACTGTGGACGATGGTCCTACCGACACCTACGGATGCATTAAAGGGGGCATGGAGCTGCTTCCATGGGAATACCGCGCCTATGTGGAAGCCGACATGTTCGTGGATCCCGGTCCTACCGTCACTGAGTTTATCCCTGGTCATGATTCTCGGTTGCTGTCTGCAGAAAATACGGGTGATACCATCCCGATTCAGCTTGGATATTCCACAAAAATGGACTGTGACATTATTACCAACGCGATCACTCTGAACTCAAAAACGGAGCAAGGTATCATCGCCTCTCTTGATACTGCTAGTGTCAGTTGCACCAATGTTACGGCCAGGACGACAAGCAACGACTATACCAGTGAGATTCCGACTGTTTGGACATGGTCTGCCAACTTGACAAATGTCTATCACGGAATCCATCAAATAACTATTGCCAACGTTTCCACGTCTAGCACATCTGAATTTTATACCAACGCGACCGACAGCTTTTTGATCCGCGTCGGTGTTCCTACCAACCCCTTGATCACCCCGCTGTCCAATTACTCTACCAGCCTCGTGCACAAATATGACGACGAGTACTATGTCAAGCACAACGCCGCTGGTGCGGACAAGTTCCGGTATTCAGTTGATTTCGGCAGCACCTGGTCGAAATGGACGACGTATGAGGGCGGCAATACGAGTGTCACCATTCCGACTTTCACCGGGACTTCCGAGCAGGCGTGGAAAGGAACTCATATCCGCGTGCAATACTTCTCAAGACTCACTGGAAGTAGCGACTACATCCAGGAAGGTGATCACGACTGGAAGGAAAATTCTGCCCGAAGGTTCCCTCACTTGTGGTTCAACGGCCCATTCAACCAGTACGGTTACGATGCGGGAGTGAACAACGAAATGCAGTTTGACTCCAAGACTTTGCGTTGGAACTATGACTTTGTCTATGAATGGCCTGCCGTGGGACAGCTGAATGCCTGGGGTATAGATCCGTCAAATATTCCTGATAATACGGAGGTCTACGGTGACGTCGGAAACTCCTCCACAATATTGAAGCTCCCTCCATCTTACCTTTCGTCCAACGTGATCAACTTCACCGATTTACCCCCATTCCCACATCTTGGATGGAAGATCTCTCTCAATGATGCCAACCTAAGGTATGAAAAAATTCCCATCGGATCTGGATGGGCCCAACTCGCCCTCTTCATTCTTTTGTGCACCGGTCCGATCATTATGGGCCTGGCCGGAGTCTTCATCTTTATCCGAACGTTCTATCAAGTCAAACTCAACAAATACGGCAACGCTCTCAAGGTCGAAACGCTACCTTCCTTGCTCTGGCACAAAGTCAAAAGAAAGTTTTCGAAGCAAGGTGAGACAGAGAACGCAATTTCAGAAAAGGTTCTGCCGACGGGCATCGCCGTGGGAGGGGTGGTCGACCAACAAAGACGTACGGTTTTAGTTGCCACCATGGAGTACGACATCCAAGACTGGAAACTCAAAGTCAAGATCGGTGGTCTGGGAGTCATGGCCCAGCTCATGTCCCAGAACCTGAAGCACCAGAATCTCATCTGGGTGGTGCCGTGCGTTGGTGATATCGATTACCCCGTGGACACGCCGATCGAGCCCTTCGTCGTCACGATTCTTGATAGGCCATACTTGGTGAATGTTCAGTACCATATCGTGGAGAATATCACCTATATCCTGCTTGATGCTCCGGTTTTCCGACAGCAAACAAAAGCGGAGCCTTATCCACCACGAATGGATGATCTTGAAAGCGCAATCTATTACTCGGCTTGGAATCAGTGTATCGCAGAGACAATCAGGCGGACACCAACCATCGACTTCTACCACATCAACGACTTCCACGGGTGTGTCGCACCGCTATACTTGCTGCCTACTCGAACCATTCCGGTTTGTCTGTCCTTGCACAACGCCGAATTCCAAGGACTTTGGCCACTGAGGACACAGAAAGAGAAGAAAGAAGTCTGCTCTGTTTTCAATCTTCCAGTTGACATAGCCACCAAATACTGCCAATTTGGAAATGTGTTCAACCTTCTGCACACCGGTGCTAGCTATCTGCGATTCCATCAGCGTGGTTTCGGTGCAGTTGGTGTGTCCCAGAAGTACGGAAAGCGATCATGGGCCCGCTATCCAATTTTCTGGAGTCTTAGCAACATTGGCAGTCTTCCGAATCCAGACCCCTCCGATACAGGCTCTGTGGAGAAAGGTGCAGAAGTGCCGGTCACGATTCAGTCCAATGCCGAATTAATTCATGATAAGCTCCAGGCACAGAAATGGGCTGGTCTGAACGAGGACCCTAATGTAGACTTGATCGTGTTCGTGGGACGATGGTCCAAGCAAAAAGGAGTAGACTTGATCGCGGACGTTATGCCAGAAATTCTATCTGCCAGACCTCTTGTGCAATTGATCGTGATCGGTCCTCTCGTTGACTTATATGGCAGACTGGCTGCGATCAAGCTTGAGCGCATCATGGAAATGTTCCCGGGTCGCGTGTTCTCGAGGCCAGAGTTTACGATTCTTCCACCCTATATGTTTTCCGGTGCCGACTTTGCTTTGATTCCATCACGAGATGAACCATTTGGATTGGTTGCTGTTGAGTTTGGCCGCAAGGGTGCTCTCGGAATTGGTTCTCGCATTGGAGGACTTGGACAAATGCCCGGTTGGTGGTATACTGTGGAATCTGACTCGGCTCGCCATCTCTTGCATCAGTTGAGGACCGCCATCGAATCTGCCTTGGACTCATCCCCGGAGATTAGAGAGGAGATGCGTGCAAACTCCGCCAAACAACGGTTTCCCGTCCTTGAATGGGTTCAAAAGCTCGAAATTTTACAACGAACTGCAATCAAAATCCATCACAGCAAGAACAGGAACAGTGTCATTAGTCTCACGCGAGATTCTCAGACGGATAGGGATATGCAGAGCTTGCGGCCTTTCTCTAGATCCCGCCCTGTGTCTTATCAGTCTATGGCCGGGGGGTTGGAAACAACACGAGAGAGAATATCGGAGCCCATTCAGCCTTCTCTTCTGGAGCTACAGGCAGTCGAGCTAGAAGATATGCAAAAGTCCCACGGCCGTAGAGAGAGCATGTTGGTTCGCAAACTATCTCTCGGTCGACGAACTGGACCTGGGCAGGGCAGAAAGCGTCTCGTCAAGAGAGCACTGCGCGAGAGTCAGCTATTCGACGGTGATACTACAGAGGCTGAAGAAGATGGCACCGAGACGCCACAGGAGGAGAATATCTCTCCCGAAGACGTAGTGGCTGCAATCAATCAGACTCTCGGAGCCCAAGATCTCAGCACATCCTCACAGGATACCAGTACCTCTCATGGCGAGTCTACCTTCGGCTCTTCACGCTTTGTCTCTCGGGACAATTCTCCAGTCAGAACACCCATGCATCATGATAGCCTCATTTCTGGTAACACTACACCTGTGTACACACACAACTTTTCCGTTCTCTCATTGGTGTCTGTCTTTGAGGATCACGATCAACCCGTCTTCAATTTGCAAAAGGTCGACCCTACCTTCACTGACAGCATGGGTTACTTCACGCGCAACTTCGACAAGCTGCTCACCAACCTCAACAAGAAGAATTCGATCACAGATTACTGTATCGAAATATATTTGATGAAGAGTGAGCGGAAGTTCTTTGACCTGTACACCGATGCGCAGTTGAAAAAGCAGCCCAAGGTGGTGGAGCGGCCCCTGTCTGGAGCTGACTTGAATCACCCTATTCATGATCCGGAGTATGAAAACAACTCGCCGCCCCATGAACACTCTGAATCAAATGGAGCAGATGGTATCGATCAATGGCTCTCTCGTCTTGGTTACAAGAGACCCATTGCCATCCAGAGATTCATGAGATGGCGGGTCGGGAATTGGCCCGTCTACTCTCTATTCTTGGGTCTCGGACAAATTATCGCGACAAATTCAGCGCAAATCACGCTCTTGGTTGGTCAAATCGGTGAGACTGCGGTCAAGCTCTATGTGATTGCAGCAGTCTACTGTCTGTCGTCCATTGGTTGGTGGTTCTTGTTCTACCGCTTCCCTTCCGTGATAGTCCTTTCTCTGCCATGGTTTATCTACTCCATTGCATTCGTTATCATTGGGGCCTCGCCATTCGGGCTCTCATTTTTTGGTCGAGCCTGGGCGCAGAATATTGGTGCAGGGGTTTACGCCGCCGCATCTTCCAGCGGCTCCTTGTTCTTTGCCCTCAACTTCGGTGATCAGGGTGCCGTCCCAGTCAAGGATTGGATGTTCCGCGCAAGTCTGATCCAAGGCATCCAACAGCTTTACACGGTCGCCCTCTGGTTCTGGAGCTCCAGAGTCACCTCAGTGGAAGTGGCTGGCATTCACACGGCTGCGTTGAGTACATGGAGACTGACGGCCGTCGTGATGCCCATTGCCGCAATATGTTTCACCATCGGTATCCTCCTTGCCCTAGGACTACCCAAGTACTACCGTCAAGCCCCCGGGAAGATTCTCTTCTTCTACAAATCCCTCTTCCGTCGACGCATTGTCCTCTGGTTCTTCTTCATGGTCATCATTCAGAACTGGTTCCTCTCAGCCGTCTTCGGTCGCAATTGGTCATTCCTCTGGTCATCCCGACACGCCAAGTCATGGCAAGTCCTCATCTTGGTCCTCTTCTTCTTTATTATTGTCTGGGTTCTTGCCCTGTTCATCTTCCGCTTCTTATCCAAAGAGCACAGTTGGATACTACCTGTCTTTGGTCTGAGTCTGGGTGCACCGCGCTGGGCGCAAACATGGTGGGGAGTATCAAACATCGGCTACTATCTCCCATGGGCCGGAGGTTTGACTTCTGGAGCCCTCATCTCACGATGCCTCTGGCTTTGGCTAGGTGTTCTCGATGAGATTCAGCAAATCGGTCTTGGAATGATTCTCTTGCAGACACTGACAAGAGTGCACGTCTGTTTTGTCCTGTTGGCCGCACAGTCTCTTGGATCCATCGCGACCATCTGTGCGCGTGCTTTTGCGCCCAACAATTTGGGCCCAGCTGGCGTCTCTCCAGATGTTGGCTCATCTTTGGATAGAGTTGGTAATGCGTGGTTCTGGGTTGCGCTTTTCTTCCAGCTCTTGGCTAGGTTAGTTTTTCCATTTCCCTCTTCCCTTGTATTTGAACTCTTTGCTTACTATTGTTGCAGCTTTGGTTTCCTTCTATTTTATCGACGAGAACAGCTCAATAGGCCGTGAGCTTTTCATGTCCCAAAACACGACACGAACAACTATAATTTACCATATATACGGAGGATCTAATGAGGAACGTGTACGAATGACGTTGGCACGGATATCGCGATGACTTTGGTTTCTGCTATCTAGTACGAGAGGGTCAAGTGGGTAATGAAATGGAATCAGTACAGGATTGGAATATGGAAGTATAACTTAAGGGCGTTGAGACTTTTCGAGGAAGAGGAGATGGGATGAAGTCTTTCAGAAAATCCTAGGCTAAGCTTGCCCACTTTTTGATTTCATAGTTTAACCTAGACTATAATCGGCCATGCATCATCAGCATTATAATACACTAGTCAATTTTTCTTTTTAGTACGATTAATGGCATCCAAATCTCTACCTCATAGACTTATGAACTTAGAGCTGGCGCGCGCCTGGAAACCACGATGCACTAACGTAATTCACGGGCAAGTGAGCTACACGGGTGAGTGGGCCACCGCAGAACACCATATTAAATTCCATTTTTTTGTAACCTTATATCTCAACAATCGGGGCTGGTATAGATAGCAAACTCTCAAGGTCATGTTCTGTACAGTAAAAATGATACTTAGATGGAGTCTAGGAAATTTTGGTGGGGGAGTATAGATATTTCTGGTTTATTTAGCTAAATTACAACGTAATTTATGATATTGTGAATATACGACATTTTGATCGTCTTGAAAATTAATATCTACTATAAAGAATGCTTATAAATACCAGTATACTTATATTGGAATATATTAGAGCGATGGTTATTGAGATACAAGGTTGTAAAAAGCAGCATTTAATATAGAGTTCTGCGGTGGCCGGGTGGGGTAGTGAAATACGTTGACGTAACCGGTAAGCGAGCCGCCTATATAAGCGAGCTAAGGTTTGGGAGTCCCAACGGGAATACCTGGAAACTAATTGTAAGGGTGTGGAGATATAGGGGATAAGATCAATTGATGTAAAAATCGATAGTTGTTAAATATATTATGGCGTTTGGGTGGTGAAAACTCATTTTAAAAATATAGTAGGTAGATAGGTGACCGGGTCGACCGGGAAATCCGTTATAGTTACTAACGGATGCTGCCTAAATTGCAGTGAACTGGCTGCATTTACCCCCTTGGGATAGGCTATTAAGTCCGCAACCTCGAATTAATATTATTCGTGGTCGCTAAGTCCACAGCCTCTAGTTTGATTGTACGATAGATAGACTAGGGTGTTAGAGAGGCTTATATAAATCTCTTAGCCTAAGGGAGGTAGGGTTTTATACGACAGGCTAAAGCGCACCTCATCAAAAAAATAAACTAAATTTTATATCTCTATAACAACCTATTCTAATGAATCGCTAACTTAGAACTCTTACATTTTCAGAGTCGTCCGACCGATAAATTCAAATAGGATGCAGTGGTGAAAACCAACTGGTATGCACTCACTAGCGCCGTTTTCCCCTCTAGTAAAGTAAAAACCCTAACTAGTACCCAGTGTATCCCACCAACCCCCAGCTTTTCTATAATAAGCAGACCATTGATCTAAATCCACTTCCCCAGGAGCGACATAATTCCAGCGCCAAGTAAAAAGCTCACGAATATGATCGTCAGTTCCTTATTATCGTTTGTTCGATTCGGGTTAAAGATAAAGTCATGGGCAATGAGCTCCACAAGCGAAGTATAGATTAGGACCCCCGCAGACGAGGCATCCAGCACCCCTTGCACGATGTTCGCATTAAACGAGTTGAGGTTCAAGGATTCCCGCACCGCGATCCCAATGGCGATAGAAATTGGAGTGGTCAGTCCATATGCTGAGCAAAGAATCCAGGGTAGGTAGCTTCCGGGCTTGAAGGGAATGGAGGACATTCTCGCACCAATACCGAGACCCTCAAAAGCCTGATGGAAAATGATGACAACATAGAGAATCTTGAATTCGCTACCCACGACGCCGAGGGTGAGACCGATAATGACTGAGTGGAAGAGAACCCCAAACTCAAGAATGAGGAAGGCCCCCAGCTGTTCACTGACGGACTGCTCATTATCAATGGCTTTATCATCGCAAGATGATGCTGCAGCGAATTGAGGAGCTTCGGCAGATTTCGGCGCTTGTGACGAATAGGAAGCTGGAGTAGTGTCATTGGTTTTGTCACTGTTGGCTTCTTCGTCTTGCCGGAGATTGGCAATTTGACATCCTTGGCTGGCTATCATTGAGCGTTTCTCACTCCGACGGATGCCATATTTCTTTTCCACAAATAAGATGGCACCGAAGTTCAGAATAAAGGTGACCACAATGAATGTCAAGGCAAAGGCCGGTGGCCATGAATACTGGGTCCAATTTCCTGTCACGCCCACACAGGTATTCTGGCCTATCTCATAGTAGGACGGATCCAGCAAGTGCACAAATGCCGTTGCCAGAATTACACCGCTACCAAAATATCTTGCAATCAGATAAGCAGTATTGGGAATCTTCAAAGCGTCGACCCGTCTCGCCACGACTGGGAAGAAGGTCACAACAGTAGAGGTGATCAGGATAACGAAAACCGAAGAGATGCGAGCACCAAGGTAGCCATTAGAATCATCCGGCTGGTCGTAAAGATAACATATCACATCAGCAAGGCTCGCAGTGTTAAGGTTGACATTGGTTGGATCGAACGAGCTTGATGACATCTTGAGACAGGTTGATGTGGGGGGGGAAGGTAAGAGAAGTGGAGAATATAGAACAAAGCAGTTAAAGGATGTGGTCTGATGAATGCAGCCAAGAATGCCAAGATGGAAAAAGGGACATCTCCTTATATATTATTGGATTGACCCACCACACTATTAGGATGCTCGTGTTTGTAGGAAATTTTCATCGAATTGTAGGAATCGTAGCCTGCGGGATGGTGGGGGGGAGCGCAGGCAACAGCTCATAGGGTCCTCAGAAACGTACAAGGTACTCAAGCAGCAGCGCACAGGGTCCCCACTACTAACTTCATTCCCTCATAAGAACAACCCATTACTTGATACGTAATCTGGCGCGACCCACAGGTGGAACTCGTTCCCATCACACCCCTCGTACCTTCGCACACGCAACTGACCGTGACCAGTTAGCAACGCGTAACACCGGCTCCCTTAACTACCGAATACGTTAATCGGTAAGCGAGTGCGCTATACAAGCGGGTGGGCCACCTCAAACTAGATTGCGCCATAACCTGCGCCAACCCGAATCCAACCCAACTTGAACCCGCAAATGGGTTGGGTTCGGTTGACTTCTTTGACCCGCACGCGGGTCTTGGGTCGAGGTAGATAACCAAACCCGAACCCGCATAACCCGAACCTAACCTATTTAGGTGGATCCTCATAGCATTATTTATGAAGTACCAGTCTACATTTTTGGGTATTTGACTTATAATAAAGGCCTCTTTCTATAACTATAGTTTCTGATATACGTTTAATGAGTTCCTGAAGCTATAGCACTAATTTTCTGATAGCCGTCAAAAAATAGGGTTATATAGCTATAGTATTGGCTTTTTTGACGGCCGTTAGAAATTGAGGTTTAATTCGCTATAGTATTAATCACTAATAATATACCTATTGATCGTCCTCCTATCGAGGACGCTTACGCGATCTCTTAGATACGCGGCGTACCTATATGTCTTTTATATAAGGGAGATCTACCTCATCGCCATTATTATTATTAGGCTACAGAAGCTCCTCTCTATCCTTATCGTCATCCTCCTCTTGTATATCCTGTTCCTTAGAATCACTGATCGGATTCCGCTCAAACTGATTAGGCGTATACTCTCTTTCTTCTTTCTTGCCTGCTTCAATTTCATTAAGAGGGAAAAAATCTTTCAAAAATGTACAAGAGTCTTCCTGGACGTCGAACCTTGATGTACAAAAGAAACATCATTAGTTACTGGATTATCATACTATATAAGTGTCCTTAGCGACAATGACAAATATCCCACGTAGTATTAAATAGACGCTCGACACCAGCACCAGTTGCCGGGATTGAAAGGATATCCCAGACAAGAGTAGCAATAGCTGGAAAGCGATGTTGATTCTCCTTCCAGAATAGGAGGGGTGGCGTATCAATAGGATCGATCTATCGTCCGTTAGTAAGGGTGGATAGTTCTACTGAATAGAAATAGAGGCCAATTCTATAGAATAGATCATTTTCGGTTCCAAGCTAAGGCGGACGCCCCCAGTGGAGATGACGGTGTCATCGCGAGCACCACGGTCGTAGCTGAGGAGAAAAAGAGGGGACCGAGGGAGAGCAGCACAAAATGGGGGCGCGGGATCGCAGAGCCGACGAGTCACACACGGGAGATACGGGGTGGCGGAGCTCAGGAGCTCAATGATCCGGATCAATAGCAAAAATGCCTCACCTGTAAAGCCCAGGGAGGAGAGCGAAAAAGAAAATATGCGATGTTGGGTGGGGAGAGGGAAAGAAAGGGAATATATAGAACGACGCGCGGGCACGCATAGAGACCGGTGGCGCTAAACTGGAAGGGTCAGAACTAAACCCAAAGGGTACATCACCGTAGCAGTCCGATATGGTGTAGTGGCTAACATCGCCGTCTCTCACACGGCAGCCGGGGGGTTCGATTCCCCCTATCGGAGTAAATTTTTACGTTTACATTTTCGGGTGTTTGTCAGTTGACTTTTTAGATTTTTTTAATGCTAGCTTGGTTGAGTTTGAATCAATTCTATGTCCGATTGAAGATTAGGCTAGGCAGAAGTCCTAAACTTAGGGGGGAAAAATAAGCGGCCGCGGGAACCGCGTTTGTTTTGTTTGTGGACGTCGGAACGGCAGGGGTGTTAGGTAGGTAGATAACTCTACATTTTCACAGGCCTTACGTTGGAACATCGGAAGAAAGCGCCAGATACTTCTCTATCCTTCATCCACCAAGGTAGCCTCGCAATTAAAAATATGAATGTTGTTTACAGATTTTGAAAGTTGAGAAACAAGTTGGATGTACGAGCTTCCGAGATCTATATATATTCCTACTAGTTCCAACCTATTGGTACTCCTCTCGAAAGACCATAATTACTTCCTTCTCTTTCCCATTCACGTCCTCTTCAACATAAGCACGCCACATGCCTCCGGAATTAAAATCAAAGACCACCCTCCCGCGACGGAGCTGCTCGTTCAGAATGCTAGCATTTGACGCCCAGGTAGAGACAGCTTCAATTCCAATGATACCTCCTTCGCCCTCACCAGTGATGTTCCAGCGCTGTCCAGCCGACCGCTGTAGTTCACCGCCAGGTCCGGCTACCGCAGTTACAGCATCGGCGAGAGTAGAATATCGGCCTGGAGCAGAAAACCGGAGCATCGCAGCGGCTGTCCGGGCAGCAGCAACGCGGAGGAATGAATCTCCATTTCCAGTTCCCGAGACAGCAATGGCACGCCTTGTATGCTGTGGTTTGCTGGGAGGCACCTGGTACGGAGACTGCTTTTCAGGAATAGAACCCGACTGACTAGTCTGTCCAATGGTAGGAAGAGCTGTATAAGCCGGAGGGCGAGACTCCCTCAGGAACGGAGGCAAGCAATCGGCCAAGTAGGCTTTAGCCTCTTCAATAATACCCCCGACCAAGGCGGGATATTGAGAAGACCCGACCGAAGCACTATCTGATACCATCTCATCCCAAGCCTCGGCCCAAAAGCCAGCACCCAGAGTCGGCGTATCCCCAATGCGACCGGGAAGCTTATTCGTCATGCCGCCCGTACTCGTCGCAACAGCCAGATTCCCCCATTGATCCAAGCAAACACAACCCACAGTTCCCTGGCTCATAGAGATAGGCTCAGCCTCACCCTTCAGTCCACGTATATGCTCGTCCCAGCGGCGCTGCGTCCAGAACCACTCATCAGGCTTAAACTCAAGCCCCCAATCGCGAGCCAGCGTCTCCACATGAGGCCCAACAAGCTGCGAATGCAAGCTGCCACCGTCACTATTTCGCTGACCGTCGACCGTATACCCAGTGCGTAGCAGAGACTCGCGCGCAAGACGGATAGGATGGCGAACATTTCTCACGCCCATCACGCCTGCGCCACGTTTCACTGCACCTTCCCTGCTCTCATCGGGCTCTTGTACCGAGGTCACCATCACTGAAGCTTCCATCTCGATTGTGCCGGCTGTTGTGAAGACGCTGCCGCGACCGCAATTGAAGAGCTCGTCGTCTTCCATCAGGGAGACGGCGTGTACAGCAGCATCGAGGGCGGAGCTGCCGTTGTTGAGGAGGGCATAGGTAGACCGGAGATAGGATTGGAGGGAGGCATGGTAGGCTGCGTAGAGATCGGGTGGAAGAGTGGACCGTTTGAGATTACCAGCACCGCCATGCAAGATCAATGTGGGCTTGAAAGATGCTGCTCCTGCTGGCATCGTGGGTGTTGAGGACAGGTTGAAAGGGTGAGGCCGGTGCGGGGAAGTCGGAGCGGAGTCGCCGAATGCTAGTGCTCTAGTTAATGCCCCCATCTATTCGGGTAAGTCGGTCCTAGTATTTCTGTGAGAAGCTGCAATCAGACGAGACGGATAATCAAAGGTTGAAAATATGTGCAAGATAAATGCGTATTATGCCTGCTAGCCATGCGTTAATGTACAATAGTCCACCACGTCTCTTTCCGAACGCTTTTTTTTGCAGAATGAGCAGAGAATTTCTTTCGGGCCACCTGGCCACGAAAAAGAAACATGCCGGTTATGGAAACCAGCCATAGAATGAACCCGCCGTCTTCACAAAAATACAATGCTCCGAAACAAAAGCCCGTGGGAGGCGGTATCAAAAGCGTGCGCAAAAAAAAAAACAAGACCCTCTATGCCATGTCGTTTAAGAATGAGGACCCAAACCGAACACCTGAGAAGAGAGACTCAATGTGGGGATGTGTTATGAAGACAGATTTGAGGTGGGCGGTCGGCCACCGAGGAGATGAATCGATCGCGGAAATATTTGGTAGGAGGAAATTTAAGCAAGAGCCTTCTGCTCCGACGGAGGAGGGGGAGGGAGCTAGATTCAAATTTGAGTTAATTTATGATCTCCAAAGACGTGTCAAGTTTGCGGATTCTCATACCTCAAGCTTGGTGTTGTCGGCCATCATACGCTGGAAGCCGATACCGACACCCTCAATAACTGCAAGGAAGACGGCACACATAATGGCAGAGTTACGGGCGGCCTTGACACCACCACGGACAGCGAGAGCACCACCAGTGAAGAAACCGGCAATAACTAAAAAAAGACATTAGAAAGGTTTTGCATCGGAGATAGACCGAGAAACCACATACTAGCATTGTAAGGGTCCTCCTTCTTGCGGATTCCCTTGACGGCACAGTCGAAGGTCGAGAACATGCCACCCCAAACACCGAAGTTTCCACCGAGAACGGGAGCGCGGGCCTTGATGGCAGTGAGAGCACCTATCCGGCGCTCACCGTAGGGGCTGTTGCGGAAACCTTTGACACCGTGCCAGACAGCACCACCGATAGCCTAAAGCGAAAAGATCAGTCGCCGGAACTTAGGGACAACCAAAGACGTGTTCATGTTAACATACACCCATGCAGAAGGCACCGCCAAAGTCGCTCAGCGCGACCCAGGGGCAGGGATCTCTTGAGTGATCCATTATATGTTGAGGAAGAAGGTAAAGTGGGTTCGTGACAAAAGGGGGTCGAGAGTCGGAAGACGGGAGTGTATGGTGTCGCGATCACCGGAAGTCGGACTGGGGAGCGAAGGTGGACGGAGGGATAAGTCGATGGCAATGGATGGCCGAAGTGAAGAGCGCAGTCAACCCTGACCAGATAAGAAGGAAGCGGGTCGACGACTTTTTCATCGAGGGAACGTGACTGCACGTGACCCCCGGTCGCCACCGGGAAATCGGGAGCTTCAGGAATAAATCTTGGACCTGATTTTTGACGGGCCAGGAATTAAGCTTCCACATCCGCGGGAGGCAAGAGAAAAACCCGGGCACGTCTGCATTACATCGTCGTGTTCGGGTACCACATCAGAGTTTTCTACGTTACTTTTAGGGGCATGCGGTGCAAAATGGGGGTATCTCGGTGTTTACGGCTCTGAACTCCGCATACTGTGGACGTGAACTATATATACACACGTGGTCATGTTTTCCTTCATGACGGCAAATTCCAGATGAAATCCAGTGCCCCTCCTTCATACATCGGGAACTGACCTCCGTTGTTCATACCAAACGGTGCCATGGAGGGATCAAAGGGTAATGAAAGCCAGTCGTCGCCCATGTCGTTGAAAGCCGGAATAAAGCTCAGCTCTGATGTCAAATCCTGAGACGCAGGCGTGTTGATATGATTTGAGCGGTCGCCACTCTCTGGCCAGGGCGGCGGACCCATGGATGACTGTTGTGCGGTGCCTCGACTGTTTTTGATGTTTTTACCAGACGCGAGCAAATTGCGCCGCAGCCGCGAGACGTGCATGTCCAGGAGCGTAGCGTAGCGAGTGCTGAGATGGACATCGTCCAATGCATTGGACTTGAGTGCAGCGATACTTTTCTCTAACACCTCGAGTGAGTCGCGGAGTGTAGTTTGTCGGGTGCCCAAACTGAGCGCTTTCATCAAGAAGATCGAGGCGCTGGTGATGCGAAGGACAATGCGGACTGGTGAAAATCGCAGGGCGCCCCCTTCAGCGAGATGAGTGACCTTTCGCAGAATCTGGCAGCATCCGTCAATCACTTCTTGGATGTATTCATAGTCGGTCGGGTCGATGGTTGTCGGCCGCATCTCGTCGAGGTGGTTGGGATCAGCATCTGCGATCGCACGTTCGACTACCGCTTGCATTCCGACTGAGTGAGTGTATACGCGGACGAAATGATATTCGATAAATAGGTCATTGTAGAAGAGAGGATCAAGAACGTGCGGCTGCAAGTACTTGTCTTTCCATTGGTTGAGTAGTGGCCGGAAATGCTCAAGCAGGCCGACGTAGCGGCCACTATGCAGTTGTTGCCGAGCGAACTTGGCAGATGGGAAGAACATATCAGTGACCGATTGGGCCAATTTGGTCAGTTCAATCCACGAGTCCATGAACGTTAACCAGGTGCTCCCTGGCTGGCTTAGTCCTCGAGGTTTCCGTCCACCAAGCACAGCGTGGTTCAGCGATTGAGGAATTGGGGACATACAACCGATGCGCCACGCGAGTTGGTTGATGTACACATAAAGCAGACGCTGCACGCGCTGTCTGCGAAGTGTCATCTGCTCTCTCCATTGCTGCTCCTCATCCAAAGAGTCACCATCTTCCGTCTCGAAGATGCCCAGTTCATGTGAAAGAGAAAGGGCACACCCGAGCAACATCCAAGACATCTGGTCCGATCTTCTTGATGGCTCAATCATGTCCTCGAGCCAGCGATTTGCCGATTCACTATTGGAACCAGCATGATCTGAAGGCTTCGGCCCCGTGGAGATCAGGTCGTCATCCCAGCCGTCCATTTCGGGCGGAAAATGCAGCGAACGAGGGTGCCACTCGGCCATAAGTAAAAGGGCCTCGACGGTTCCAAGGCTTCGGATTTTCGACTTGGTGGACTTTTCTTGTCCGAAAATAAGTCGCATAGTCAATTGCTGGCAGTGCTGCCAGAGTCGGTGATGAATGAAGAAGTTTCTCGACTCGCCGCCAGGACCAGGAAGAACGTGATAGCGAGAAGATATCATGAGAATGGTAGTACATAAAACAGGCTCACGGCTGATGAGCAAGTAATGATTTCGGTGATCGGAATAGAAGTCTGTCAATATAGGGGACAAACATGACATGTTCTTGAAGAATCTGTCTTTTGTAAGCGACTTTTCTCATGAAGACAGAACAAAAAGGAAGCCCGCTTGGACAAACTTACAAGTCAATGAATGTAACCGCCTCCCTGGCCGTAAACCATCCCATCTTGACAAACCGACATGCATCCCAGACATTCAAGGTGTCCTGCGGAGGATTTGACATATCGACTGGACGAATAGCCCTCGAAACGGATTCAAAAGTTGCTGGACTTTCAAAATTTCCGGGAATAACGCGTTCTTTGGCAATCGACCCTCCCGACCGAGGTCCAGCTTCTGTTGGAGGACTTTCATCAGTTGCAGATGCATCATCCTGGGCAGTTGCCGCTTCAAAGAGGATATTAAGTGCGTCATTTCCACTGGCCACGACAGTTCGCATCATGGAGCTTGCCAGGTTGGGATTCGCACGATGTCGGCTGTCTTGATACGCATGGCTCGGGGAACTATTCGTATGCATATTGCCTTCTGCAACAGGTACCGGACTGATACCGATCTGGGAATTGTGATCATTTTGCGGTGAGGCCTGATGCCCTGTAAACCCCCAACCTTGTTGATAAGGGCTAGTCTCTTGGTACTGCGTAGGGTGATGACTCGGGACAAACTGTGCTTTCCCGCTGTCTGGTGTCCCACCCGGCGCCAACTGGTCAGCATGTGTGGAAAACCCATCACCGTCATCATCGGTTGAATGCGCTAAATCATTCGATTAGAGACCAGGGACGGCGCATTCGAGGATGAACATACCGCGCTTGCGGGACCGTTCCCAGGCGCGTTTCTCGGGAAACACGCACTCCCTCATCTCCCTACGACATCTCGCGCATGGTGGGCCGATCGGTAGTCCGTCCGGCCCCGTTCCCAGGTCGCATTTGGCCTTGCGTTGCCGACACGGAATGCATGCCTTGTAGGTGCGCTGATAAGGCCGGTCCGGGCGGGCTGGCCTGGCCCCGTCCATATTCAACCGCGTGCCGCCGCACAAGCGCAGAGCGGATGAATTAGGATATCGGGTTTAGCAAGGGCTATTGCAGTGGATAATTTGGTGCAAATTGTGGATGTCTAGAGAGACACTGGGTGTTGAAACAGGCAAAAGACGAGCAGCCTCGGATAGCCGACGTTTTCCGCGCGACCGCTATCCCGAAACGGTTGCATCCGTCCACACTTGTCTCGCATGTGAGCGCACTAATGCAGGTTGATGCATGTTATCTTCAAGGTTTGTAAAGTAGATGCTATTGATAGAATAAGCGAAGCACTGATATTCTCATGCCATTTCTGTTCTAATAACTGCCATACTGGGGCTGTTCTACGGCCTTGGCAGGAACTCGGTCCAAGGAATCTTGTTGCACTTTACAGGAATATCACTAACCAGTGTGTTGGCCGGTCTGAAGAGACGGGACAGTCTGATTATTCAGTAATCTGTTAAGTTTGTTCGCGCGTGTCAAAGTCTCATGGGCGACGCACAACACTTTCCTTCCCGCTGATCGATTCGACGCAGTCCACTTCTTGGTGTTTATCAAGTTGGTGTATCCAAGCCGCGTAGCAAAAGTATTACACCCAATCTCGGTAGACCCGAACAGATTCAAGTGGAGAGATCCCTGGCACAGCCATGAAGGTCCCGCCTTCCAGATATTGCCCATGGGATTCGAGGCCCGCCTGAAGATGATTGCCGACCAAGGTCTACGGCGCTCTATAGTTCGAGCTATAGCCTGCTAGAGGAATCGAATACATCTCGCCAACGAGTTCACCAAAGCAATGATAGGGGAACCGCATAGTAGTACGGTGTCAATTTCCGTGTGATTTCTTTTGCATAGCACCATCGCTTGTGGCACGTGTATCCGATTTATTCCTTGATGACGAGCCCCATCCGATAGGCGCCATTAGCTCTTCAAAATTAAGCTTATCCACGCCACTTCATAATGGAGCTAGCAATGTTTGATGTAATGACTGCTCCCTTTTAGGACTTAAAAGCCCTACAAGGAAGAGACTTATCTGATCTGCATCTCACGAACTGAAGTAGAAATGATCCAGGTTCGAACTCTGTTACAACATTGGAAGCATTTCTATCCACTGTCTCGCCCCAGATTTTATTCGTATTCAGACTGCGCTTTTCAATCTTGACCTGGCGCGGAAGAATTTGATGCATGATGAAAGTCTCTTCTATATTCACAGCTGTACTTGCCTCTATGGCATTCGCGAGCCCAACCACTGTATGTTCATCCAAGCATGACATGTGCATCTTGACTAACAATTATTGGAATAAGAAGGACACCGATAGTCGTTCTTCCCGGATCCCAGAGCGCGCCGACCGACGATCTCAAAGCGTTCCAGAGAAGAAGTAAACTAAAGTGTTAAATTGTATCTTATCGTGTCTCTAGGATAACATGAAGAAGGGATGAAAAGCCTATTTAATCAGTCATAGAGCATTGGATAAAAAGTTTTAACGTAGTGTAGGAAGTCCAAGGCACTTCCGCATGTAAAGGTAAAAGACTGGCAACCAAAGTATTGATTCTTCATTCTAACATGTATCAAACCGTGCCAAAGTTTAACCGAGTGAGACTGAGATGAAAGATACTCATATCAATCAACATACAAGAGCGAAGCAACGTTGCAGTTCCCCACATCTTCAACGGAAAGTGACGGCGCAAAGCGTAGACGGAACTGGTTCCGCGTCGCCGATCATTGGGTCTGCTGGTTGCACGGTCATCGCAACGGCAACTCGAGCCCAGGCGTTTAATGCAGGCAACTAGAGCTATGGCCTGCATAAAATACTTGTGATTCTCTTCCAAGCTCCTTTCGACCTTAGTACCCAGATCCTCACTTTCTCAACCACCATCAAAATGCCCGACTCGGTGACTCTATACACTTACTTCCGCTCATCCTGCTCAGCACGCCTCCGCATAGCGCTATACCTGAAGGGAATCCCATTTAACCCGGTGTTCGTCAACTTGCTAAAAGATGAACAATCCTCACCCGCTCACCGAGAAATCAACCCCTCCGGCACGGTCCCGGCACTCGTGATCGAGCGCGACTCCGCAGCCTCAGTGACAATCACGCAGTCTATGGCAGCTCTCGAATACCTCGACGAAGCTTTCCCAAACAAGGGACCTGCTCTTCTTCCCTCAGACCCAGAAGGTCGTGCTCTCGTCCGTACCCTGGCAGAAATTATCGGCTGCGACATCCAGCCTGTGACAAACCTCAGGATCCTCAAGCGGGTTGCTCCACTAGGCGCAGACCGGGCTGCTTGGTCGAAGGATCTCATTGAAGACGGACTACGCGCATACGAGACCATTGTTGCTCGCTCGGCCGGCAAGTTTAGCGTCGGAGACCAGATTACCACTGCGGATATTTGCCTGATTCCCGCCGCGTGGGGCGCCGAGAGGGTGGGTGTTGATCTGGCCGCGTTTCCGGTGATCAACAGGATCGTGCAGAATCTGGAGAAGGAAGAGGCGGTCCAGAAGGGACATTGGCAGACGCAGCCCGATACACCCGAGGAGCTTCGGGCGAAGAAGGAGTAAGCTAGTTTATCTGCATTACAGCTAGCGGATGGAGGTCTCATACAGTGAATACTTGGTCATGCCGGTCAATTAATAGCCGGCTCATGCGTGTCATTGCAATTATCTTAGGACTATGGAATGTGCAGAAATAGCAATTGCATCGAAATCATTTCATCAAAACATTTTTCCTTTCTACAGGGCAACGGGGGGCAGAATAGTACCGATGCAGTCACCGAAACCAACGTAGTTACCGTCGGAACCAGCCATGCCGCGCAGAATAACGGTGTCGCCGTCTTCAAGGAACATACGCTCCGAACCGTCGGCAAGCTTGAGAGGAGTCTTGCCGTTGGTCTGCTCGAGCAGACTGCCCTGGGTATTGGGCTCCGTGCCGGAGATGGTACCAGAGCCCAGCAGGTCGCCGGTCCGCAGGTTGCAACCGGTAATGGTGTGGTGAGCCACCATCTGAGGGAAAGAGTAGAGAAGGTTGCGCGCGTTGCTCTTGGAAATCACGGTGGGCTGGCCGCCCTTGTTGGTGATTTCGACCTCGAGAGGAATCTCGTAGGCGTTCTCGGCACGCTTCTCGCGCAGGTAAGGGAGGAGGGAATCGCGGTTGCCGGGCTCTAGGCCAGCAGCACGGAAGGGCTCAAGGGCATCGATCAATACGACCCAGGGAGTGATGGTAGTGCCGAAGTTCTTAGCGTTGAAGGGACCAAGAGGGACATACTCCCATGCTTGGATATCGCGGGCGGACCAGTCGTTCATGAGCACCAGACCAAAGATGTGGTCTTCAGCCTCCTCAATGGAGACGGGCTTGCCCAGGTCATTGGGAGTGCTGATGAAGGCGGCCAGCTCCAATTCGATATCCAGACGCTTGCACGGGGAGAAAATCGGCAACTTGGGGTTGGCAGCCGGGTTGGCAAGAATCTGGCCCTGAGGACGGTGCAGAGGGGTGCCAGAGGCCACAACGGATGAGGCACGGCCGTGATAAGCCACTGGAAGGTGCTTGTAGTTGGGCTGCAGGGCGTTCTCGGGTCCACGGAAGAGGACACCAACGTTGTAGGCGTGGTTCAGGCCGGCATAGAAATCGGTGTAGTCACCAATCTGCATGGGGACGTGGTTCTCAACCTTGGACAGAGGGACCAGAGCGGTCTTTTGGAGATCCGCATTGTCCTTGAGAATCTGCGGGAACTGGGTGTCGGCGCGGAAGACGTTCTGCAGGTACTCGCGCACCTGGCGGTGAACGGGGCGGCCCAGGGCAGCGAAGGCGTTCAGCGTAGGCTCATTGAAAACTCCAAGGTGCTGCTGGATCGCGGGCAATTGAGAAAAGCCGCCCGATGAGGCGAAGGCGTTCAAGTTCAACGCATATTCACCGATGGCAATGGCCGGCACGCGCGATGCGGAGGCAGAGATGATACCAAAGGGGATGTTGGCGAGGGAGAACGGCGAGTTCTTGGGGATTTGGAGCCAGGAAGCCATGATGAGGAGATGGTTGAAAGAAGGGAAAGAAAAAAGCAGCAAGCTCAGTTCGACCCCAACTTAACTGTTGACAGACACCTCTGCCCCTCGACGAGCCTTCCGTACGGCGGAATTAAACCGCTCCCCGCATCCAAGCGGGCGCGGAAAGAGAAGCGGGGATAATCGCGGATAACATGCGCAGTCCCGCCGTGACGTGAGCTTCATTTTTTGAGCTGCATTTCGGATGCTGGACCTCCCAGCCGAACAAATACAAAAGTGCAACGAGCTTCTGCTTCTTTCCTCAACCCAACCGCCATCATGCCCGTCACCAAATTCGCCCACCCGGACCCATACACTTACCAGACCGGCTTCGACTCGTATCACGAGTGAGTACCTGTAAAATGTGATGTAATTGTAAAACAGTTCATAGCTGACTGGGCTCAGGACCGAGGCTATCGAGGGTGCTCTGCCCATCGGTCAGAACTCCCCGCAAAAGGTGCCCTATGGCCTCTACGCCGAGAAGCTGTCTGGAACTGCCTTTACAGCACCCCGACATGAAAACAAGCAGACCTGGGTATACCGTGTGCTGCCCTCAGCTTCCCACGAGAACTTTAAGGCAGAAGATGCCGACTCCTACCACACGACTATGACCACGGAGACCCATAAGCTGCACCACATCCCCAATCAGCTTCGATGGAACCCATTCGATCTGGACGAGAAAGTGGACTGGGTCCACGGTCTGCACTTGATTGCCGGCTCGGGTGACCCGACCATGAAAACGGGCCTGGCTATCTTGCTTTATGCCGCCGGAAAGGATATGGGCAACGAGGCTTTCTATTCTGCCGATGGTGACTTCTTGATCGTCCCCCAGCACGGTGTGCTGGATATTCAGACCGAGCTCGGTCGTATTTTCCTGCGTCCCAATGAGATCTGCGTGATCCCTCGCGGTGTTCGGTAAGAGTTCACTTTATGCCAGACATATCTTTCATACTGATACTGTATAGCTACCGCGTGACCCTCCCCGATGGTCCCGTCCGGGGCTATATCTGCGAACTCTACCAGGGTCACTACCAGCTCCCCGAACTGGGTCCCATTGGCTCCAACTGCCTGGCCAATGCCCGCGACTTCCAAGCCCCAGTCGCCGCATTTGACGACGAAGAGCAGCCCGCCGAGTACAAGTTGTTCAGCAAATTTAACAACACGCTCTTCTCGGCGCGCCAGACTCACACTCCCTTCGACGTTGTCGCCTGGCATGGCAACTATTACCCGTACAAGTACGATCTGGGCCGATTCAACGTCATTGGATCCATCTCGTTCGACCACCCCGATCCCTCCATCTTCACTGTTCTGACCGGACCCTCGGACCATGTTGGCACTGCCATCGCCGACTTTGTCATCTTCCCGCCCCGCTGGCTGGTCGCCGAGAACACTTTCCGTCCTCCTTGGTATCACCGCAACACCATGTCGGAGTTTATGGGTCTGATCAGCGGTGATTACGACGCAAAAACTGGGGGTGGTTTCCAGCCTGCGGGTGCTAGTCTGCACAACGTGATGAGTGCACACGGTCCAGATTCGGCCGCATTCGAGGGTGCCAGTAATGCCGAGCTGAAGCCGGCCAAGGTCGGCGATGGAAGCATGGCCTTCATGTTCGAGAGGTATGTTAATACTCCTAAAATTCTTTTTCGAACTTACTGCTAACATCTGCATAGCTCTCTCATGGTTGGTGTTTCGGAGTGGGGCCTGAAGACCTGCGAAAAGGTCCAGGAAGAGTACAACGAGCACAGCTGGACACCGTTGAAGCGCCACTTTGTGAACCCCAACAAAAAGAACTAGGTCTATTGAGACCTTGAAAAGCAAAACTATGATATATATGTTTACTTAGCCAGTTTGCCAGAGCATTATTTTGACGATACCTGAGTTGATGGAAATGAGATACCTGAGTTGATGGAAATGAGAATGGTTTGAAATTTGATTAAGTATTGCAGCTTTGACTAGAACTCTTTATGAAACGCTATGTAAACAACCTTGGAAGTTTTCCAAAGACCAAAACCGTCCCAGCCCCAAAATTCACCCCTCGAATTCCTTCCTCATCGCCTCCTTCACAATCGCCCCGCACATCTTCGCATACGGATTGGTCTGCACAGCAAGCTGCTGTGCGACTTTGTTTCCATATCTACCACCAAGGAAGAAGTCGTGACTTGCCATCTCCTCGAGCTGGTTTGCGCTGAGCCCACGCAGACGCTCCGGGCCAACTGCTTCACCACTCTCTTGTCCAGCTTGGTCTTTCTTCACACGCGCTGCCTTGAGCAATAGATATCCGCGGTGTGTATGCGCATCTGCCAGCAGCCGTGCTTGGACCGAGGACATAGGATCAGCGGGGGAAGCGGGTGTAGCGAGGGTGATTGCTTGGCCCAGGTCTGCTAAGATCCGGGAGGATAAAGAGGCAGCTTCTGGGGAAAAGAGTGCATCGTCTGCGGTGGCTTCTGAGACGTGGGGATTGTTCTGGGAAGGGGTTTCATTGTATTGAATATCGACTAGTAGGCGTAATGCCTGGGCGCGGTTTGTGTATGCGGATGGATAGGTCGGATATTGGTTGAGGAGAGAGTCGAACTCGTCCAAAGCCGATTTTATGTTCTCCCGGCTTGGGGTCTCGTTGGTTTGTAGCTTGCGGACTATCTCTGCCTCGCGTTGCTTGAGCGTAGTGAGATCTGCTTGCGAGATGTTCACTTTCGCGGGCCATGAAGGAAGTGAAGCGTCGACCGTGATGCCGGAGGAGGGAGAAGACTCGGCATCGAAGAGCGCTTGAAGCACCGCAGCGTCGTTGGATGTCAGCGACGGACGTGCCGGTGTGATGCTTGTCATGATGATATGTCGTTTAGGGCCTGAAGTTGGATATCTTTGACAAGGTTCGACGAGATGCGCAGTATGAGAAAGCAATATATTCTCTCTGAGCAAGACGAGTAAGAATAATAGGCAAGATGAGACTTGATCGTTAAACCGAAAAGCAGATGATATCAAAGGTTGAAGCGGCCCGGCTGTTGGCGGATATTTCCGGATACACCAGGATGCGGAGGCAACCGCAGGGTTTCAGTGAACTCCAAGGCAGCGCGGTTGACGACGAATGAACAGCAAAATTATCCGTTAGCGGCAGTTTAATCAAGATTCTCTGACTGGTTGGATATTATAAATTCTATCTCGTGGCGCCTTTTATATCAACCGCCGTCCTGGACCATCCCACATACTTTTTTCTATATTTCTCAAGTTTAGATATCTACGACTTGAAAAAAAGGAACACAGAGTCGAACCAAACTCAAGTCAAACACCAAAATGGCTCCCTCTGCTATCTCTACCAGCCCTCCCCCCCTCCAACGGGGCATCCTCCCTCGCTAGCTACCGTGGCTACGACCATGTCCACTGGTACGTCGGCAACGCCAAGCAAGCTGCAAGCTTCTACATCACCCGCATGGGCTTCAAGCGCATCGCCTACCGTGGCCTCGAGACTGGCAGCCGCCACCTCTGCTCCCATGTCATCCGTAACGGCGACATCACATTCATCCTGACCTCGCCCCTGCGCTCTCAGGACCAGAACGACCGGTTCACTCCCGAGGAGCAAGCCGAGCTGCGTGAGATTCACCACCACATCGAGAAGCACGGTGATGCCGTCAAGGATGTCTCTTTCGAGGTTGACGATGTCGACGCTGTTTTCAACGCCGCGGTGAAGAACGGCGGAAAGGCCGTATCTGAGCCTAAGATCCTCGAGGACAAGGATGGCCATGTCAAGGTTGCCACCATCCAGACTTATGGCGAGACTACCCACACCCTCATTGAGCGCAGCCAGTACCAGGGTGCCTTTTTGCCTGGTTACCGTCTCGAGTCTGGTGCTGAGGACCCTATCGCGAAGATTTTGCCTCCTGTTCAACTGAAGCATATCGATCACTGCGTTGGTAACCAGGATTGGAATGAGATGGACAAGATCTGTGAATAGTGAGTTCTTTCAATTCTCAGCCACGTGGATGATTATCGCTAACATGTCTCTAGCTACGAGAAGGCACTTGGCTTCCACCGCTTTTGGTCGGTTGACGACAGCCAGATTTGCACGTAAGTCAACCACTTCTACAAAATACAGAGCAACGTCGTGCTGATCTTTTTTTAGTGAATTCTCTGCCTTGAAGAGTATTGTCATGGCATCGCCCAACGAGCTCGTCAAGATGCCCATCAATGAGCCTGCCAAGGGCAAGAAGCAATCCCAGATCGAGGAGTACGTGGACTTCTACAACGGTGCCGGTGTCCAGCACATCGCTCTCCGGACCGACGACATTATCCGCGATATCACCAACTTGAAGGCTCGCGGAGTCGAGTTCATCAAGGTCCCCGAGACATACTACACCGACATGAAGGCTCGCCTGAAGCAGTCTAGCTTGGTGCTGAAGGAAGACTTTGAAACCATTAAGAGCTTGGATATTCTTATTGACTTTGACGAGGGCGGCTACCTCCTTCAGCTGTTCACCAAGGTAAGTCGAATTTATAACCATTTTCTAACTTTCTGCTAACGTGTGACATAGCATATGATGGATCGCCCCACGGTGTTCATTGAGATCATCCAGCGACACAACTTCGAGGGCTTTGGTGCTGGAAACTTCAAGTCCCTCTTCGAAGCTATTGAGCGAGAGCAGGAGCTGCGTGGCAATCTCGTTTGATGGGGACGGTTGTTCAACTAAAATGATACCTGGGCTGCATTTTCATTAGCGATTTCTACTGCACATTATCATTAATCTGATCATAGGTGTTGCACTCATCTCATTTTACATCTAGATCCAACGTAGCTTTCTAAAGTGTACTCAGGCTCTAATTTGTAACATCTAGCCCGTTATAATCCCCACAGTGACAGGAATACACACAACGAAGCATGAAATTATCTTATATTGCTAGTCATTTAGTTTTAAAATGCACTGTTCACATTGGGCGGATCATAAATTGAGACTTTGAGAGCCGGCGACCCGCACAGATTATATAGAATCTTCATAAAGCTATGCCAATATGCCATGCAAACCCTACAACATCGACACGATTACCACTTGATGCAATAACGCAAGAATACCATGTCCCACATGCATAAGAACCTATTTCCAGCGTCCAAAACGCTGCTCTACTTCTTTTTCGAGCTCGACCCACCAGGAGGAATCCCTCCTCTTCTTTTGTACTTCCGAGGATCTATGCACCATTATTATCAGCCAAACACAGCAAGGAGAAGGCAAACCTACCTTTGCGGCTCATGAGAGCTCGGTTGCGAGTTCCCTTTCCACCTTCCCAGAACCCACTGCCAGCCTTTCCTACGAGTACTGCTTTGCAGATTCCGCAGTTCTCTGGCCTGTAGATTTGTTCGCGAGAGCAGAAACCACTATTCAGCGTTAGAATGACTTCTAGGTCTTCGGGAGTGATGAGCGTACCAGATCATGCGATTTGCGTGCTCGTTGGGATGATCGGTTTCGGCATCGTGGCATCTAGAATTAATCGTTAGAATGTCGTGCCTAGGTATCATGCAGTCAAATGTCTGGGCCTGAACACATACTTGTCACACGGAGAAACCTTTGCACAGCAGCTGAATCTGTTGGATGTCAGTATGCCATAAACGGTAGTATAATTCCATGAGTCTTGATATCATACCTGAACCAACGGTAACTCTTTCCATAATGCTGGCAACGGCCGCGACGAGGAAGCTCTTGGCCCGCAACGATACCGAGGACCTCCTTGGGCTACAAGGTGATTAGTATTGTCCAGAAGGACTCGATGGTGATCACTAACCTTCTTCTTCAAAGGAAGAGCACGAGAAGAAACTGAACAAAAAGAATAAACATTTTGACAACATAAAAATAGTTGGGGTACGACTCACTTGCGGCGCTGCTCACAACCAAAAACTTCACTTCGGGGATTTTGAAAACTACAATTCCAATCAGTAATGCGCAGTGAAATAGGAATTGTAAGCCATACCCATCTTGCGGTGACAATGACGGCAAATCGCCATGGCGCTTTCTCCGCGGACCGCAGATACTCCAGGCATGGGATGGACAGTCGAGCACTCGGAACAAGTTGGAAGGAAATTACTTTTGAAGTCAGTAAGACGTTCCGGAAAGTGGCAATATGGAAATGCTCACCTGGGAATAAGGTCCACAATAGTACATCTTTCCAAGTCCAGATATCCAGCTCGGTTGGCATGAGAATGCATCATCTGTCTGCGGAAGCCTGCAAAGAAGAAGAATAAGTTAGGTGATTCCAGGAATGCAAGCAAGTTTTGTGACCCACCGATGGTCATGGTATTGGCACACTTCCTGCACGATTCAATCTTCGGCGATGCCTTCGGATCCTGAATCTGGGGGACATTCTTGATGTCCACCGTCTGCTTGCACCGCTCACACTTGATTGTGATAGCAAGGTGAACCAATTCGAGCAGTTCAATTCCATACAGTTCCAAGAACGGGAATGAAAGGGCAACGCCTCGGCCGGGTGTATCATCCGCGGCTGAGGGAACAGGCGCACCGCCTTCGCTCTCATCCTCGCCCTCGCCCTCGCCCTCGTCTGAGAACTCCTCGTCGTAGCTGGACTCATCGGTGATATCACTATCGCTGTTTGGATCGGGAACAGACCACTCTGGTGGACGGGGGATAACATGCAAATGGGGCTTGTCTCCGTTTGCTTCGAGAGGGATACCGTCTGCCAGTTCCGGCGCAGATGAGTCCACGTCAGCTGGGATATGCTCATGCTGAGAGAGTTCGGCAACTTCTGGCAACGGCGTCTTGGCGAAGTTGTGCATATTGCTGGCGAAGTAGTTGACCTGAGAGACGAGGGTCGTTTGAGAGTTCTTTTCAACCCACTGAGCAAATCCCGATTCCACGGATCTTGCCTCGGGGCTGTCGTTTGCTTGAATCTCAATTGAACTAAGCTCAAGTGGATAGAGTTGAGGGATCAGAAGCTTCACAGTCTTGATGGTTTGAAGCGATCTAGGCAAACGGTCCACTTTATTAGGCTGAATTGGAACGATCCAAGATGTCTCCGTTCGCTTTTGGAAGAATGGCAGTCTTCCAAGACGAGCTTCAAGCTGCTTCGTCTCCATTGATCTTCGCTTCTCGGCTTGGTTCTTTTCTGCAGCCGTGTGGACTTTTGTCGCAACCGGTGCCTTTGGCACGGGAGCTGGAACTGGAGCAGGAGCAACATAATCGGTTGCTTGCGCGGTGGACTGGGACAATCCACGCTGACCCGAGTCTGTCAATTGAGGCTTGTGCTCCTTCGTAGCAGTTGGATTACCCAGGTTGGCGACAAATTTGAGTCTTGGGCCTCTTTCAAGTGTAGTCAACAGGCGTTCGAGCTGCTTGTCCAGACCGTTCATCCAACTGAGCAGAGTTCCTTGACCATTCGTTCTCAATGTAAAATCAACAATATCATCGAACCCCCGGCCGACATTTGCCCGGTACGCCGGTTCCATTTCGGCATTCGTCACAGAAAGCGAGGGCCGTCCGGTACCGGGATACGTCACAGGCACGTGAAGGACGCATTGCAGCTTGTCCAATTCAAACGGAAAGTCGGGATCAGACGGAGCCATTCCAAATGACAGAGTTACCCCCTTGTCATCTGTCTTCTCATCTGGACGGAAGCGACGCCTCAACTGATTGATTTGGAACTCCCTCGGGTCTTTTTGCTCTGTCTTGGATACAGGCCGTTGAGGCAGAGCGACTGCATGGGAGCGTGCTTGGTTGCTGATACTCAAATCCTGCACACCAGCCGTTAGATAAGGGCCTGGATTTTGAGCACCGTCGGCCGATGACTGGGGGCTAGACTGCTGGTTAGGCTGTCTCGCCTTTTGATCGGCAGTGGAGACGTCGTGGATGTATGGACAATCCGCGCCCACACGGCAGCCTATACGCGTGTCAGTTCCAGACTACAACATCTATCCGAAGTCATTTGGTAAAACAATAAATGTAAACAATCCCGTAGCCCGGCCCCAGCTGGAAAACACGACATCATATCCATAGGAATGGGATGCATGCCACCTGAAGAAATCCGTACTCAAAAAACAAGTGTATATTTCAATCAAATACACGGCCCAGGCAAAGGTCACCCACCCTCAAGACTGAAACGGCAGGAACTCAACGCAATAACGTACCCTTCTTGGTCGTGAAATATCGACATTTGCCCCGTTTCCTGGATGATTGGCGGGGGCCGCTGGACACTTGCATGGATGCAACGCCATGGGGAGTAGCTGGGGCTGCCAACTCATCAGTTGAAGCAGGTGGCTGCTCAGTCCCTGTTACAAAGTTTTGACGTGAGCGTGTGATCAAAAAGGTTGCGGGCCGTTGTGCCCGCTCCGGACAAAATCAGGCCAGTCCCTGGGCAGCCTAAGCACCCTGTGGAAAACGAGTGGTGAGGGCGCTTCCGGGCACACGATACAACGGCCCAGTCGCGACTGGGCTCGTAGACATTTCCCAGGGAAAGGTCGTCCACGCCCATGAGTGTCGGCCCAATAGAACCAGGACTGGACTTACGATGGACCTGGGGCTCTGGACCCGCAGAGCTGTCAACTGATCCGTTCTCCATGCTGACAAGTCTGGTTGGAGGGTGAAGATGGGGGCGAAGGCTCAGCGTTGCGTTTGTGCCAACGCAGAGATCGGGTGACCAGGGATCGACAGGACCAGATCTGCAGCTGCGAAGTCGCGATGCGCGATAAAACCCGGGAAGCCGGGTTGGGTTAGTGTATTAGGAACAGGGGTTCCCAGGCTCGTGCAGGCCTGAACTTGGCTCTATACAAACTTGTCTATATAGACAAAGTTTGGTGGTGCCAAGACTCCGGCGAATTTGGTGATCTCACCGCGGGGTTTCGTGATTCAATCTGACTCATTCCCGCAAATCCGAATCTGCCAAATTCGCAACGCTTCTTTCTGGACTACTGCAATGACAGAAATGAATCACGGGTGACTCATGATGGTGGGTGTCTCACATGAGACGAATTCTTCTCAGACGTGGATTTATTATGTATCTAGGTAACCCCGTGCACGTCAAAAGTTGACAGTCTCTAGCCACACCACGCATCTGCCACTTCGATTTTACTCTTAGCTTATCATTGGTATCTAAAAAAGTAAACTTTCCCTATGCACAACACCGTTCGGGCGACTTTCCCCCGAAGCATGAACCTCGCACATCATGACTATAACAGAAATACAGCCAACGCAGTCTTATCACGCGAAATCCACGTACAGGCGGTCAAGCCGCGGAGAAGATGAGGGGCCGGCTTCCAGAACTCCGACCGCATGCGCGCTAAGGCCGCGGGGATGTCTTTAGCCCCGCGATGCAACATACTATAGTTCAAACCAGCACGAAGGCAACTAAATGTCTCGGTGAACAGGTGTTTGTAGTCAGGTGTGTTCATGCAGGGACAGCATTGTCAAGGTCAGAACATCCAGCACCAGCTACTTTCTTTGTCTCGAAAGCAATTCAAAGTATATGACTCCAGCGGAAGCACCGAGAAAGTCCACGAGTCCAGGGTACATCATCGAGTCAACCCGCGCAAACGGATGAGGGATTGCTCACCAACATACTCTGCTAACCCGTGTGGATCCAAGAATCACACCGAACCTAGGAGGTAATGGTTCTGCGTAGAGTTCAAACAACACCGGGATAGGATATTTCGGATCCGATTCAGGTAATATTCCTGGCTGGCCTCGAGGTCACACACCCACCTCCTCGGTAGAAGTACACAGTATACCCTGTTCGTGGCGTTGATAAACTCTGCTAGATGCATTGGGCGCTCATAGCCGTAAAAAAAGCCCCGGCATTCTCCAACGGTCGCAAGGTCTCGGCACCGTTACATACATTCCTATTGCCCTTACTACCTTGTTATTCCATGTAATGTGAAAGAAGGCGCCAAGTGTGCATGGTGTGCATACCCAGTCTCTTCACGGTATAGAAACCTCGGTGTATACGATATACAAGTCCGCGTCCAGGCGGTAACAAACCCCACCGTAATACACGTCGGGGATAAACGGTACCGTACGTTTACGTACACCCGTACGGACAACCGGCGATTACCAGATTCGGCCAAACGCTAGTCCATAAGCAGATTAGGTTCAATGTACCTCGGCCTTCCAGAAGCTTTCCTAGAAAGCTTCTGGAAGCCTTGTGATGCTTCAGGACCATGGAGATGGCCCTCACCGACCGCTTCTGGCAAGAAATAATATAAGAAGCTTCCGGTCCGGCATATGCATTCGGATTCGCCTATTCCAGCTCCCATACATCGAGTCCAGCTGATAGATACCATCCACATGAAAATGGACGTTCTCCGCTCCGAGCCCGCTCTTTTTCAACCGTGATTCGTCGGAGGACAGCGCTCCCGACTCCAACGCACGTGAGACGAGACCCACGGATCCCAGATGTTGGCGGGACCAATCACGCGTCGTGTAATGCCTCTGCTGCTCCCGGGGTTTACTTACGCTTGATACGCGACTCTTGTGTCTTGCGTAGACCTTAGTCCCTGAGACGCTATGGGATCGGGATTAGGCTGCCATTCCCGAGTTGGGCATGACTTTTCGGCATCCCACACTATCAGGGTATCGGCATTGGTGCCGGACGGGTGGAGCTGCGTGTCTAGACACGTTCGGGCTTTTCGGTCCATGGTAGTTTCGAATTGCTTTGGCTCACCGTTCAAACGTCGGAACCGGACGCGTCTCGAGACCGAAATGGTCACCGATGAAGAAATCCGTCCTGAAGAAACAAGGCAAGGCGTACAGAGGTTTCGGCGAAGTTCCTCCGGGCGTGCGTGAACAGGTCTGAGCTGATAGACCTGAATTGGAAGGCGCATCGATCGTGGTTGGCCGATCAGTGCATATTGTAGTGGAGGATCGAGATTCCACCTTGAGGAAAATAATCCAGCAGCTGCAGACAAATGCAAGGGCATTCGACAGGTGCCGAGTGTACGATCTCGATGTGATGAGCTCCAATTCATTGGATGTGAGATGAGGTTCTACTCCTGACCTGCATCGTCGAGCTGCTTCAGATGCATTGAACTCGGCATCAAGATGCCTTCCATGGCTGCATCGGCATGCCGAATCTCACAGAGCCCATTCGATCACAGCAGCCAACAAAAAATCAGCTTCAGTGTTTCAAAGCCCACTTTCCGAGACTCCCGTCAGTCATATCCCTCACTTGCAACATTCTCATTATGACGGGCTGCCACACCACTCCATAAAGAGTAGAGCGCCATAAGGCGAGTCAAATACCCAAGTTATGGGGAAACGATTCAGTACCGGTGAGACGGACCAGTCAAAAAAGTGAGGCCTTTGCACGAATCACCGGCGACCCTGGTTTGCGGTCGTCCCACCGTGATCTCCACCGTCTTGGCCCAGGTGAGATCGAGCACCACAACGTCTCGGGTCGGGGCAAATTGTCTCGAAGCGGTTTAGAGGAGATTCAAGGAGTCTGGAGGTGGCTGGATTGTGGCCAAAATGGACGGGCCGGAGGTAAATATAGTAGGCGGGGGTGCACTTCACTTTTCACGTCACTTGACCGCGCCACACGAATATCGACTTTCGGCTCATCAAAATTCAGGCCTCCTTTCTACCAAGACGAAACACCCATATTCGAGTCTGCAGGGCCCTGGATCTCAATTCTCTAGCCGTGAAAGCTTTTTCTGCAGGCCCCACGAGGAGTCGGGCACGGTCGGGAAAATAGCCAGTCAGGGAGCTTGAACTGGAGAAGAGCAGAAATCGGGCGTTTTAGGAACGGTCCTGGGGTTGTAACGTCGGTTCCACTTCGGGCTCAACTGATCCGCCCGAAAGAAGGAACCTCTGTAGGCTACCGATACGTCATTGGGCGAGGAGAGCCCCCTTATGTATTGTTCGGCTCCGGGGAGAGTTGAATTAGGGTAACTCCTGGTTCATTGCAACCCAATCGGGTGCAATAATACACGAACCCAAATGGATATCTACAGTATGTACAACTCCGTACCTTGGTGCAAAGACGATGGATCACTTTATTTCCGAAGTCATGTGCCTCTGGTGCCGTCCACATGACCTAGGTCGAATGACATCAATCTCATCTATTTGCTATAGAGTGTTTCGTAGCCGAGTCCCTAGCTTCCTTGTATCATCGATCTGTCTCAAATCCCGAGGAGGCTGTAACTGAACCTTAAAACCAACTTCGCATCATGATGAAAACATGCATAATGTCATGATGAGGCTAACCGGGGCTTCACTCCCTCACTTCCGGAGTCTAGACCGCGTTCACGGCATCCGTGGCCAACCTTGTCGAGCATATGTACCTCAACACCGTAGGCTATAGGGTGCCGACCTGCCCCCAGCACCAAAGGACTGAGCGCTTATCTCGTCGAGTCGCAGCCGAGCCACCACCACCATCTCCCAGGGCCCCGGGAGCTTGGGCGCAGAGCTAAGGTAAAGCAAGATGTCATGGATCGCATGTGAAGCGAACAGTGCGGGTAAGCTCAACAGGTCGGGGGCTGGATCTGGGTCTGGTATCTTGAATCTCGATTCTCGGCTCCGCGGACGGTACTTTTGGCCTCGTCCACGGCCTTGCACCATCCCGTCCCCCGTCCACCCCGTTTCCCTTCATCCTTTTATCGACCACCTGACACCCCCTCCGCCCTGGAAGATCTTCGGTATCCATTCTGTTGGGACTGGGCGCGCTGCTCGACACCCACCTAGGCAGGTGGTAGTTTCATCTCTAGATAGGGCGTTTGATATATTTGAATCATGTACACAACGTACCACGAGGTATCATATCTCCCAATTCTCACCCTGCCATACCATAAAACCCCGATGACCCATGACCCAATTCCGCACGATGAAAGCTTTCCCTTAGCAACTTCCATGTATAGAATAGGCACTCGCATGCTACGTAGAATATCCATGGATTAACCGACTACCATTCTATTCACGTATCACCCCCCTTCTGACGTGTCAGCGCCACCAAAGCCTCCCAACCGCCTGAATTTCCACATGATAGTTAGCTGGCGTCGGTATCGCAGGGATGCGAGCTTTCGGGAAACCTTTAACGGACCTCTAGAGATGCCCGTGCTTCCACCTCCAGAGAGTTGAATGTTCTGCATAAGCAGCCATCTTCCCCCTCCCTTCAGACATCCAGACCGCCAATTGAGAAATGCATGGCGTCAGCCATGCATTGTAAGAATTGATCGATTTCTACTGAAGAATGATACGAAGTGCATGAGAGGGCTTGCTTTTAGTGATGTTCATTCCAGGTTTTTTGAACTTTGAATTTTGCGCTCGAAGCGTGAGTAGCGTAGCGTACAGGGGAGAGCAAGTCGCGCCCGAGGGCGACCAAAACAGGACAGGATGTGCCGTGGTATCTGGTATCGAAAGCAAGAAGAAAAAAATAATAGAAACCGTGCCCAGGTAATAAACGGAGTTTGAAATGCTAGCGTGTTTTCTGCAGTCCAAATGGACAGGCAGTGGCAAGGTAGCGCTGATGATAACGGGGGATGTTTTTTTTGATGGGGAAAAAGTTCGTGGTCATGAAAACAAAACCAGTGGAGAAAATCTCTTCGAAGATATGGATTTAGTCCGTGTTTTCATAAACCATTTGACTGCCCGAAAGTGGAAAAAAGAGAAGACGTTGGGTTATTGAAGCTGTACATGAATATTAAGGTCGTAAGGGACAGAACCTCTCGAGGCAGGTGGTTCAGAAAGATCCAGACAGGCACAACACCCAGTGAATGCGGCATCGGGAAAACACCCTCAAAGACCCCCGGAACCGCCGAAAACCCAAATCAAATCCTCAAGTGCGCCTAAATGCAATGCATGGTATGATCATAATCGTTGCGTGTCGGAAAGATGAAGAAGTGAATCGCTGTTGCGAGACATCAAGAAGAAGCGGGAGGTCGCTGATTACCATCCCTTAACGTGGTACTCCCAAGGGCCGTAGTCGGTTGCATAATTGGTCCATGAGCCGTTCTTGGAGAGATCCTTATCCCGAGCCTGGTTGCCGACATTCGCGTCTCCTGAAGTGGATGGACCGGCTCCTGGAGCCCGGTGCGGTCCTTTGGGATATTCTTGGAGGTTTTTCATGTCGTGAGCAGTGTGACGCCGTTTCAAAAACGCATTGGCGGTGGCGCTCTTCTGCTGGCGCTCCCAAAGGAGGTGTCGACGCAGAGACTCGGTTAACTCGGTCGCAAGCATGTTGCGACGGGTGGTACGCGGCGAATGGGCGACTGACTGCGGCGGTGGCGATTTCATAGTGATGGGCTTTGATCGGGGAACACCAGGGCCACGCATGGTCAGGTTCTCATCGTCCTTCTCTGAAGGCGAAGCAGGAATGGAAGGTCCGTTGGGTGATGTTAAACGTGACCGTTGCAGTGCGGGACTGGACCGGAACGTATTGCCTCCCATCTTACCAGGCTGGTGCATCATCATGGTGAGAAGCGATCGCCTCGACACCAGATTGGGGCGGGAATCCACCCGCTGGAACATCTCCGGTCGCTCGTCCACGCTTGATTTGCCGCTCTCTGTCACGGAGTCCTCCCAATCGGAATCTTCGTCGTCTTCGATAGCGCTCTCTGAGACGTCGTCATCGGTCTCAATGGCGTCCTCATCGGCAACAAGGGGGCTTTTGGGAGGTCGGATGGTCTGAACGTGATCGCTGAAAGAGGCGACTTTCTTGGACGAGCTCGGGTTGCTGCCAGTCGGCCTCAAAGATCCACCGCCGGTCGTAATCTCCTGAGGTACGGTCGCATTGATGCGCTCTTCGAATGAGCTCTCGTCATCTTCCCCAGAAGATCCACCTAGTGTAAACATGCCTCCTTTCTTTTTAAGAGGTGAGGGTTTCAGTTGGGGAGTTTCACGGGAGGGACTCGGTTCCGCGGCCAGTCTAGGTTGCGACCGGAAGGAGGAGGAGATAATGGATGGTGAGAAGCCGCGAACGACGCTCGGCGACTTGATCAATTCAGGTCTGCTAGGAAGGACTCCGGAAGAGGATACACTGGTATCGGAGGCGTTGACCTGGGCCGAATCGCTCTCATTGCCTTCGGGGGCGGTAGTCGAGCATGACTCGGTCGATTCGCGAGGACGGCAGACCGGGCGAGGGAAGATCGGAACCTGTCTGGCCGTTGAAACCGAGGGAGGAGTAGGAGTCGGGGTGGACGGCCGGGGAGTAATGTCGACAACAGGAGCGGCGGGTTCGACCATGGGGGCCAGCGGCTCCAAGTTCTTCCTCTCTTTGATATTGAGGACCATTCGCTCTAGGTCCAACGAGGTGATGTGCTTCTCCTTGCCACGACCTAGGCTGGCTAGTGAGTCCTCACGGACCACGGCCGGTCGGTAATCCGAGAACCGGGGACGTTTGATGTGAGCTTCGATGCGTTCGGCTTGGTCGGACGCGGCCGACTCGACACTTGCGGAGAGCTCCGGCAGATCACCGGCCTCCGAGCGCAGCTTGGGAAGAACTGATGCTTCGTTGGACTTCTCGGGTTCAACACAGAAGGTCTCGCGGGTCCACAGACGCCAACTCAAGTTCTCGAGGCGACGTCCCTGATCCATGTAGTCGGCACATTTCGAAAATACTAAAAATTTCGTTAGCCCGGATATACATTGACAGGCCGGCAAGGGCCAAGGGAACTTACCCATCCACATGCCATGGAGACTCTGTGCATTCGCAGTATCCACCTTGTGAATATTATCTGCATCCACCGTCAAAACCGGTGTGGTCAACGGCATAATAGCGGCGCCACAGTTACGATTGTGGTCGTCGGTGCGAACAGAAGTATTAATAATGGTGTTCCGGGGTCGCCGTCTTCCCCGAGAGTGGTCGTACGGCGGTTGAAAGGGGAAGGAAAAGGTTCTCGAAGGATCTGCGGTTTGAGAGAAGAGCCTTGAAAACTCGAGTATGGGCAGTGTAGTATGCTGCAAAGTCGATCAAGTCTAGAATTCAGCACCTGGACTGCAATCGAATGTTGTTGCAGAGAATCCAGCCGGTAGTAGCGAGTGAAAGCGAGGACGGGGAGTCCGAAAGAACGAGAGAAGTCGACTTTGGCGGTCGAGAATTCGTCAACTTTCCGTCAGGGCGCCACCGAAGTCGGATGCGGAGACGGATTAGGCGGGCGGGGGAGTATGGGCCGCACGAAGCGCGTTGGGAACGAAATTGGCGCGTTTCCTGCGTTTCCTGTGTTTCCGGAAGTTGGGATGGCGGAGGGGGTGAAGAGATTGACAGGAAGGAGAAGAAGGAGTTGGGGAAGTGCAAGTCGGAACGATAATAAGAATGACGGGGGCGACGGGTGGAGTGGAGTGGAAAAGAGAGGGGGAAAATAATTATTAAAAAAATGAAAAAAGGGAATTTCGGTACGGGTCGTTACAATACAGAAAATCAATTAAATAAAACCCAAATCAGGCCGAGGCGAGGGTCGGTGAAGAAAATTCGGACGCATCACGGGGCCTTTGGATACACCCACGGTACCCGCGCGATACGTGTGGGCGCCGGGCGTTCCCCGGTACTCGGCGTGTAAATTAAGACCGCGATACGCGGTATTCACGTACGCGTACGGGTCTGTTTCCGGAGTTCGTTGACCTGCCCTGTCGGTCTTGGATTGTAGGAGAGCCGGTGACCTGTCCAGAGAAGAGAGGGAAGTGAACGATTCAAGAAACAGATGAGCACGGCTTTGCTGGACTCCTCCTGACAGCAACTCCATCTAGATCGGGACTCGGACGCCACCTGTGGGAGTACAAGGGAGCCCTTCGCCACAGGTAATCTACAAGTAGCCTATTGATGAACTGTCGCACTGCCAACCATTGGCCACCTAATAGGCTCGCGGTCCGGCTGACTTGCTTACCTGAGATCTCGAAGAACGCGCACCTTGGCAGTTAAGCTATTCTCGTCACGGACGAGAAGAACGGAGTACATATGGGGTACACCGCATTCTAAGGCGATCGCCAGATCTCCTTCCAAGCCACGTTTGGTGGTCTTGGGGCCGGGCTGTTTTTGGCCTAAGGGGGGAACTAAGACGCCGACTATGTATTTCAGCCGATGGGCGTCCGGATTGGTATTTAGCCTTAGTTTAGAGGTTGTTCGGTCTGGAGGGAAAACAAAATCCGGGGGAATACCTCAATGCCGCTCAACGCCGCGAGCAGCGACTGCCCGCCAGAAAGGGATGATTGATTCTTAGGCCGCATGCCGGGGAACTGCGACGGGGCTTCCGTAGATCTCGCCCTCGCCTGACTGTCTAGCACGAATGAAAATATTCATTACCATTTAGTTTCCGTCCTATGCAGCTTCGATGGGCCGCAGTCTGACCGATCCTGTTGATTGTGTTGCATATTTAGTAAGAGTTTTCGGAATTCCGTTCGGACAGGCATCAGGTGGGAAGGACAATGTAGACTTCCCAATCCTTTACCGCCCTTTTCGCCCCTTATCTTCCGAGATGCCACATCCTGGCCACTTGCTCGCTAGAATTGACATCTAACAGGACACGGTTCAAGGCGAAGTGTCACAGCCGTAGTCACGAGCCTGCCAGCTGGCGAAGGGGATAATGGAGGGCCATGATCAGCATACGGGGCCAGGAAGGCCAATACACATCCCACTGGGATGCGGAGGATTCCCTGGCCCAGGAGCTCACGGGGCCTCGAGGCGTGGGCTCTTCAGGCTCTCCCTTGCCTCCGGTCCGGACTGGCGGAAGGATTCGAACACATCGGTCTCCACTCAAGCGAAGAAGCCAAACCCGGGGGAATGGTAACGGACACTCGATCGACCTAGGACGAGCTACTGTTGCACAAGACGCACGTTTCATCCATCATGTGATATCCCTCGACCGACGGAGTGGCTGCCTTTGCTGTGGAGTATCATCTGCTTCCCTGTCGCTTTGTTGATCATCTGGATTGTGCCGAGGGGCGGAGTTGTCCCGGATTTGCGGGGATGCTGCCAATAGTCTGACCAGGTGCCTTTCTCACGCTTAGTCGGCTCCACTCTGATCCCGACACGTCGTTCTGTCTGGTCGTTTGATATTAGCATTTGCTTCTCGTCGGGTCAAACGGTCGCAAATAACGGACAAAGGCTTGCGCCAAAAGGTTATGACGGAAGTAAATTGAAGTATATCTCTGTTGTTCACCGAGGCTACCGAAATCTCCTGAATCGTCCGAAACAGCTCGCTGCAGTAGCCTTTTTCCTGTCCGGTGTATGACACGACTCAAAATTATCACATACAGCATGTACACCATTCTGCTGACGTGCCCCCTTCTGGTAGCCCCGCGTCTATCAGCTCGCCAGGTCATCTCAGCCCTGACACCGTGATGACCTCAGAAGCGCGTCGATGGCGGCTCCATGGACCCTGCGATTTGTCGCGGTCTCACGGTTGCCATTCGGGTGGCACCATGGTGGCAATCTGAGGCTGCAGAGTCTCGACGTTGAATCCCGTCCGTGATCCACTCCCTAGCCCCGAAAGCTGCCAATAATAATAATGGCCCCGGTCACATCGCACATCTCGGGGGCAGTCCGGGTATAGTACAGAGATTAGGGACTACGACAAATGGTCACGCTCATCTGCAATATCAACGGCTTCTATCGAAGCTCGATGCCGAGGCTCTCTAGAGGAAGGGAACTTTGGATGCCGAGGCAATCCACGTCGATCTCGAGTCAGTCGTAGAATGTACGGAGCCGCCATGAAATGCTGCCGCGATGCACAGGCCGAGGCGTGGATCAGGAGATGGTTCAGGAACACCTGACAGCGAGAAGTCGCCGTACTCCCGGATCTAGTCACGTTGGTACCCGCAAGAGGTACGTGATATCGTGCACTGCACCCGAGTTGAGCATCAAAGCAAAGTCGCCGCGAGTGGAGAGCGAACCGTGGCAAGGTCACGCGGTCGTGCCACGTGACGTCCCAGGAACGCCCTCGGGAGCTCGTGACGGTGAGGGTGACGTACCGGTGCCCATTCTAGGGATCTCGTTTTCAGGGTTCAGATGGATGTGGTCCACAGCCCGAAATGGAGAGTCGATCGTTGCCCCGGTATGTGTGGTGGTGATGGCGCTTACCGGGGGACCAGTGTAAGCCAGGGTTGCCATGTCAGGCGCCGACCGATTTGATATTCCCCAGAATTCGCATTTCAGGGGGTTTTGCCGGTCACTCCCAAGATTTCCATAAGGTGAATGCTGATTGTCATACTTGCATCTGGAAGGAAATATATGGTCCGTACATATTTGATTGAACCCACTCGGGAGTCTACCCGCCGTGTACATCTTTGCTTGAATACGTTGAATACACCGGTATTTGGATCTCGACTAGGTACGAAACGATGGGCATAGCAACGGCCTGAAGAAGTATAAATCACTCTCGGAATTGCTCTAGCGAATCAATAATGGGAACGGGTACCTGTCAAATATGACAAGACATGACGACCATAATTGGTAGCCTCAACAACCAACCACGCGTCGATCAAGACACGGGTGTGACGAGCAAAGTTCAGGGCGGCAGCACTGCAGACACCTATCCCCCTCCTGCCTGGAAGATGGAGTTGACCCTGATGTCAATCATGAAAGGGAGTGATCACAGAGCTGATCTGTCTCTTTGTATCAGAGCAAGCAGAGACGGCAAATCACATTCCAAAATGTAGCCGCCCTACGGCCCGTCTGCCCCGTTGAAGCGCCCATGTGCGCCAGCGCAACAAAGGAGAACGGGTTACAAACAAGGGGGAGTTGGTACTACTGTAAGAGAGATTCTCACACAAAAAAAAACCCGGATCGCTGATTTGTTTACGCAAGGGATGTTTGTCCGGGGATCGCGGAAGGAATCCGGACATAGTTTCTAGACCCATGGGACATCAGGTGAGCGGATGATCTTGGGTGATCCTAAAGTCAATCTTGGATGCTTTCGTACCAATGAGCTAGGGGCTGAGTGCGATCGGGGAATACCTGTCGTCATTTGCCCGTTTTATCTACCGTAAATTGGTTCGGGGCTTGTTTGGGGCCTTTGGAATCGCCATTCCCCGGGTCGATCCACCGAGCCATGTGCATGTGACCTTTTCCAAGGGGCAGCCTAGAGCTGTCGACGTTGGCTGAAACCGAGGGTTGAAGCTCCCGGGCCCTGCAGTCCGACCGGAAGCGAGACTTGCAGTTCCGTGACGATCGTTTTCAATTTTACCTTACTCTCTGGACTTTGCAACCAAGACAGCTTGACTTCTAATTCCCGTTTCCTGATTGGGATGTGTTCATATTCCGGGATATGGAAGGATAGCGCCTTCAACCAAGATAGCTCTGGATAATCACTCGCTATCCCTGGCGGGCCAACTATAGATGGCTTGCCTCTTGTTTTCACCCAACATCGACGCCCCGTCTAGATCCCGAATTTTGTCCCGATCGCCCTTTCACAGTCCTTTACTTCCCAACCCACGCAGAATATCAAAGGCTACAGCGCGATGCATACCATTCAAAGGTCTGAACCAAGAGCAGACCTCAAACGTCATCCTGCAGTCCGACCGCGATAGCCTCCCTTGTTTTAGATGTTGAGCCAAAAATATGCGAGCTAATCGAGCATCCCCTTCGGCCCTGCAGATCACGTCCGGAGTACCTGGTATTTGGGAGCCCTGGAATGCCTCGGTGACCATTTTTCGTACTTTGTCCAGGGGTTTGCTCTTCCGTCTCATTATATGCTTTCGCAGCCACCTCGTCACCACTGCAAGTGAGCAATGCGAGGGAACGGGTTTGAGTTTGATAACATCGACACACCGAGTCATGT